GCACGCCGTCTACTATGTCCTGCTCATGGCTTGAGCAGTTCAATGGCGACGGAACCGCCGGAGCTCTTTCCTTGTCGTACATCGCAATGATCCACGCTAAGGATCGGCGATGCCGGAAACGACAAGGCGGAACTGCGAAGCAGAACCAGAGCGAAGGCCTGAAGCGTACAAGTACGCCTCGCTTTCTCATCGAGACACTCCTCCGTAAACTATCCACTCTCCGAGAACCGAAGAGCTGAAAAAACGCCGAGTCCAGGCAAGCCCGGACGAAGCGGAGATTCTAGATAGAGGACAGAGAACCAGCGGAAGCTGGTCGACATCGGGCAGCCAGCCCGACGTCGGAGTGTGCAACCCTCTTGCTTGATCATGTAAATTGATATAACTGCTACGCACGACATATTCATTACAAATTTCCGTGGTCGCTTGTTGTTTTGTCTTGTCAGACAACAAGACAAATGTCGCTAACGCTAACACTTTTTCGTGTGATATGAGCCGATCCACTTCCATCGTCACTTTTACTCCGAGGGTATGGGAGATGGAAACGCTAGTTTGTCATGCGCATGCTGTGGCTGTATCAGCATCAGCTTCGTTCCACTTTGTGATGCATTTGCATTCCCGAACAACACATCGATCTGTTCTGCGCTGAGGAGCAGCAAGAACAGTTGAACTGCGCTTTATCCGGGTACAACTAGAGCACGAAGATTGAAATTGTAACGGCAGGACCAAGATGAAGTAGATGGCAGGCCGAGTGACAAACTAGTGTCCGAGTACACACTTTCCATACATTTCCTTCAATTTCTGTCGGAAAACCCAACTTCCTATCTTGCCGTCGCAGAACAGGCATATTGCGTGCCGAAGCAGCGCCTCCGGGGTGTGCTCTGTTTTGTTTTTTTCTTTTCTACATTGAGATTGACCTTGACTTCTGAGTCCGAAGAAAAGGGAGGGCAGGCCATGCCCATGAAGAAAGGAAAAGTTTTTGCTACACATCGCCTACCTTCTTACGCATGACAAAATGGGGAGAACCATATGAGAACAGCTATGTAATTGCGAGTTATTACGTGCTTTCGCGGCTCCCCCGGGCATCGGTTCCGCGTGGTCCCATGTGACGGGGTTCCGTCTTACTTCAGAAATCCAAATGTACGGTGCAAACCTGCCTTCGCTAGAACTTGCAGTTGGAAGTTAGTGGAACGCGTGCGTCGTTAACGTTGAGTACCGGCATATAAAGTATGTCTAACTTCTTCTATGTAGGAAATAACATGAGATCGCTCCACCAATTTCAGCACGGACACGGTTTATTTGAGAGATGTGGTATCTTTCCGCACGATGAGCTAATCATCCAAGATGAACTGATGGCGCTTGCCACTGTCCCAGTCGAAGGCACGTTTACATCGCATACGCAGGCTGGCGGCCGGTCTGCCCCGTCGCCTCCAAATCATCCCGGTATTCCTGGGAAGATGTCGTTTTGGTTGAAGCAAGAAATGCGAGTGTTAGATTCAAATCAGCAATACAGATTTCAGCACAGTGCACAAGGAATCGGCACAATGCATGAAGACCGACCAAACTGCAACCTGCTGTACTTCGATTCCAAACCTACGAAAAGATCTATCTCACCCCAAGTCCACCGGAATTTCTTATCCACAGAAAAAAACCCATCCACATCCATTTTTATTTTGTATGACAAACGCGTGATTCTGCTTTTATACGTGTTTTGCATGACAAATTGGATGTGCATGTGGATAGTTTTTTTTCTGTGGATATTTCTCGGGGGCATGCTACTGCTACTCGCGTTATTGTTTCCTGTCGTGGTGAAAACGCGCCCAGGATTGTCGGCGTACACGGCAGGCACGGTTCCCTTGGCCAAAAAGTTGTCGATCCGCAGGGCGCGCAGCATCTTGGAAAAGGACAGATTTCTGGCCGGGCCGTGGACCGCGAGCGCGTGGCGAAATTCCTCGGTGAGGGGGACTTTCAAGTCCTCGGACAGAGCCCGCAAAAACGCCTGGTCGGTCAACATACCGCGGTCCCACCGGGAATAGAGGCGCCGGATCTCCTCAGTTTGATGGGCCAGGAACCTTAGAGGAGGGATGGAGAGTTTTTCTCTTTGTAGCTCCAATGGGGTAAGTGAATAAACAAGTTCGAGCAGGTAGGTGTAGGTAAGCAACTACAGCAGCGTGGTAGGGCCCCAAGTACTTTTTGAGTGATGATGGTGATAGTGGAACACTTCTTCATCAGTTCTGGACACTTGGAGCCGAGGCACCAAAACCAGCAAGTAGAAAAGGAAACAGTTTCATACTCGCCCATCTCCACCGTGTCGTGCAATTCTGGCAGGGCGGGTGCGTGTGTCCAGTGCGTTTGCAAGTGCGGCTCCTGCTTCATGGCGAGATCGTTGGCCTTGAGGAGGAATTTTTCCGTCTCGGATTGCTTGGCTCGGGGGGTGCCCGGAGAGTATTTGCGGATTAGGTCCTTGTAGATGACAAAGCCATCGCCGTTGATAACGCAATACCTGATGAGTTTTAGTTTTTCTTTTCTTTTCGTTGGCAGGGGCGACGTGCTGGTTAAGTTTACTGATCAACTGGTTTTCATTTTAGAGCATTGGTTGGACAACTACACAGCAACATATTACTCGAGAATTTTTGCGACTTCTGGCTGGCCGTAGGTGAGCCCAAAATCGTCCAGCACATTGGAGAATGTGGCACCCGTAATGAGACCTCTTCCGTATTTGTCTCTTGCCTTGAATTCCTGCAGGCGTGTATGGAAGTAAGAATCTTCTTTGGAGTGGCAATGTTCCGAGGCTCGGATGAACATGAAGTTATGTTTCGCATGTAGACGTAGTAGCCCCCCGTAGGAGGTGCTACTGCTGCGCAGTCTCCTACTGACATTAGCATGGCATTCCACTTGAACTTCTGCATAATTAATGCAAATTGCAAAGTCTCAACTTAAACTTTTGACAATCTTCCGCCCCGGAACGAGGACACAACGACACTCTTCATCCCAAGTTCATACACTCGTGTTAATAGGTATCACAAGACAAAGTGTTAACGTTAACGGAATTTGTTATGCAGCGATGCATCAGAAAAGGTGCGCGAATTTGTATTGCGTAGCATGCATGGAAGGCAAGGTTTGTAATGCATGGCTGCCATCTGTGAAAACCGTTAACCTTAACGTTAACACTTTTTCCTTTGTTAATAGGAAGTCCGTGTCGGTCTTCAACCGGCTCCGGTCGCCCGGCGGCACCACCTCGGCGGCCATCTTGAGCTGCGGGAGTGGTTCTTTTAATCGGAAGGTTGTTACTTGTCCGTTCCGTTTTGAAGATATCGACGTTGACGTCTACGTCGTTCTCTTTGCTAATAGGACAATGTACGTGGAGGTACTACGGGACACCCGTTCCAAACTAGCCTTCTTAATACTGCTCGAACCGAATAATTATCGAAGCCTAGTAGAACAAGCAACCGGAGCGAAAATGGTGCTCACTTCAAAAACACGACTCAGAAGATTCGTCCACTCAAGAAGCCTAGATACACATTCCCTCAGAGGTGGTATTGGAATCGGAACTCAACTACGATAAACTTAAAAACGACGACACAAGAACTTTTGGCGATGATCTACAGGCACGGTTCGATTCATGCACTGCCTCGGGAGCAGGAGCAGCCAAAACCGGCTCGCTGGTGCTTTTCCACGACCATTTTCAAACTAAAAACACTAACACTTCTCGTCGTGCACCACAGCAGGCAGACAGTACAACAAGCGATGATCACGACATGAAGCGTTGTGAACACGAATAATTACACTTGTCGGACGAAACGAAAAAGACATGCACCAGGTCGCACAGTAGATTATCGTGTGGAACGAGCTGCCATCCACTGCAGTGGCTGCGACGCCTCGCATGTAGCTGATTTATTTTGCTCCTTTTCTGCATGAGCATCTCCACCTCTATCTCGCGCCGGAGGACGTCGTGCCTTAGTGTCCATCTCCAAAGACACCAAGTATGGTTTTGCGAAGTCCTTGATCTTCTGATCATTTTTCTCGTCGAACGCCCAAGAAAGCACGCGAATGCCACGTCGCTCAAGTAACGCGTGTTTGAATACAGTCCTGCCATTCAGACACTTTGATGAGTTTTGTCCTGCTTCTCCTATTCTTGACGGTCCTGCCAACAACTCCGTATCTTCTTCTCCAGCTCCACCTCCTCCCCTAGCCGTGGCGCCATGGAGATCTTCTTGCTCAGGGTCTGCTTTTAGATCAAAAAGAAAGTGATGCGGCCCGTCGACCTCGATGGCGAATTTGTGCTCTGGGCAGTAAAGGTCAACGGTTAAAACAAAGTCCGTGGCATACTCCTGGATAAGGGTGATCTCTTTGTTCTGATGCTTGCTCATCCGAAAAGCGTTGACGATGTGTTTTCGGAAGACGTCCTTTTGCAGCGCCGAGGCTTTGCTTGAGAGGTCGGATGGGATTTTTCCGCTTTTGAACATGTCAATGTCTTTCCTACAGCTGGAGGACTCGGAGCTCCTACATGAGGAGTCTACTGCTGCTCCATTCTTCACTGCCTTGGATGAAGTAGTCGCTTCTTGCCACGGCAGCGTCGCAAAGTATGCGACTCGTCGGTCTACCGGTTTGTTCCCTTCGTTTTCGTTCACCATTTGCGCCAGTCGTAGCATCGCAGGTATTCCTTGCAAAATCTTTGCGTGCAGAGTAACGAGAAGATCGGATTTCTTTTGCCGCGTCGGATCATCTATCTGATGGCGGGAAACGGTCTCGTCCAAAACCATGGCAACGGCGCTGTATGACCAACAGAGTAGCGACCAATCGATGTCTGAGAAGGTCGACGGTTGCTGGACGGAAGTGGGCGACTGTGAAGAGCCGAAAGGAGCCCGATTACGGTCGTGAAGAGTGAAAATGTCTACTGAGAGCGGCGTTGTAGTCACTCCTGCTTGCGCAGCACTGGCGGATGTTTTCACGTTCTCACTTTTTCGGAGGTGCCTTTGCACCTCATGATGTCCAGCTGCATCAGGACCATCACCGTCAGTCGCATCCTCGAAGAAAAGGCAGTGGACGTCCCTCAACAAGCGACCCAATTTTCTCACGGTGTTGGCACACTCGTCATCAAGCGCTTCATTTCCTGCCTCCACCGGCAGCGTCTCCTCCTTCCGCGAAATAAGATCCGGGGACTTGATATTCCCGTGGCTCCGGAGTGCTTCCAAATTTTGTGTCGTCCAAATGTGTGCTAGCGTGGCGCGCTGGGATGGAGCTAGAAGCTTGCTGAGCGGGTTTTTCTTTCTTGCTTGGATCGTTTGGCCCATTTTTCCCTTTTCTACTTCAAGCAAGTCTCCGTAAAGTACCCTCTCGAACATCCAGTCAGGAATTCGGACCAGCGCTCTGTTCAGAACCTTCATCACGTCCAGCAGCTGTGTGCGGCTAAACTGCTCCTGGGCCGGCGCGCGTGCACCAACCGCAAAAGCACTTTCGACACTCATCATCATCCTCACCATGGCGCGTCGCATGCTCTTGCCGAGAAGGGCATCACCGTCCATATTTAGACTCGGAGTACCAACTACAGACAGTGGCAGCTCGGCTCCCACCGCCTGTAGTTTATCCTTCATCCCCCCACCAGAGCTGAAAAACACGGCTTCGTAAATCGGCATTTTGGGTCGCAGATCCGGCAGCACATTGTTCATGTAGTGGGCGAAAGCCATGCAGAACAGGACGCAATTATTGAGATCGACGGGTTTTGCACGGTGAAGGTGCGGCGACGTTATCTGTACTCGTTCATGGCTTCTACTACGACACGTCGGTGGCCCCGAGATTATGGAGCAATTATCTTGCTCCCCGTGCACGCGAGGGGGAGCGCCCCCACACTCAGCACGACGTCGTGGAGGTTGTACAGGTGCCACAGGACGAAGGTCCCCCCAAAAGCTGATCTGCTCCCAATACGCCGGCTTTGCGAAAGTTTGCTGCAGAATACTGATTACGCTCGGAGGGCTCGGTGGCGTGCCTGTGTTCGAAGGGTAAGTTGGTCGTCGGTCGCGGCGCGTAGTTGAAGTGTTTTCTGCTGTGGTTAACATCAACAGAAACAAGAATCGGTCTGCGGGTATAGGAAGCTGCTTTTCATACAGTCTTTCTAAATGTCGACAAAATTCCGCGGCGCAGCTCTCCAAAATTTTCGGAGCTGAAAGCTCGGGGCCTCCACTTCTTAACCTGTCGTGCTGGTCGTGTTCCCGAGCCTGAGGCGTAGCGTTGGCAACGCCGCAGCGCAAATTCGCATTTGGTTTCCGCGAAACACGATTTTCCCCGAGTGGTGGTTGCAAGAGTAGGCGCATGACCCGGTACAGAAACTGAGCACTTTGGCGGAGGCGTTGCGGATTCTGTTCCTGAGCGTGTGCTTCGCCCAATCGGTGCAGAACTTCGCTGGCGAACGGCTCGGCCATGCGGTGGTCTTGTGGGTTTTGCGCCGCGGTTAAGTTCCCCATCACCGAGACACAGGTGGTGACAATGTCCTCCTGACTGCACACGGAAACCAGACGGCCCGCGACAGCCCTTGCGAACTTGACCTCAGAAACTGCATCATCCGAAGCTTCCTCGATAGTTGTTTTCCCATCTGCAGTTGGTGCTATAGCATTGTTAGCCAAACAAGCTCGACTCCGCTGTAGTCTTCCAATGGTTGTTAGAATCGCCTGGCGGTCCAGAGAGTGAAGTGCATCAGTGGCGTTGTCTAAAAGTGATGCGCGCGATTGAGGTTCGGTTGGAGGGAAAGTTCTTCTCGGAGCCAGATGAACTTGCTTGTCCCTATCCCGATAACCCCCGCCTGTCGTGCCACCTGCGCCAGATTTCGATTTTTTCCCGTCAGGCGGTAACGGAGGCTTGAAAGCACATTTATTCGCAGGTGGCGACGGAGAAGGGGCGAGGGCTAGCGCTGATCCACTTGTTTCGCGAACGTACGCTGGACGAGACTGCGCCGCGATTGCTCTCCGTGCCTGACACTGACTCGCCATTCTGTCTCACGGACCGCGAGTAGGCTAGTGCGCTGCAACAACAGAGGTAGAGCCAGCTAGAAAACGCAAGGAATTTTTCGTAAACGAGGGTTGCCGCGATCGAACCCGAAGATGTAAACTCTCCTATTGGCAACATAATCAGATCGGCAAAAAACAACTATCATCGTGGTCATTTTTCAGATTTCGATCATCATGATCGCTGCACTGACTTCTCCTCCTCTGCGACCTTGAATAAGAAGACCCTTGCGACCTGCCGCTATGATGAGAGATCATGATCATTCTCGAGATCTTTGAATGTATCGACATCTTCTCGCACGCTGCAACATCTAATGCCGGATCTCCAACCGCGGCCGAACACCGAAGCAGCTCTGGTACTGCTCTCGTACTTTTCTGCGTAGTGTCAGCACTGTGTGGAGCTGCAGACACCACTGTATATTTTTTTCACTGTGCAGGGGCTCGGGCACTGACTCGGACCAACGACCACGACACAGCAGAGAAAAGAAAACAACAACAAGTCGAAGGGAAAACAAGTGAAAGCTTTTCGCAGAATACAATCGTGGACTCGAAGATGTTGACAGGACGTCGAGGACGTCATAACAGAAAAATGAAAAAGTTCTGCTCAAGCTCGTGTTAACAGCTCAACCAGAAGTTGCTCGAACTTCATTTGTTCTCCTGCGGTCTGTCTTTCGGAGGGACATAGATGGGCACGAAATGGTCGGCAATGTTCGTCGCGGAATATGATGAAGTCGTACATGAATTATCCGCACCAGTAAAATCCCTGCTTTGGATTCGCCCACCGCGACCAAAATTCACAGCGCTGCCGTCAAAAATCAACTCACCATCCTCCGGAATCGCCCTCAAATCCTCCAACAAGGGTGCGGACAGTGTGAAGGAACTACTTCGCAAAGGTTTGTTAGTTTGCTTTGCAGGCTCGTCCTGCTCGTTATCTTGTTCTCGCACAACATCGACAGCAGGCACTGCTCCCGCTGTTTGTAGTTGATTTCCATTTTCGCTGTCCCTACTCCCGAAAAAAACAAAGTTCGGAGCAGCTGCACTCATTTTCCCGGCCTGCCCGTCCTCCTCCCCGTCGCTAGGCGATCGCACCTCGTTTCTCAGCATCGCCTCCCACGCCTCATCTCGCAGTTCCTGTCTTCGCTGCGCGAGGGACTCGGCGTGGTCCAGTTGTGTGAACAAAGTAGAACTCTCCTGCTGCAGCTGTGGTGCGATACAACCTCCTGTTGCAGCACCGGATGAGGTCGTGGAGCCGCGCAACATCAAGGAGTCCTCAACCAAAACTTGGTCCCCGAAGGACCCGTTATTTTTCGCGTCGTCCACAAAAGACAGCTCGTCCAGCAGCAAAGCAGACGTGGAGAGCTGCAGGGCCTGTGATTGCTGTTGCTGGTGACCAGGATCGGTCGATATGACAAAATTTGGCGGAGGTGGACCTCCTTCGTGGCTTATTTGCTGCTGCCCCGCAGGAACGAAGGGAGTTGAGGAGGAGGCCGCGTATGAAGTTGAATAATGGGCGGGGCGATAGTCTGGCCCTGGCGTGTACTGTGTATTCGCTGTACCGGTCTGCCTGGCACCATGCGTCGTACCCGCTCCAAGAGCACCATGGATCGTAGAAACACCACCGCGATCGTGATTGTACGGGACGAACTTGTTCCGCTTCGATGAAGAAGTCATGCTTATCTTCTCTGGCGACACGAAATGCAGGTTCTGTTCGGCCGGTTCAGTTGTCACCGAGACAAATGACCGCGCGCTCGGATCTTTCTCCAGCAGCGGCGTACCGAAATAGATGTCCGGCCGCGTGTCCAGCGGAGAAATGCCTTTTTGCTCACTCGCCCCGGTCCCCGCCCGCTCCCGTTCCAGCGCCTGTCTTTCCCGCATCTCGGAAATTGTGGCGAAGCCATTCAAACTCCGACTGCGCTGCAATAGGTGGGTGTGGTGGTAACCCCCGTGGTTTGTTCCCGGAACTACGGGAATCGCCGGAGGTGGAGAACTACCATTCACCGCACTGCCTACTTTAGACGACGACCGCGACGACCCCCCGCCGGACGTCACTGCGCTCACCCCGCTCAGCGCCGTCATCTGTTCTCGCTGGGTGGGCGCGGGCATGCGTCGCTGCGGCGCCGCAGTGTTCGTGTCGTAGTAGCCCTGGGGCTCGAAACTCCGCAGCGCCAACGGGGCAAACTCCTCCTCCTGCTGTTGGGCTTGCATGGACTCCATATACACATCCGTGGCGAAACCTGTTCCGTAAGAAGGACGACGCGTCGCTACAGCAGCTCCATCTTGGCCTGTTCGTCCACCTCCTAAACCAAGGTCTAAACTCGCCAACGAGCCCGCTTCTGGTTCTCGCTGGAAGTACAGATTATTAACAGGAACACCGCCGGATTGGTTGTTACTGTTCAGATGCAGCTGTTGCACGAGCCCGAGCGGACCTCCTCCACCGTTGTTCCCGAATTCAATCGGCGACCGGATCCGAGACGCGTGGTCGTAATTCGCGGCGGCAACGGAGGGCGACGCCCCTGCGAACTCTCCGACAATGCGGTTAAAGTTGTAGCCGTCGTGTTCCTCGTGCAAGTCGCCCGGCCGGTGCGTCCCCAGTTGCTCGAAGAAAGCAGGCTGTCGGGCGGACGACGGACTGCTGTTGCCTGCCGGGACTGAAGTCGTGTTCGTGAAATGCGTTTGCCCAGCAAGATGAACGACTCCAGCTGCGGTATTGTTGTAGTGCTGGTTGTACATGTTTGCCGCAGTTGGTAGGAGAATGTTTGCAGTGTCAACCCTTGGAGATGTTGTGGCTTGCGCCGTCAGAACTGCATGTTGGGATTGCTCTCGTGAGGTAGACAGTGCCGCTCGTTCCACTTTCGGCGGGCGTTTGAATCCAGTACGCCGTTCGGTTTTTGAAAGTACGATGTCTGCGCTATGCAGCTTCCCGTTTGAGTTACTGTCCTTCATTGCAGCTTCCACATCCACATTCGCACCATAATTATGGTCCTGCCTTTGCAATGCCTGCTCCTTCTGCGCCAGCTGCTGGTCCGCGGACCGAATCACGTCGCGTAACAGCTGCCGCTTGCTTTTCCCGAAAAACGACTGGGGATCCACTGGCGAGGGGGTGCCGGACTTCGCTCGAGTGGAAGAATGCTCAGAGTCCACGGGCGATGCGGAGGCAGACGACTTTTTGGTGTTCTTAACACGTTGATCCAAGGCTGGTTCTTCTTGATGGACTGCAACAGCCGGCCCTCGTGCCGTTGTTTCGGTAACTCTGCTTTCTGCGCTGCTTCTCCTTCTTGCCATCAAATTACTCGTTGTACCAGCCGCGCCGTCGCCGAACAACTGGCTCTTTGCGCGCGCGGATAGTGGATACTCCTGCTCGAGAGGGCGGAAGCGGTTCGTGCGGCTTTTCGGCTTCGCAGCATCGAGTTTTGGTTCAATTTGGTTCGACTGCTTTTTGGTTGAAGAGCTACTCGTTGCGATCCCGGTCTTCGAAATAACGGGGATCGGGACGAAGCTGGACGCTGTGTGACCTGCAGTTAGAGTTACCTCCTCGATCGATGTCGATTCCGTTCCTGCTGCACCTGCTTCCGACACATCAATGGAAGCGCCTTTAATACTACGCACTTCCTGCCGCGAAGAGGAGGAGGAGCAGGTGGCCTTCTCTTTATTGCTGTATTCGACCAAAGAGAAGTGACTGACTTTTGGCGAGCCAGGCAGCTCTCGCATCTTTGTTACCGCTTCTACTTCTCGTGCAGGATCCGTACAACTAGTCGGGTCGTCGCGAGGGCTTGTCAACGGCGGCACGGCGTTGAGACCCGGGCTGTTCACCATTTTCGCGCCTGAGAAAAACTCCAGGCCGGGGCTTGTAGCATCCTCTTTGTAGTTGTCTTTCGACGCCGGGGTTGTAGCGGATGACCTCTTTGCAGATTTTTCGTGCGACAGCACGTCCTCCCGTTTCTTGTCGAAGGTGTCGGAGTTCTTCGTGTGATGTTCTGGAGCACCAACATGATGATCTGCGACCTGATGATATAACGATGCAGTGAGTTTTAGATTTCTTTTTCTCCGACTACTTTGCAGACCACTTCTTGTTCGCCGTGCTCCAGATTGAAGACATCAGCTGGGCGAATGCAAGTGGAAGTGGGCAGCAGCTGAAACGGAAGCTGAAAATTGTACTAAATTTGAATTTCACGAAAGCATTTTTTTAGTACGCAAAAATGAAAATCAGCTAAAAGGTTCAAAAAGCACAGAGACAGACACAAACTACCTGGTCGTCCTCCAATCTTCCTCCCCCCGCCCCGTAGGAGTAGAAGAAGATCGGCGACAAGTCGTTCTGTTCCCCGGACGAAGCCAGGACTGCGTCGTTAAGCAGGCGCGTACTGGAAGTGTCTATTAACGCGGTCGCTCCCCCCGCCGCCGCCCTACCACCAACAGTTGAAGTCCCGTTCGCGATATAATTGCCGCCTCCGGTCGTCGTGATAGCAGGCGAGAGGAACGACTGCATGTTGTCCTGATCCCGGTCCGGCTCGCTCAGCGCCAAAATCGGGGAGGCTTGGGGCGAGGCGTGGATCGCGAAGAGGTCAGCAGCCGCCGCTGGTTGATGAGCCCCGGCGTGGTTGAGAGCGCCAGAGCTGTTCTTCTCTTGTTCAGAAAGCGATGACGAACTACCCGGCCCGGGCGGCGGCTTGTTCGCGGGTAGTACAGCTACAGCTACGTTGCTAGTACTAGTAGCAGCTGCACTGGTAGAAGAAGTAGCTCTTTTCATGATTGACGACAGAGACGCGGAAGCAGCCCGAAAACCAGCACTGACATTTTGGTCTTCCTGCTGTTTGGTTTCCGCTTCTAGCAGCTCTTGCTGTATTGTTCTCCTCGGCACTGAAGTAGCACGGGCGTCAATAGTCTCGTCGTTTTCATCGTCGCCAACAGCCGAACTTGCAGACGACGAGGATGTGCAGGAAGACGTCCCCGCGGCACTCACTGCACTTTCGCTGGATAATTTCACCTGGCCTCCTCGCGACAACACCACCTCCTCGGGCTTGAGCACTCGACTAAGAAAATCGTGCTCCACAGCGTCGGGGTCTGCCGCCGTCGAGCAGTCCGCCATGTTGACCGGTGCGAGGGCGAGTAGGTTGCTTGGCAATTCTTGTTTCGACGTGGTGTCCGTCGTCGTTGTGAACGGAGCTAGATTTGCAACGTGTTCTATCTTGATGTTCTGGAGGTCGAGATGGGTTGCGGAGGAGCCGGAGCTGTTGTCTAGTTTTTCCGTAGCACTGCTAGACGAGCTATGGTCATGATCTCCTTCGGAAGCTGATGCTGAAGCGTTGTCCATCGTACCATCACTGGCTCGGCGGACGATTTTTGTACAATTTACCTCTCCCGATAAAGATCTTCGGATAGACGACGACATTTGCTCCAGGCTTCCTACTGTGCGGTCAATTTCTTCTCCCCCCTCGGCGGTCAGCATGCTCTCGTGCTGCTCCGCAACGTGCTTGGCGAGAATTGACTGCGCGTTTTCTTTTTCAGCATCTACTTCTGCTGTACCTGTACTTTTGTCCACTAGCATCATTGACCGCTGCGCGGCTTCTTCGTCCTCCGCATCTTCATCCTCTCCATTTGACGCGGAGTCGTCCGAGTAATCAAGCACTGACGCCGAGTTCGCACTTCGATACAGCCGGCTGTAGGACGCGCGTTGCTCAAGGACATGTTCTTGCGACAAAGCAATTTCTGGATCAACTACATGATGGTCATGCTGCTTTTCTTTATCTTTTCCCATTCCATCTTCAAAATGAAATTGCTCGAAGTCGAACCGATGATTTTCTTCTGAAGTAGAGTCTACCAGCTCTGAAAAAACGGAGACGTTGTTTGCCTGGTGACTGCTTGTCGCGTTCGACGGACCGCGAGACCGAGGACCGTGGCGGAAGAAATCAAGCGGCGCACCAGCGTCGTCTTCAACATCAAGATGTTTGTCGTCCTGCTCGTCACCGCCCTGAACCTCTTGGTCGCCTTGTGTGAAAATCGTGTGATAAATTTTCCTCTTGGCCGCCTGCTCGTCGGCTTTCTTGCAGCTAGCCTGAGAAGTACTGTGCGCACGACGAGCTTTGGAGGAGGACTTGGTTGACGCGTGTAATTTGCTTTCCGCTACGGAATTCTGCCCGCCACCCACGTGATCGTCCACACTTCGTAGGAATCGCCGGGCCACACGGGACACCGACTCCTCGACTTTCGCCGCTGCTTCACCGGTATCACCGGAATCGGCACGACGGCGCCCAGGGTGATGTGGTCCTGCTCGCGGTGCACCACGACCACCAGTTCTATTAGCCACAGACGGGGCCACTTGTTGCGCAAGTGAATGCACACTGTGGTCGGCACTCGACAGTAGAAGTGGCGTTTCTACTTGTTGCTCTTTCGACGCTTTATTTTCTCGTGTACTTGCTCTACCTTGTATGGATGTGTCAGGTTTGAAATCGTCAGAGTTGAAATAGTTTGTCATGCATAAAATGGATGCCAGTTGGAGCCCAGTTTTCAAGTGGCCCATGACAAGTTTTGGCGGTACCTAAATCCAGTTTGTAATGCTGTTTGGGTAAAGAAGACGCCTTTTGTCATGCTACTTTAGCAGCTCTATTTCTACCCCTCAACAGGCTTGCAATATGCCTCCCTTGCCTACTCTGCAAGACAGGCGCTCTGTGGGTTGCATTTTATGCATCACAAATTATTTCAACTTTGACGATTTCAATCCTGACGCTTCCATACCTTGTCGTGACGCGACGATGTCGTCCGCGGTGATGCGGGCGGACCGGCGGGTCCGCTATCCACAGTAAATTTCCCGTACACGTACAAATGTGGTTTCTGCATGACAAAACTTGCCTTCAATTCTAGTGCAGCATGACAAGCTGGGCTCTGCAAGGTAGCGAAATTTGTCATGCATTTTGTACATGTACACGAAATTTACATTGCATATCCGCAGGATGTTGCTCCGGCTGCTGGCGTTGGACAAGGCGCTCGGTGTCTCCGGTGCAGCTGCTCGTCGCGAAGACGGGGGTCCTGTTGAAGCAGCGCCTGCTGGTGGTCCAGCACCAGCGGCCATCAGCCGGTGCAGTCGGAGCAGATCGATGTGGGAAGAGCCGTTATTTTCGTCATGGTCCGAAGAGGTGGACTTATTTTTCCGTGATGCTGCACCTGCACCTACGCCCTCTACGCCTGTGGCAACATGTGCGTCTGCATTTTTGTCGGAAAGATCTGCACTCCCTTTCCTGCTTGACAACTTTTTTGCCGGCTTTTTAAAAATCCTCGCACTGTTCGGCATCTTCCCTGGTGCCCTTTTCGAACCTTCTCTACTCGACGAACAGGAGGAGGTGGCTGAAGAGGGCATGATAGTTTGAGCAGCAGCAGTACTCGTTTCCAACGTGTGATCTTCTTTCTCCGCTTTCTTCATCCGCTCGTTTGTCGTCATGCTTCTGGCTGCTTGGCTCAGCAGATGAAAGTTCTTTTTTCCAACCCAGCGGACGGACGGCGGTGGCGCTTCTTGCGGATCCACCTCTCCCTCGTCACCGGATGCAGAGATGGAGCTTGCACCTGATAATTGATCTGGCACTTTAGTTATCCAATCCAAGAAGCGAGCCCATTTGGCGTGCGTCGGCGGCCCTCCCGCAAGCGTTCATCGACGCGAGCCCCGACCCACCGTGGCGGAGCCGCAGCCGAGGAGAACCCCGCACAACGTGCGGATGAACCTCGGAACAGGAGGGTAGGCCGACGAGCGCCAATAAGGCGACAACGCGGAAAAAATGAAATGATGTAGCAAAGAGAAATGGCAATGAGAGACGAAGTAAAGTGTCACAAGCGTGACATCGCAGGTTAGCAAAGCGACGCAGAGCGCACTATTGAAAATTGCCAAAATGGCGAAGCCAAAGCTGGCAAAAAGCGCTTCAAGCGAAGCGGTCACAAGTGTGATTAAGAGCGAAGGCCAAAATAGGCGAAGCCAAAGCTGGCTCAAAATCCCACAAGCGTGGAGTCACAAGTGTGACTGAGAGGCAAAGTTGCCGAATGAGCAAAGCTGCTCGACAGCTGCGGGGGTGGGTGCGCTAAGCCCATACGCGTAGAAATGAAAGAAAACGAAAAGCGTCGTCTTCTCTCACGCGTCCGCTGCCCAGTTCATGCATGTCAGGATTCTGTTAACTAAATAGCTCCCGCACCAAGGCACGAGCCGCACTCACAGGCTCGCTTACTCGCTCCTTGCTGCGTATGCATTTTCTTCGTATTTCTGCGTATGCATTTTCTTCTTCTCGCTCCTTGCGGATCCACCTCTCCCTCGTCACCGGATGCAGAGATAGAGCTTGCACCTGATAATTGATCTGGCACTTTCTTCGTATTTCTATCTTCCGTCCACTTCATTAACTTCATTTCCTCCGCCTCTTGGTGCAGTTTTTGGTTCGCGTTCACCAGGACTTGGATCGTTTTCTGGTGTAGGTGCTTCATGGCTTTGTACTTCGACTTCAGCCGGCAGTAGACCTCGCTCGACACCACGGTAGAAGACGCGGAGCCGGACCCGACACTTGGAGTTGTGTTTATCAAATTTTTGCCGTGGTGGTAGTTCATCTTGCTCCTGCTTCCGCTCGGCGTCGCACTTTCCCCCAGATCCATTTGCAAATCGGCAGCGGAAGAAACTTTGCTGCTGCTGCTGCCGCCGCTCCCGGGAGGTGCAGCTGCTGTGTTTTGAAGAAGCAAACCGTTTTTGCGGAGCAGGTCCTTTTCCAAACTGTCCTGCGCGGAAATTCTCACATTTCCATCATTTGTTGTGTTCACGCCGTGCAAAAGATGGGGCTCGTGGAGGAAACGGCGACCGCTGGCATTGTTTCTATGTTTCCCCAAAGAGGAGCTGGACCCGGAAGCTGCACCATCTTCACTCGCCAATCCTGCGTGGAGGTCCTCCTCCGCTTCCAGAGCCAGTCTTGCAACAGCGTCCTCGTCTTCAAACGCATCCATAAAAGCGGGCTCGATTAACATACCCGTGCCACTGCTCATCTCCGCCTCCCCCTCGCGTTGCCCGGGTGCCCCGCCGCCGCGGCCGGATACAACTCTAGGATCGTAATCGTCCACCAGCACAGCCCGGTCGTAGTGCTCTTTCAGCGTTTCCCGTAAGCTCTCCTTGCTTTCCTTCGAAGCGAATGCGCCTCCCTCCTGAAACCCGTTGCCGTCCAAGGCAAAGATCCGCAGTTCGCCGGTTTCTTTCGAGCTGGCTTTGAGAAAGGTCTGTTTTCGCTTCTGCTTAATTGTCTTGCAATCCACCGCCATCTGCAGCGTCGACGTGGTGTAGCACAGGGAATGGAGCAGCGGGTTGACGCAGAAAATCAGGAAAATCCCGCAGCTGGGCTGCACAAAGTCAAACAGGGCCTTGTTCAAGACGCTCTGCCGCTTGTCGGCCTCGTTCAGCTTCCCCTTCTGCATCTGGCGGAGTAACCGTGTGAGCGTGCTCAGCGAGGTGTTGAGAATGTTGCGAGACGATTTTTGACTCGTCGAAAGTGCAGCAGAAGCTAAATCCTCTTGCTCCGGGAAGGCTGTAGAAGTGCAACTACCAGGAAGGACAGAAGATCCAGATCCTGGTAGGCCAACTTGTTGACCACCTCCAGCTGCTGTCAACAGAAGTCCCGGCGGGGCACTCGCAGCGGAAAATTCGCGCTCAGAGCCCGCCAAGTCCACGAGCGTGAGGGTGCCTTTGGTTCTCACGTTTTCCCGGCGATGCTTTCGGTCCGCACTTATCTGCAGAATGCAGTGGCTACGCGACGACCGCATGTTCATCGAGGAGGCTCCAGATTTGCGATTGGTCACCTGCAGCAACATTGAGTTTCAAGGTGGTGGTATTTTGTCCTAGTACGAAGGTGTAGTATTTTCGGGGGGTTCGTCAAAACTCCTGCTTTTGATGTCGTCACCATGCAACTTCTAATCTACCACAGCCAACTTATCCTTGAGCACAGATATCAAAAAAATAAAAAAACTTGAACTTCTTACGGCATGCTCCAGCAGATCCAGACATTCCAGCGCGGTGCGACAGCGTGCCACTTTATACGAAAACCGATTCGTTTTCAAGAAGATTTGCTCTGTCCGGAACGCGCCCTGTTGTTGTCCACCACCCCCGGCGGCCGACGTGGCACCGCCACCACGAGCTGCACCTCTTCTTGGCGGTGGAGAAAACGCTTCCAGAACTTGCTCTGGCAGCAAATCGGTCAGGGTGTCGCCGAAAATCTCGAAGCATTTCACCTCGAGAAAATCCACCGACGCGGAGGCGGCCAGGGCGTTTTATCAAAAGGAAAAATTCTCCCTCCCCATATCAAAAAGGTACTTCTCAGAAAATTTGTAATGCTGATTTGTGACCCCAAATCTTTTTTGTCTTGCAAGAAGGCAACTCTACGGTCTCCGCCGCATTATGCGGACGGTTTGTGATGCTGCTTGGGCTACAGCATAGACATTTGTGATGCTAAGCGTCCACGTCAGAAGCTCTGCACTCAGGCGCGGCATATGCCTGCAATGCTCTACTGCAAGACAGCTCTGTCTTGTGTACGGAAATCCAGCATCAGAAACTTCGTTTTGATGTGGGGAGGGGGGATTTTTCTTCTTGGTACGTTTTTGTAGTTGAACAGACTGCGGACGAAGTGGTGACTCAAGCCCGGTTATCCTGTGCAAAAGTATCGCACTCGTACTAATTGCAGATATGCATGACAAATCCAACTTTCTACCTGAAATAGCATGACAAATTGCATTTTTGTTCTTGGGAAAATTTGCAATGCAATTTATACTAGTACGATAGTTTTGCAATGCATACCGGTTCCTGCTCCGACCCAAACACCGAATGGGTTTTTCCGGACGAGGTTTGCCCGTAGCAAAAAATGGTCTCGTTAATGCCCTGGAACACGTTGCAGGTAATGGTGTCCAAATCTTGATCCGGATTTTCATCATTTTGCGAAGAAGGAGGTTTTGCTTGTGGGGCGTCATCTGCGAGTTGATTGTCTTGTCGCGATGAGCAAGGTCCTTCCTGCTGTAGTTCGTCCTCGCCGTCTTGATCTATTTTTTTCTCGATTACGACCTTTTTCCGACTGTTCAGCGCGTCAAACAATGCTTTGTTATCATCCTGCGGCGCCAGTACCGTTGGAAAACGGTACTCTTCCAGAACCGTTCCCCGGTCGAAGAAAAGGCGGTCCTTTTTGGTGCAATTACTCGGGCACCAACAAATCACCTCGTCTTTTGGCGGATTTTTTGTCGTGCTGGACGTGTTCACTTCCACTGGGCGAATCCGGACAAAAACCGAGTTCGAATTCATTCTCGGGATGATGAACCAAGCCAGGTGGTCAGCGGGGGACAACGCTCAACTCTTGGACGTCGAGAAAAATGATGAAGAAAAGAAAAGTTTTTAGTTTTAAAATTTTTATGACTGACTTTTTAAACAAATCAGCATCGTACTACCTAATATCCGGAAAAAAAAACGCCAAATACCCTGGTCAGTGCTGTCACTGCATCTTCTCCGACTTAGACTTACGTCTTGCTTTGTCGACCTGGGTGTACACAAACTACTCTGATGAAAATTTTTTGAGTTGTGGATCTTCAAATGTCGAGCCGAATGGAAGTCAACGCTTCGAGAAGAAACATAAACAAACGAAAAGAAAAAGTTGATAATGCCATCGCTCCACCGCTGCCTCTCACTCTCAAGCAGGTCACATTTGAACCGTCACGTCTTCAATAATACCTACGCACACTTTGTTCGTCTTCGTCACAGACACTCTCTTACCAAATAGGCCTTGTCCGCTCTCGCACAGAAGCTGCGCAGCAGCAGGCTGCAGCGCAAAGGAAAAGCGACGCCGACAAAAAGCGACAAACAGAAACAACACCGAATGCATGACCACGTATCGGCTAACGACAAAGAGAAATGAAACGGCGCAACAGAAAGCGTAAGCGTTCATATAATTCCTCGGGTGAATGCTTGGTACTACAGTTCCGCGCTTTCTATTTGCTTTTTCATCCTTTGTTTACACTCTCCTGCGGACGACCACGCGATTCCAAGCTCCACTTACGCCGAAAATGAACCAAGGGGTTCGTTGGGGGCTCAACCTCCCGCAATGAAGAGTTCTTCAACATTTCGTATATTCATTTCATTGTCGTTGCGCGTTATTCAAATGATCACTTGCAAAAACTACTGTTCCGTTGAAAAATTCGTATACTCATGCCATAATCGTGGAAAGAGGACTCGTAGCGTTTCAGAGACCTGCTTCGCAGGGGCGGCAACACCAACACTGAAGTGCATTTATAAATTTTCTACTGAAACGTCTACGTTCCGAGCACTTGCACTCCCCACAGTTGTACATTTTATTTCACGTGATGATGATGCAAAATGAATGAAACCACGACGACGAGGACCAATAGGTGGCACCATCTTCAAGCGCCGCAAATAAAACTCCAAATCCACCTCATCATCTATGCGATGTCGGTTCCCGCGGCGCCCCAGCTCTCGGCGGTTCGGTCGCCCAAGATCCACTTGGCGTACCGCTCCATGGTGTCGGCCTCGGTGGACATTTGCTGCGCGCCCTTCTTCAGGATTCGGTTCAGTGCGTCGTCATCCTCGAACAAAGCCTGTCCGTGCGTGGTCAGTCCTCGACGCGCCGCACGACCCACGTACTGCAACATCCCGGACACGGAGGTGCTGTTCGCGAAGCTGCTGGTGACCACCACGGTGGAGGCGGGCAAGTTCGCACCCCACGTGAACTCCTTACCCGCGGTGACGCAGGAGAGTTTGTTGGTCAGCATCTTGTCGTGCACAAACTGGGTGTACACGGGTTGGGCCGGGTCCTTGTCCAGAACCGGGTCGAAGGCCCCCGCGCCGGAGAGCGCGAGCATCTTCCACTTGTCATCCACCGGAAGGGTCTGAATGGTCTTGTAGTCGCCCACGGTGGGCACCATTCGCGGGTACATCAGCGTCTCCTTCTTCGCTTTCGGGCACCATCTTTTCAAAAACTGCTCCGTGTGCAGGACCAAAGAACTGTCGAATTTGATCTGCTGGCTGTCGTTGCTGAAAAATTCTACCTGCGGGTCGTCTGACTGCTGCTTTTCCGCGATCTTGTTCTGCTTTTTGGTCTCCGCATCCATCTCCTCAACAGCGTTGTCCAGGTCTTTTGCCTTTGGCATCTGCTCGATCAGCTTCGCTGCCATCACTTCCAGAATGTCCGCGGGTTTGTCTGTCGTGGTAGCATTTTTTCGGTGTAAAGTAAAATGCCAATTACAGACGAACTCATGCAAGAAGTTGTACTAGCACGACTAGGCACTCGTCATGATTATGATACTACAGCAACCAAGCCCCCGTAGCCGGAGATGACCACAAAAAGTAACCGATACTTAAAATGATCTTCAAAAAAATGAATCAATAGATCTGATCATATATTACCATCCGCGACCAGCGTGACTCCCGGGAACGCGTGTGCGTTTGAGAACAAGAGCTCGCTGACGTCGTAGCTCGGGAATTGTGCCGCCTCCTGTTCGGTTTCCTTTACCTCCCCGGAAAATTCCTCGGACAGCGTGATCGCGCAGAATTCTTTCGCGAAGCGGTCGTCCCCGGTCTTCGCTACACTTGTCAGCAGGTCCATGGCGTATTCGCGGATGGTTTCCGGTTTCAGCTGCGACAGGTCCTTAAACCGCTCCGCCGGCCTTTGCGGGGGCGCCCAGTTCGCCGGGGCGACCTTGCACGCCTCCAGCACGCGCCATCGCACGAGCAACTGCGACAGCGCGCGCTCCGTGTACGCCTTGAGCGTAAGGGGGTCCCCGGGGAGGCGGTCCGCCAGCGCTTGGAGCTGGGCGGAGGTCTCGCACAATTCGTGGGGAAACGCGATCCTCCCGCTGGGCCGGACCAGGACCACACCGCGGTCCAGCTGCGTGGAGAAGCACTCGCGGACGCACTTCTTCGGGTCCGCGTCAAATTTCTTGCAAAAGGTGTCCACGATGGAAGGGAGCTGGTAGGACCGGGGCATGGTCGCGGACATCAGGATCGTCTTGTACATGGGGTTCAGCATCGCCTGTACCATGTTCATCGCCATCGGGTTGTCCTCGGGGGTGGAGGGGACCTGCATGTGCATTGATTTTTCATCGTTTATGTTGAGAAGTTTAAGAAGTAATAATTGCGTTTATGCATCACAGATCTCTTCTTTAAGGCAAATGCGCATTACGAATTTTGTATAGCTATAGTTTACCTTATCACTTCCCATGGGGGGTTCGTCGATGACCATGATCGTTTTTCTGCTGTCCAACTGCTCAATGATCCAACTACTGGACATGATGTCGCACACCAGCCAAATCCTGGGCATGCGCTTGAAGTCCAAGGCCGCTCGCTTTCGCTTGACCATTTTTAACCGGTTGGCCTTCCGCTCCAGATTCATCTGGATCACGGTTTCTCGGAGCGACTGCACCGCCCGTTTGTCCTCGACGTCCACATGATGCCCGAGTTTACGCCCGCAACTGAACGCGGGGGTGATGCGCTTATTCTTCACCAGGGCATAGGGGAGACCCAGGGAGGTGGCAACCTGTTGTATTCATGTTACAATTAAATTTATGTACGTGGTGTGACATCATCAAGTTGTTCAGGGTACAGGAACCGGCGCGCACCGGGATACTAGTCAACTGAACATACTGCAAGACCTCTTCTTCAAAATTCAAAACTGAAACTGATTCCTTACCTGTCCCACACCGAGCACGACGGGGAGCGCGGCACAGATAAAGACGAGCGTGTGGTCCGGAAATAAGTTCAGCAGGTGCGGTATGCATTGCAAAATTATCGCACTAGTATAAATTGCATATACAAATTTTCCTAAGAACAAAAATGCAATTTGTCATGCTATTCCAGGTAGAAAGTTGGATTTGTCATGCATATCTGCAATTCATACGACTACAATACTTTTGCAATGCATATGCGGCACCACGGCCGTCTTCCCTGTACCGGGCGGCGCGATACCCCAGACGAGCTGTGGGCCTTCCGTGAGGATCGCGTCGGATATGAGAGTGCACAACTCCCCGCCTCCCCCTTACTTGTATTGCATGAACAGCAATACAAACACCGCCACACTTGGAGCATCTGCATACGCCGTGTTCATGCGCCTAGTGTAGTACTGTTTGGGATTCCGGAATCTGTGATGCCAACAGTGCCACAGGAAAGCACTTGGATTTGGGTTTTTGCATGACAAATGAGGGGGAGGGGGAGTTGTGCACTCTCATATCGGACATTTGCTCCTGGATTCTGAAGGGCTGGAAGGAGGTTCTTCCCACGTGCTTCTTTGCGAACCAGCTGCCGGCGAGCAAGTGGGCGCCGTTCTTCATGTACCACTCCAGGTCGAATTTCAGGCCGCAGGAACCGGCCTGCAGTCTCTCCTGCAGGGCAAGCGCGTCGCGGATGGGGAGGCACTCCGCAATTTCGTCCGGCTGGAAGAAAAAGGAAAACTGTTTCCTGACCATGTTGATGGAATCTGCGAGGGACTGCATCTGATCGTAATACGCGATCATGTCCGGTGTCTCCTTCTTTTTGCGAAACCGGTACTCCATGGCGAGGCCCTGGATTTTTCAATTGCATAAGATCATGCGTTGTTGGCGGAGACGGAGAACGACGTGCGTATGCGTAATTTTCAAGGCCATCATAGATTGATATCACTGCATCTGATAATCCTTCTGTGTCTACTTTGTTGATGTTCAGCATGATCTTCTACAAAAATACGATCAGACGTTCCGCAGCAGCATTACACAACTTCTAAACCTCCACAAATTTACTTTGCGGCAAAGCTGTACCTTGTAGAGCACTTGTGCCAGCTGGAAGTCCCAGGGGCTGTTTGAGGGGATGTCTTTGTCCCCGATCAAATTTGCCCAGCCCGCGTTCTGCTTTGCTTTGCCCTCCCCAAAAACCATGGCTTTGATCAAATTTGACGCCTGCAACTTCTCTTTCGCGTTCAGCGTGACGGCCGGTTTCTTTTTCTTTGCGTCCTTCTTGTTGTCCTTCTTATCGTCCTTGGAGTTGGACTTTTCCTCCTTTTTGCTCTTCTTGTCGTCCTTCTTGTCCTTTTTGTCATCCTTCTTGTCCTTCTTGTCCTTTTTGCTATCCTGATTTTTTTTGGTTTTGATACTGTAGAAGATCATAGTAGCTTCGTGCGATGTAGTGAACAACAAGTTGCGAACGACAACGCGTACATTTGCAAGAATCTCGTCGCTGAATCATCTTCCGTCAAACAAGTGCAGGTAGTTTACCTTTACTTAAGACCACAAAGGCTATAAATACGAAGCAAAAAACGATGTGAAAGTCATGAATTTGCCGGAGCGCAGCTCTTCGACAACAACATAAGTGAGCACGTAATACCTTGTCCTTCTTGACTTGGTCCGCCGGGATAAACTCGGCGAGAATGTCGTGCACATCCTGCACGCCCTCGACTACTTTTTCCAGATCACCTTCGGCAAAGTCCTCCACGTTTCCCTTGGATTCCTCTAGTCGGTTTCGCATATCAAATGCAAAAATGTCTGGGTCTGGAAACTTGTGATGCTGAATTGCGCATGGTTGAAGCGCTTCCAATGGCAGCCAAGCATGACAAATTTGAGAGGCCTGCTGATGCCTAGCACGCATTACAAATACAAATTGCGTTTTTGCATGACAAAGAAAGCCTCTGTTGTGCTGCTCATGCAACACAGATTTTCCGGGAATGCATGACACGCATTACAAGTTCCACTTTTCCAGACCCAGGCATTTTTGCATTTGATATCGCACTACGTGGCACCAGAGCCAGTTGGTGAAGTTGTACGGGTTGAAGCTCTGCTTCCACGAAAGCTTGGACTCCTGGAATGCCAGGTTCACTTGCGACCAGTTTTTCTCTTCCACCTCCTGCTGCTGGGCCGGGGTGGCTTGGGCTTTGCCCTTGTTGGATATGAATTGCAAAAATGTCTGGGTCTGGAAGATTGCAACTTGTCATGGTAAATCTGAAGCATGCAAAAATCTGTGTTGCATGAGTGCCAAAAGCTGTCCACTTTTGACCAAGTTGGAACGGAGTTTCTCATGCAGAATAGGCATGGCAGACACCTCGCAGAGTCTGTCATGCAAAGTCCCGCATTCCAGACCTCATGGGCCATGGAAAATCTGCATGACAAATCTACAGTCTTCCAGACCCAGACATTTTTACACTTGATATTGGACGCCGGCGTACCATCCTCGTCGTCGGACTCGTCTATCCTGGTTAAAAACGTCCCCACACCAGAGTCAAGATGGGAAATCTGCTAGACAAATCAACCAGCTTTGGGTGTTTGGCATGACAAGTTTGGCCCCGTAGTGTAATCCTGTTGCACTAGCTCCAGCAGCATCACTGACCTAGAATATAATGCTGGTTCTAGCATCACAAATTCCAAAATACGACCAGAAAATGCTTCTCATGGGGCTCCGCATCAGAAACTTTTTTGGCATGCAGATTTACATGACAACTCTGGGGTGGGGACGTTTTTACTCAAAATATCGTCATCGTCGTCCTCATCCTCCTCCGCCTGCTTGGCGCGGATACCTAAAGTTCGATTAATCCTGGGCATAGCGCAACGAACAGTAAAGTGGAACAAACTACTTAGCACTTTTTTCTTCTATGCAAACTACTTGTTATTTGTACTTCACAGTTCACGTCGTCAACATCATGCAGTTGCAGTTCCAGCATGATCAGCAATCGACTCATCTTTCGATTTTTGCATAGTCGAGGTGCTGGTAAAAAAAATTCAATACCAAGGACTCTCGCCCGGTCCGCGAGCCACTTTTGCAGGCTTAAGTGAGTGTTTTTTGTCTGGGCCTCCAGTGGGACTTCCATGGACTTCCATTCCATTTCGGTATCCTGTGCAAAAGTATCGTACTCGTACTAATTGCAAATGTGCATTACAAAGGTTTTTCCTAAGGGAAAACAGCATTACAAATTCCACTTTCCCTCTTGCCAAAATTTGTGATGCAATTTATACTAGTACGATGCTTTATTTGCAATGCATATTCGGACAGCGATGACACATTTTGCTGCGGAGCCGCGGCGCCCGCGCCCGCATCCTCGGCGCCCACCTTGGGGGCCGCAGGGGCTATCAAATGTAAAAGTGTCTGGGTCTGGAAGATTGCCAGGTTTGTCATGCACATTTTGCATGACTCCTGACGTCTGTGATGCATGCCCTAGCATCACAGATTTTGTGAGGGCTTCCTGATGCCTATACCGCATGACAAATGCTCTTTCCGTGTAGCAAAACTTGGAGACTCTCTTTGCTGCTCATGCAATACAGAGTTTTTTAGAATCCAAAATCAGCATGACAAGTTGGATTCTTCCAGACCCAGACATTTTTACAATCCATAGGGGCCGTCGCCCCACCGTTCGCTGTCGCCATTTAGCTAATTTCTGGTGAGTGAATCGATTGTAATTATTGCTCTATCGGTAAATGGTGTCGAAATTATTCACACTTTTTTCAATTTTCTCTTGCTTACTCGTACTGGATTTGGTTTTTTTGGTCGTATCAGGGTAAAAAAGTGGACAATAAAGAAATAGTGAGAAAAAATGCTACTTCAGATGCGGAGGGGATATCTACGTAGGGATCTTCTTCGAGTCGCATGAAAAAACAGCCAGCACCTCCTCCACATTAAAAAGATCGAAAATTAGTTATAGGAAAGATTTGATTTTTCAATTTGTCTACTAGGTAGTTGAACCTTAAATAGAAGAGCTGGCGCTACTTGATGCAAGCTGATGCACCCTTGCATTTGCAGAGGGTGATGAACCAGATCTTGAGGCTCTTTCGCATCTGGATCTGATCGTAATTGATTCGCGTTTGCCATATCTACATACAGGACATGATCTTTTGTTCATTTTCTGGCTGGCCTAGAAGTCTGGCTCGTGCCGAAAACATTCATACTAGTAAAGATGTAGCGAGATCCACAGCAGCGACAAAAGAGTAGCTGAAAAAATTCTACTTGAATCGCGAACTTTCTGTGGAAGGACTCACAAGATGCTATTGCGATGGCTACTTGACCTGCTGCAAGCACAATAAAAAGGCTCGAGGGTCAGGAAATGCATCGCGGACAGACTAACACTGAGCCAGTGTTCCTTCTTGACGCGAGGAAGGATCCGTCTACTCATCTTCCCTGCACGTACTCCTTTGCCTTTGGTAAAGACATGATGGTGTTGACCTTGAGTGACTTAACAAGTACGTTCCGGCGCAGCGTGATTGAATCTTGAGAACAGCTTCTGCCGGGGTAAGGAATCAATTAAGCCCGGGTGGAAGAATCATCCACACGATTACGAAATTAAGGGCGGAGTAGGGGACTCGGACTCGTCCTCGCCTGGAAATTATAATCGCCTAGAAAACATCATCTCAATGCATGTTGGTCCATGGTCCTGCGTTTCTTCAATAATGCGGAAAGCTCTCGTGTTTCGTCTCCGGATGGACAACGATGATGACACCAACAAAATTTCATCGATAATTTTCAGAAGGCACTGCAATTTCTATATTAAATCCTTGTTCCGTGACATTGCTAAGGCCGCGAAAAAAACGTGCCTTATTGACTTTGTATGAGTGTTAAATGCCTTGCGTTTCGGTTTCGCTTGTCTGCAGCACCAAATAAGGCGGAGAATGATCCATCTGCGTGATTAATACGTAAATCAGAAATTGAAATCTCCTTCTACCCTCAATCGTGAGGATAAAAGAGGGGCTCCGGCGCACAGTACAGCTTGTAGTAGTAGACTCTTATATCTATTTTGCCAGCGAGCGCTAGGAAAGCCATCGAATTTCACTTGCAGTTTTTGGCAACCTGCTTGGCTCATTCGGCGGCCTTTTTGCGCCGCAACAATGGACCCTTGTGCTTCTCCGAAAAGAAACTACACACCGAAACACGCTTCTCCGCCATTCTCACCGCGGATGCAGTGGCGAGGGTTGTGGTAGCAGGGGGCGCGAGAAGCGGAAGTTCGGTCCTGGTAGTTTCGTCGAAAGCAGGCCGGAGTGTGGGTTCAGTGCCGTACCGACACCGGCTCCTGCCCCACCACCGTCCAGGGGCGAAACGACCACACCCGCTCCGACTCGGGTCCCCGACACCCCTCTTGTTGACCAGTGCGGTTGTACCATCGAGTTACCGTTCGGAGGTGCCACCGTCGGACTGAGACCGGCTCGCTTCCACTTCCGTTCACTCGGATGAAACGTGCTACTGCTCCGTTGTTGAAAATCTGCGCTCGAAGTAGATGTCGGACCACCTGGTGCTCCTCCACCTGCATGGTTTAGCTTCAAAGCGCTCGTGAGCGGATCGGGAGAGCGCGACCGGTAAAACATCTTCTTCGTAGCGGAAGATGGTGCTGGTGGTGCTCCTGGGGCAGTGGTAGTAGTTCCAAAACCTGTCTTGAATATTTCATTTTCTTGCACGTTATCAGTATCCTTTGCGGAGCCCATGCTCAGCGCGGTATTGACCACCGTTCCTTGCCCCGAACTGTCTACCGGGGCTGCGCGGCCCGTGCCGCCGTTATTGGAGCTGCTAGAAGAACCTGTTACAGCACAACCCTCGTGGTCTGTTACTGTAGTGCTCGATGACGGTTCTTGCATCAGATCTACAGCTCCCGCGCCGGCTGCAGCTCCGGGTGGAGGTCCTCCTGTCGTGGGCGAATGCTTGCTGAGGTAGATCCCTCCTGACTGCAGCAAGCTGCTCCCAATGTAATTGCCAGTCTGGTTGGCGAAAGAGCTCCCCGCCGGGGGGGCGCCCCCGGTTACAGGAGCTCCCGCCGGTGATGGCATTTTATTGTTGCCCCCGCGGGGATTAAGTTGGAAGCTGTTCCTTAAATTTTTACTGGAACAACTCTGCATCTGGTGTACCGCAGAGGACGACGCTGCGCGGACGACGTTCTGGTTTACTTTGTGTAACTGCTGCTGCGTGGTCGCAAACAGTGGATTTCGCGCAGTCGTTCCCCCGCCAGAGGACGCGATCGAGTCCTCCGGTGAGCTCGCCGTTGCGTGCACGCCAGACGCAGACCGCTTTGAACTGTCTGGAGGTGTGCTGCCTAGCAGCTGCTGGTGATGGCCACTGAGATTTTGGTGCTGGAGTTGTAGAAGACTAGTACCAGGTTTATTGTTGCTCTTACTACCAGTCGTTCCACCGGGAGTGCTTTGGCGGCTGATGCTGCTCCTCAGGGGCGGTGCTGCCGCAGGACCACTGGAAGAAGAAGAAGAAGATGAACCGGCAGTCGTTGCAGCTCCGGTCGACAACCGATTGGGGTTAAGTAGAACGGAAGGTGCGACGAGATGCTGCTGCTGCTGCTGTTGCTGCTGTCCTGCTCCACCGAACGGCATCAGGCTTGCTGCACTGCTTCCAGAAGGAGGTACAAGTGGTCCACCTGCTCCTCCTGCGGTTGCACCAGTAGGAGAACCAGAACCTCCACCAGCACCTCCGTTCAGACCACTGCACGGAGCGGTTGTAGTGTTCACCGGGGAGCGAAAGCCGATTGGAGTGGTGGTAGTCTTCACCAACTTCAAAACCGTGTTGGAGTTCTTACCCAGTGCTCCTGTGGACGACGAGGAGGAGCTCGAGTTCGACGAGCAGGTGGCATCAACTTCGACGGCACCCTTGTTGTTCTGCTGGTGCTGCAACATCACCTCTCCCCCCGCCACCGCATTCTGCGCAGACGTGAAGACCCGGGGCACAGAGCCGCGCTGCGCGGTGGATTGATGTCGATCAACCGAAATGGAGGGAACCAGTTGCAGCGTGCCGCCTTGAAGGTGGTCTCCTGGCACGGCGCCACCGCCACTTGACAGCCCGGGGAAAGCTGCTGGGCCGCCCGTGCTGGGGAGAACTGCAGAGAGATGTTGAGCGTTTTGGTTTTCTGGCAGTAGGTACTTACAGTGATCAAATTCGTGACGTCGACTCTTGTGGTGAAGACCACTCAATCGCTGCTCACCAGTCCGTCTACCCTCACTCTACATGCTTCTGCTTGTACTTAGACTTACTTACATGATGATGTGGATGAAAAGAAAACCGTAGTGAGTCTTCAGCAAACATCAATCATAATACTGTTCATCGGCGGCACGATGTGCGAGGGATCCAATTTCTGGAGGATTAAATGCAGCTCGCGCTTCAAAAACTCCGCTTCCCGCTGCATCGGCTCCGGCTGCGGGGGAGCGGCGCTGGTGACTAGGCCGCTCGGCTGGTAGCTGATACAAGACCAACAAAGAGGTTCAATGTAGTAAGATTTCATAGTAATACAAAGCCATTTGCATCTGCTCTTTTGATAGTGTTACAGTTACAACTACATGACAGCATGGTTGTCGCGAACGTCAAAGAGTTGGTGGTCTTCAGGCTTGTTCGTGCTTGTGTTGTTTCCATTCTAATAGATGCCTCCTCTTGAAGATAAGTAGTACCTATCCAACTTGGTTTTGACATCGCTGATGAAGCTGGTGCTGTTGTCCACAGCTCGACGGAGCTCCTCCACGCGCTGGCGCTTGGTTTCTGCTTCGCGCCCCAAGGCCGCGCGCTCGTCGCGAAGAACTGAGATTAATATGAGAATGAGAGACGAGATCACTGTTGCTGTATCTGCTCTGTATTTCTCAAAAACAACGATTTGTTTTCCTAAAAGACAGCATTTGAAAACTTTTCATCTCACCTGCGAGTTCCTCTTCGAGCACCTTATTGCGGCTCTGCGCGGCCTCGTGGCTCTCTTCCAGCTCCTTGATGTGCACGGCGTAACCTGAAAAATGATGCTGGTTCGGATAGGATTGGGATTGCACACTCGTATTTTCACACAATTCGTTTCTGCTACTTACTTCATCCGCACATGCCCGCAAGAATGGTCGTGGTCGTGCCACGCAACGCTAGAGGTGCATTTGCTTTTGCTTCTTGCTGTTCTACTTCCAGCATCCTTATTTCATTTTCACGAGAGCGTGACCACAAACTCAAACCAACGACAAGGACAACGTGCTCTGGTCAGCAAGGTCTTCACTTATTGCGCCTTTAAATAGAAGTAGAACTTACCCTGTTTCTCCTCGCGCAACGTCTGCTCTGCTTCTGCCAGTTCCTTTCGAAAGCTGCAGTTACTCGCGATGATTTATCCTGTGGAAAAGTATCGTACATACTCGCATTGCAGTCATGCATTACAGATTTTTTTCTTGAGGCAAATCAGCATTAGAAATTTTGTTTCTCATGCTGAGGAAATTTGTAAATGAAAATGCATTCATACGAGTACGGTGAATACTTTTGCATTCCATATGATTTTCCACTGCGCGAAAATCGCCATGACCGCCACGCGGTCGGTCGTGCGAAAGATGCGGGCGTACCGGTGCTCCAGGTTCTGCAGCAACGACGTCCTCAGACGCTTGTTTTCGACGGAGACCTTCTCGATCTCCTTCTGGATGTCGTGCACATACTGCGCCAACTCGAGCGCGCGGCTACGTGCATTATCCGAGGATTTCGCGCTATTGCTACTGAGTGTAGCAGGAGCGGGCGATGCTGAGGACGACGAAGATGACATTGCACCAGCTGCCGATAGACCGGCACCAGAACCAGTACCTGCGGAAGGCACTGGACCAGCGGAGGAGGCTGAGGAAGACGGTGCAGGAGCGGGGGCCATTTTTATTCAGCTTTTTTCTGGCTTCCGAACTTGACGCACGACACTGACGCAACACAGAGGAAAGCGAAAGCCCGGTGATGCAACGCTCATACAAGTGAATGTGGTAGTGTTCTTTTTTCGAACACCACACGAGAAGAATCAACACACTCCGGTTCTTGCGGTAATTGCCTGCTGTGGACAGCTAGAAGACACGATGGACATGATCCAACTGAAGGTGAAGCCGAAGCCGTGTTTTGCGAGTAGAAGGTTTGCTGACATGATACGAAGACAGACAGTACCGCCACTCACCACCACTTGGTCCGTCCACCGCGAACACATGGCCATGCTCACGTTACAACTGAGCACATAAAATAACAAGAAGACGAGCCGAATAGGGGTGGTCGAGGCGTCGTGTGTGCCTCGACACGACCTGTTAGCCTTAGCATCGTTGATACCTTTAGGTCTTTTGTGTAGTAGTTTTCGATCCAACTTATTTGTGCAAGAATGCGATCCGGTGTGTGTCAAGATGTGAGGTACAAATAAAATGTAGTCCATGTGTTGAACTTGGTATACAGACAGTCCGAGCTCGGCCCCTCCCAAGGAGATGACAATGCATGAAAATGAATGTTGAAGATGAACTTATCATCGCAAAATGAAAATGGTAAAACGCAAATGCTTTATGCTTTTATGCTATGCAAGGTTTAGAGGATAAAGAACGTGAGGTCCGTTATTGCAGACGTACCTCTGACTCAATCGTAGATACATTTTTGAAGGATGGAAGCAGCTAGTAAATGCATAGTAGACCACAAAGGCAACAAGTCGTCGAGACGAACTTCCTCTTTGGGCAACGGCAAGTCAGTGAAACAAATGTAGAAAATGGAAATAGACAACAAACACAATAGAGAAAGAAAGTAGATGAACAATGATACATCGTAAAAGATAAAACAAGAGCTCGCTTCGGTGACATCTGCGTACTTACAATCTGAACCTGGGAAACTCTGAGACAAACTACGGCACAGCCTTGTGCTTCTGAAAAGAAGAATTTCTGATATATTGCAGCAGCACTGCTCCCCGAGCCAGTCCCTGCCTACAGATATCCCCATCCGATCGTAAAGGCCCCCGACATCGAGGCCGTTCTCAATATCGCAGGAAAAAGCGCTAACGTTGACGGAATTTTCGATGCAGTTACCCATCAACATGATAAACTAACATGCAGAACCAACCTTCAATTTATGTTGCATAGCATGCGTGCTCGCAAAAATTTAGCTGTCACGCATTACTGCGATCTGTCACGGTCTCTGTGAAAGGCATTAACATTTATTAGCACTTTTCCTGTTGATACCCAGCGTGACGAAGACAAAGTTGACAAGTAGAAACCGGAAGGCCGAGTTCTGCAGGACCCTCTCGCCGCTGCGCAGCGCGGAGCTGGTGCGCAGGCGCAGTGGTGGCGGCGTGGTGGTTATCAAATGCAAAAGCGTCTGGGTCTGGAACATTCTAAACTTGTGATGCTGTCTCTGGATTCTGAAAAAAATTGTGTTGCATGACCAGCAAGAGCAAGAGGACTCTAGGTAGTTCGTGCTACGCGGAAAGGGTATTTCTCACGCTGCAGAGGTATCACAAAGCGCTCTAAAAATCTGTGATGCTACGGCATGCATCACAGACATCACGGGTCATCGAAAATATGCATGACAAATCTAGAAATCTTCCAGACCCAGACACTTTTGCATTTGATAGTGGTGGCAAAGGTCTGATTCCGGTAGTAGTACAAATCGATGATGTTCAAAACTCCGTCCGTCCTCGCCAGCCCCGTCGGCGGGAGAAAGGGCGGCAGCTTGTATACGTTGCAATTCGTCGTTGCCGTGACCCCCTTCTCGCGAATCAAAAACTCGAAGATGTTGGCGTTGAAGGTCATCGCGCGCTCCGCACACACCGCCGGGTCGTCTTCGCGCCCGCGGTAAACCAAAATCGTGTCGGGGTTCATGTTATGCATCGCAAAAGTATCGCATTCGTACTAAATTGCTTTTATGCATGACAAATCGACTTCCTAACCTAAAAAGCACTACAAATTGAAATTCCGTTTTTCAAGCTGAGGGAATTTGTCAAGCGATTTCTCCTAGAAGCGCGATTCTTTTGCAATGCGTACATGTCCGCGGCGGCGGCCATCTCGCGCGCGTCGGGGAGGTGCACCTGGTAATTCCCCAGCTGCACGAAATCGGTCAGCGCGCCCGTTTTCACAAACACGCAGCTACCCTCGGTCGTCTCCCCGAGCGGGCGGTCCCGCCGGCACAACCGGATGCTGCTGTACAGCGGCCGCATGCTGAACTGCAGCGTCGCGGGGTAGGCCGGCAGCGTGGCGGGGAGCACGTTCTCGATTTCCTGGGTGGTGATAGCACCGGTCGACGAGGACACGACCAGCCGGTCCAGCCGCGCCCCCTTGGGCGCGGACTGCATCTCGCTCACGATGTGGTTTTGGGCCAGCTCCCACCGGAACTCCGGCTGGTAGTACACGTTCTTCCGGCTCGGGTCGTGCTCCCCCATCTCCGGCTCTTGCTGTTTCAACACCAGGGACGTTTTCAAATATTCGTAGTCCTTGGGCTTTTCCAGCGTGACAAGGACCGGCAGCCGGTCGCAGCTGCGATCGTAGACGCCCTGGCAACTGGAGTCCACATTGCAGGCGGAGATCGCGTATCCTGTGCAAAAGTATCGTACTCGTAGTAATTGCGTTTATGCATTACAAATCGAAATCCCTTTTTCAAGGTGAAACAGCGTTACAAATTCGATTTGTAATGCTGGGCTAATTTGTTTTTCTTTTTGTAATGCAATTTATACTAGTACGATGCTTTTGCATTGCATATCGCGTCGGGCACGTTTTGGAACACGGGCCCGTACACCTCGCCGTAGCAGTGCTTCCCCGGCGTGCGGATGAAGTCCAGGGTCACCTTATGGATGTGCCAGGTTTGAAATCGTCAAAGTTGAAATAGTTTGTCATGCATACAATCGATACCAGTTGGAAGCCCAACTTCCAAGCGGTGCATGACAAACAAGGTCCACGCGTGGGGACAGGGTCCCCACACTGGGGCCTTGTGCCCATCCCTAGTGGCGCTAGTGGGGGAAGGGTGTTCGGCATCGGGGCGGACAGCGTCCGCCCCTCGCCTCACACCAGGCGCGCGCATAGTGGCTTAGTGCGCGAAGCACTAGTGGGGGAGGGGTGTTCGGCATCGGGGCGGACAGCGTCCGCCCCTCGCCTCACACCAGGCGCGCGCATAGTGGCTTAGTGCGCAAAACGCTAGTGGGGGAAGGGCGTTCACCTGTCGCGCTCACCTGTCAGTCGCGGCCACCTGTCGCGGCCACCTGTCGCGCCTACCTGTCACGACCACCTGTCAAGGTCACCTGTCAAGGTCACCTGTCGCCGGGGGTATGCGTTACCAGAACCCGGAAGTCAAGCAATGTAAATATCAATTTTAGGAGCACCGGAATCCAATTTGTCATGCTGTTTGGGCACAGATGAAGACAGCTTTTGTCATGCTCCTTTAGCAGCTCTATCGCAAACCCTAAATAGGCTCACAATCTGCCTCACTTGCCATGCCAGCAAGACAGGCACTTCATGCCTTGCATTTTATGCATGACAAATCATTTCAACTTTGTCGATTTCAAACCTGACGCTTCCATACACCTGCCCGGCCTCGATCCCCGTGAACCCCATGTAGTGCCCCGGGGGCACGTCGTTGAAGGAGGTGACCACCGTCCACAAGGTGCCCGTGATCGGGTCCGGGATGCTTTGCTCTTTCGAAACCGCGATGGCCCGGGCGGCGTACTCGCGGTTGGACGACTGGTTGATCACGATGCAGCGCAGCACCACCGGCTTCCCGAAATCCGCGCCCAGGTACGCCTCCCACCGCCGGCAGGGGCAGCACCGCGACTGCCAAAACGTGTTTTGCATGCCGTCGCATCCTGTGTAAAAACGTCCCCACCCCTGATCAAGTTGGGAAGTCTGCAACACAAGTCCAGAAGTTTTGGGAGTCAAGCATGACATAAACAGACTGTGCTACTACGGGCGGGACATTGTGTATCAGGTGAATTTTTTTTTTTGGCTTGAGTCCCTCCCTCGCCCCACCGATCTCGAATGTGCGTGCACCAAATCAAGTCATCAGACTTGAAGAGACAATCATGACAAACCTGTGCAAGGAGGCTGCGGAGTCGCATGGAAAACAAAAGACTCCGAGCAGGTAACATCGCACATGCGCGACCGACGGAAACAAGAAGAAAGAAACAAGAAGATATGTAAGGAGGGATGAAGGCCTCCCCCCCGAAGGGTTGAAAAGTGTGTGTAGGTAGACAGGAGCTTAAACACGGATGTAGTAAGTACAGTAAAATAGCTAGAAAAGCGGGAGCGAAGGCCCAAACGATAAATAACATTGGTACACAGGAGCACAGCAGCCGGGAGGAAAAACGCGAACAGCTGGGACCCGGGGTGAAGGCCGGATAATTGATAGACCAGCGAAAAGTTAAGGGAAAGGAGAAAATGAGGAACGAGGAGAGAAGGCCTCGAGAGAGAAAACTATGTAATTAGCACCGGCAAGCTGTGAAGGTATGGCCGTAAACGTAAAGTAAATGCAAATGGCGACCATGTATACTATAGTTAGCATCTATCTGCCCACCCCGATCAGCCCGCTGGCAAGACGGAAAAAAAAGAAACAACTGCCCCTGCAAGCCATGCGGGATCCGCTACCTAGCGCTACAAGGATTCCAGAAGTAAGCGAGACGACAAGGAGGAAGTAAAAGGGTAGAGACCTATATCTACGTGGGAACGCGGGAGGGAGCAGCAGGGAAGATCGGACCTTTCAGCATGAGGAGCGTACGAATTTGCGATCAAGCTCCTTCGGAGGCAATACGATACGAAGTAATGCGAGCTTTTTCTCCTTTCCTTTGACGATACGAAGCCATACGATCTTTTTCTTTTGCAGCCAATTACGAAACGAAATAATACAAAAGCTTTTTAATGAGGAGTCATACAAATCATACAAAGCAACAGCAAGCAAATTACAATTAGATTCACAATGCTGTGCAAGGGGGGCGTGGGTGATCATATTGATCAACCCGAAGACGCCGTCCCCCCCGGGAGTCAAGCATGACAAGTTTCTCTCTGTATGGTAGTGCAGGTTAGCAAGTGCATCCGCATGACAAATCCATCTCCTGATCCTGTTTCCAGAATGACAAATGCCAAAATACTATGGAAAGCGCCTCTCGATGGGGATGCGCATTACAAGCATTCCTGTGATTACAAACCTGCATGACAGCTCTGGACTGGGGATGTTTTTGAACAGAATACATCGTACGCTTTGTTCTCCACATTCGGGCTCCAGCCGGGGCAGTATCCCTTGCAAAAGTAAGAAGTATCGCAGTCGTACTAATTCTCAACATTCCATTGTTCTTACCTGCATCACCATTACAAACTCAAACTGTGTCTTTGACCTTCGCTTTCTTGGGAAAATTTGTAAAAATGCGAAAACCAGCAGCACTACGATACTTGGGATGCAAAAACGCATATGCAGTTTGGCGGGACGACTCGCATGGAAGACGAAATCGCGGTCGCGTAGTCCACGTCCGTGGGTCCCTGCACGTTGCGAACGGGCTCCAGTTTCTTGCTGCAGGCGGCGTCTTCGTAAAAGTTCAGCTCCGCGATCCGCCAGCCGTACTCCATCACTTCATCGTTTCGGATCGCCCAGGACCGCGCGGAAATGGCACTGATGCTGCCCCGCGCACTGTTGTCGGTCTGGAGGGCACGGGAGTGGTTGTGGCCGTGGTCGTTCTGGAGAACGATTTTCGTTTGGCTCGTTGATGAAAAGGTGCTGGGTGTGGGGGTAGTGGTCAGATCAAGCACAACTTGCTCCTGTGGTAGATTGTAGGTTGTTGTCACGGCGCTTGTAGGTCTACTTGGAGCTGTAGCTTGTAGCTTGTTGTCACGACCCGGCGGTGGCGGTTTTCGCACAGCGCCGCCAGCTCCTCCTGTGAGGGTGCGTCTCGGGGGCGGATAAGATTGCGCTTGAGACGTCGGGGCGGAGGAGCCTAATGCGACGACAGGTCCTCCGGTGGAAATGGTGGCCAGGCTGTAAAATGTCCACCTCAACGCCCAGGACGACGACGAGCCACCAGGCTGGCCTGCAGATAAACTCTTCATGATCTTCACTGGCATTTTTGATGGCGCCATGACGTGATCTGTGCAGCCGCTTCTTACTTCAGAAAATGACAATTCTTCCTTCATCGAAAGCAGCTTTGCAGCCAGGAGAACGTGCGTCACAGGAGCACAACTGTAAAAACTACGAGTTGTGATCTTTTTTTTATTTTGCCCCGAACTAGCGAAATTGCAAAGAAAAAAAGCTGCGCGTGCGCGGAAAAAGAAAATGAAAAAATTCATGCAGGTATCGACAGTTGGATTTCATAGATTCGTCAGAAATGGCAGTAGTACTTCTACAGCCATTATTCGTACTAATTTCTTAGTTCCTTATAAACCACGACCACGATGAGCTACGACCACGACTGCGTTCACGATTCATTCTAAGTATGGCAACAAGGCGGAGATGTTGCTAGAGGCCCTTTGATGTTGACAGCAGCTTCATATCCTTACGACCAGAACGAGTACAGCTACACTGTTGGAGTCAGAAACAGACGAACGTCGTGGGACATTTTCTAACATGATCATATGTCTTCATCTTCAGATGACACGAGAGGTGAACTACCGAGCCGTTTGACGATGACGAAAGCCGCGATGGAGCAATTTAGATGTACCGTAGAACTGCGAGGTTTTTCCCTTCTAAATATTCTTGATGGAAGATCGACGCCTGACCATGTCACGAAGTTTATTTGAGTTGGGCTTGATTGAGCATCAAGACGAAGCTTTTCGTGTCAGCAGTCACGTAGGTGAACTCAAAGGAAGCATCGGAATGTCAGCGGTATATGCTGGCATCGCAGGCAAAAGCGCGACACCTGTGCAGCCCCCTGCCGGTACAGCAGCTTGCAGCACCACTACTTTTTGTTGGCAGTACTTATACTTTTCTACTTTCATCTGTAGTTCTTGGAAACAGGAGGACGAGGGCGGTAGAGGCAGGTAGCAAGACAAGATTCTTCGTATCCATCTTACACGTAATCTAGCTCGAAATTTCTTCTTGGAAACAGCAACGGGTATTAAGTAGTTGTAGAAAGTCCTATGCAATAAAGGGCTGCAGCGTGATCAGTTCGGTCACCCGAGACTGCCAAGCGTAGTTGTCGTCCAGAAACATTCCGAGACAGAGGTCGAACTCCGTGTTCTGGAAGTGTCCCCAGGAAAAGTGGTGTCCCGCGTACTCCGAATCGCCTTCGTAACTCCGGTCCTTCCAGTGGTACCGAAATGGGTCGGGAATGACACCGATGATATCCGAAGCAGAGTGGTCGACGGCCCCTGCTGCTGTATCGTCGATCGCGTCAACCGCTCCCGGATTTTCACTCTTTCCTTTCACCTGTTCCGCCGCGGCCTTGCTCAGTTTCAGCTTTATCTTCGTGCGGTTCGTCGGAGAACCTCCACGGACGGGTTTGTGATAGTAGTTGTCGGGTACTAAATCATCTTCCTTGGTGCTCGGAGACGATTTCTCAGGGGAAGAAGAAGTTTTTCTCGCCTTATTTGCAACACCAGAAGATTTTTGATTCTCTTTCAGTGGTGGCGGATGTTCCTTCCACGAAACGACCCAGCTGCCACCAAAGGTGTTTGGGTTGTAGTGTAGGAAAAAGATGTCGCTCTTCGCGCTCTCAACTTGGGATTTCTTGTACGCGAGGTCCTCTTGTGCTGCATAATCCAAATTCATCTCTCCACCTGGTGCTGGATCGTCAGCTTGCGATGGTTGGTGTAGATGTTTAACGTCATCTGGAAAATGATTCTGCTGTTCCCCCACCATCTCTATCGGCGCTTGGTGATTCAGGATCGGGTGCATGAAACCGTCGACCTCCACGTGTGTTCGAACGAAAAGCAGGCAGGATTCCGACTTGTGCAACTCCGGGTCTTTCTCGTGGTTTGTCTGGACTTCCTGCCTCTTCTGCATCACAATTTCCCGCGCGTGCGCATCAAGAACAAAATCATGACTTCTATTGGACGAGTCTGAAGGAAGTAAGACATTGTCGATTCTGGTGTAGACCCCGTTGCACCACTCCCCGCCCGGGAGACTGGTTACGAGCTTCAGCGCACAGTTCCCCATCGCCTCCGAATCTAATCGGGAGAGGATCCGTCGCGAGGAGGGGGCCGCACCAGCACTTTGGGTAGAAGAAGTGTAGTTGGGTTTGCTATTTGTCTTGTTCATCGCATTTGCACCGCTGCGGCTCGTCGACCCTTCGTGGTCTACATGCTGCGACGAGGAGAAGGAGCTCCTGTCACCTACATTCACCGTTTTCAGGTCTTTCAGCACTTCCTGCTTCAACTCCGAGCTGCTTTTTCTTCTCTGCGGTTGTTTATAGCCAAGTTCTATGGAACTAGCAGGATTGAAATTGACAAAGTTGAAATGGTTTGTCATGCATAAAATGGATGCCAGTTGGAACCCAGTTTCCAAGTGGCGCGTGACAAATTTCGGTGGTCCTGAAATCCAGTTTGTCATGCTGTTTAGGCGAATAAGACTGATTTTCTCATGCTACTTTAGCAGCTCGAGCTCTAACCCCAAACAGGCTTACAATCGGCCTCACTTGCCTGCTCTGCAACGCACGTACCTCGCGCCATGCATTTTCTGCATTACAAACTATTTCAACTTTGACGATTTCGATCCTGACACACCCATAAGTTCCAGCTCCTCCGTACTGCTGTCCTCGCTGTCGTCGTCTTCGGAGGAAACAAGCATGTCCTCGTGAACTTCGTGTCCGAAATGAAGCAGAATGGTTTGATGTTGGTGTGCAGCTGTCGGGGAACTCGTTTTATTTACCTCCCCAAGAAGGGCCATGTTTATGTTATTCCAAGCGCCCTGCAGTTGCAGCAGCCCCAAGCGGCCGTGCAACTCGAGTTCCTGCGGTGTAGTGGCGTGGAACAAAACCTCCCCGCGCTCGGTGTACCTGTGAGAGTGGACAAAGGGAGGCACTTGAAGAACAATGAATAACAATAAGTACTGTATTGTGGCGATTGATTCGTATACAGTGTGACGCATGTTGACCAGAGAAAAAGGACGAAGCAAAGAGGTCTCAAATATCATCGCCGATGTAGTCCTGCTGGCTGCTGCAGATCAACATTCATGATAAGAATACATATACAGCTACAGTGAAATATCAGCCGCTCATCCAGATGACCATGATAAACGATAACCACATGATAGTTAGACGAGGAGCAGCGTCGCACTTACTACTACTTTGATCCTCTACCTTTTCTGTTCCTGCTCTTCTTGTGCGCTCGACCTGCTTCGCCGAGCGGGCGAGAAAGACGCACTGCCACTGTTCCGCCTGGATGATCTTCGCCTTGATACAGCAGTGCCGCTAGAGCCTTTGTTCCTACTACCGTCGTCTATCCCGTCGTCGTCAAAGTCCACCTCACCGCCTTCCAGCAGCTTGTAGTGCTTTTGCAAGCGCCAATGCAGCACGGTTTTTTTCGTGTCCATCCGGACCAATAGAAACCGTTCGTGCACGTCGCCGTGTACGTTGACCCAGCTCCGCCGGTACACGTGCAGAATGCCCTGCTGCTCCTCCTTGTCCTGCAGCGGGTGCAATTTCTCATACACCCCGTTGCAGTGGAAATCGCAGGCGGGTGCCCCGACGAGACTGATGTAGGGGAAGGACCACAGCGTCGGACCGAGGGAAACGGACCGGACGAGATTATGCGCGAATAGCTGCTGCAACAGAGACGAGTGGTTTTGGGAGTTTGACATTCTACTTTTTTCTTCGGGGGCTTGGAGATCTTCGCCGTCGGCAATTTTATTCATCTGTGCACCAGGTGCACTAGGTTTCGCTGCTAGAGGCGGGGGAGGCTTCCTCGGTCCATCTGCGGTTGTTGTGTTTACCCTTGCATCCTGCTCTTCCGCGGTCCTCTCCTCCTCGTTCGCTATCGCTTCTTCTACGTCCTCTTTTTCCCTCGAGCATTCTACCATGCGGCGGAGAAGCGGCTCCTGTCGGTGATTCACGGTGACCACGGCGCCCAGCATGTTGAACTCTTCCAGGTTTTGCAACACAAATTCCCGGTTTCGGTCCACGATCTCGCGCAAGGTGAACGGCACCGTGGCGGGCAGATTCTTGCGCGTCTCTAATAGGACAAGGTTGTAGTCGTCGACGTGGTCAGTCGTCGTGGCGGTAGGATTTATTTTCCCTGACTTTGTTGAGGACTCTCCTGCTGTTGCGCTCTCTTTGCTTTTGCGTTTCGAGCTCGATGATGTTGAAGCTTCCGGGGACTTCGCACTACCCGGTGCGGTGCCGGGACCACTATTTCTATTTGCTTGTTTTCCTTTCTCCTTTTCGACCATGTATTTGAGGTTGCAGATCTCAAAGCTGTGCGTTCCCAGATCGGCGGAAAACCGGTCCAGATCCGTCAAGTTGTCGTCCAATGTGACGCCCAGGTCGTCGGCATCCTCTGGACTTCTCGGAGCGCGGGTTGACGACCTGCCGCTTGCTGCGTTGTTGTTGTTTTCTGTGCCAACATCTTCTCGTCCATTTTTCCCTTTCCTGGCGGAGTGCAGGTGGATTTTCTTTTGGTCAACGAATTCTTTCGCGCCCTGGTGACTCAGCTCTCGATATCTGTCACTCGTCACAGGATCATCTTCTTTATCGGCAGCAGCAGTAGGACTACTACTTTTCCCCACGACATCAACTTCCTTCTTCGCACTGCGCACCAGCTGGTTCCAGCCGCACTGCTCGATCGGTAAGTAGAGCCTCGAGGCCTGCTCCCGCGCGCCGCCCACGTAGGACTGCCGCACCTTGTGGCTGCCCTGCACGCAGATGGCGTCGATGTGGTTGCCGCAGAACCGCAAGTGCACGTGCTTCTTCATGAAGCTACCTTGCTTGTTTCTCACATCCGCCCTGCCGTTCCAAAAAAAAGCCTCCTGCACGATCTGTCGTGGGGTCTCGTGGAAGCACAGGAAGTGGGGGTCGGGAATGACGGCCAGCACCCGGTCGTCGTGCTCCGACACCTCGTCCCAGTTGAAATGCCCGGTGGTAGCGTCAAACGCGGTGCCCGGCAGGATTTCGTGCACCACCCACCTCCCCAGGTGGTCGGACACCCACTGAAGGTACAGGTGGCTATCCGGATCTTCCTCGTCTCCTCGTCCTGCAGAAAGTTGGCTCATCATGATCCCTTGAGCTGGATCCATTGTTCCACCTCCGCCCACGCCACCTCTACTTTCGCTCACGCGGCTACTGAAGGACCGCGGCTGGATGCGCTGTTCGTGGTCTTTGAACGGTTTAGTTTTGCCCGCGCTCTCCTGTGCATCTCTAACATTATCGCCTGATCCCCCTGCCATGATAGTACTTCCTGTCGCGACGTTCTCTTTCCGGTACAACCCCAGAACGTTGTCGTACAAATAATGCCCGTTGATGTCATGCGCTTTGTCGGATGGGAAATAGGCCGACCCTCGGTTGTAGTACCGAAGCTTTTTATGCCATGTAAAATCAGCTGCAAAATCAGCGCGCTCGTGCTGCCCAGCTACAAGTCATGATGTCCACCCTAGTTGTACACGAAGATAATCGGATTTATATAGGTGCATGTCATAACATGATAGATATGCAATACAAACTGAAAGACGCGAAGTAGATACCGCTGCTTTTTTTACTCTAGCATACTGCTTCGGAAATCCCGACACCACGATTCTGTCGCAAACGTGCCGACCCAGACGCGCGAAAACGCTGTCCTGCACGATATGGGCGTGGTCGAAGTCCCGCTCGGTAATCTCCACATGCTCCACGTCGACCGCTTGATGCAGCAAGTTGCTGACGTTTGCGAGTTATGCTGTGCAAAAGTATCGCACTCGTACTAATTGCAAATATGCATGACAAATCTTCCTCCTATGGTAAAACAGCATGACAAATTCCACTTTTCTTCTTGCCGAATTTTGTAAATGCAATTTATACTAGTACGTTACTTTTGCAATGCATACGAGTGCAGCTGCTTGATGTTCCTCGCCACCGTATCCACCTAGTAAATCGGGCTTTATCGTTGAACCACTGCCATCCGACTTCGGCGAAATGGTGGCCTTGCTGCTCCTTGCACTTGCGCTCGCCCGCGCTGCTTGATGCTTTTCCGCGTCGATGTTGAAGATCAGAGAGGGCCGCTGCAAGTTCGGGCTCGGTGCGGGTCGTGCTGTGGAAGTGGAAGAGGAGCTTCTGCCCGTCGTGCCTTGCATTGTCGCTGGTTTGTTGTTGTTGATTAAACGCAAAATAAATGCTCCTCGCGGAGGTCTGTGCGCTTGTCGGAAGTTTGTTTTTCTCGTCCTTTTAAAAAGTGCAGATCAGCAGCAGACTCAGGTTTCTGGCGGTGCTCTGCCACTTCATCTGAGCGTCTTCGGGCTATTAAGAGAACGATGAAGAGAGAGGCATCGCTCCTCGTCTGCCGCAAAACGGAGGATCAAGGCCGAGATGTAGAGAACTCACGCCATTCATTTTGATATTTATATTGCAGTGTAAAATCCAAACAGAAGTTTGAGTAGGTCACTGTAGCCGGAGCATAATTTCAATTTTGATATAGGAAAGAAGGCATAAAATCGCGATAAAGACGCTCTTCGGCTGCTCGAAAACAGAACAAGAACGGCATTTTTCTAGATTCCCATAGATCGAGTTGGAACTGTAGTCGCAAGGGATTGCTGCACTACTCCGAATATGCCACAGTCACTGCGGCCCAACTTTTTTCTCGCTGTCTCCTCCCCTCAAGAATAAGACACTATCACTGTGCCGATCCGCTCTGTCGCTCCTTTCCCTCGGTCGGTATGTTCTACTTCAACTCGTGTTCACAATCAAAACGGCTTGGCATGCGGCCTCTTGTCCGACGCTTTTTTTCGTGTGGATTTGCAAGAAGAACCGATACGAATACTATAGTTGGATACGCGGTCCATATCCATTGTCACATATATCCGAAAGCTAAGTACTAGCACGACAACCAGGAGGACGATGCCACGACACATAAGGATTGATACATAACTCACAAAAAAAAAGCTGGTGGGCAGGGGGCCTGGGCACCAGGTGGGTCTCCTCTTTGATGCTGATAATGTTGGAGTTAGTTATTATTTTGTTGGCGCTTTCAGTTCTTGTTCTTCCTTCAACAACATGATCACTATCACATGATCCGCATCATGGTGATAATTGCAAAAGAGGCTACAAGAAGAGAAGAGGTTAATCTTGATCTTCACGATATGGAAAGATTGATAGATGCACGACACTTCGATACATGCCACGCGCACTGATCGTGGTCGTGATCTTCACAATTTATGATCACGGAAGTTAGTAGTTGTACAAATGCATCCAAAAATCGTCAAAAGAGGCCCGTACTACGCCCACCACTTTCGCCACCCACTTGCATTCCACCTACAAAGAGAAACAATTTCACCTAGAAGACAGCGCGCCAGCTGCGCGTGTCTCCTGTGTTTCTCCTCGTTCGTTTAATTTCGACAAAGTTAAAGGCATTCAAGAAGTCCGTCAACACTTAGAGTACATTGCGGTCGTTGCGAGGCAACTTGTCAATTTCTTCAAGGCATTTTTTACAAGATAGTCCATGATTTGGTAAATGGTATATGGTAGGCATCATCATCTCTACTAATTTCAAAAGCATAAACTACTTTGCGCGGAGTTGTGTGAGCAGCTACGCTTGTAGAAGTACTGCTACTGCCGCAGCTACGGCATCACTCAGTAACCTTCTATCCGTTCGGTTGTGCCGGTGGCAGTCCGCCACCGCCTCCCCCTCGGAGGTTATTGTTGTTGATGCTGTTATGTTGATCGTGGTTGTTTGCATTGCTCCCGCCGCCGCTGGGAAGAAACATCGAAAAGAAGTGCAAGCTGGGTCCGAGGAGGCAGAGGATGACTAGTATACAGACGATGGCGGAAACGACGCTCATGGCGTAGAACCAAAACCGCTTCCGGTCATAGGCGTCCTTACTTCGTTTCGCCTCCGCGAGGTGCTCAACCGCCACGCCCGTGTATTCTCGCGTGTTCTTATGAAAGTGCACAAGTGGAACTGCTCCTCCTCGTCTCCCCATTTGTGATGTGTCGAATAAGTATAAATAACATGGGCAGCAACAGATGAAGCAAGAACAGGGATGTAGCTATTTTTAAAGGCATGACCAATCCCCACACGGAATGTTGTACTAGTGCGGGTTGGCGTGCAGCTGTAGCTTGTCATGCAAGTGGTCCACAAGCACGAGGCAACGACAACGCGCTATGGCTAGGCTTAGTATTCTGCATGAAAAATGAGAGGCATGTAGAGGGAAATGAGTTATGCATTTTCATAATTCTCCACGTTGGCCTCGATCGAGTCCAACATCATGCCCTGTTCGTCCACCAAGGCGGAGAGAAAAAGGAACAGGTCGTGCAACTCCAGCATATGAACTGCAAAAGCATCGTACTCGTATACATGCATTACAAATTTCCTCAGCATGAGAGAGAAAATTTGTAATGCGGATTTACCTTGAGATAAAGATTTGTAATGCATGATTGCAATACGAGTACGATACTTTTGCACAGGATACAGCACGGACTCCTCTAACTTCTTCATATCCGAATACTTCTTATGGATGTGTCAGGTTTGAAATCGACAAAGTTGAAACAATTTGTCATGCATAAAGTGGATGCCAGTTGGAACCCAGTTTTCAAGTGGCGCATGACAAATTTTCGGAGCACCGGAATCCAATTTGTCATGCTGTTTGGGCACAGAAGACGGCTTTTGCCATGCTCTTTTAGCAGCGCTATTTCAAACCCCAAATAGGCTCACAATCTGCCCCACTTGCCATCCCTGCAAGAGAGGCACTTCATGCCCTGCAATTTATGCATGAGAAATTATTTCAACTTTGACGATTTCAATCCTGACAGTTCCATACTTCTCGTGCAGGTCGTACAATGTGGACTGTAGTAGTTGTTGAGATCAAGAACATCTTCAAGAATCTTCAAGTGCGCCAAGTTGTCTCCGTCAAGATAGAATAGAAATGCAGTGGCAGTGCGTACATGTACAATCACTAGTAGTATTAAGTTGATCCCCATGTTGGCATCATGTAAGAAACAGAACAAACAAAACCTCCTCTACCTGCAGTGAGTTTTTCCCGCCGGACTTCAGCTGTGCCTGAATCGCTTCTCGGACGCTGAGCGGATCCTCCTCTGCAAGCTGCTGAATTTCCTCCTCTGCGGCGTCAGGATACGCGATTCGGAGTTGGCGCTCGACTTTTGATTTTACTGCCGTCTTATACTCCTCTTGGGCCTGATGTGTGTGTTTGAGCGTTCTTTCCGTTTCGTCTCAGGGCAGTAGATGGAGAGAAGGTCGCGCAACAACACGAACTCAAAAAGTCACGGAGTCAGACGGTTGAAGCATTAATTTTAATTGTATTCCGATTCCGGTAGAAAATCTTCACAAAAAAAAGAGTCTTGATCTTCTCATATTCATACCTTCATGTAGTCGGTGATATTCAGTTTGAACCTTTGACTAGCCGACCTTATGATCGCGTGCACCATCTGCGTTTCCGCCGGGCTCATGGTGTCTCCCTCCTCGATCTCTAGCCGCTTCATATGCATTGCAGAAGTACGGCACTCGTATAAATGCATGACAAATTGGGGCAGTTTCTCATGCTGAGGGAACGATTTGATATTGTTCCCTCAGCATAAGAAATGCGAGTGCACCTTTAGAAAAAAATCTGTAATGGATGATTGCAATTACTACGAGTACGATACTTTTGCACAGGATACTTCAACTCGTCCAGCATGTTCTTCACCTGCATGATGTTTTCCTATGCATTTTTACAAGAGCATCGACGTGCTTGTCCTAGTAGTTGCAATATCGCATGACAAGTTTTCTTTTCAACTTTGATCGGCATGACAAACTCAGCTTGCCTTTAGCTATTCCTGCTTCTTGAAAAATTTGCAACGCTGCAACTCCCCCTAGAAGTGCGATGCTCGTGCAATGCATATTTCCTTCCCCTCGTTGATATACTTGGACACGGCCGCCCCGATCTTCCGCTCCTTTTCTGCGGAAGTGGCCATCACGGCTTGCCGGGTCAGCTCGCGCACACGGTCCGAGGTTTCCCTTACGGAATCGGTCATAGGGAGAAGTTCCTGTACGTGTAAAATAAGATGTGCCAGTTCGAATTCCTTAGGCTGCACCATTTTTTTTATTGACTTCATCTTTAGAAGAAATTTTCTTTCATAGTTCCCCCGATGCAAAAGCTCATGCTGTGCTGTCGCCACGAGCAAGATGACAGCACTTCTGTAGCACAACAAGAAATCATCAACGTTCACGTTGAATCTGCTTCTGCTTCGTACCCACATAAGTAGATGCCGCAAAACTAGTGGAAAGCTATACCTTGGAAGTTTCGACGAGCGAGGTCATTAACGTTTTCCCTTCTCCCCAGCCACCAAGATCATCTGCGTCAGCTTCGTCCAGGGATCCGTAGCGACTTGCCGGCTCGCTGACGCCAGCTTTTCCCCGAAGCTCGGACAACTTGTCCACCATGATATCGTAGTTTTACTTGGCAAAGTTTACGTTTTCTGGCAAGAAAAGGAGGTGTTGGTGTTCTCGTTCTGCTGGCTATCAACGTGGTAATCTCGTGCTAGTTGTGGCACCACAGCTCAAGCCTCGTGCGGCCCCTGCCGTTCAAGTAGTTTCTTTAACTACGGTACACCGAGTAACCTTTCGTTCCGTGGTTCTTCTGTTCTCGTCCTACCCGTACCGCCTCCGCCCCACGGGGGGCGGAATGCTCGCTGCAATGCGCTTTCTTGCGGTTCTTGTAGAACGTCTCCGATAAAGGACCCCTTCTTGGCTCGACGACCGCGCGAAGATTTCAGCAAGGTCAGCAGGAGAAGACGCTGCGATCTTCAAGACACAATGGGAGCAAGGAAACGAGAGAAGATAAGCAACGGCGGGACACTCTAGCTTATGATACCGAACCGCTATCCATTCATAAATTTACTCTACGGCTAGCAATTGTATTCATAGATACACCCCTTGTACGATCGACATTGTCAGAAGATTGATCCTCATCCATCGCCGCACACATCGCGAAAAAAATCGCCTAGAAAAAGTTTTAGAACATTTCCATTTGGATTGAAGAAGTCTAGTCTAGAAGCAATGGTAACATTCCAAGAACGACCCGAAATCGATAACGAGCCGCGAGGTCGCAAAAATTGGTGATCAAATGACGACCCAACATGAAGATCCGACAAAGAGATGAAAATCATGATCCCGGACGCATCAACAAATAACGAAATCTACAAGTGGCCGTGTGCCAGTACCTTCTATTTCTCTCTCGAGCGCAAAGGAAGTGGAACACATCTTCGACGATATCGAGGAAAGCATGCCAGCAGGTCGGTCGAAGTTGAACAGAGGTGCTTATTTTCGCGATACTAGTTAAGCTTAAGTTGGTACTACAGAGTACTTTCTTTCATAGCACTCCTGCTTCTCAATACGACCCGAGAAGAGAGGTTCAACAGTCGCTCGCCTGATATACTTGGTACTTCTACGTGAACGCGTCGTGAAATAAAACTAAACTTGAGCAGCTTCATCACAACTCCCTTGGACGACGCGGAGCAGTTGTGCTTCGACTGCAGCAGCCCCCGAGGGTGAAGCTTACTTACGCTGCAAGTTGTCTCCTCATTTTAAGGCTGACCATGCCGATCGCGTCGGTGATTTGTTTGTTCTTTGGGTCCAGTTTTTCCGCCTTGCCGAGGCAGTCCAAGGCCAGCTTGAACTCTCTATGCAATGCAAAAGCATCGTGCTAAGATAAATTGCATTGCAAATTAGCCCAGCATTACAAATTGAATTTGTAATGCTGATTTACCGTTGAGAAAGATATTTGTAATGCATAAACGCAATTACTACGAGTACGATACTTTTGCACAGGATACTCCCGTTCCGCCGAGGATTTGGCCTCCGCGGTTTTGTCCTTCTCCAAGCCGGTGGCCAACCCGTGCCGCGCCATCCCCTGCCGGAACCACGCCTTCGGGTTGCCCTCGTCCAGCGTGATGGCCTCTTCGCAGTCCTTGTATCAAATGCAAAAGTGTCTGGGTCTGGAAGAATGCAACTTGTGATGCTGCATTTGGATTCCAAAAAAATTTGTATTGCATGAGTAGCAAAGTGAGTGTAATTTTTGCTACGCGGATACGGTATTTGTCATGCGAAATAGGCATCAAGAAGCCCTCGAAAAATCTGTGATGCTACGGCATGCATCACAGACATCATGGCTCATGCAAAACGTGCATAACAGGTTTCAGAATCTCCCAGACCCAGACACTTTTGCAATTGATACCTTGATGGCTTTCCCGAATTCCCCCGTTTTCAACCAGCACTGAGCCCGGTTGGCCAACACGACCGGGTCGGGGTAGGCCTGTCATTTTGATTTTACGTTGGTGTTGGGTGGGTCAGTTTGCAGTTATACAACATAGTGTGCAGTGTTCCAAACCCGATGCACTTCACATCAAACTACCAAGATTACTAAGTACTTCTTTTTCTTTACTCATTCGCTCATAAGGAGCCATGGAAGGATGTATCATGTCTATACGAGCAGTACTCTATGTACCTCAAGCGAAAGTGTGTAAAAGGCCGCTGCCTGCATGAAGTCGCTCGTTTTGAAAGCCGCGTTCCTCTATGGATTGCAAAAGTGGCTGGGTCTGGAAGGATACGACTTGTGATGCTACTTTTGGAATCTACATAAAATCTGTATTGCATGAAAAGCAAAAGAGGTGTAATTTGTGCTACGCGGAGAGGGCGTTTCTCATGCGGTATGAGCATCAGAAAGCCCTCGCAAAATCTCTGATGCTAGGTCATGCATCAAAGACCTCATGGGTCATGCAAAATCTGCATGACAAACTCCTGCATTCTTCCAGCCCCAGACATTTTTGCATTTGATATCCCCTCCTCCTTCTTTCTCAGCGCTGCGGCACGATTTGCCTCAGGAGTTGTGGTTCCATTCGAAGCACCACCAGAGAAGTGCAAATGCCCATTGCTAGTACCTCCGCCGACTTCGCCCGTTGCTGGTCGCACACCGCCCCCGGCGCCGCCAGCGCCCGCTTGCATCTGTTGGTCGCCGCCAAAGAAAACCGGGAATTCCTTTTCCGCGTCGCGCTGCACCGGCATCGTCACGAGTTTCTTCGTTTTTGGTTCTACCGCGGTCAGGTATTGCACTTGCATCTTGGGGTCTTTGTCTTGTGATGCGGATGCGGATGCCCCCTCGGCTGTTGTTGATGCACTACTAGTGTTTATGCCACGATCCACCTCGTCCTCGTCGTCCACCACCACTACTTCCTGCAGTTTGTCGTCGAAGTAGTACTCCAAGTCCGCGCACGCGTGGCTGACGACGTACTTGAAAAACGCCTCTTCGCTCCAGTAGCACTGCACGCGCTGACACGCGTCCACCTGCACGGATTCCATCGCGCAGCGGTAGTAGAGGACGCAGTCTTTGCTGTTGTACACCTCGGAGCTGGACGTAGACACTTCCGCGTCCACCTCGATGCGGCAGTTTTCGCAGTTGGCCACGAAAATTTTCCACACTTTGCCCTTGAACCGGATCGTGCTGTCCTTCGCGTTTTCGATCCGCACGCCCTTCTCGACCGCCTGGACTTCAATGTAGCCCGGCTTCTCCAGAAACGTGGAATCAACCAGGCGGGCCGTTTCAGGATCTAGGGACGAAGAGGACGAGCCGCGGGCGGGGTTGTTTTGCGAAGTAGGATTACTCGCCGTTCTTGCACCAGTAGTGGTCGTGGTGGATGAAGAGGAGACGTCGACGTTGGTGGTCGATGTTGATGCTGCAGCTCCTGGGGCAGCCGCTTCTGCACTGGCAGCAATAGAAGATGTTCCTTCAAGAACAGCATCTTCCGTCGTGCTGTTCGGCGTCGTCCTACTAGACTGGATTTTGTTCGCCACAACATTTGAAAGCGTGATTTCCTTGTTGGTGATCTTCCCGATCAAGTTCCGGCGGTCCTCCGAAATCGTCTTCAGCTCCTGCGTATCCACTGCAAAAATATCGTAATCCCTCTATCTTTTTGCGGACATGCATGACAAATCAGCTCCTTCCCAAGGTAGACTAACATGACCACAACCTCTACTCTCGTTCATGCTGAAAGAAAAAGAATTTGTATATGCAATATGTACGCAATACGATACTTACTTGAAGATTTGCAATGCATAATGCAATTGCTGCCTCGCCGCGGCCACCGGCGGTCCCTCCACCCGGTCGGGGTCGATGCCCAGGTCTTTGTTGCTCGCGTCTTTCTCCGCCTCCTCCTGCTTCTCGCACTCGTCGACCAGGTATGAGGGTGCACCCCAGCTCCCCCCTCATTCATTGTGATGCAAAATACCAAATGTACCTTGTCTTTGAGCACAACTGTTCGCGTCGCAATTTTTGAAGCCGAAGCAGAAAAAAATGCTACAATTCACATGTCCATGCGGAAGCCACAATTTCGATTTCTCCCGGGGCTGCGCACCCTTTAAATGAGGGCGACAAGGAGGGGGTGTTGTGCACTCTCATACCAGGTTTTTAGCCTTCTTTTCCCATGTCACAAAGTCCGTCATGATGATGATTTTCTGTAGCTTAACCAACTTTATAATTACGTAAGTAGACCAAGACCTAGACAGTGTTACCAGTACCAAGCAGTACGAACAAGTTTATACTTACTCAAGTAGATGCAGATACAGTTGCAGGACCGGAAAATTACTCCTGATGGTAGAGAAACGCAAACCTAAAGTAAGGCTGGCCTTCGCTTCAGAATAGCTTCTGCTTTAATAGAATCTATCTTTCTTTGCTGCAGGGTGCGTACTGAGATTACGTTGCTTTTATCGTTTTGCCTTCGACCTTCAGCGATTGCGATCTTCATTCATCTTACCAAACGATCACGTTTGCTCGTTTTCTTGTCGCAGTTTTTGATCCTTATCCTTGATGGCGTTAACGATCACTAGAGTGGAAGGAGAACGAAGCAAAAAAACGACTCACAGATACAGAGAGCCAAATCTTCGTCGCACGGGGAAGAAGATTGATTGATATATTAATTTGCAGCTTCATGATTCGAAGTTTGATTTCGCGGAATCACGTGCCAAACTTTATTTAAGTGAGACTGTTCACTTTTCCGCCATTGAGCGTGGCGACGTGTGCCAGCGAGCCTGAAGAACCTGGCCTCAAAAGCCCTATATACGTGAGCACATTAGTCAGGCTCCCTCCCGGCCTGTCTGGAACCAATAAATGCGAAGTGAACTGGCTCGGCTCTTTATCGGGACTGGGATTGATTCGTAAATACGATTGGACCCTGTCGTTGATGGTTTCCTGGGACGCGAGGGCTGTTGCTGAAAAGGGAACGAGGGCGGAGCGGATCATGTTCGGAGCTGTACTTTTAAAGGTGCCGCGTATGCCGCCTTCTTGTCCATCGGCGTCGCGCACGAGGTTGAGGCATGCATTGTGGCAAGTTACAGCCAAAACCCTCGATTCGGTGCGCACGTTCTGTTCTTTTTCCTCGTTGACCTGCTCTTTGACAACCTCGATCATTGTGGATGCGGCGTTCTGAAGCAACTTCATCTTCAAGCGGTCTTCTGAGCGGAAGGAAGGGCGCGTCTGTTCCGCAGCACGTAGGCCATCGTTTATTTTCCTGATTCGTTGCTGTCGAGACTGAGATAAAATAAAATCTTTATCTTTTATGAGCGCATCGAGACTGTCATCTATGATTTCTTCGTCTATCTTCAAAACAGCGCCGACGGCGGCCGCTGAAGTAACTTCCAATGCGCTCGCCTTCTCCTTCTCCGTCTCGCGTCCTTTGAAAACCCAGCTTGTCCCCGGCGGGGGTATGTTCCTAGCAGAAACACGCTTTCCAGAACGTACTGAAGGATTGTAGCCGATCATGAACGCCTCCCGGAGTAACTTCGCAATGCTGCTCTCCTTTTCCTTTAGCAAGTGTATGAGATCCCCAGCTGATGTGACGACTTCAGGTGTTACAGGTTTTTGGCGATTTCTGACAATGCAAAACAGAAATCTCCCTCGATCGCCTTTTGCATCATGCCAGGCTCACGCAGGCGGCAAAAAAGCTACATTATTTTGCTCAAAAAGTAAAAGTATGTGGCTTGGCAGTATCATACTGCCGAGCCGCATACTTTTACTTTTTGAGCAAACTAATAAAGCCGAAGCAATAAACCCAATCAAGAAGTTGTATCTGCTTATCATTTTTTTGCGTCATAACCACAACGCAAAAAGATGTGCTTAAAGGTAACAGTTGAGAGTGTCACAGCTGAAGCGGTCGTAGTTGCGCTGATTTTCTCGAAGAGGCGAAAACTGATGGGGCCGGTTTTTGGAGTTTCTGCGTCCTCGTCCTGGAACTCCAACATCAGCATCGGCTTTATGTACTCTTCCTGAAAGTCTGGATCCTGCTTGTTGGGTCTCGGTGCCTTTATCAACTTGAAGCTACCTTCTTTTGCAATTGCACCAGGTTCGGCTTCGGTCGGGGAAAGCTTGTATTCCACCTCTACGACGTCTACTGTTGTTCCCGGCTGCTCTGAGTTCGGCGTCACTAGTTGTTTCCGCTTGACTTCAAAAATGCTTGCTTTGGCTTGTTTCGCTTTCGGGAAGAAATAGCGCATCAATCGACTCTTCTTCGTCTTATCGTTATCGGTAGCGATCACATCGCTACCAAAGTACTCGAGCCAGTTTGGAAAATCTCGCTTCGCGTAGGCCTCGTCCTGTGGATATTTGAGGGACGCTGGATTCCACTGCACGAGTCGCTCTTTTACGGCGATTGTGGGGCCTTGTAATTCCACTGCACTTGCACTCTCTGTTCCTATAGCTTCGACGCTTCCCGTACATTTGCAAAGGTAGTCAACCGGCTCAACGCGGCTCGGCATCATATTTGGTGACTCCACCCGAGGGTCGTACGGCGCAGGCGGTTCCTTCGGCAAGGGTATAACCCTCAGCCAGTCGTCGCGGCCCCGACCAGCAGGGAGACGATCAAACACATCATCAAGAAATTCACTGATATCGGCATCCTCCTCGTCCTCACCAAGAGGCACGTAAGTAGCACCGCGACGCAATTTTGGCTGTGGTACTTGGCTACGCCCCATCGTTCCAGTCAAGTGCGAGAACATGTCGGCAAACTGTTCCGACATCATCTGCACAGCCAAGACCGACTCCGGCTACACCTCTGCCTTCACAACCTCCCCAGGATCTTCCGCGGCTCCGCGGTCCATTCTCTGCAACGGGATCCCGAAAAACTCCGACTCTGCGGTGCAAACCCCGTCGAACTCCGCCCGGCAATAGGGTTTCTCCACCGGACAGGGTCGCGAGACGCCACAGGAAACCTTTCCCGCGGTGACAAAGCTGTCGGTGTCCAAGCTGTCCACCACGGATATGGCGTTCCCAAGCGTTACACTCTCAACTGTTACATGATTTGTCATGCAAAATGACCAGGGGCCGCAAGATAATCACGCTGCTTCGCATGACAAATTGTCGAAGGGCTAAACAGCATCTAAATCCGTGCCAGATTGGTGATGCAAGACTTGCAAGCTTGCCCCTTTCCCTATTGCTGTTTTTGGATGACAAATTCATGTAACAGCTGAGAATGTAACAGTTGAGAGCGCCATAGCGGAGCGCGCCTTCATCACCCTCGAGTGGGCCCGTATGGAACCGTCAGGATTGAAATCGTCAAAGTTGAAATAATTTCTCATGCATAAACTGCAAGGCATGAAGTGCCTCTCTTGCAGGGATGGCAAGTGAGGTCGACCGTCAGCCTGTTTGGGGTCTGCGATGCAGCTGCTAAAGTAGCATGACAGAGGACGCCTTCTGTCCCTAAACAACATGACAAACTGGATTTGGACGGTGTCGAAGTTTGTCATGCGCCGCTTGGCAGTTAGGCTTCCAACTGGTATCGATTGCATGCATTACAAGTTCTTCTTATTTCAACTTTGCCGATTTCAATCCTGACACTCCCATAGCCCGCGTCCGCGCCATAGTCGCGGTCTTTCGGCCCTTCACGGTGTAGCTCCAGAACCCCGGGTCCTCTTTGCAACGGAGTTCCGAGAGGTCAAACCCGACTTCAACACGCTCGAAGCTGCCGTTGCACAAGCTCGTCGGCGCTGCCACCGCGACGGTCAAGTAGTACGTGCGGGGGTGTCTAATCAGACAAAGCTTGGAGTTTTTGTTCTCCTCATACCACTCGGACTCGCTCCCCCGCGCAAGCCAGCACACGCTTCGCGGAGGTCTTTTCGGGGTCACCACGTCGTGCAGGTCCAGTCGGATGGTTTGACTCTTCTGCGGTGGTTTGGCGCTCGGCTTCGCCGTGCTGTCGGATTTCGATTTAGTGCCAGTCTCTTTATTGCTTTTTACCCCTCCCACCGGCGCTGCCCCGTCACGATCCGCAGTGCCATCTGGCAGAAGTCCTCCTTTGGCGGCCGACTGTTTGTCACCGTCACTCGCGCGCTGCTGAGGTCTGCTATGAACTGCAAAAGTATCGCACTCGTGGTAATTGCAGTCATGCATTACAAATCTTTTTCGTTAGGCAAATCCGCATTTACAAATTTTATTTCTCATGCTGAGAAAATAATTGGTAATGCATTTATACGAGTGCGATACTCTTGCACAGGATATCTGCTCGACTGTGACGATTTTTCCAAGGTCTGCTCGATTTCATCACCGGCGGTGGTTTTCGCAACCTGAACCTGAAGAGATGCGGACGGTTCTTGTTGTTCCATCATCGAGGCGGACTCCTCGCCTGTAGTACTTGTCAGTGTCACGGTGCATGGGTTTTCGACGTAAGACTTTAACATGGGCAAGCTCGAATCCCGAATCAAGGACTCTGGACAGGGCACGCCCGCTTCCCCAGCCGCGATCAGTTGACTCTCCGCCTTGGTACCTGCATCAGGGAGGAACGAGTACCCCGGAGGCGCAGTGACCTCTAGCATGGTGCCGGAAGACTTCGTATGCATTGCAAATATGTCTGGGTCTGGAAGAGTGTAACTTGTCATGCTACATCAAACATCTGGATCGTGAAAAAATTTGTGTTGCAAGATAACCAAAAGTTGTCCACTTTTGAACAAGTTTAGAGGCAATTTCTCATGCAGGAAAGGCATGACAGAGATCTCGCAGAATCTGTCATGCTAGGCCGTGCATGCCAGACCGCGACCGCCACCGCGCGGGTCATGCTGGAAAACCTACATGACAAACCTAGCAATCTAAATCTTACAGAACTAGACATTTTGATTTTTGCATTTGATATTTCGGTTGAAAGATCAGAGTAACTTCAAACACGGATCCGGTAAGGGCCACTGGGTTTCTACTGTCGGAGGTTTCCGTGGATGTGGTCTTGCCTCCAGAAGATGTTGATGTGTCTTGTCCTCCGGCAGCAGATTTGTCTTTCTTGTTCGAAGCGATCGTCTCCTGTTCTTGGGCTAGAAAGTTCATAGCGTCCATTTCGAGTTCGTACAAGTACTGCATCTCGCCCGGGCGCCGCAGAAGTAACATGAACGGTCGACAGGTAGTTTCGCCGAGCATGGTGCTAGCAACTCCGATGCAGGACTCATACTTCTGCGGGATCGGGCAGTCCTGCGAAAACCGCTTGTTCGTGGTCATTCGAAGGAAATGCTCCAGCCCCTGTCCGCAGAATTCGGAGCACTCCCCCGTAGGCGTCCATACCTCATTCCCATCCTCGTCGACTTCGTACTCGCAGTCCGCTTGGTACCCGCGCCACTGGGTACTCGTACTCTATATCGTGAGAAAAAACTCCTGTCATCTCGGCCGCAACCTGTAATGCGCATTTTGGAGCAGCTTGAGACCGTCTTTTGTCATGCTCGACATGCAAGACTATCGTCTTCCATATGTGTTTTCCCTTGCGTCTGACGCATCGCAGGCTTGCCAGGTCATGCTGAGCAAATTTCCGTTGCTGAGCCTGCAACGGTTTGAGAGGACCGAGACAGTTTTTTTCTTGCGATACTCCCTTGCGGTGGATCAATGTTGTGGAGCATGGGGTCGTTTCTGGAATTCTCCTGCGCTTGTTCCTCGTTGCGGGTGCTACCAGAGACGCTTGAAGGTGAACTTGCTGAAGAATCTGTCCGTGCTGCCGCTGACTTTTCCGGCGCATCAACGCCCTGGCTGATTGCTTTGCCCTCCTGCTCCTCCTCTTGTGTTACGCACGGCTCATGACGCTCTTATCAGACAAAAAAGAAGTGCTTAACGTTAACGCGGTTCGTGTTGAGGCATTCTTATTCATCACACTCTTGCAATCATCCATGACTAATGTTCGCTATCTATCTGTATGATCAGTATCATGATACATGCTATGCAAAAATACAAACCTGCGGCGCATCATTTCTCGTGTATTCCAGCATGCGAAAGTCCGTTAAGAACATTTAGCACTTTTATTCCCTGTGATAACTCTACTCCAAAATCCATGTAGTCCGGACAGTGCCCCCCGTACATACCATCCCGGTAGCTTCGCTGACCGCCGCAGCAGGTAGACGAGCATAACGGCGGCTCGTTAGCCGCAAATGGGCTGATTTGGCACTGCAAATTCGCTTCGCAAGGGAACGTGTTGCAAGGGATGAATTCTGTCACGGGTTCTGGTTCAGCACAGCCTTTGAGGAGCATTCGTCGTGTGCGCAACCGAACGCCCCCACCGCACTCCGTGTTGCAGTTCCAGTCGACCCATTGGGAGTAGGTGCATTCAGTCCTTTCCTTTTCCCTCTGCGCGAAATCGAGCTCCTCCGATCGGGTTGCTGTTCGCTGTTTCAAAGCTGGCCCATCTGCATGAATCGTGACCGTCACCTCGTGCATATGCATACCTGGCACCGCTTTTCCAGTTGCTACGTCCTCCGCGTTCCCCTCGGGCACGTCATCTTTTTCAGTGCCTAGATGCTTGGTACTCGGCATAGTGCTCACTGCTGTCAAACGGAAGTCATTCAAAGAAAACTGCTTGCGGTCGGGCAAATGGACAAGCAGCTGGAGTGCGTATTGCTGTCGCAGCTCTACGTGCCCAGTGCCTTGCTTCGCCTCTTCTACTTTTGCGTGTACGGCGCCGCGTCCCGGCTCGCTGCAGTGCACGTTCGTCACTTCTGGCTGAAACGGGCAGAGGAGATCGTTTTTGGAAAAGGAGATGTCAAACAGGTTTGCGTTTTTTCGCTTCACACATTCGGAAAACGAAACTTTTGCGGCGGGCAGGTAGCGCAGCACGCGATCGTTCATCTCAGTACTTGCAGATTGTTGTTGAGCAGCGTCAGATGACCCAGAAGCTGCTTGCCCATTTCCCGGCTTGTTCCCTCCGTCTGGCTGGAATTTCATGCTGGGGGATTCTTGCAGGTCAATCAGTGGACAGGTTTGGTCATCTGCATCTTGCAGCTCAGCCGAGCCAACTTTGACCATTTGGTAGTCCTCGGGTATTCGCAAAACAAGCCTTTCCACTGGCGATGAAATGGACAGCAGAAACGCCAGAGTCAGCACCGTCGTAGCGCCATAGGCGCGATCCTCCAGGTGAATCGACAGGTCGTGCGTCTTTTCCGCAATGATTTGGTGCCGGTGGTCATGGTCGTAGCGATCGGCAGTGCCGTCATACATCGGCACTGGCTGGACGAAAACGGGGACTGTCACCGTATCCAGCGGTGGTCCGTGCTCCTCGTTTTTATGCCGCTCCACCGCTGCCATTCTTTTTTTTCTCCGCTTTTCGGCCTCAGCTTCCTTGTGGGCTGCATACGCCATCAATCGCTTCTTTTCTCTTCTATCGACTTCGCTGTCCTGGGTGGAGTCGGTGTCTTTCGACGTCGCCGCCGTCGTGGTCTTCGGTCCGGGAGGATTTTTCAGTTTCTTCCCAGGTGCAGCTTCATCTTTATTTTCGTCCTTAGCTGAAGACGTTGTAGAAGTTGTACTCGACAGCGAGGCGGGTCCGGCTTGAGTTTGTTGCTGTCCAAGTCCATCTCCCTTCAGTTTTGCTTCTTCTTCTTCGTTGCTGCGGCGTGGTGAAGCTGATGCCCCCGCGCCAGCAGCCTGGTCATCAGTCTGCTTTGCCAAGGACGACCCCGCTGTGGTCTCCGCCTCCTCTGGCTGCTGCACGGCAGAAATCGATCGAGTTGTTGTAGTTTTGCTGGTGTCCTCCTTTTGTTCATCTTGTTCCGCAACTGCATTCACATCGTAGTTGTTGGCATGATCATGATCATGATCATGCTTTTCATTGTTGTTCACCTGCGGATCATTTGTTGCGGACTCTTTGAGAAGTACATCTTGATCTTGCTGTTGTTCGTGTTCGAAGTGATCTTGCTTCATCTCCCCAGCCCCTGGTAGATCTTTGTTTTCCGTCGTGGTAGAAGTTGTTCCCTCAACGCTTTTCTGGTCGTACTCGTCTTGTTCCAACTTTTTCTTCCCAAATGCTCGCTCAGGTTGTACAACTGCAGCTTCACCTGTATTTTTGCCAGTCGGTGTTGTACTAGCCCCATCTGTAGTTGTACCAACTACACCAGGACCAGCAGCATCCATCCGCCCTTCGCTGCTCGGCGTTGTAGCCCCATCTGTAGTTGTGCCGACAGTTGTAGTAGTAGCACTGGCTCCTGCACCAGCAGCAGGAGCAGCAACCATCTCCTTTTCACTGCTCGATGTACCCCCATCCGAAGTTGTGCCGACAGTTGTAGTAGTGGCAGCAGCACCAGTAGGAGCAGCATCCATCCGTTTTTCCCCGCTCTGGCCCGCTGCCTTGTTCTTTTTCTCCCCACCTGCTCCTCCGTGGTGCTTGCCGTTTGATGCCGGTTGCGAAGAGACTATATCCGCTTGTTCGGGCGGCAAAGATGTCGCTGTCATCGTGCCGGGAAGATTTTTCAGTTCTTCTTCTTGCACAGCTGCAGCTGCTTCAGGTTCAGCCTTCCCGTGATGATTCGCTGGAGGTCCTGTAGTACTCTCCGATGGAGGAGCGCCGGGTTGAACTTGTTCATTCTTCAGTTTTAACAGATCTTCCTCGGAGCCGCGGCCGCTGTCGTGCGACAGAGATCCCGGCTGCGAGCCAGCAGCCTTCTGCTCCTTGTTCTGAGCTCCTGCAGCCAACCCTGGTGTCGTGGGCGCCGTCTTCACGCCATGTTGCTGCACCGTCGAAACCGGCTGAGGCGCATGATGCTTTTCCTGTTGTTTCTCTGCAAGAAGATCTGGATCTTCCTGTGCATTGTTCAAGGATGCGATGGAGCTCGAGGTTTTGGGCTCTTCACCTGCTCCATCCCCCTTCTCGTTCTCTCCGTCCTTCGTCGCCACCCCTGGTTTATTTCCCGTATCAGGAAGAGCAACCTCAAAATTATAGCGGTTCATCTGCTGATCGTCTTCTCGGACCACCTGCCCTGCATGTGGAGGCCCGGTTCCTGCTTCCATTGCAGCAGTAGCAGATCCTGTAGCTGTAGGCGCAGTAGTAGTTCCCGCATTAGCTGCAGCAGCAGATTCCGTCCGCCGTTCCCTGCTCTTGTCCTGTGCCCGTTTCTCCCCGCCACTACCGAGGTCTTTATTGCCGTCAACCGGATCTTCTTGCGAAGTAGTAGAGACATCCGCTTTGGGCAAAGATGTCGTGGCCGTGGTCCCGGCAAGATTTTTCAGTTCCTCGGCTCCTGCAGCAAGCAAATATTCTTCGTCGAGCTTCGGCTGCGTTGCCGGTTTGTTGTTCTTTGTGTCGTCCAAGACGACGTCCTTGATGTTGATTTTTCCCTCCCCCGTGTAGTCATGATCCTTCGCTCCGCTTACGATTATTTCGTCCGCGGCAGCGAACAAAACGCAGGGCTGCGGCCCGGTGGAAAACAGGATAGCGATGTCGTTGAGGGATATCAACTCCGTCAAGTACCCCCGGAATGTGCAGCCCGCAGCAAGAGCTGCGGCCGTGCGGGCTAAGTGGTTCAACTTCATCGTGTTCCAAGTAGTTGTCGTGGTCCTCGCTTCCTCCTCGTCTCAAAAAAAAGCCGGATGGTGCTCCGACTTGCGTGTTGTAGATGGTCTTATTAAGTAATATGCGGTCTTGTCCTGCACCTGCACACTTCTCCTTGGTGGAGATGAAAATAATGGGGTTGCAATCTACGGGCTCCAGGAGGTCCAGGCGAAACACCGCCCTCCAACGGACCTACGACGAGCGGCCCGCCGTACCTGAAAATTATGAATCGTCTGTCTGACTAGCAAAAGCATCGAGGAACAGGAGTTTTTTTTCTATTCTAGCAGAAATTCATCACTTTATCTACTTTTACACCAATTTATTCCTGTTATCTCTATTCAAAAAATTATGAAAATGTTACGAGAGTCCCCCGCCTCGGATATGGTATTTGCCTTAGTGTCGTTCTCGTTCTCCTTCACAGCCTTGCTGCCCTTCAACGTGATCCTGGACAGCACGAGCAGAGAGGTTTTATAGCAGCTCTGGCACGCGTTTTTAGTTCCAGCCAGAATCTGGCTCGTGTTCACGCACGAGAAGAAAAACGGCGGAGGTTCTCCTCGTTGTAATAAATTGGATGCACCTGATACATGGGTGAATGACCACTTATTTTCCAAGATAATATTCATGAACAATGATTACGAAGTGACCTCGCACATGATTCTATATTCATCAAAGCGAAATGGCAATCAAGTTCTTCGGTTGTAGTTCTCGAACAAGTCGGTAGCGGGTGATACGTCGCTGTTCTCGAATATCTATGTATAATGCTCACCCGTCGCACTCCAGCTCCTTTACAAACGCGACTGGAGTTCTTCTTGTGGCGTCGACGAGCTCTAAGACTACGCCTTGTGGCGTCGACGACCTCCAAGAATAAGCCTTCAGATGAAGTCGTCTTGGAGACCAAGTAAAAAATTCAGACCGGCCGACTCGTACCTAGAGTGGAAGTTGTTGAGCTGCTAGTTTTATGTGGTAAATCTGTTGTCTCGTCACTTCTACCATGCTAGTTGTACTAGAGGCACGCAACCATGTATACGTGAGAAGGAATGCATTTCGACAGTGCCAATGCTATGTTGGTAAAAAAAAAAATGAAACTCTCTTTGAAGTTCATACATGATCACGATTGTCATTCATGAATGCTTGTGCGATGGTTCCCGTGTCCTCCGTCTCCCGTACTTAATTACGAGCCCGTGCGTCAAATATGCTTGGTCGCACCTCCAAAGAGTCGACTAGCCGCACCCGCCAAGGCGGTGCGTGGTGCTCCAGACCAGGGCGGCGACAAGAGCGCTCCAAGTCGTGTGGTGTGGGAGCACGCGTAGCGAGTTGAACGAAACGCGTAGAGGTGTACACGTTGAACTACCTGTGTTGACGTTGAGCATAAGCTGGGAGAAGGTCCTCTGGTGTAGAGAGCCTCCATTACGGAAACTTACACACGCGTCTGGTAAAATTAAATATGAGTCCTCTTCATCACAAAAGAAATACGATGTTGGTGACCCTGACCACAGCAGCGCACTTCAAAAGGCTTGCCTCCGCCTCCACCAGCTTCACAAACCAGGCTTTTATCCCTGCACGGATTCAACAAAGCACGCAGCCTTAGGGTTACCACGCGCCACGCCTTTCGTTCAGCGGCCTACTTATTTTCGGGCTCGTGTTGTAAGGGAATGGAAACTCGGAGTATCTACACTCCAGTACCTGGTACAGGATATGTTCATTTTTTTTGTTTTTCCGATCCGTATAAATGCAGGGACGTTCGGAGTGGATAAACGCGATAGCGTTTAGCGATTGGGGTGATTATAAAAATTTCGACTTCCTTGCAGTTTCACGTAGAGAAAAGGCAATAATCGCAGGCACTTCTTTGATTTCTAGGTGTAGTCGGAGAATTTGAATCATACCACTATCACGGTCCTGGTCGTGCGGCTGGGTCAATAATTAATCCTCGGTCGACGCGGTCGTGCTCACCCTTGCAACAACCGCAGACGTTTTCCGCAGTCGGTGCTGCACAGCAAGGGTTGTGCCACGGGTAGCTACCTCGAAGTCGGTCCCTTTTTTGTGTCGAGTCGTTACGCCGAGCTCCAGAAGAGAATGAGTTGTCGACACATTGAGATAGATCGTAATTTGATGAGTTCCGCTCCCAGCACAGCCGGGGGGACCAGTGGCGTCGCGATGTGCCGATGGCGGCAGCCGCTTTTTTGGCTTTTCAATTTTGTTATACGTGTGAAGTTGTTTTCAATTCGTAAGTAGTTCATCTTGTCGTGTTCATTCTAGATGTCGCCGCCCGGTACAGCTAGTGCTTCGTACTCGACGTAGCGCTAGCGCGCGATAAATATTTATAACATGTCGCAAAAACATCTTGCTCTTACTCTTGGTCTTGACAATGACATCAAACAAATCAAATTAGATGCGAATCATGCTGCAGTAAAGGAAGCCAAGTGGTAATGTTGTCGCTTTTGAAGTCATATGTCTAGTCTCGACGCTTTTAGGAAGAACAGCGATGCTCCCTTGACCAGCTGAAAATCACCAGCCAGCAACATCATCAAGCAGTCGGGGCCACTACTCAGGAAAGAGCACCAGAACGCTTGTTGAGATCTTCACGCCAGTACGCTACATCTGTTCAAGGTAGTTGTGCTTGTGGCGTAGGCGTAGGGGCTGCAGAGCGCTGCCACCTGTTCAGCTTTGCACAGCGTTCACTTCTTGAGCAGGAAAAACTCATGTACCAAAACAGGTCGCGCGGATCATGAAGCAAACGTATCGAGGATCAGAAGGGATCTTTCAGCAATGGATCGGTGAAACGAAAAAAAAACATGTTCCATCAGCAGCATCAAGAACTTTTTCTTATCGCAGCACGCGAACATTCGTGGGAGCGGCTTAATGTTTTGTCCACTGCCTATCCCATACAACCGGCGGCAACCTTGTTGCGCGACTTGCTCTAACACCTCTTGTTTAATATTCCCACCTCTGTTGCTCGGGCGTCACTGAGCAGGACATCACTGTGCACAACTCTTATAGAAAGGCGAGCCACATCGTTGCATTGCGTTCATTGAATTTTGTTCCACTATGGCCCAACTGAATTCTTCTAACAACACTTTATCTGTAGAACGCTGTCGCCTGGTGGGGCCACGGCCATCATACAGTGGTGGACAACTGGTTGACGAAACTGGGCAGAGTGCTTTTTATTTATTTCATTTTCATTTTACCTTTACGTAGGTATGGAAGTACATCGCGGGAGGTTCGTTTCAACTCAAATCGTATGGTAAATTCGCGATATCCGGGCGCGGGAACTTGGACTTGTTCATGGAAATTTCAAACCGATTTTTGGTGTCCTCCGAGATTCGCCGCCCCACTGGCTGCTGCTCCGGCTGCTGAATCCCAGCCTTGCTGCCCTCCGCGGCGAAGACAAAAGGCGTGCTGTAGTTGTTGTTTCCTGTGGGGTTGCCGTCGTGGTCGTCGAAGCAAAAATCGGGCTGCATCAGCCCCATCTTGCTGCGGTCCAGATTTCCTCGGTGAGGGCTCGGCTTGCCGTGGATCTGGAACGCCGGCGCCGGCATGAGGGATGCGGGCACGCCGGCTACTTGCTTGGGCGGATGGTTTTTACCCAGAGATGAGCCTCCATTTTTCCCTCCCCCAGCATGCGGCGGTGACGAGTATGCCGGACCGTTGTTCTGGAGCGCAGCGGATGCAGCTGGTCCCGGTGACGGCGCGCCGAAGTTGTTGAGAGACGGCGATAGCTGCGACGAGCTGTTCTGGCCGCCGCCGTTGCCCATTTGCGTCATGGTGTAGTAGGAAGGCATGAAACTATTGTTGCTGTTTGTGTTTGTGCCGCCTCCTGCGGCCCCGGTGACGGGGACGTAATTGGAAGATGTTGTGTTCTTGCTTTTGCTTCTCCGCGGCTTCTGCTTCTTCTCGTGCTGCTTCAAGGGGCTGGCGCTCAGCCCCCGGTCCGCGAAGCTGCCGAAGCACTGGAATTCGGTCTTGTCGCGGCCGTGCAACAATTTCTTCTTCGTTTCCGCGAACTTGTGCGCCAGGGGGTCTTCTGGCGTGTACGACGGAAGCGCTTTGCTTTTTGACGATGAAGAAGATGATGAACCTGAGCCCGATGACGACGAGCCGCCGATAGTACTTGAACCTGCTCCGCCGCCAATGGAGCTCGCCCCAGCACCTTGATATAATTGTCCTTGGTGATTCGAACCGGTAGACGAGGACGACGCACCACTGCTGCCCCCGATTGTCAACACGGGTGCGGCCTCCGCCACGAGATCGTAGGTCCCTGGGCCCGGGGTGTGGGAAACGCAGGGGAAGCGCTCCTGGCTCGTGGGCACCGCGACCTCGCCGTTCAACTGACGCAGCTGCTGTCGCACGTTCACCCATTGGCGGACGAAACCCTGCGATGTAGTGAGGTCATTTCAAGAAATAGAGAAGGACTTGGTTCAGAATTGCATAATCGCGATCGCAGTCGGAGTCGCCACGTAGTACTTACAATGCATAGATACATCCAATGGCCATGATCCTCGATAACTCTTGATGTTGTTGTAATAAACCGAAGAAAAGGTGGTCTAGGTCGCCAGCAAAACACACACACACGACCTACTACACGCTTACCCTGGGCGGGCTGCCCCCGGCGGCTCGTGGCCGCGTCTTTTTCGGGGAGGCGGACGACGTGTAATCTTGTTGCAGTTCGTCCAAGACCATCGGTTTCAAGGTCGGCAGCGAACAGGGCCGCGCCATCGTGCCAAACACCACGTTTTTCGCGACCTTGCGGTCCCGTGACAAAAAACTGGTGCGGGTTTCCTTCGGATCTGTAGTTGTGGATGCATGTTGCTCAGTGGCGGTCCAGCTTGGATAAACGAAGTGCAGGTGGTAAAAAAGTTTCAACGTTTATTCTTATTGTGAAAAGAGAAGCCAAGCATAGATGAAAATGTTTCTACGTTGTATGTGGCTAAATCTTGATCTTCTCTATATGACTGAATCTATACCAAGCCGCTCGTCGTCCCGGAGAAAATGTTGCAGACTGGGAATACTACACCCAGTTTTCCCCGTGAACAGCGAGGGAACGTTCAGCGCCCGGAGGTTTGTCATGGTCTCCCGACCCCCGTTCAGGGCCCGCTGCGGCGGCGACACGTCTAAACCTCGGACGAACATGTTCTTGTGATGATCGTTCTGTGGCGTTTGTTACTTGTGGGAGCTGGTTTTTACCGTTTGTTACTTATCCTTGTTAAGTATGCAAGTGCACTTACAAGAAACAACACTTACCGGACGATAACTTTAAGTTCTTCATCAACAAGAACTGTGCACTTAATGTAGCTGCGGCTACGCCCTCGCTCTCTTTGGGATGGCAGCAGCAACAGTTGTGACCTGCTTGCATAGGGCGCACCGGATAAGCCAAAACACGAGCAGGGGGCCTCGCGTAGTTTGTTGTGATGCTACGACGGCGGCGAAAAAATTCAAAAATAAATATTAGCGGACCACGAGGTTTATCTGGCCGAATCAGTTAGTTTATTTACGTCGAGTGAAAGCGAGCACATCAAACACGCAAAAATAAAATCAGCGAATCAAAGAGAAAAGGCCTGCAACCGCTCCCGGGCTGCTCTTGAAGCTCTCATCAAACAAGTCAGTGTCTTCACTCAACCATACGTCGAAGAGAATGAAAACGAAATGATGTACCAGCAAGAAGGAGGAAGCCCGCTAGCACAAAAATGCGAGTTCTTCTTTTTTTACGAAAAGAAAACCACTTGGGCTTGTCCACTGGGATCCCGACCAGGCGGAAATCAACGCCAACGCAACATTTCTTGGCACGTATAACGATAAAATGTCAGTAGGAGTTCGCTGTCGGGTTTTCTTCCTTGCAGGTTCGTTCCTCTTGCTTTGCCGTTCCTGCTCGAAATCAAAATAATTAAAAACTACTCACGTGAGTTTAGCAACTTGATGATTGCTCCTTCGTAGTGTCTTTTACGAAAGCCACACGGTGCCTTCCGTTTTCTAATAGATCCTGATGATCATGGTTGCGTGAAGAATATCAAACTCATGGCTGATTGTCACTTACTCAGGTCCTTTGGCTTACTTCACTTTCTAGTAGGATACACAACCAGCATGAATTGTCACTGATACACTGTCTGTACTTGATTGGAAAAAAAAACAAAACGCCACGATATTATTTGAAGCTGTGAAGGAGCTGTACTTCTTGCATTTGATTCGAGTGTTGATGAAAAAGCACGAGCCACGAATGGCACATTTTCTGCTGCAGCTCCTCGTCAACAGAACTTTGCGGAACGACTTTTCTCTGAGCAGACGTTACAACGGCTTCTGGGCCGTAATTTGTGCGGAGGCGACGTACTTTTCGGCTCCACTGCCCGGTAGCCAGCCCGCGATAACCTCTCGACTTTCCTCTTTGATCAGCACCTGAACGGCCGCGAAACCCGCGTCCTCCAGGTCTTGTTGCAGCGCGGTGACTCCCACCGCGCCCCCGACTCAGCAGGCGTAGGATTCGTCCGACTTCAGGGCCGTGGGCAGCTCCTTTGCCGACAGCTTCACGAGGTATCCTGTGCAAAAGTATCGCACTCGTGGTAATTGCAGTCATGCATTATTTTTTTTCTCAAGGTAAACCCTCACTACAAATTTCATTTCTATCTAATGCTGCGGAAATTTAATGAAATGCATTTATACGAGTGCGATACTTTTGCAATGCATACGATGTCGGAGACCGCAATCCTGCCCCCGGGCTTCAGGACGCGCAGCATTTCGCCGTAGACCCGCTTCTTGTCGGGCACCAAGTTGATCACGCAGTTCGAAATCACGCAGTCGACCAGCCCGTCGCCGCACGGCAGGTTGTCCAGCTCCCCGAGTCGAAACTCGACGTTTAATATTGCATGAGGAGACTGGCGATTCGTACTTTCGCTTTCCTGATTCGCCATCGTTATCATCTCCTTGTCCTTCTTCTGCGCCAAAATCGCCCGGGCCTTCGCAAGCATCTCGGGTGTCATGTCCACTCCGATCACTTTACCCGTCGGTCCCACCACGTCGCTGCAGAGGAAGCAGTCGAAGCCCGCCCCCGACCCGAGGTCCATGACCGTCGTATCCTGTCCAAAAGCATCACGCTCGTATTGCAATCATGAAAACTTTTCTTAAGGCAAGTCCGCATTACAAATTTTCTTTCACTTTCTCATGCTGAGGAAATTTGTAATGCATTTATACGAGTACGATACTTTTGCAATACATACGTCTCCCCGGGAAGCAATTTGGCGAAGTCCCGCGGGTTGCCGCACCCGAGACCCAGGTTGGCCTCCTGGTTCGCTGCCATGTCGGCATCCGTGTAGCCCAGTTGCCGGGAAACCGCCGTGAAGTCCCGTCCCGGGTTGCAGCACCCGCTGCTGGCCCCGCCCACCACGTCCACGCCCAGGGCGGCCTGTCGGTACTTCTCGCGGGCCGCGTTTCCCGGGTCTTTCTGCGTTAAAATCGTATTGAGAAAGCGGTGGGCGGTCGAGGCGAAGTCAATCTTGACATTCCCCGCACGAGGACCTCCTGCTCCGGAAGCAGCTGCTGAAGCACTGTCAGCACACACCGCCGCTTCCGAAAAAATCTCTGCTCTGGGGACTAAAATCGACACGCTGTCCTGTTTCAGCTCGGCGAAGGGGAGCGCCAAATAATCTTCGTCGCTGGAGGCGAGCTTATCTGACGTTGGGAAGAGCTCGTCCAGGTCCTCGTCGAGAGTATCGACGTCGGTGAAGGTAAGATTTTGGTTGTGGTCCTCGTGCTGGTCCGCCACTTGCGCTTTGATCGCATCTCGAAACGCAACGGAATCCTGGTTCCAGGTCGCGAAGAAGACTGTCACTTCGGGGGACATGGTAGAAGTTGGGGTTTGATGAAGTCCACTCGAGATTATTTGTAAATAGGCTGCTGACAAAATGGAAAGGAATTGAAGAGCAACTTCTTGTACATCTTCTATATCTGGTGATCAATGCTGGTGCTGCTCCCCCTAGTTTGTTACTACTGTACACATCGTCGAGTGGCGTTCACGTTGCCCGGCGTTCCTCTACATAGACCGATCGGAAACAGGACCGCCAAACAAAATATTTTCACAGAACATCACAGCTTGAAGAACATCAATGCGAAGAAGCCCTCAATCTTCCTGGCGCTGGCCAGGGGATGTGGATCATGAATGCAAGCGTCATAATTCTTTAATTGACCCACTCTATGATCGGGGAAGCTGTAGCTGCAGCTGCACACATTCAGCGAAATAAAAGCGTGGTTCTTTTCGCGGCGACAGCTTATGTTTATTTTGCAAAAAGAGTTCTCCCATGTAATATACACACGCGGATATTTGTATTTCCTTTTGCAGAAAAAACACGTCCGCGCAGCGCTGCTTCTGTTTTCCAAGGACGAGCTCCACGCCTACACGCTATTTCCGAACCTGCCAGAAATCCGGTCGACAAGCTTTCGTGCTGCGACCACCTCCTCCGCTGGAGAGACACCATGGTAACTTCGCCCCACCACATGAAAATTCGCCGCGGCGCCGCAGCGCACCGCCTGACGCAGGAGCTTCGTGTGCGTCTCCGCCTCGTAGACGGGGAAGGCGTACTTGTGGGCTGTGGAAGTGGAGTGGTCGGCGGGGTGCGGAATTTTGAGAAATTGCTGTGCCTCTTCGGCACCAATGCCGCAGGCATACTCGTGGTCCGCGAGCTTAGTATTGTGTGGTCCCGCAATTTTTGTTGTACTATTCCCGCCATTGTACAACGTGGGACCCCTTGCTGCAGTAGCTTCGTTCTCGTGCCGTGTGCCCGGGATCGTTTCGGGTACGAAGAACTGAATGACATCTCCAATGCCTGCCGTTCTTCCAGCAGTGTTCGTGTTCACATTTCCCTGCTCGCTTCCGCGTCCATCCACCGCTCGCCCAACAACATCACCCATAGTAACAGTAACTGTCGTCCGACGTAGGGGTGGGAACAGCCTCGAATGAAAAGTAGCGGAAGAGACTGTGGAACTCGATGCCGCATAGTAACCTCCGCCTTTTAGAAGCTTTGGCTTTAGCTTTTCCGTCCATAAGAGCGAGACGACGCTGCAGGCCACCGTTTGCAGATCACGCAAGCTCGCACCCAGTTCCCGGAGAGCCTTCAGAGCAACCGGTGTCGGTCTGAGATCTGCATCGTCCCCTGGTGCTTGTTGTGTTTCATTTCTCTGTATGTTGTCGACGTCCGGCCTACAACTTCTTTCCGGTTCCATCGCGAGGAGGAGCTTTGCAGTCTCCTGCGCTGGTAGAGCGGACACGAGACAATCCACGTCCCGAATCTCAGTCCAAGATGAGCTCGGCGTCGTGTTTGTCCCATGATCTTCCGGCCCACTAGATGCTTCACGATCCTTCACGTTATCTTGTTCTAGCCTTCTGTCTCCTCGTAGTTTGACAAAATGCTCTTGAGGGCATTGGCGTTGCCGGTGCGCCGCGTCGTCCTCGGATTCGACGGAACTCTGGTGCGCATTGCCATTGGAAATGCGACAACTGTCCTCGAGCTGCAGGGATGCATCTCTTGCAGAAGTCCTCGCTCGTGAACAAGACTGGGATACAACATCGCTTTTTCTCCTCGTCTCCTGCTGCGCTTGGGTATGATCTGAGAATTTCAGATCCTGTTTCAACCGGGCCAGGTAGTCCCCATCTAGAGCGTCATTGCGATAAGCGACTGCAAATTTCGTTCGCCGCACGCTGGAAAGGGCATCGTAATGGTCGTGGTCCACTTGTTCCGGTGTCGACGTACAGATCCGCAAGATGTCTGTGATGTCGGTGCTTTCTTGGCCAGGCGGTGCGCTTGTCGAATCTATAAGACGAGACTCGTCCTGGCGTATGGTTGTAGGCGTTGTAGTGGTCTGCCTCTGTTCTCTTTGTGTTGTCTGCAGCTCGCGACCGACCGCCTGAGCACTGGATGAACAGGCAGCAGTTTCTTCGTTTTCTTTTTGTCCCGTTGACGATGGTCGTGGCACACCATGAGGCGCCGCCAACCTCGATAGAATTCTTTCGTGGTGGTAAGAGGAAGCTCTTAATGAAGACTCTCCTATCGCTCGCGTCGCGATGCGCCATTCCAGGGTTTTCGCGAGGAACTCGAGGCCGCCAACGAACGAGTAGCACCGCCCCTTCGTGTGCAGCACTTGCAGCAAGAGCGGGTCACAGGCCGAGAGGCAGAGCCAGCTTCTGTTCGGGTGGAACAAGCTCCAAAATCCGCCGAGGAGCACGGAGCCCAGGTACCGACTGTAGAATCGCGAATTTGCGTAGATGCGCGGAAAACAGTGGCGGGGCGAGATGTGTATTGAATTTGATGGGCTTGCTCCAGCATGATTTGTAGATGTAGTTGCGGCCGCCGCGCGGCCTTCTTTCACTCCATATTGCGCGTGTACCACGGCGTCCAGCAAATTCCGAGCTACACCGGCCCCAAACCGTTCTTGGAAAAAATCACGCACAGTGAGTTCCGGACCTGCTATAGAGGTCGTTGCATCTTCAATTATGGGGGTGGCGGAAGAGACCTTTTCCTTTGGTACTTCTGATCCCTTGGCGGAAGCAAATTTTGGTACTTCGACGAGCTGTCCGTTAGCGGGAGCAACCACGTTGGAGGTACTTCTGATCACATCATCATTTTTGCAGGTACCATCGGCTCCAGATTTATTTCGAAAGAGTCCTAAAACGCCATCGCTTGTTGAGTTGTAGGTCCGCGACAAGACATCAGAATTTGATGAACTCCCAGTACTGCTTGCTCCAACATCTGCCGGGACCCCTGCCGTTGCCAGCGCAAATTCACGGGGCTCGTCGTGTCTCCTCGCTGTCTTTGCAGCCAGCGAACTAAGGAGCTTGTTGAATATCAACCCGTCACTAGTTAGTGCCACGTTCATCTTCGCAAATATCGCTCTCCAGAGGGTTTCCATTCCCGTGACCAGATCTCGTTTCCACTGGAACAACATCCGCGGTCGGACCAGATCGCTGAGAAACGAGATTCCAAAACGGAAAACGCCGCGAGCCGAGAGCGGGTCGCGGAGGACAAAAGAGCAGGCCAAATCATGTTGACCCCTTTGACAAGCAGGAGCTTCTGCCACTATATTCCACGACGTAGTTCTGTCACTGCAGGTGGTAACAACTGAGGGCGTTGTTCCTCGAGTAGACGTTCTTGCAGCAGGTGGGACGACGCTCAGTGGCAGGAGGGGCGAAGTAGAAGATGAAGACCTACTTGCAGCTTCTCCGTCTAAGGTGCTTCCGGCTCTACTACTTGAGAGGGCAAGCCTTATGCTATCCCACAGCCAAAACGTCCAGGAAAGCTTCCTGCGGTCGAGTTTGCAGTAGTATTTCGACGAGGGTTTGGCCTCGGCGAGGCGTAAGTGATGCGCGACGTTCAGCCGTTTTACCAATCCCAACGCCTCCCGCCCTGCGCGGTTGCACGTAATGGACGAGTACATGCCACTTTCCAGAAGGAAATAACTACCGGTGATGTAGTTCTCGGCCGAACTGGCTTTCTGCAGATGTTGTACAGAAGTCTTAGAAGGTGAAGGAGGCACAGTGCTCCTGCCAGGTCTGTCGCACAGCTGCTGCAGATGAAGGGTACCGGCTCGCGTTCGCGTTGCTTCATATTCGCCTTCAGCAGCGCGCTGTTGGCAATCCGCAACATCTCTCCCCGTCCTCGCCCGGAACCACTCGCTTCGTGACCCGACCCGGCGATTCACACCAGAGCTAAAACCAATCAGAAACACCTCCGCGTGTGGTAGCTTTTCCCGCAGCAGAAAAGCGGTCGCTAACCCAGCGAGTTCGTCTCCGAGGACACAAATGCGTGGACCGGTTCGGTCCGCAAGGTGTTCGGAGGTTTTCTGAAGGACGCGCTTCATGATCAATCAACAAAACCGGATCTAATTTTATCATTCGGCGGGAAAATGCTCGCTGCAGGCGGTGGGGGTCCTCTCTTCCTCTTGACGTCGAAGCGCGGGCACTGAGTCATCTAGACCGGCAGAAAATGTTGCTGAACTTATCACCTCCAAAGCGTCTACTGCAAGAAAAACGAAGGCAACCACAACACGAATACACACACCAGGAGCAACTACCAGAAACACGAAAGCTCGCACACAGAACGACGACAGTTGGTCGTTGCGACTATTTTCACAGACTTCCTGCACTACTGCTTTCGCAAGGGGTCATCATGGAGACGCTTCTTATCTTGGTTCATGAACACAGAATCATCTCCTGACTCATTCATAATCATTTTCGCACGATCTTCTTCTTCATGGGGATGGCAAGAAGAGCAATAAACAGCGGGTTGCGTAGTTACATCTTCATGTATTGGTTGGAATGCTGCTCACACCCGTCGGTGGACCTCGTATGTTGATGCAGTGCTGTCACATTTACCAAGGGTTGTGAGAATCTACGATCCGCTTTAAAGCAGGCCAAGTCGTTGTTGATAAATGACAATCAATTATCACATGTTGACCTTAACAGAATAAATCCTGCCGTGCTCATGTACAACCGGAAAAGTTCTTACTTCTAGGCGACATGGTCTGCAGCGAGGACCACAACTGCAATGATGCTTACTCGTCGAATGATGTGCAACATAAAATGGTGGAGACAACCCAATCCGGGGTACGGATCAAGAACGTCGAGGTAGTCCTAGTCAACATCCAGAATGAGAATCTGCAAGATGAAGCTTCCTGACGGTCGTAAAGAGCTACACTATGGAAAGCTGCTATTAAGTGCAACTGCGTGTCGTGAGGAGCCAGTCGCTATTCAAGTCTGAGTCTCTAAGACACTCCAAGAACTACCCGTCCAGAACTACATCTACAAGTTCTGCTAACATCAGTACACGCCTAACATCAGTACACGACATTGGGCATCAAAACCCAGATTGCAGCTACAGCACAGATTTTTCCCGCCACTGCGTAAGAATTATGCATGCGCCCGACATGACTTGTCTGTCAAGGAAGTTGTGACAGTGAGAGGGTAGAAGGTGACTTCTGCAAAATCATGCATCGCGTACCTCTACTGCTCCTTCGAGTTGTGCACACCTTCTAGCACCTTTACAAGAACTATCAGTGATAACATGACGTCGATAAAATCCTGGTCGCTACTTACACATCAACAACTACAGGAAAACCGTAGAACACTGTCTACGGTCGGTGAATGCTTGGCAGTCACAAAAAAGTATGGCAGCTGATCTTCCCATAGTTCGAGCTAAGACTAACTTATACTGGCCTTCATGAGCAGTGCCGCCCTCCATGCAAGCGCCTCGAGACACCCGTCCGGCTGCAGCTTGCATAAAGGGGAGGACCACGACTTCTTTGTAAGTATGCTGAGGACGTCGACGAAAAGCACTCCATCATTGTGTTCCTCCGATTTTTGAAAGCGAGAGAACTACGTCTCGTTCAACAAAATAGTTTTGTGAGTGAAGGGTTAGGGAGGTAGGGGTGCAACTCGCTGGTTATTCATCAAATTACGTCAAATTGTACTAGAGGTCCCGACACTTCTTCTGGGATAGTTTCCAATACTGTTCTCTCAACGGTTAAAGCAACGAAGTACAGGTGGAGTTGCATCAACATGTATGCATTTACGATTCTTTTTCTTGCTGTAAACAACTACAACAACAGCACGCATCAAGTTTTTCCCCCTTCCAAAGATAAGGAAGCCACACAGCTTCAGGCGCAGTCGCGCTGCTCGGGGGAGCACGTTGCTCCAGGTTTTTTGTACACTTGCGAACATTAAGGTACGGATACGGAAGCCACACAGCTTCAGACCCGGTCGCGTCGCCGCTTGTTGCTTTTGTCAATGTCAAGCAATGCCAATGTCTACTCCGCTAACAACTGCGTAATAACAAGCCGGGTCTAGCTAAAGGTCCACATGATCCGTGCTTGCCAGCAAAGCGAGCGCCGCGGGGTCAGGGTTACTGTGCGAGGAGGTTCGACCTCTCTGCCCACGACCCTGTTGCGCGGCTCCTGCTTCTCCGCCATAGAAGTTGCGATTTCCTCGATTAGGTTGCACAACTCCATGCTGCTGCCCACTCGAGGACGCAAGCGACCTGGCGGACTCTAGCCGAGTTGCTTCCCGCAAAGCGAGATTCCGGCGGTTCGCTTCCTCAATGTGCTCGAGGAACGCAGTCTCGTTTCTCTTCTTCTTGCCTGTGCTCGTAGTCCCGCTCATCGATAATTTATTCTTCCGATCTTTATTTTTCCTGTTGCTCGTGCTCTCCCTTCCCGTGGAGGCCCCGCCTGCGGCGTGGTTGTGCGTACTAGAAGTAGTTGTGTTACTACGACCAGGACCTGCTGCTGCGCCTGGTGGCGTCGTAGGGATTATACTTCTCGGGCTGCGGCTGAAGGTGGTATTCATGATGTGCTGCTGATTTTGCTGCTCCGCGGTAATAAAATCATCGTTTCGCGAGTTGTTGTTTCCAGCACTGTTCATCCTCATTTTCGTTCCAGTCTCGATCCTCGTGGATTCAGTAGTTACACAACCGGGAATCAAACCTCCGGTCGTGCAAGAACTCCGTGTTCCGGAGGATTGCAGCGTGAAAGAATTGAGCGACCTCCGGGAATTATACGAATAGTGAGAGTCATTCGTAGTTGTGTAGGTCGCAGTCGCACCAGTTATTTCTGCGGCATTACTGTTGAAAGCCGCGCCGGCCTGAGAAGAGTTCGCCCTTGGCACCGTCGAAGACGAGGACCTACCAGGCGGGAGCGGAATTTGCAGCAGCGGCGAGGACGATAACTGCGGCAAACCGGCACTGTAGCTGTAAGCCGACAAATCTGCGTCCGGATTGATTTTCACCGAGCGCGGGCTGCTGGACGGAACGGAAGATGCGTTATAATTTTCTTGCGGAATTATATGGGCAGGAGGTGAAGGCGAGTTACGATGCTGCAATGAGGAAGAGGATGCTCCTGTAGCAGCTGCTGCTGGAACACCAGCAGTAGATCCTGTCGCTCCTGCCAGCGGCGGAATGGTTCTTGAAGGAAATGTGGAAGGTGAAGACACGTCTTTGTCGTGACGTTCTTCGCCGACGTCTTGGGCTTGATCCGGCGCCGCTAGAGGATCTCTTGCATTTTCGTTTTCCAGTCTTCTATCTCGTGGAGGGGTCGATCTAGATGTGGAGGATCCCAATCCACCAACGCTTCCCTTTGCAGATGTGGTGTCAAAATTATTCATGTCTTTATCTACTGGCGAAGAACCAGACCCAGTCCCGACGGTGCTTGGCGTGTTATTGTTTTCGACAGGTAGTAAATGAGGATGCAGCTCCTGGGGCTGGTGCTGCCCGGACGCAGCTCTGCGATCATCTCCTTCGTCCGTGATGTTGTGGTCTCTACTGGCATGATTGTCACCAGCGTATAATTCTTCTTCATTTGAGACCCCCCGCGCAGGAAGATGATCGCATTTGATCTGCTGCATGGTATGATTGTTCATCTGGAGGCTAGTTCTGCGCTGCTCATCAACAAGATTTTGTATAATTTCCTTTCCGGAGGCCCCGCACAAATCCTGATTCCCCGCCTGCTGACCCGCCTCGTTTTCGCTTGTGTATGACAACATGCTATTGTACATCAGGTCGTGAAAGTTTACCGTATTCGCAGTGTTAGACCGCTGAAGGAGGACAAAAGAGCTGCTCTCGATTTTCTTCTTCGAAGCTATACCAGCAGGCTTATCGTTATTGTCACCATAGAGATCACGTTGAACTACATCCTCCTCGTCACAACTATCCTCCTCGTCTTCCTCAACCACACACGTCGTCGTTCCGTTCAACGAGCCAGACGCATTCGAGCCCCCGTTGTCTTCGGGCGCGGCGTACTGGGTTAGGATCAGGTCCTCCAAGTTTGCCTCGTGCGGGGCCCACGACTCGTCGAACATGAGGGCCAGCTCCTTGTCGCTGTAGTCGAAGTCCCGGATCGCGAGCCGGATCCGCCAGAACAGCCAGGAGGTGGTGGACACCGTCAGGTAGACTGCCAGGAGCGTCATCAGCGACCGGGTGAGGTTGTTTTGGAAGATCTGCAGGTCCACCAGCATCTTGTTGCTCACGGCCGGGTTGCTCTTGGCCGTCCACAGCACGTAGAAGAAGTAGCTGTAGCAGTCGTAGCTCGCGTAGGGCGCGAACATCCCTGCCAGAGCGGCCAACGCGCATTCGCGGAGCATGGACTTGAAAAAGGTGATCTCGCAGCGGAAGCCCTGCATGGTGTTCTTGTTTCCCGGCTTGCTGTGGGAGAAGTGGTGCGCGATCCGGGTCGCGGTGTGCAGGTTCAGATATCAAATGCAAATGTGTCTGGGTCTGGAAGAATGCTAGACTTGTCATGCAGGTTGTCCATGACCCATATGATCTGCTATGGAGGACCTAGCATGACAGATTCCGCGAGATCACTACCAACCATGCCTATCCTGCATGAGAAACTGCATTTCACCTTGATCAAAAGTGGGCAGCATTTGGTAGGCATGCAACACAAATTTTTGCATGATTCAGATTTAGCATGACAGGTTGCAGAGATTCAGACCCGGACACATTTGCAATGCATATCAGAATGATGATCACCAAGCGGAGAACGGACAACACGAACCAGATGTACACTGGCGAGGGGACCCAGCAGTGCAGCACCGTCCCCCAGGCCCCCCAGCGCTGGAAGGAGGACGGGAAAACGCACTTGTTCGCAGCGACTTCGGCTTGTGGAAGTAGAAGACCCAGCGGAGACGAACCTGGATGGTGTTGTCCTTGTCCGCCAGCAAGAGCTGCTGCGGTTGGACCATTTATGTTCATCACAGGCACCTTCGCTTCCCCCCGGACCGTCCCGTCCTTGAGAAATTCATACAATTCCGCCTTCGTGTCCGCCTGGGAAAAGCTGTTTTGGTAGAAGGGGATCTCGGAAAAGAAGTGCACAAAGTCGATGACCAACATCAACAGGTTGATCGGCGTCAGGGTCGCGACGGAACAGGCCGCGAGGTTGTGCCACTGGCACTTCACGAAAGGCTCGACTGTTCGGTTCCGGATGTTTTTTATGGCGCTCTCAAACGTTACATTCTCAACCGTTACATGGATTTGTCATGCAAAAGTGCCTTCAGCTGGCAGATGATCGAGCTGCTTCGCATGACAAATATCGGAAGGGCTAAACAGCATCTAAATCTGCGCCAAACTTGTAATGCAAAAGGCGCAATCTTCCTCCTTTCACTTTTCCCATTCTTGCATGACAAATCCATGTAACACTTGAGAATGTAACAGTTGAGAACGCCATATTTTTCCGGATCTCCTTGCGGTCCATCTGCTTTTTGTCGTGCGACTCCGCGTATGCATTGCAAATATATCTGGGTCTGGAAATTTCTGGTGCCAAGTGGCGATGACTGAGCACACCCCTGAGTGCAGCCAAGCATGACAAATTTTCAGGTCGCCGTCTCATGTGTAATCCGCATGAGAAACTGCGTTTTTGCATGACAAAGAATTCGCGCTTTTGTCGGTCGCGCAATACAACAGATTTAGATTTTACAGGAGTGGAGGACACGCATTACAGATTCCAATTTTTCCAGACCAAGACATTTTTGCACTCGATACCGCGCAAATCGTCCAGAACTGGTCGTCTTTGGGTAAGGGGAATGCGAGGACCATAATCAAACACAGCAAACTGCACTTCCGGATCCAGTTTACGGCGACGTACAGAAACCAGGTCCCGTCCGTCCGCGCGTAGTTGATGATGTTGAAATCCACCGTGGTAACCAGGATCGACGCGATGTACAGACACGCGGTGAGCACTTGCCCGGGCACGTGGCTGCAGTCCGCAATGATGGTGGAGAGGTCTTTGGAGCTGTGGGACAAAATCAGGCGTAAGCACGTTGCCTTCTCGTCCGCCGTCCCCCCGTGGTCTAAATAATCGAAAAACCCGAACCGCCGCATCAGGTCCCGCGCCCGGGGGGTCACTTTGTACGTGCTGACCGCCTGCCGAATGCCGTACCACGCAAACATGATGCTGGTCAGAAACATCAGGCACATCGTCAAATTCGTCTCGTGGTGAATCAACAGCTGGCTGCGCCGCAAGTAGCCCTGTTCCGCAAAATGCTTCGCGGGCGCCGTGGCAGCCGGGACCGCCGGAGGAAGTTGTTGTATAGGTAGTGCTCCTGCGGTTCCATTACTATTGCCGGCAGCTTTGAAATTGAGAGCACTCATGTCGTCCGCCATGTGGGCGGCGGCGGCCGCCTGCTGTTGTTCTGCTAATACCACATCCACCACGTACGATCCGTTGGGGCCCACGGTCATCAGCTCCTCGATGGTGGGCGCTGTCATCACGCCAAGCTGCTGGAGCAGAGCGTTCATTTTGATATTGTTCCTGTGACAACAAGAACAACTACCGAGGGTGTCGGTTAGTACCTTCACCTGTCAGGAGGGCCAGCCTGAGTTCGCTTTTCCCGATCTGGATTTGCAAGCAATATATGAACCAACTGGATGTTGAACTAGAGGTATATGTAATCAGGTACTTTTTTTTCTTGAACTTCTTGCAAATCTGCCTGTGCCGCCCCAACTCGCAACTCACTGCGAGTTGTCTCGATAATTTTCCCTCCGCGGCGGAGATTTTGTTAAAGTGGTAACGTGGTGCTGTCGCTAGTTTTCGTCGCTGTTTGAATATTTTTAGCACACATCATGAGAATGGTGCTCTAGTAGTTGTAGGTGTAGCGCTAATCTCTAGCTGCATGTAGTCAATGCTTTCGTTCATATTATACATCGGTCGACGAGACGTCAATGTTCAGATCTTTCAAAATGTCGTAGAAAAGAATCTGTCGTCCTTGCAAAACAAAAGAATAAGAAATGATATATCACTGATTTCTATAGAAATCGCATTCGATCCACCTCCAATTAATATTATACACGACTTGGATAGCTAAGTACTCTCCGTAACTAAGAGATAAAATCAGAAAAAAACGTCAAAATCCCCGCGCATAGAGCCGTTCGGATCCGGAAGTATATATACTTCCGAGAATATGAAATGCGAAAGCAGCCCTAGTTCGACCTGAGTTCGGTAGTGTGTGCCGGATGTAGTATAGTGATTTTTTTACGGAGCAGGTCGGAATTGATCATTGTCATTGCAATTTCATCTGCAGTGGCAACGGGATGATCCAGTTGTGACTCATAGTCATAAGTCAACAAGATCATCAATGTCACTCAGGAGCTCGATTTCATTTACCATTACCACGACGTCAACCTTGATCCATCATCATAATTCCGCTGAACTTTATTCTCGTCTGAATATTTCGAGTTCAACACTCAAGACCTGAGTGCTTGTTTCGCACCTTGTTCTTATCTTCGTTTGATTCCGATCTTGAACTTGATTGTCATTGTCTACTTTTTTGACGGGATCGCAGCTTATTTCACCGATGATCTACAACTCTAGGTCTAGTATGTCGCCTTTCACTTTTCTGGGCGATCAAGAAACCGCGCAAGGCAATCGAACTCATACTCAACAAGGGTTACCTTATTTAGCTTGTTTCACGAGAAGCAAGTCTCTACGTTGCTCCAGCGCGACCAGTTGAGTAATTTTCATGGTCGAACATCACTGTCGTGCGCACGACGCACAGCACGAACAACTTCGCCACGAGAGCGGAATACCATTTCTGAAATTTATCGATGACGACTCAAATGGATACAACAAATATGTCCAACAGCACGATCTTGTATACAGAATTCAGAGCGAGGGCAACTGCATCATCAAGAACAAACTTATCCAAACGACACATAGACACGAGCAGTTGACTGCAAAACTTTATATGTATATGAAGTGGTCGTAGTAGAAGTCGTTGATAAACTACATCCCTTCATCTCGCCGTCTCCGCACACGCAACGCTTTTCCAGTTCAGGTCCTCATTGCCCCCCTGATTCAGGACCCAGGTGCCCGTGTCGCACGCGCGCCTCACGCAGCGCGAAGAAAAAATGTTATTTTTCCCCGTCGTTCCCCTCGATAAGTCGTAGTTGTCCTGCGCCTTGGTCCAACAGTGGTGCGTGTAGTCGTTCTTCCATTTGTCGAAGTAGTCCTTGTTGCCACAGTATGCATTGCAAATATGCCAGGGTTTGGAAGGATGCAAGTTTGTCATGCTTGTTTCCCATTCCATCCTCTTAAATCTGTAATGCAGGAGCAGAAGAAAAGCCTACAACTGGTACTGCCTGTCATGCAAAATTACAGCTTACCTCCATGCGGAAAGCGCAACACATTATAGGAGCAGCCCAAAAACTTGTCATGCGTGGCTACGTATAATTGCAGTTTTCCCACCATTCACGAACTAGCATCACAAATTCGAGTTTCCAGACCACCCAGACATTGTATTTGCATTTGATACGTAGCTGTAGATGATTTATGAACTGCAAAAGTATTGTATCGTACTCGTATAAATGCATTACAAGTTTCCTCAGCATGAGAAATGAAATTTGTAATGCAGATCTACCTTAAGAAAAGAATTTGTAATGCATGATTGCAATACGAGTACGATACTTTTGCACTGGATATGATGCACTCCGGTCCCATGTAGTCGCACGTCATCTTGCACATCCATTCGATATGGAACTGTCAGGATTGAAAGCGTCAAAGTTGAAATGATTTGTCATGCATAAAATGCGAAACATGAAGCGCCTGTCTTGCCGGGATGGCAAGTGAGGCAGATTGTGAGCCTATTTAGGGTTTGGGATAGAGCTGCCAAAAGAGCATGACAAAAGCAGTCTTCTGTGCCCAAACAGCATGACAAATTGGATTCAACGCTCCGAAAATTTGTCATGCGCCGCTTGGAAATTGGGCTACCACCTGGCATCCATTTTATGCATGACAAATCATTTCAACTTTGTCGATTTCAATCCTGACACATCCATATTCGAAATTCTCCTCGTAGTCACTATTCGTGAAGGTGCGCGTGGGAAACAGATTTTGGATCATCTGCTTGACTTCACCCGCTTCCGCGTCGTGCTTGACGTTCCCGTTATCATCCAGTAACTTCTCCCGAAACGACTGCGCGTACTGGGCTCCATTGACGCAATACGGCGCCGCTTGCTCTTGCTGGGTCTTCTCCATGACGTAGCCGTGGCCGATCTCCCGCGGGTCAAAGTTGTCGCTGTTGACTTGCGCGATATGAAAGCCTCAGAATGGAAATCCTCTTCCTCAAAGTGAAAATAATTTGTGATGCATGAAATGCGACACCAAAAAAACTGTATTGCAAAGAACGCAATGAAGGCCGACTATTGTGCTTCTACGGGTTCAGAGTTGGGCTGCTCATTAGCACGAGAGAAGGCCACCCCTTTGCCTAACTAGCATGACAGACACGCTCTGAGTGTCCGGGAAATTTATTGTCATGCGCCGAATAGAAATGATGCTTCAACTGGTGTCGTTTTTTTGCATTACAGATCATTTTCACTTTAAGGATTTCCAACCTGAAGCCTTCATACGCGACGGCCGCGGCTTTCAACGCGTTTTTCGCTTTGTCGGTGTTGGCCAGTTCAATGTCGCACAGGTCTGCGAGCCACCAGTCCTCGTGCTCGTGGTCCTCCCACTCCCGGCAGTAGGGATTGTCTTTGGAATACTTCTTGTGGGTGTAATCCGGCCAGCCCGCGCGGGGGGTTTCACCGGTCGTGTTCATATCTTGTTCTCTTAGTCCCGACTTTTTATTCACCATCTGGCTTTGTTGGGTTTTGGTATTTCTTTTTTTACCATGGTTCTGGTGGACGACCAGGTGCTGCTGCTGCTTGGTCCTTCTTGCGACCTGTAGCTGGAAACCATGTGCGACGAGGAAAACGTCGACGAAAAACGTCCGCACCGCTGCAATGGTCGACGCACTAATCAGAAGGCAGCAAGGAGTGCGAGGGAAGGGAGGAAAACGAAAACGACCCCTATTCGTTGCACCCGATTTTTCCTTTCGATGCAACATCTTCTTGCGCGGCCTGCTTCACGCTTAGTTCCACTCCGCCAAGAGCATTATGCCTTGCATTTTCTACGACCTCGTCAGCACACCGCCAACAGTATAATCGTGCGTTGCATTATTTTTTACGACTTGTTCGTCACAGTTGATAATTCTCGTCGGTGTACTGTATGCGATGGATTTATCTAAAGCTTCTTCATAAGAAACTTGATGTAGTTTGAAATGCGTTTGCAGCTACGGTGGGACGGGTCTCCTGGGTGAAAATCTTACGGTGAAGTACCAAAAAGGGGGTGCCTTCTTTGGTTCTCGTATTTTTTCGGTCTTCAACCACTAAAGGGGATGGCAATGGAGACAACTGTGGGAGTGGCTGTGTGTACTTGTTCAGAACAGTACCCTTACAGAAGTTCCAACGAAACTTGAATACCACGAATAGCACAGCCAAGGAATGTGGCAAAAACTGATGAATCACGACACGGTATTCGGACTGACAAACGAAGAGCATGAAACGGCACCGAGTAGAAGACATGTACTGGACTTATTTCTCGCAATTGCTACCTGGACGATATGTAAAAATACGATCTGCTGGTGCTAGGGACCAGTCCTGTGTGGAAGCGGAAGCACGGTAACTACAAGACGAACGGCAATAAAACCGAAACGAAAAGCAACAATAGAATTTACGACACTGACATTTCCCACGAATACCGATATTATAGCTTCAGCTTGGTTGTTTTCCAATCCGATTTCTCGGCATGCCGATATCGATGGAACAGTGCGGGCTGCTGGACCAGCTGCCCCATGAAACCGGAAAATTTTTCCCCACGCAGCTGCAGTTGTACAACTGCTGCGCATCCTCGTAAATAATTTTCTTTTTCTTTTCACTTTCGCCACCAAATCTTCATTCACAGGCCGCGGCTTTACCAGTGGAACGGCAAAGAAGCAAATCTGCGAATTTTTTTTTCGGCCGAAAGAAGTGGTCGGTCTGTCGCTTGGGGATACGTGAATAGGCTCAATTCACATAAAATCTTCTAAAATTATTACGATCGATAAAAGAAGTCGCTGATAGTATCGTCTTCTCGTTGTACTAAGCCCGACGTGCTGCAAACATGTAAGCTCAAGAGTCAAAAACCGCTTCTGGAAGCTAGCTTGCGTAGCTGCCTGGAATTATTCAAGCGCTTCTTCGTAGTTCTCGTTGTCCCGTGCACAACACCGACGACGGCAGCAAGATCAAGGCCTTTGCCTTCTTCAAGCACACGGCCATCTAGCTCCCGCAAAGGAGAGCAAAAAGACCGGGCGGCTTGTTGACTGCAATCCAAGACCTGCGGACGCGGAGGTGGGGGCTTCCGAGAATACTAGAGGAGCGCCGTTTAGATTCGGTTTACTACTGTTTTTTGATAGATGAAGCAATTTTTACCTATTTTGAAATGTCCTGGCTCTGCACAAGAGAGACTAGCGTTCGCTTCTTGAACGATGTATTTTCAAGTCGGATTATACCATACATTTTGGGACTATTTCTCGACGTCGCAGCTCGTTCTTGTCGTATAGTATTAAAGCATTCGATTCGCTATCCATCCGACTTCTGAAAGCTGCAGGGGAAAATATTTTTACAACGTCAAACCTGGGTAAGTAATCTTCAAACATCTTCTGGACCTCCACCACAAAATATTAAACTGCTCTTTTTCATGTAGCAATACAGCGGCCGTGATTCCTTGGTCGTGTAGAAGTTATTAGTCGTCTAATCTGGCCTCTGGCTCCTTCGTAGTTGCCTTCGGCTTGTTTGGCGTCGCTGCTTGCAAAATGAGTTCGGTGGTTGAAGAAGTACTCAGATTAGAGCAAGAGGGCCTCCTGCTGCTTACTTTATACTACTAGAGCTGAGCACGAGCAGTATTTCTAAATACTAGACTGATTTCATTGGAGTGGTAGATCCTTATAACAAAAACTCCGCTGATGACAGGTGTATTTTTACTAGATTCTGCAGAAAATGAAAATCACTTACGTCGTACTGCTCGTAATAAATAAACTACTCGTGCTGGTCGCGAAACGGAAACACAGTCGATGGAGATAGTGGGAAAATTCTCGTCGCTGTTACAACTACTGATCGATCTGCTAGGTGGTTTTGTCGTCGGAATAAATCAGAGAGGAAGATTTTGAACATCAAATCGAAGGTCATCTTAACATCTGCAGTAGCCGTGGAGGTCACACCATAATCCATCTATGTAGCCAGCAGAAGTAGAAAATCCTTCATCAAATCAAACTTCTTGTTGAGCATTTTCTTCACTCGTCCTGAATCCCCATTTCCCCACCATCGAACGCCACTTCTTCCCCGACCCCGCTCCCGGTGTCCGTGCTCATGGACTCCGCGCGGCAGCTGCGGGGGTGCACGAAGATCTTCCGCTTGTCGCGACTGGCCTGGCCCCGCGACCGCCGGAGCTCCCAGTCCTCCAGCTCAGGCTTCTTGGTGTTCGACTTGTAGTAGTCGTACTCGTCATCGGCAGCACTGTCCTTGTCGCACTTCTTCTTCGGAGAAATTTTCCCGTACTGGCAGGGCTGCAGTTTCGGCGAGTAGTCGCAGGATCCGTCGTAGTCCTGGTAAGAACCGGAGTACCGGGGGTCGGGCAAGTCCTTCGCCGCCTTGACAACTTGAGACCACGATATCCTGAGTAAAAACGTCCCCACCCCATAGTTGTCATGCAATTCTGCATGCCAAGAAAGATTCTCATGCGGAGCCCTATGCGAAGCATTTTTTATTCGTGTTTTGGAATTTGTGATGCTAGAATCAGCATTCTATGCTAGAACTGTGATGCTTCTTAACTAGCTAAACAGGATTACACTACGCGAACAAACTTGTCATGCCAAACAAGCAAAGCTGGCTGAGTTGTCTAGCAGATTCCCCATCTTGGCTCTGATGTGGAGACGTTTTTACACAGGATACACGAGGATTTCTCCGCATCGGTCTCATCCATCGCCAGGTCTTCCAATTTCACCTCGTCCTTCGCATTGCAGACCTGCAATAATGAAGGTACTTAAGTAGATAAAGAGCCTTTTTTTAACGTTTGTGATTATTCACCTTCTCCAACACATAGAACAAGGTTTGCATCATCAAAATCATCGACGAGCACTAGCAGACAAAAACAAAATGAGAATCGTTTGAGTAAGTAAAGAACCAAGAAACGGCAACGGCTGTAGCAAACGCTTTTTCTTTCAGTAGTTGCATCGATGTATACCTCCCAGCCATCGGCATTGGTGAGTGCTGGCCAGTCCCCAGTGACCACCAGACCGGCCTTCCGCTTCTGGCGACTTTCCGCAGAAAAGAAGTCGGCGTCTGTATACGTTTTTAGCGGTGTTCTTGTAGGGGTCGTCTCGTGTCGTGGAGGTCTATGCAGCATCACAGATCTGTGTCTGTCACCAGAATTAATATTTTATACCGAACAAGTGGCATGACGAATATGTTATCATGCAAAGAAATCTTTATTATACCAGACTCATCCACCGTCTTCGGAGCGGGCTCCGCAGAACTTGAAGATGAAGCCGCTTGTTGCCCTTCCACGACCACCTCCGCTGGGACGATCAGTCCCCCACTGCCGCTGCCGTTGCTTTCCATGCTGGCGCAGAGGGAAACGCACTGCTCAATCGTGGCGTTCATGTCTTGGTGGAGCTCGCAATACAGACTGTGCACCAGGGCCTTTTCCAATAGCGGAAACATTTCGCACAACGTCTCCATCTCCCGCTCAGCACGCAAAGCGCCTTGTTGCCGGGTGCGGGTTCTGATAGATTATGATTTATTTTCTTCACCATGATTTTCGGTTCTTCGATTAGCGAGTTGATGTGGTAGTCTCATTCAACATGATGGATGAACTCGGGATCATGTTGGCCATGGCGCAGTAATACTGTAGGTACAGAATTCGAAAAATTCTACTTATTTTATTCAATAATTGTATACTGCTGCTCCAAGTCTTCTTGTTTCTCCATTTCCCACAATTTTTTCGCCCGCGTCACGAACTCCGCCCTCTGCGGGCCCGTGCAATCGCACTGTGCCCCGGGGAGGGACTCGACCAGGTCATAGTCGTTTACGTAGGGCCGGGCGTGTTTATTCCCGCTGTTTCGCGTCGTCTCGCTAGGGTGGTTCGACATTTTTTGGTACAGACTATTCAAGAACAAAAGCTGATTTTTTCGTAGATAAAAAGATCAAAGAAAATAAAGACCGCACCAGGTGGTCACAACAGGATTTTGTCGCTCGCCAAAGCTGATAAGCTTGAGCTGATTAAGTTGTAGGACTCCTAAAGTTATAAATGAGTACAGAAAGTCGTAAATTTTTTTTGACGATCATGGTTATTTTTGCGTATTAGACAAGTACAGCACGACGGGTGAAGTAGTCGTGACTATTACGCCTCTTCTTGTTGTTTACTACTCTTCTCTTTCCGGAAGCCTCACCCTGCTGGAAAGAGAAATAATGATAAGATCACGACCGGTATTACTTACCACTATACAGCGGAGATAGAGAGAGCGAACAAGAGTAAAACGTAGAGAAATCTGTTGAAGAAAGAGCGGGAAATAACTTCTGGAACAGAGATTTGAAATAGATTCGGGTAAAAGGTCAAAATGTGAAGTGCAGCCACCTGGAAATGGAGGTTGGGATCAACAGATGTGGAATTTTGCGATCCCTTCGCAAGGGATGATTTCGGATGAGTTTGATGAGGCACGGGGGTGAAAGTTCTTGTTCTTCGACAGCGTTTATTGTACGAGTTGTGCGACGTAGAAGTTGTCAGAACGAAATGCAAGTGCAAAAAGACAAAGAGTTAGAGTACGCATAGGCATAACAACTACAAGTACAACTGTGCTCAAAAATCAATCAAAAATGTCCACCTCTCATAAGCGAAACTCTTCTGCTCTCACGAACATCAACAAAGGACCGACAGAGGGGCGTGTTCTGCTGGAGCAGTGTCCGAAATTTAGTACTTATTTATCTCTCAACGAGTCGACTGTGCGCTCACGTCGCTTTGTGCACGAAGCCGAAGGATTCACTCTACGTAATTTTTGTTGGACGTCAGTTTCATTTGGCTCTTACCGATATTTTTCTGCAGTTTTGCAGTGGCGCTGTACGATGTTGAAAACACAATCAACTTGCAACACACACAACCTCGACCGTCGTCAGGCTGCCGCACAGGGCGCAAAAAACGCAGCGTCACCTGCTTCAGCTGCGCGTTTTCTCGTTTACTTCTTGAGAAATTGCAAAGAAATTTAGAAATCCTATTTTTCCGATACCATATTAGTGGCTCAATGGTCTACATATTGATTTATTTCGGATGGTCAAAGAGAGCTCTGTGCATTGGTGTAGAAATCAATATCCTCGAAAAAAACGAAACTACTATTGCTATTTCTCACAAACAAAAGCTCATCTTGGAGTTGTTACTCATGGATTTAATTTTTCTGTTCATCTTCATCTTTTATTACTTTTTTCAAACGAAAGCGTAAGCTGAATCAAAGTCATACTATAGTTCTACTGCAAATAATATTCCAACGCTCTTTTGAAATTCTAATCGCAACTGTTCAATATCAATTCTTGTCCTGTCCACATATTTCTAGCTAGGTAGAGAAGGAAACGCCCTGATCTGTGCTGGTTCTGTGGCAGCATCGTACTGACATCATGCAGCGGTCTCGTAAGAGTATACGTTGACATTCTCATTGCGTTAGCATTTGATTGATTTTGATTGCATGTCAAGGATTTTGTCTGATGGGCATGGTACTTCCATTTACGCTTGTACTTAGTTTTACAGGTCCTCGACGAATGCAACGTCGTGCACGGGGGCGGTAGTACTAGAGCGTGGCAAACCATTTGACAACATTCTGGAATGCATGTCGGGCAGTCAAAGTGCTGGGAAGGTATCATCATTGATGTCCAGAGTTGTCAGTCTCTGAAACTAGGCATTTTTCTATATTTGTCTTCCTTGTTGTCTTGACCGGTGGTGCAGAAGTCAAACTATGTATCCTACACAGGCAGCTTGCCAAATTATACTTCTTGATAGCAGATGGTGGCAAGATCAGACGTTGCTTAAAGCAGCACCCTAGGGGAGCTAGTCATGCTGGACAGCTGGAGTTGATGTCACTAAAAAAACATTATCACGGCTAAGCAAGCTCACACTTTCGATCATCAGCACACGAATCCGCTGCGAAAGACATTTTTCGGCTTTAATATTCGATATATTCATATCTCTAATGCGGAAAGCTAAAAAATTGAGTGGCACATTAAAAAACATAGACAGTTGTATGTATTGCGGAAACTAGCTCATTTTCTTTATTTGGCCCCCACGGCGGATATTTTCTTTTCAATGCTTCATAACCACGACGAGGTGGACACTCTGTCCTTATTCGTCCACTATTGTATCACATTAACGTTTGGAAAGCTCAAGTAGCTGGTAGTTAGTAACAAATACTCCTGGTGGTGTGAGCTATGCTATAAGACTAAGAGTAAGACTAGATTGGGTTATTTATAAACTGATTGCAAACAAAAGTTCATGTTCTTCATGTCTAGAGAAGTTCTGCAGGCGGGTCTCGGTAGTTCCGTCGCACGAAGTAGTAGAGTGCTTGCGTTCGAGTTCGACGTTTGGTTCATAAAATATCTCGTGGAGGATAGTAAGTATCTCGATAAGACTAAAAGTAAGAGGAAACTACATGGAAGTGTATTTGGAATTCAATTTTGACAGCATTAGCAGTGGGCGTAAATCTAAACGCAAATCGCGGGACATCAAAAGTCATGCTTCACTTTTTTACTCATGCTGATGATTGATCGCTTTCATCTATCCCGCGACTCATTTCCTCTTGTGTCGTTCTATTTCGAATTTTTTACTCAAGAAAGTGAAAGGTACTAGAGCGCCACGACATAAACTTCAACTTTGCTCCATCTCATAGAAGCTGCATGTTGACCATGAAGCCAGTTAGAAGCATGAAAAGAAAACACATTTCTCAAGACGTCGAAAGGATAAGGACTACAACTAGCTCACTAGAATTTCGATTTCCACTTATTTACTGTTTCCACCCACCCACTAGTAACGACTCTCGCAAAGCGTAGTAGTACTTCTAGTACCCGCCTCGTCTACAACTTCACAGCATCCCGAGTGACGCCAGAAACTCGTCCTCAATCTCTAAGTTCAAACTTTCGCGCTCCAGGCTTCGCCTCGGATTTGTCGGCTTCTGGAAAAGGCTCGCTGACGAAGAGGCAAGTGACGAGGAACTACTGCCGACTTTATTTCCGGAGGAGGACGAGGTGGAGGTAGTACTATGACTATGAGCTGCAGTTTGAGTGCGATGTTGAAAAGATGAACTACTCGATGCACCACTTTTCTGCGCTGCTGCACCGACCTCTGGCAGCAGGATTGATTTATTCGAAGCAGTAGTTGCAGCTGCTGGGAACAACGAAGGAGCTCTGTTTCCACCGCTACTGTCCGAAGATAGAAACGAAGAACTCATCTTCATCTGCTGTTGGTCATGAAAAACAAGTCCGCTCTCCTTCCTCGCAGGTGGCCGACGACCTGCTGTGGTCCAGTTTGGCGGTTCTTGCGTTTTCAAGAATCGATCCATTACCTCCACGTTTTCCTTGTCCTCTTCCGACCAGAGCGACGGCGACAGAAACGGGTAGACAAAATTATCGTACGAAGTCGTTACAGCTCTAGGATCACCTCCGCCGAGGCCGACGTTCTTGCTGCTCGATTTGATGTTGCTCATTTTGTTGATAGACGTCCCACTCCTGCTTCTACTTCCACTTTTGTCGAAAGTGGTACTACTAGAACTGCTTCTCGTTCCAGGAGCAGCTTCGACGTCAGAAAGCAGCGACTCATGATCCTCTTTCATCGTCCCTGGCATGTCACTATTCACCACTTTTAGTGGCAGTTCCAATAACTGCTCTTGTTGCTGTTGCAGAGACGAAGTTGAAAGCGACAGCTGATTTAAGTTGTTGGTGCTGTAGTTCCTGGTGCGGTCGTTATTTGGTCGCAACAGAGGTGCTGTCTGCTTCTTCGTAAACGCGGGAACCTCCCTGCTCACAACGATTCTCTCGGCGTTTAACATCATCTATGGATTGTAAGAATGTCTGGGTCTGGAAGAGCGGAAGTTTGTCATGCTTGTCTGACATGACTCTCAAGTCTGTCATGCGCATTACCTAAAAGTTCCACTTTTCTGTCATGCAGAAGCTCACTTTGTCACGTAGAGAAGCCAAGACTGTAGCACCTCCAAAACTTGTCATGCTTGCAAGTCAATTGAGGCGTCCTCGTCTTTCTCAACCAGCATCACAAGTTTCCAGACCCAGACATTTTTACATTTGATATCATCTCGTCGTTGTTGACAACTGTTCTCGCCCCTGATGATCCCAAAGTTCTCTTCGCGTCGCTGCTAGTATCACCCGACTTTGAAGAAGAGGAAGTTGTGTTTATTTTCGGTGGTAAAAACCTGTCCACTTTTGGTTCAGGTGGCGGGAAGACCAGAAAGTTCGCCTCGCCGATATTGCTGTTATATCTCGGGGGGAGTGCTCCTGTGAATTTTTGCGCCACGACCTGGCTTATGTTGTCCTCTCGCTGCATGAGCTTGTTCTTGTCGCAACTCGTTTCCGCTAGGGCGTTTCGCGCGGCCACTTCCTCGTTACAGGGATGTTTACCCTCGGGAATAAAATCACGTCGCTGATGAAGATCCTCACTACTACTACTACAACTCGACGGCCCAATACTCCCATAGTGTTGGCAGTGAAAACTGGTCGCCGAAGGCTGCACATGGACCTTCCCCACAACTCGGGACAAATGCGTCGACGTGTGCTGTCGGTACGTCGGCTCCTGGTCGAAAGCTGCAGTAGAGGGGGTGCCAGCACTCGCGCTGGCTCTATTCCTCGTCGAAGATGCGGATACTGCAGCTCCTACATTTGTTCTCGACGCCGCTCTTGTTCCAGAAGAGTTGTCCTCCAAGTCGTCAGGCATCGGGATCTCCAGGATGGGCTTGTTGCTTACACTTCCTACAGGAGGAGCGTTGTTCGCACTTCTAGTCGCTGTCGTGCCTGGTGGTCCTCCGGCAGGTGAACTTGTTCCCGCTCCAAACGCTCGGCGTTGTTGAAAATTCTGTACTCGCGCGTCAATCTGCTCAGCCAGGTTTTGTGCATTCAGAGCCTGCAAACGCTGCTGCTGGTTGCTGCTACTACTGTCAGTCCTGGTTCTTGCTGCTACTACATCACTGTCCGCCCGGACAAAGACCTCTCCGATCCGGTCAAACACCGCCTCTTTTGCCCGCGACCCGCCGGCAGGAGCCGTATTGCTGCCGTCCTCGCTCTCCAGGTTTTGGTGTTTGGTAGCAGCAGCAGCAGCTTGAGCTCCCGCGGCAGCTTGCTCCTGTTGCACCAGTCTCCGCCGCTGCTCCTCGAACTGCGCGTCGAGAGAAGTCAGAAGGTTTTTCGCAATGATCGGCGGCCGGGGATACGTGGTCAACGTCGGCGGCGGAGGCTGTTGTTCTTGTTGTCCTAGAGCTAAAGCTCCCGAAAGGCTGCCACCGATACCACCTCCCAGATGCGCTTCGGAAGTGCTTCGCGGACGGGCAACAGGTCCTTCTCCTGCTGCATTGGAAGCCCCCCGAAAGGGGATAGTACCTGGGCCCAAATCCGCGGGCTTTGGCTCCACGATGCTGGTCGTCGTTGTGGCGGAGGTAGTGAGGGACCGACTCAACATCGGGTGCTGTCCGACATTTGCGACGTTATTCGGCGCACTTCTTCTGATAGTAGCACTACTGCTGGACGACGATGAAGAAGACGAAGCAGCACTACTGCTGTTCGCAGATATCATGGCTGGCGCAGCGCTTCCAGCAACTGGTGTCGCGGCAGCAGTGTTTGACGTTGCCGAGTGATGAGCGGATGCTGTTCCTGTTGCTGTGCTACCAGCTACAGTACTAGCTCCGAGATGAACACCGCCACTGCTGCCCGTTGTTGATCCTGCTCCCACAGCTCCTCCTGCACCTCCACCCAAAGGCTGCTGCTGCACCATCGAGCCGGACACCACCTTGCCGCTCTCGGTGCTCGTCGTGCGCATCAACGTGTGAACATTCCCGTCCTCTGTCGTCTCGATGTGGTACTGCACTGCATCCCCCGTCGGCGGGTGCGGGAGAACATCCACTCCGGTAGTGAAGGACCTCTTGAAGGTCGTGGCCATAGAAGTCGTGGTTGTTCCATCTCCAGATTTTGCTTGGAGCGGGTGCTTGGTACTACGCTTGATGACGCTAGAAGTACTGGAGGCACTGCTTGTTGCGCTGGAAGATGAATTAGTACCAGAACTTGCAGAGGACGCAGACGCTGTCGCTGACACGCCCGCTTTGGCTTTGCTGCTCGCTCCTGCACCGGTCGTGCCACTGGAGGTTAACGAGGCTGCAGCGGAGGTAGAAGCGGCCGTTGTGCTGCTATAGTTGCTGCTACCGCTGGACGAGGACGCAGCAGAGGGCGCTCCTCCTCCTTGTGAAGCCTTGAGGTTTTGGCTCAACACGACCTGCTGCTGCTCGCGGCGAGTGCTTAAATCTTGCACTTTCAGGTCGTTTTCAACAACACGACTATTTCGAAAACCTTTTGCAGCCTCGTCACGAAGGTCGGTCTGTTCCTCCTCGTCATTCCCTCCCGCGTTCGAGCTTTCCGCTGTGGTTAGAACGGGGTAGGAGACATCTTCCTTGAAGCTCTTCGTTCGGGTGAGATCGAGCATGGGTACTTGGCGGTTCACGAGCGGATTGATCCGCCGCCGCCGGTTCGGACTTGCCACGGCCTGAAGCAACGCCACGGTGGCCTGGAAATTGATGTGATGAAAGCGATACATCAGAGAGTTGCAGTATTTTCATCTCTTTTTTCACAAAAAATGCATTTTCAGTGTCACACGGGGAAGACGTCGTTGTTTTCATCAATGTTGATCTGTTGATGAAAAAACATGAAAAAAAAGTACCTCGTGCTCTTCATCAACACCGGATCGGATGCGGGCGTTTGCAGCAGCGACTTTGCTGGACATTGTGTTCTTTTCCTTTTCGCTTGCTTTGTGTGAAGATGAAGAAGAGTTGTTAGCAGCTGCAGCCGCACCGGCGGCTGTCGTGCTCATCCGGGCTGCTGCTCCTTCAGGTGCAGCTCCACTACCTTGGGATGAAGCAGCTGCAGCTCCAACAGTCGTTGACCCGGCGACATGTTGAACATTACCAGAACCACTACCGCCTTCTCGATTTTTCGCCGACAGTATGAAAGTACACAACTCCCCCTCCCCCTCATTTGAATGGCATATACAGCAACACAAGTGCTGGCATAAATGCAGCTTTTGCATGACAAACTCGCGACCGAGTCTGGTGCTGGTTCGGCTTCCGATATCTGTCATGCAAGATGTGCCAAAGAGAAAAGGGCGGAATTGGTACTTTGCATGTCAAATGAGGGGGAGGGGGAGTTGTGCACTGTCATAGACAACCCTCGTTTCCTCGCGGCACTGAAGCCCCGCTTGCGATGGATAATTCTATGCATTGCAAAAGTATCGTACTAGTATGAATTGCATCACAAATTTTCTTTTCAAGAAGACAAGTGGAGTTTGTACTGCTGCCTTAGCTAAAAAGGGATGTTTGTCATGCATGGTCGCAATTTATTACTACGAGTGCGATACCTTTGCACAGGATAGATTCCCATAGAACTCGAATTGCCCGAGGAGTAGAACTGCCCCGTGTGTGCCTCGCGGATTTTCTCCGACGTGTCACTCGCGTAGCCGTCGTCGGCGTCGTCGATGATGAAAGCCTCATCCGACGCGTAGCCGTCATTTGCGTTGTCGAAGCCGATCGGGCAATCTGGGCCGTACTTCTTCCGTAGCTGAGACCGCGTTTTATTGCCACTCGAGCTGTTACCGCGACTCATTTTATTCGTCGCTGTTGCTCCACCAGACACTGTTGCACTATTATTTCCACCACCACCTCCTGTGTTATACCCGCTCGCCGCGGCCAGCTGGGTCTGCAGCATGGCGATCTGGCTGTGAATCATCGCTCGCTCCCCCGTTGAGGTGTTTCGCTTCTTCGCGGCGCCCGGTCGCTTCTTCTTCGGTTTGTTGTTCACGATATTGGCAATCACTTGCGCGGGCTGCTGGATCTTGGAAGAGTTATTTTCGTGCAGGAGTCCGGTGCTGGTCCAGGGCCGCTTCTTTGCCTTGTCCAGAAACACGCTCGCGTTGTCGTCGAGGCCCGCAGAAGCGCGCCTCACCGTGTTATTCTCGTCGTCTGGACCCCCGGTGTCCGCGAGCTCCGCGCTCGGTTTGGGTTGCAGGGACTTCGGGTGCGCCGAGTAGGGCCGGACGTTCTGGGGCGGGGAAAGGAGGATCAGCTCATCATCCGTCTTATTGCCCGCTGTTGCACTACTAGTGCCAGCAGCTGCAGCCGTCGACGCACCGTGGTCCTGGTGCTGTGTTGCAGATGAACCGGCCATCGGTGGACTTGGACTTGCGCCGCTGTTCTTTGACGCAGCTGTGCTAGACATCATCACGCCACTGGCAGACACCTTCGACCGAGTTTGGAAAGGGAAACTACTTGTTGCCTTGCAACGCATCATACAAGATGAAAATTATAGCAACATCGTTTACTACTTCCCCTGACAAGCCCCCTGAAAGCGCAAGGTCTCATCACAATAAATCTGATTTGTATAAATACCGGTCTGGACGAAGACTGGATTTGTTTCCGCACTTGTGACTTCATTTATGAAAGTGCACAACTCCCCCTCCCCCTCACTTGTAATGCAAAACCCCAAATCCAGCTGCTGCCTTGTAGCACAGTTTGCATGACAAATCTTGGAAGCTCAAACAGAACTACACTCCAGTGCTGTAAACTTGTCATGCAAAACCGGCACTCTTGCTGATGCTTGTATTGCCGTTCATGTCATACAAATGAGGGGGAGGGGGAGTTGTGCACTGTCATATCATTTTCTGTATCTGCTGCCATTGTTTGAAGATCGGATTGGCCTCCTTGCTGTCCAAAGCCCCCGCCCCGGTCTGATGCTGGTGGTCTTGGTGCAGCATCCGGTTCGCCTTCCAGTCCGCCAGACTCGTGTGGTGCGCTTGCTGCAAACACGGCCCCGCGGACAGGGGACGGGCATTGGTTGCGCTCATCTTGTTTGGGTAGGTTGCATTTTTGCCATTAGTACCTCTCACTTCGTCTCTTTGGTCGTGCAGCTGGGCAGTGGATCCGGCCATGCCAGGAGCATAGTCGCTTCGATGGTGATAGTGGTGCTTCATCTCTGCACTGCGCTCGCCGGACATCATTACCGAGGGGTTACTGCCAGTCGGCGCAGCAGACGAAGGTCGTTGGTTGCGCATCAGCGTCCTACGTGTATTCGTAAAATTCAAGATGCGGGATCAGCAAGCAGCTGCTGTGAAGAGAACAATAGTCTATCCCTTCGCATTAATTCGTTCTACTTCTTCTAATGTACACCAGCATCAATAAAAACAAAACCATCAAAAAATGCCTTCTATACTTTTTCTTCTTCACACAGTCGCTCAGTTCTTTCTCGAGCGACTGCCGCATTTGGTTCATTTTCTGTTCCTCACTAGCAGCGTGGATCCGGCCTTCGATTAACGCCTCAAACCGTTTGAAAAGCTTGTTCTGCGCCTTCTTCGCCTGCTTCTCCTGCTTCATGTGTGCCTGCAAAGCGTTACGAGGACCTCCTCCAGCCGTGTGGCCTTTCTCGAAGTCACGACCTGACGTGATGACAATTTGTCGTATGATGTCAATATGATCACCTCTTGTTTGGCCCTTGGTCATTACCATTGATCCAGCACAACAAGAAACGAACAGTAGCGAAAATTTGTGAATCAAGAATGATGTTCACAAAAAACACCCTTTGCTCGCGTCTTATGGCGCACGAGTTACTGTCTGACATATGCAGCTATTGCATCAAAAAAAACAAGTCGGTCAACATCAAAATCCTATACTCGCAGCTCTAGATCTTGGTGCTGATTTGGAGGCGTTTTTCCGCCCAGCGGGAGTGCCCCCGCTCGCGGACGTTGGCGTCGTGCCGCCCTTGGTGCGCGTTTTTGTCAAGTGTTCCTGCAGTTGCGACATCTGGTAGCACAGCCGCATCTGGTGCACGGTTTTGGTGCCCTTTTTCCCACTGGACGCCTGCTGTTGCTGCTGCACATCCAACTGCTGGAACAGGTTTCGCATCTTCCACTGCACCTCGAAAACGTCGCCGCCAAAAGGCGACGCGTTTCCACCGCCGAAAGTTGTTCCCGACATATTAGCCGGGCTGTGTTTAGCGCTGGGATGATTTGAATATTTGTCGTGTTGTCCTCGTGGTCCCGCTTGTTTCGGCTTCAGCGGCCGAGGACCTTCTGACCTATATTCTGGTACTAGAACTACGGCTCCCTCTCTCTTTGACGTTGTACTCAAACATGCAAGGAACAACTGATAGACACCTTCCTCGCGGTAAGACAACTACCCGTCTGAGAAAGACCATAGAAGCGAAGATCATTGACCTACTAAATGACTCAATCAAAATTTTTGATGTAGAAGTAGCAGCTGTAGTAAGAAGGCGAAAAGAAGCGACAACAAAACTACAGAGCGCGTTTTTGCAGCGGCGAAACCACTCTGTCGACGAACCAGCTCTCTATTTCTCTCGTATAAAAGTGCTTTTTCCTCACTAGTAGCCTCAGGGAATATCACGATAATAATCACGTCAACGTCTACAAAAAAAATCACTTCTTGCTTCGTGTTCAAGTTCGTCGATCAACCACGACATGCAGATGCAGCCTCGTTTTGTTTCGCACACCAGAAAATTTGTAGGCGTTGTTTGCGGGGGACGACTCACGACTGTTTGCGCCTCACTGCGCTGCGCGTGCAAACGGTAGTGAGGAGAACAGAGGGCGGGAAGAAGTCGTGCCTTCGCTAATCTTTATTTTCTGTCGTTCTTGTCCTTCGTCTGGATATCGTACAAGGCGTTTTCTTATTGTCCACGACGTCGTGTGCGAGTGCTTGTATGGAAACAAGATTGAACAAGTAGAACTGCCGAATGTAGACGCAATGTTTTTGAAACTTTGATCAGCATTGAAAAATTGAAGACTCAGCCGGCATATTGACAACAAAAAGTATAACAGCGGCGCTGAGGTTGGTAATGACATTTCTTCCTGTTCTTCATTATTCTACAAGTCTTCCCGTCGTCCACACTACATGACCCAGGAGATGATTCTCGAAAAACAAGAATAACTTTCACAAAAGTTGTAAAAGCATTTGTCAAGAAGTGTCTATTGCACCATCCTGACCTGTTCTCCGTCTTCTGCCACTGCTTGTTCTCCTTCCGGCCTTACCACACCTGCGAACCCCATCCTTTTCTGTTGCGTTGGCAATGACGCGGTCGTGGAAGCAGCGCCTGTCGGTGGAGCTGATTCTTTCGCACTACTGCCTTCCCGAGCTGCTGCTCCTGCTGCAACCAGGACACTTCCAGCTGCTCCTGGCACTACTCCTGCAACCGACACCGTGGAGGTCGTCGTCGATGCCAGGCTTTGCAGCGTCAAGGTGTCGCGCTTGTTTGCGTGCTGCCGCTGCAGACGCGGCTGGTTTTTCTTCAACAGCGACATGTGCTCCAAAAACTCGTTCTCATCGAGCACCTCCTCGTCCTCGTCGCTCGACGACATGTCCGCCAACTCCCACACCCGCAGCTTCTCCGCCCGCAACGCGAGCAGATATGAGAGTGCACAACTCCCCCCTCCCCCCTCATTTGTCATGCAAAATCCCAAATCCAGCCACTGCCTTGTGGCACTGTTTGCATGACAAGTTTCGAGAGCCCAAATAGTACTACAGTAGGTACATAAGTTTGTCACGCACAAGCTCCAAGGTCGCTGGCGTTTGTACTGCTGTTCATGCAATACAAATGAGGGGGAGGGGGTAGGGAAGTTGTCGTGCAATCTCATAGCAGAAAGTAGGCTAAGAAAAGCACCTGGCAGACACTGCCCGAAATTTGGAACACGGGATGGCCCTCGAAGATGGACCGCATTATTTTTTGGTGCTTCGCAAAGTCCTCGAAGTGGACGCCGTCCGGGTGGTCTTGGAGCTCCCGCATCTTCGTCTCCGTGTCCTGCATCCGCAAGACATCGAACACCAGACCAAACATTCTCCCATATTCCCTGAAAATTAACCATCCCCATCCACTTTGTCATGCAAAACATACATAAAATCACGTGTTTGTCATGCACAGCGTGGATGGGGATGGTTAATTTTCAGGGGATATCCCGGTCAGCGCCAGCACAAAGAAGGACTGCATCAGATTGTAGGGCAGCAGGGGAATCGCGTCGTGCGCGGAAAACGGGTGCCACATCGACTTGTAGCTGATCGCGATGTAGTATCCAGGAAAAAACACCCATCCCCATCCATCTTGTCCAGGACAAATAGTGGATTTTATGCATGTTTTGCATGACAAATTGGATGGGGATGGGTGTTTTTTCCTGGATATGTACCCGTCCGAGCACTGCATTTCCCCCAGAGACATGATGGCGGTAATCATCAGCGCGAACTGGGGCGCGGCGAGACTCGCCCAGCGGAGCGGGCCGAGCAGGCAGTTCGCGCCCTCGATAGCGAACGCTTGCTCACTGCTCGCCGCTTCGGGCAGGTAGCAGCTGAATCCCCTCTATGCATTGCAAAATTGTATCGCATAATTCGCATCCATTTACTTATAATCAAAACTTCAACATGAACATTCATTGCATGAGAAATCCTCTCAGATGAAGCAAAAATGTAATTTCTCAAGTATGACCAGGTAGCATAACACGTCTGTCATGATGCAGTATCGCATTCACTTACGAGTGCGATGTTTTTGCAAGGCATACCGTCATCCAGCGGCAATGGTGAATCAAACCTGTGTGGTGCTCGAGCTCCTTCACGTAGAACTGGTACCGCTTCCACATATCCTCGTTTTTCAACTCATCGGCCGTCACTTGTTTCCAGAACGATTCCAATCCGCTGGCAGATGTAATTTCGTTTGCACCCTGCTCCTGCTCCTGCCCTTCATGTTCGACTTCATCTTGTTCACCCGAAACACTTTCAGATCTTGAAACCGCAGCCGAATCTTTGGTGGCAGTAGTTTCGGCTCCCTTATTTGCAGCTTGACCTTGATGTTTGTTTGTCGTGGAGAGTAGCGAAATAGACGCCCCCGCCGCGGCCTTACTTTGGTCCTCGAGATGATCGCTTGAAGTTGCTGTACCAGCACCGGTGTCCCCCGCTCCAGTAGTACTAGACGAAGCGAACGCTTTTGGGCGAAGAATTTCATTTCCCCGAATAGTTGCGCCATCAGCAGTAGAAGCAGCAGCTGCTCCATTCGTCTTTGTCTCATCGGACGACAGGAGGAAAGAGGACGATCTTCTGGGAGGTGGTGCTGATCTCCTCCTCGTTGAGATAATTATGAGACTCTCAATCGTTACACTCTCAACTGTTACATGAATTTGCAATGCAAGAATAGCAAAAATCAAAGGGGGACAATTGCACCTCTAGCATTACAAGTTCCGCACAGATTTTTTTAAATGCTGTTTAGCCCTCCGGGAATTTGTCATGCGAAGTCGCTTCACCCTGTGGATGTTGATCTTGATTTTGCATGTCAAATCGTGTAACAGTTGAGAATGTAACGTTTGAGAACTACGCCATAATAATCGGGTCCCCGTTGTAATCTAGTTCCATTGCCGTGGTGACTTGATCCTCTTCCTCGTCGGTTGCCGCGTCAAAGTTGTTGTCTTCAGTGTTTCTTATTCTTTTTTCATCCTGCAAAGAATTGTAGGCTCTTGATGTGGTTCTTGTTGTCGCGAAGGATGAAGAACTAGAGGGGCCTTTGTTCACGTCAGGATCCGGCGCTTCACCCGAGGTCGCTGTAGTTCTTGCGGTGGATGTAGCGGCAGCAGCAGTAGGAGGTGCACTAGCTGTACTAGCTTGGCCAAGAGTAGATGGTGATGAGACCACACCTCCTGCTTGTTCTGTCGTCTGACTGTAATCGTCGCCGCAGGTCATGTATGACTTGCAAAAGTATGGTATCGCACTCGTATAAATGCATTACAAATTTCCTCAGCATGATGAGAAATAAGATTTGTAATGCAGATTTGCCTTGGGAACAAGATTTGCAATGCAAGACTTGCATTTATATGAGTACGATACTTTTGCACAGGATATCATGCAGCTGATTCGGCGCGAGGTGTCCCGGATGGTGTTCAATGTGTTCAGCTCCGCCTTGGGCGACACGGGGCAGATGAGCAGGAGGGTGTCGCAGAAAATCACCGCGAAAATGTTGTACACCGCGTAAAAACGAAGCATGTACAGCAGGGGCAAGCGCCCGGGCGACAAGTGGCGGACAAAGAAGATGTAAGCCCGGGACCAGGTTGTTGCCCGGCGGTTCTGCCGGGCCTGCAGGAGTTGCGCGGCCGCTGCAACGTCCTCGTCGTCCAGCAGGTCACCGCGGGCGGCCATACCTTCCACATCGCCACCTCCATGGAGGTCCAACGGAGACTCCCCATGATGGTCGCGGCGCAGTTCCCCGGGTGAAAACGACCCACCAGCATTGTAGAGCTGCTGCCGGGTGGTCGTGGATGAAGTGTGCTGCTGTTGAGAGTGACGCCCTGCTCCGACGGTCGTGGAGTCTTTCTGACTGGACGCTCCAGAGGACGCCGACAAAGCCCGGGGGCCCAGCTGGCGGGGGTCCCGTCCACCTGCTCCGACTGCTCCGAGCTGCCCATGGTCGAAGAGATCCATGTCGTAGTGGTGGCGGGTTCGTAGCAAGTTTTGGAAAAACCGGTTGCGGTGATCCGCTTCCTCCCTCTCCTGGCGCTGGCTCGCGGTACTCAAGTCCGAGCCCCGCGCGAGGGAGTCCCGGATGTGCAGGCGCTTGACAAATCCCCTTTTCAAAGTACTCATCATCCCCATGACCTTCACCTTCGCCAAGTCGAGTCCCTGACCGTGCCGGCTTTCCTCGCCCGACTTGTTCTCATGATCTCCAAATGTTGTGAAGACACCTTGATCAACATGTAGTTCATCATGATGATCCACAAGTACTTCCGCGTCGCTTACTATCTGCGGACTTTTCCGCCCTGCGCGAGGACCATCCGGCTCGCCTCCAACCTCGACGCGCCTCTTGTCTTTGTGTGTCTCCTTCTTGTGCTTTTCTTTGTTCTTCTTTTTCTCGCCCCGAGGAGTCGACGCTGGACTAGTAGGACTCCCGGTCGCCGCACCTCCGCTTTTGTGATCTCCGTCAGACGCTATTTCTTCTGCCGCTCTGTCTTTCTTCCGACCACCGCGATCCTTGGAAACAGCTCCCCTCGCCGTCGCGGCTGATGTTGTCCTGGTCGTGCCACCAACTCCTCCTGTGGTCGCCACCGTTGTATCCTGAGGAGAAACGTCCCCACACCGGAGTCAAGATGGGAAATCTGCTAGACAAATCACCAGGCTTCGGCTGTTGCGCATGACAAATTTGGGCTTTCAGTGTAGTGGTGCTTAGCTAGTGCTGCAGCAGCATCACAGGTCTAGCGTGCCAATAATAGCCGCCTCAGCGGGGGTAGTGAGGTCAAGGCGGTTTTTTTGACTGACCGCCCCCATTTGCCTTACTGGTGTTCCCACGCATTTCACTAATGAGCAACGTAGTCGCGTTTTTTGCCTCGAGTATTCCGTCGCGCATAATGTTCGACCGCATGGTGTCGCGGCTGGTAAAGCTCACAGCTACAGACCTCCGCCTTTGTGTCTCCCAAGTCCGGAAACCTTCCCCGCATGCTATGGCCCCGCTAGGGCCTCCGCCAGGGCCGACCCTATGGGCGCCCCGAATCGGGCCCATAGCATGCGGATTGGCTCTCAGATTTTTGCGGAGTTTGCTTCTTTGGGTTTTTTTTGTTGAACAGTCGCACTTTTCGGGCTGTTCCCCGCGTTACAAATGCCAGACTTCGGCGGCCGGCTTTGCGCCCTCCAAAAGTTGGCCAAAATGGGGCCCATACCATGCGGATTCAAGGTTTTTGTCGTCTTTGCATTTTCTTGGCGCCCCCTTTTGGGCGGCCCAAATCGACGGAAATAGGTGCGCCGGGAGCCTCGGAAGGGCGCCCCTTTTGCCAATCGGGAATCGATAGAATTGGCTCGGGCTTGTTTGATATCAAAGCCGCGCCCGATTGATAAATGGAAATCTTTTATGTCCGAAAACACCTCCGGCCGATTGAAAACTGCCGGTCGTTTTGCATAAGACATGGCAAAAAAAACCGCTAGGTTAGAACGTTCGTGACCTCACTACATACCATGCGGATTGGAGCATCACATATCTCAAAACAGTAATCGAAGCTGCTTTTCATGGGTCTGCGCATGAGAAACATTTTCAGCATACAGATTTGCGCTTTCGCCACTCACCGAGTGAAACACTATATGCTCGCTCTGGGGTCAAATTGTATTTTGTCCGTTCATAGCCACCAACTCCTGTGGTCGCCACCGACACCCCGCCTGCAACGCCCCGGTCGCTGTGCAGAGACAACAGCCCCCGCATTTTGCGCGGCCCCGCTACGGCCATTTTTGTGGTTGGTGTACTAGTGACATCCGACCAGAGTGACGGCGTTGCGCGCATTATATTCTTGGATCGCGGCTCGCTCTCTACTTGGGAGGTGATAGCGATCGGCGGCAAATTGGTGCCTGTGGTACTTCTGTCGTCCAAAGAAAACTGTTGGTTCAGTAGCAGCATCTCGGCGCTGCCGTCGTGGTCGATATCGCTCCAATGCTCCACCGAGCCTCGAAAACGCGCCCTCGCCTCTGCAGCAGACTCTCGACCAGGAGCATCTTGTTGCTCTTCCGCTCCCCCGTAATTGTTCTCGGCTCCCCCGGTTGTTCCACTTACCGAGGCCGTGCTGGCCAGTACTCGCTCCGTTTTATTCTTTCTCGACGTAGTTCCAGTTTCTGCCCGGAGGACGGAGGTGGTACTAACGGTGGACGGTGACGCTCTGAGCTGCTTATTGTCCTTCTTGGTACTAGACGTTCCAGCTGCTCTTGAAGAAGCTCCAGAGGCTGGAGGTGTGCTGCCAGATGAAGTTTTTGCATCAATATTACTAGACTGCGTCTTCCCACTGTCGGTGATGGGCTGCGCTAACAAGCTGGGCGACTCGTCCCGCCCTCCTGCAACGGAATCTTTTTCCGATGACATGGTAGTCCTGTGGACCAGATGCCGCTCGCAACGGCCGCCGTAATCTTCCTTGCTGACAGAGAGAGAGACAGAGTTATGTATTTTCTCTTTTGTAAAAATTTCCCAAGTGAGAAACACCAGAAACGAGAGCTGCACGGTGGGCAGACTTATTACTAGAATAAAAGGTCGATTCGGCTTTTGTTCATTCGTAAAAAAGTGCGCTTTCGAAGGTACTTATCGTTCTTTACAGCAAGATATCGAAGTAGACCTTTTTTTACGATGTGCGCGCTCAGTCTCGCTTTTTTGTTCGTCATCTCCTGAAATTTTATTTCCGCCTTCAGCAATGGTCTCCCTCTGCCTCTCGCAACAGGACGGAAATTTTTACAAGCACTCCTCGCTTCCGGACAGAAACAGCTTTAAGTGGTCCAAAGACACAGTGAAACACGCCTTGTTCACGGACGACACCCATTCGCTCGATTCACAGACGAATTCGGAAGCGCAACCCTGCGGGTCTAGAACACTTTCGTGAAAAGGTGTACCAGAGGACGCATCGCAAGAGAAAGAAGACACTGATCATGCATTCCTCGGAATCAGAGCAGGTCGTGGCCCGCCTCAGCGTAACTAAAACCTCGCTCTTGACTTTGCACTACTTCTACTTGATGACATGGTGATGTTTAGTATACATCACAAGAATCGGTGCTGGATGAAAGGCAGGGTTGCATCAGCATAGGAATCTTCGTACTATGGCAAGTTCATTGTAAACAAAAACACGTCGCTTCGGCGCAAGGTTGTGTCGTTTATTGAAGAGTTTAAAATCCTGGCGCTTTTTGATTACCTCAAGCTTGCGTGATTCGCAAACCCGAACTTGTTACTCCATGGGGACAGCAGCTGTTCTTTAATTCACTTAGTTGCAAATTAAGCATACTGGCTGTAGAGGTGCACCTACTTGCCAGCACAACAACTGCGGGCAAGGTTTTTCTCATTCCAGAGGGTGAGGGAGCAGTCGCTGTGCGCTGGCACTGCCAACGCCTCCACCATCAAATTCAAATCACGAACGATACCGTGGCCGATAGAGCTGCAATGTCGGCGAGATCTGTTGGGTCGTTATGTTGTTCGCACCTGCTCCGCGGGTAGTAGTTGTGGACCAATTTCTGGTCCCGCCTGCACCGCTTCTGCTCCTTGTCGTTGCGTGCAAGAACAACTCCTGCTGTTGATGGTCTTCCGTAGCGGCCGCAGCGGCGCGCGCCCGAATGTCGGCGAGCTGCCGCTTGTAGATCAGGTACGTTTTGTAGACGGAGTTCGAGCTCAGTTGGTGCGCGTGCTCTGTGGGCATAGAAGACAACTTCGTGGTGAGTGTTTTCACACCTTGTTCATGTTCTTGTAGCTCTACTGCGACTGCCCCACCAGCACTTCGGCTACTGGCAGCAACTATCACCTTCTCAGCGTCCCCGTGAAGAGGACTTTGATTGATGCTCCCGGAGGAGGGGGTCGGGTCAGCTGGTGTGAGAACATAGCCGTGTCCAACTACATGATCTGTGTAGTTCTGTCGTTGATCAACATATCCAGGAAAAAACACCCATCCCCATCCATCTTGCCTTTTTTTTATAGCAAAAAAATCACAAAAAAACAACAAAAAAATGAAAAAAACTGAAATCGTTTTTGCATGATGGTTTCGAGTGCACCTACTTCACAACACTAGCTAGTGGCGCCCATGAGAAGCATCTCAACTAGAGGAATTTGACTTAGCTAGGTCTATCGCATTGGTCGGCCGACGTCGGAGTCGAGATCCCAAAGAAGGCAACTCGCTGCGAGCCGCCTTGCGGGCCTTCGTCGGGGGCGATTTGGCTCGCGAATCTTATCGCGGGGCTTTTGGGGAGGCGTTGAACCTGATGCGGGAAGAGGTTTTTGCGGGGCAGTGGGAATCAGACGAAACCAAGCGCGCAGCTGGACTGGACTCGGATATTATACTGGACTGGACTGGACTGGACTGGACTGGACTTTCGAAACGGATATTTTTTTGGATTTTTTTTCTGGCAAAAAAAGTCCAAGGCTTTGTCATTTAGAATGGTGGCTCAACATCTGGCCAGGCAGGAGGGCTCCGACTCGGAGCCACGTGAGCCGCGAGAGAGGCAAGACAGAGGCCCCATGCCGCTGTTTTCCCTGATTCTTCATTCACCTTGGTCATCTTCCCCCAACATATCCACACAGGCCCGTCGCTACATTCGCATGTGGCGATGCGCTGGCACGGCGAAATGGCGACTGCACTTTGGGCAAAGAAGTACAGGCCTAGAGCGCTCCGAGCTCTGAAGCGGATCCGCAATAAGCCGCACGAGCAGCGGCTAAAGGTCGCGCAGCATGAGGCTCCGGAGGGCGAAGCAGATTGCCTGGCGCTGAAGGAATCGGGCGCACGTTACGAGGACACCATCCCCGACGTGCTCGCGACGACAGCCGGCGCGGGCAGGATCTCCGACTCGTCAGCCGGTGCGGGCTCCTGCGATAGATCTAGCTAGTTGAATTCTTATCAGCTGCACTTATCTAGGACGCCACTTTAGCTAGGTGAATTTAGCGCGGATATATGCCGGCAGGCATGCGTAACAGACCTGAAAATTTTTTGAAAATTATACCTCGTTTCTTGATCAAAAATAAGGCAAAATGGATGGGGATGGGTGTTTTTTCCTGGATAGGACATAGCCGTGTCCAACTACATGATCTGTGTAGTTCTGTCGTTGATCAACAACAGCCGTGAGAACTATCGAACAAAAAAGCATTAGCGTTAGCGTTTTCGAATTTTTTCAAACAAGCGAGTTTTTTTTTGATTTTGCATGTTAAGTTAGCAAGCTCACGCCCAGACGAACATCCGTCAGCTAAGTGTGTATCCTTCTCCTCCGGTGCAACAGGAAACCGGCGCCCCTTTGTATTCTCCGGCATTTTGTTGCAGATCCTCTCCGCCGTTGGTCCGTACTTCAGTGCCCAAGCGTTGATGATGAAATCCACCCGCCATCGGGCTGCCACCATCGTCGCCGGGCTTTTGCCTGATTTGACCAGGTTCGGGGCAGGTTGTAGTGCGGGTTTGCATTTCTTTTGGGTGTCTACTGGCGTTTGGTGGCCGAGCCATCAAAAATCTACAGATTTGATGGCCAGCTGATGCAAATTTGAGTGGTCAACAGAAAAAACGCTAATGGTGAATTTTTTTTTCCAGCTATAGGTCGTGTCAAAGTCTGTCATTAGCGTTTTTTACAGGCACCCAAAAAAACGCTAATGCCAAAAATTTTTTTTCAGCGTTAGGTCGTGCCAAACTCCGCCATTAGCGTTTTTTTCCGAACCGCACAAAAGCCGCACTTTTTTTGGGCGCCCGGAATAAACGCTAATGCCAGACTTTGGCGCGAGCTAATGCTGGAAAAAAAAATTTGGCATTAGCGTTTTTTCGGGTACCAGGAAAAAACGCTAATGCCAAACTTTGGCACGACCTGTAGCTGGAAAAAAAAGTTTGGTATTAGCGTTTTTTTTGTGGACCATTCAAATTCGCCTGTGCTCGGGGGGTCAAAATGACCTCCGAGGACAGAAACGCTAATGCCAGACTTTGGGAAGCTTGATCATCTTGCTCGGGCTCAAGAGCCGCGAGCCAAAAACGGGTCTTCAGGCACTCCAGGAGCGACGGCTTGTCAGCCCGCCGCATGGTCAGGAGGTCGCGTAGCCGGGAGTCCCTGGAGCCCCAGACATGCGCGCGGCCGAGCTGTCGCCCAGATCTTTGGCGGTATCATCTCCGATCCGCTCCGCGGCCGAAGAGACTGCCTTCACTGCTTCCAGCTAGCGCGAATCTGTCTGAACGGAACGCAGCATTTGGCTTTCGCCAGCAAATGTCAAAACGCTAACGCTAATGCTTTTTTGTTGGATAAGAACATAGCCGTGTCCAACTACATGATCTGTGTAGTTCTGTCGTTGATCAACAACAGCTGGCGGAATGGATACTAAGGGGAACTTTTTGGGAATGCGGAAAAATGAAAAAAGTTCTGCCCTTTCGCAGTGCCCCCACCGTTGAAGCAGTCCTGTTGGCGTCCTCGAAGTCCGCTGCTTCTCAACGAGCCGAAAGTCCTCTGCCTACCTCTCGCGATCCGGTCTGGGAAGGTCAGCGCCCGGGCTCAAGGCGCGTGCTTGGCATAATATCAACAACAGACATCAATAGCCTGCCAGGTGCGCGCGCCCTGGTTGTCGCACATCGAGGCTCCCCGCGTGCGGTTCTTGCATAAGGCCCGCAGCAGCCCCAACCCCTGGAAATACTTGGGCCAGCTATTCGCTTGGAGGTGTGGGGACAAGGACATAATCCGAGGACTCAACTCAGGCGCCATTTTTAGCGTTTAGCCCGTGTTTAGCTTAAAAACCAATGGATACCGATCGGGGGAAATTTCTGCGGAATGGCCATAGCATGGGGATTTCGATTTCTGCGGAATGGAAGGGGCCAACCCCTCCCCCGGGGGAGGGGGCTCCGGCCATTCCGCAGAAATTTGATGCTCAAAATTGGCGCTTTTTGCCATGCCGGGCCTTTAAATGATCTGAACCGCGGCGGCACGGACTTGCTTTTTGCCTCATTTTCGCCCCCCCCGGCCGCGCCGTCTGGGCGCCCCGGAATCGCCCGAACCACGGGCGGGAGAGGTGATTGGGACGCCCGCTTTTTGTTGCCGTCCCCGGTTGGCAGCGGATCGGCGTGACGTGTTAGGGGCTTCAGCCCTGTAGGTTGCCTCTGTATTTTGGTGTAGTGCATCTACGTGCCTGTGAGTGAGGATCTTGGAATGGCCCCGCGTTCGCTAATTTGTTTGAGCAGAAGGAGGAATATTCGCCCAGCTGCCCACCGCGCAGCCGCCTACTCGTGCCGTCGTATTCGCCACCCTGTCTTCAAAAGGGCAGATTTTTTTTCAATTTTCCGCATTCCCAAAAAGTTCCACTTAGTAACTACATGATCCCTGTAGTTCTGTCGTTGATCAACAACAGCTGGCGGAATGGACACAGGATCTGCCCCTACCGCGAGCGACAATTGGTGACGCAGCAGCTCCTGCTGATGTTCCACGTGAAGCGACCGGATCGGGCAAGAGGAAGTGAAGCAAGCTTTAGTCGTCACGACGGAAGCTGAGGGCGTTGCATCATCTACTTGATGTTCCACAGGAGCTACAACTTCTCTGGAATAAAGAACGCCTCGTTGCAACGACCCGATTATATCCAGCGCCCCTACTCGCTCGGACCGGGAAAGAAGCCGCTTGTTGCTGCGTGTAGTTGCAGTTTCTGGACGTCGAGCAGCGTCCCTGCTTGTGCTTTTCGTTTTCATAACGCGCGTCGTACTGGGTCGCTGAATCTGCACTTTGCGCAAATCGACGACTTCTGATGTTGAAGATGAACTAGAGATGATCGTCGGTTCTTGTCTTCTGCTATTGTTTTTGGTACTGGTACTACTCTTCTTGTTCCCGCCATCAATGCTATCTTTCGTTGTTTTGAAAAGCAAGGTATTCACCTGTTGTCCCAAAATCGAGGAAGTGCAACTGGAGGAAGCAGACACAACATCAAACATGTCGGAGGTTTTTCTCCCCGCAGCACCGGTGTGTTTAACACTTTCATCGTGGAGGTCGTGGTGGTCCCCCTCGATTGCATTCGCGACGCGCATCATGTCCGCGTCGTCCGGGTCCTCGAGATGATGATGAATTATGTCGCCGCGGCCAGAAGGAGGATAATCATCCAGCTTTGATGTAGTTGGACAACCCTTTGTCTTTCTACTATATGAGTCGCCGTTATTAACGCCCTCGAAAAGCAGGCGGTGCTTCTGGTCCTGCAAATCCTCACTGATCTTGCGGATCATGTAGGAGGACGAAGAGGATGAAGACGTTGTGCCTGCGGCGTCAACATCAATTTTTCCCGTGTCTCCTCGTCGAACTTGCCTCTCGTCGTGCTCCACGAAGACATCGTGCACGGGCGACGGCAGCTCCTCATACTTCTTGCTTACTCCAGAATTGGTTTCATCTCGAAAAAGAGGACATCCTGCCTCGACGTCGTCCCTTTCTTCTGGTCCCAATGCGGGCTCGTCCACGTCGTCTATCCGAAAATCCAGAGCTGTATCTTCTTGTTGACCAAGAAGATTCTGTTTCTGCTCGTGCTCCTTGCCACTACCCTGCAGCTGATCCGCTGGCCCAGGCTTGTTTGTCAGCTGCTCAGTAGACACGACACCGGCGATGGTACTGCCCCCGATCGCTACGTCCAATTCTGCTTCTACTTGTTCCCGAAAATGCGCTTGTTGTTCTCGCTCGTAGCCTTCACCTTCTTGATCGTTTTTCTGGTGTGCAGCTGCAAGAACATCTTCTACAACCCCCTCTGCTGCCTGCTCTTGTCCCTCCAAATCCTCCACGACCGCAACGCCACCACCTCCGACACGACCCCCGCCGTCCGCACTGGGGCTGGCCAACATCCTGGACTTGTTGTTACAACTGCTCAAAATCCCTTGATGGCCGCTGTGGTCCAGTGTGATGTCGCTGGTTATCCAAGAAAAAAACTGTGTTAGTGTAAATATTTTGGGAAAACAGCATCACAAGTTTGTCTGCAATGACAGGAAAAACTTGTCATGCGCAGATAGGAAGGGGAAACACATAGGAAACGAGCCGATCATGCATGTCGAGCATGACAAGTGTAACTGTTTTGCATTTTCTGCATCACAGAATTACACTTACACAGTTTTTTTCTTCCATACTGGTTCCATTCAGCACACTGTCGTCGTCGTCCGGAGAGGGGATGTATCCACAGTAAATTCCCCGCACACGTACAAATGCGGTCTCTGCATGACAAAACTTGGCTTCGATCCTAGTTTATCATGACAAGTTTTACGCAGCTCCAAATTGGCGAAATTTGTGATGCATCTCGTACATGTACGGGAAATTTGTATTGCATAGGATGCAGGGCCAACCCTGGTTGCTCCGCGACAGCAGCACCCGGTCGTGCTCACTGGATGAGGACTCGTCCGAGGGGGTCAGCGATATGGCGTTCTCAAATGTTACGCTCTCAACTGTTACATCAATTTGTAATGCAAGAACGGCAAAAGTGAAAGGGGGAAGATTGCGCCTTTTGCATTACAGCTCTGGCGCAGATTTAGATGCTGTTTAGCCCTTCGGAGATTTGTCATGCGATGCAGCTTAATCGTGGCGATCTTTCTGGTATTAAATTTGCATGACAAATTCATGTCACAGCTGAGAACGTAACCACGCTTGAGAACCCCATAAGCGAAAGGTTGAAGTTCTGCTTCAGATACTCTTGGTACTTGGCATCGTAGAAATCTACGCCGGGAGGCGGGCCGTTGTTCGCCTGGTCGTTCGTGAAATGGGAAGAGGTGGTACAACTGGTTGTACGAGGTTTCGATGTTCTTGCATAATTTGCAGGAGCTTTATTTGCAGGCCGAAGTATCTCCCTCGCAATTGAGGCAGCGGACTGAGACCGTGTGGTGTCAACATCACCGCGCTCTTCACGTTCCCCCGCCTCTGGAAGATGTTCTTGTTGTTCAACCAACGCGCACTGTTCATCTTCTCGAGCGAGTTGCTTCTCATTTGGCACCAGCGCCCCACCCACCACGACCTGCGGAACGTCATTGTGGATGTTGACGTCCTCTGGCGAACAAGCTTGCTGCTGCTGCTGCTGGTAATCGTCCAGAATATCCTGTGGCGAGGCTGACAACTTCGCACTGCCCTTCTCTCCGACATCGATCCAGGAATCCATACTGAGCTCGAGCACGCTGTCCCGCAGGTAAAAATCCTCGGCTTGATGTTGCGGCAGCTGGTGCAGCACGGGGAAAAGTGCACCCGGCTCGCCATCTTCAGGAGCAGCGCGACCTGAACAAGGTGAAGGCTCATCCGCAGGACCACTTCCAAAGCCACTACACGCTGGAGCTGCATCTTCAGAATGATCTCCGCCAATTGTAGTCCTCGTGACACTCTGCGTCTTTGGAAGATGTTGCGCGCCAGCCGGGAAAAAGACTTCATCAATTTTGCATCTACTTGCTGTTCCTGTGCTGGTGTCGATGTGGTCCAGCATCGAACTTCTGTCGACGTCGGGATTGGAAGTGAAACCACTGTCGTTGTGGGTCTATGCATTGCAAAAGTTGTATAATCGGAGTTTAATAGCGCAGATTGCATCACAAACGTTTTCAAGTGGTGGAAAAGCAGAAGTTCTTGTAGTGCTGATTTACTTATAGAAGAGAGATTTGATGTCATGCATCAGCATATAGTGTGAGTAGTACGTGGTCGAGCAGCACAACAATACGACTATACTTTTGCGCCGGATAATATGGTCGTGGTCACGTTATTGTAGCGTGTGTTCTTCGTTCGCGAGGTGCTGGAGGTGTTAGGATCCAGGTCAAAGCTTCGCAAGCATGCCTGAATGTCCGCTGCGGAAATCCGTTCGACGCCGGGAGACGACCCTGTCGAAAGCTGGTTCATACTCCTGCGGTGGAAAGGAGACTGCGCGGAGGTGGCGATCATGGGGTCAGCTACTGGTGCTGTTGTTCTGCCAGATGTAGTTGCGGTAGGAACCTGGTTGACCAGTGTATCTTTTCATCTTTGAAGAATCCGATATGACTTTACTCACAAGAAGTACATCCTCAACTACAAGAGCAGTGTCCGGCAACTACGACATTTCTTCCACAAAAAACGAGCAAACCGCAGATTACGTAAGAAGAAGAACCCTGCGTGTAAGAACTTCTTTAACAAGCAGTACAAGAATAGTACAGCTACGTCCGCAGCGGCAGCTTCTCGGTCTTTGTTATTTTGAAAAGCAAGCGCTTTTTCATCACCTTCCGAGGTGGTCTCTTCTGGTACAACTGCAGCTCCTGTTGCGAAGTCAACATGATCCCGACTTGCTCCCGTGTCCGGCGCTTCCTCGGTTGTTGTGATTGTGTTTTTGGAAGAAAACTCACCTTCGAGGTGGAGAAACGCATCCCGATTTGCAGCTGGTACTTCACGACCTTCATCAGGTAGTGCAGTGTCGTCTGCACCAGCAGCCCCATCAACCTCCTTGCTACTTCTTGTGCGTCCATCTTCGATTTCGGAAAAGGCGCCTGCTCCACCTGCTGCAGCACACCTCGAGCTGGACGCGGCTGACGATGCGGAGAAACTCAACGCATCTTCGGTGTTCGCAATGTCTGGTTGCTGATGAAGCTCCGCCTCCGACGCCCCTGCAACGGTGGTGGTCTTCGAGGCAGCTCGCGTGGATATGGATTGCAAAAGTGTCTGGGTCTGGAGGATTGAAGATGCAACTTGTCATGCTAAATCCGATTCATGCAAAAATCTGTGTTGTATCAGTACCAAAAGCTGTCCACTTTCGACCAAGTTGGGAGGGAGTTTCTTATGCAGGACAGGCATGACAGAGACCTCACAGACTCTGCCATGCTAGGTCCGTCCCGCATCCCAGACCTCAGGGAGCATGGACAACCTGCATGACAAGTTTTTTACACTCGACTTCCACACCCAGACATATTTGCATTTGATAGTGGAGGAGCTAGAACGAATCGGGTCTATCGAGTCCAAGGCCAGACGCTTTTCCGAATGACCAAACTCCAGGGACAGCAACTTTTCGTGCAGTGCAGAATTCTGAGTCTCAATCTCAGTGCTGCTTGTTTTGTTGTAGTTGTCAACTTCTGGTGCAGCATCATCGCGTTTTTGTTCCTGCGACCGCGTGGTCTCGTTGTTTGCACTGTGCGGCGCACGACCAGGCGCGTCGATAGTTGTATCACCTTGCAGTTCCTGCGCTACTGCCCGGAGAACCGTGGTGGCATCCCCGCCAATTAGCCCGACACTGGACGCCCGAACCTCTTCCAGCTGCGCCTTCGGCACTGCGACAAGCCCGGCGGGGAGGATCCTACTTGTGTCGGTCGGCGTGGCGCCAGTCGTGCCTGCTTTCAACAAATCCGAAAATGGACTTGCCGACGACAAACTGTGTGTCGCGCTGCGATCGAGCACGGCCTGCAAATTCGACGGAAGGCGAAAGGAGGGAGTTCCAGGTTGGACCAAGACAGAATCCTTGCAGGAGCTCCGAGGCGACCCACGAATTCCAAGGCGAGCTTTGATGCGCTCGATTACCTGTATTTACAAGTTTTTACGCCGTAAAATCCTATACTTTTCGATAGATTGCGGTGAAAAAGAAAAAAACTATCTCCCATCATGCGTATAGATGTACAACATGCGACGTCCTCGCTGTCAGAATGATCATCTTCGATGGTCGTACGTTGTTTACGGATCTAACACATCAGCACGACGATGAACTGTCTTCATCTATACCACATCCGGATCTTCGTCCAAGATATCCGTGCTCGACCGGTGCGCCGCAAGAATAGCGTCAACCTGGAGCTTATCTTTCTGCAAAGCTGCGGCTGAGGAGGAGGAGGACGTGGCATATAGAGGCCCAAGAACTCTCTTCGCTGCATGATCTCTTCCGGATGAAGTAGTCCCGACCATATCCGGGGAAAGGTTGTAGCCAAAACCGCTCACAGTGCCCGAGTCTGGCGACGCCATCAACAATGGTTTGTTGCTGCTCCGCCACCTCGCCAGGATCGCGTGCACCTCGTCATCATTGTCCAAATCGCGCGTTGAAGTGGAAAGCAAGGAGGTGGTACTCGAGAGCTGCTTCTGCAGCTGAAGGTCATCATGTAGCTTGGTGTGTTTGATGATGTCCTTCTTCGAACCAAAAAGATCATGATCCGCAGATGGCGACAGCAACGAGAGGGAGTTTCTGTTGTGGTCCTCTGCAGTGTATGCCTTCTTGTTGTTCGAAGGATCATTTAGCGTCCCAATGACGTCCGCGAGGTGGTCTGAGAGGGCGGTGAGATCGAGCGAAGCTTTGGCTTTGCTCGCGTGGTGGTCTGCCTCAGTTTTAGAGGAAGCGGAGGAGGCCGCGCAGCTACTTGCGGAGCTACCGGCTATTTTCATCACGCCTTGTTCCTGCTGTCCTTCCGACGCAGCTGCTCCCCTGTCGTGCTGGTCTTCACGACCATCTTTAGCACCACCTTCGGTCTGGCTGCTTTTTTCGCTACCTGCTAACACTGACGCCGACGCGCCACCCCCCGCTTCAGCTCGTGAGCTGGATGCGGACGAAGACGAGCCGCCAACCTGGCTGGAAGAAAGCTCGATTCCCAGTTCCTCCGCGCATTGCCGAATTTTCGCTTGGTGCCGCCGCAGCCGTGCGAGCCGACTGTTGCTCTGCTGGCGGTCATCGACGGGAATGTTGTTCTCCGTGGACTTGCGACTCGCCGTCAGGGCAACACCCTCCACTGCCAAATCCAGTTTCTGTGGTTTATCTGACCCGGACGAAAGCGTCGACGCAGGAGCCATTCTAGTTTAACGAAATGTTGGTGATTTTAGTATACGTACTTTGTTCTGCTCATGCGCTGTGGGTGACGAGGTCGTGGTACATTGTTCCTGGACAGCAGATGTCTACGGTTGCCGCGAAAAGTACGCGACCTTCCTCAAGTCGACACAAGAAATCTCCATCATGGTAGCTAGAAGAACAATAAGCAGCACGCGAGTCGTCCAGCACGGCGCTCAGATTTTTAACTAGGTATGCGCAAATCATAGACCCTCAACTTCTTGACTTCTGATACCAGTCTAACAACAAATAACAATGTCCACTTAAACTTCTTATGCTCTTTGTTTTTTAGTGTCAGAAAGCAGCCAGCTTCTTCCCAGAAATACTCTTAGTTATTTCCTCGCATGATTTGTTGGTGGCCTCTGGAGGTGCCTCGTCTCTACTTCGCATCCATTTATTCTTGTTTGCGCTCTCCTGTCGGTCCCCAGACGAAGCAACAACGACGCCAATTTGCAACTTCGAGCAACGTTTGGTGCAGCCGATGCACGGCGAAATCAAAAAAAAAAATCTTCGTGGCTAGGAGAACAGAACCACATCAGTTCCGGACCGCACTTCGCAAAAGCGGTAGCGCTCGATCTTACCTTGTTGCTTTTGCTAGTTGGAGCAAGCTTCCGAAATCAAATTTCCCTCGTTCCCGCTGTTTATTTCAACATGTTTTTGAGGTCGCCAGCTGTGTCAGCATGGTCACTCTGCTACAAAGAGAATGCGTATGCGCCTCGTCCAGCATACAAATACTGCTCAGCGGTTTCCTTACTTCCCCGTCTTCATGCGTTTTTTGATGCGTCGCATGTAGTTGCACTTGGGCAACGCCCCGCGATTCATTTTTTTCGGCGGTCGAGCCGGCCACCGGCCCCAGCACAGCTTTTCCTCGTTCGTATGCAAAGTACTAGTGCCGACATCATCTTCTACCGTACTTTCGGTTGCTGGTCCTTGTTCCGGCTCCACCTTAGACGTAGCCATCTCGTCGACGTCACGTAGCTGCTGACGCTGCAGCGTTGATGATGAAGGTACTCCTGCTAGTTGTGCTGTAGGTGCTGTTGTAGTACTTCCACCTGGATGAAAAAAAGAAAAGAGTTCCGCGATGTGGGCATCTCCCCTCCACTTCTGATGCTGTTCCGATCTCAACATCACAGGCATCATTCCGGCTCTGTTGATGAGCGGCAACATTGGCAAAACCCCAGAAGCTGCAGCTGCGGCGAGAGGAACAACACCACGATTGTTCCCGACAAGACTGGCGAGTCGTCGCTTAGAGCCGAACAAAAGCGTCGCGAGAGCAGGTGCAGGACTAGCGGAACACCGCCGAGTGCTCAGTGCAAACGACGCAGCCATCATGAATTCAATTTGGATTTTGCAAGAGGTTCAGGTTCTGCTACAACTTTTTCAAGAACTGTTTTCAAGGATCCGCAGTACTCACGTCTTTCTTCCGTGCTGGGCCTTCAGCATATTCGTCTCCCTGGCACATAGTCATAGAACCTAGTAGCTGTTAGAACCTCGCCTCATTTCCCTCGCTCCAAAAGAAAAGGGCGGTAGCGCAGGTCTGCATTCAGATGATACCGAACAAGAAGAAGAAGAAGAACATAAGCTTGATGCTCCGCAAGACTGGCAAATCAAACTGTCCAGTAAATTTTGTTTGCGCAGCACGCAAACAAGTACTTACACCAGTTGAATCTACTTGCTCAGTGTCAGTGCGTCATCGTCAATCAGCTTCGACGCTGTGCTTTTCCTTCGTATGGTCTTCTTGCTGGTGCAAGGGAAGCAGTGAGGGTATACTCAGGCCACAAAAGCAGTTGCAGCAGAATTTCATTTCGACATTCTCGTCGATCAAGAGAAGGCAGCAAATTAATATCATACAAAACCAGCAGGGCGGCTTGATTCTGACTGATGAAGCAAAAAGCGACTGTCGTGGTTCTCCAGTGCAGCGAGGGAGCAGCTTGCCCACTGCAGTGGAGAACCATCACAATGCTTTGATGTTTTGGCTGCTAGCCCTTTTATTTTCTTTTTGTGTGCTTCTTGTTCTTTGTGAGTGTTTATCGGCTTCAGATTCACCCGCAGGTACGTTGTCATTTGAAAAAATGTGAAAAATATCCTAGTTAGAAGGCACCACGCAGAAGCGCCACCATCAAAGATGGTTGAAAGTGGATGTAGTTGCGTTTTTTTTCTACCAAAAAAAGAAGTCTTGGTCTTGTGTCCTGTCCGTGCGCAATATTGATATTCATAATCCGTGAAGATTTCCTGTTGTCGCTAGAGGAGGCATGACGTAACAAAAAGTATACGAACAACTTCTCAAAGCCACGAAAGACCTAACAAGGAGTGGCTGAAGTTCACAAACTACAAGACAAAGTATGATAAGTACACCATCCTGGGTGAACGCTCGACCGAGAAGAGGGCTTACATTGATTTCGAACGACATAAATGAAGACAAATTAACAACCGAATAAGCGAAGTAGGAAAACAACACGAAGCATGCTCCTACAACTCCATGTGCATTCCTTGTTTAAGTCACAGTCACCCAAGCGCGGATAACAAAGTGCAGTAGATGAACTCCTTAGCGCTTTTATCCTCGTGGTTTGTCCCTCGGAAACCTTCCTATTTTCGGCGGCGAAAAGATTGTGCCTTTGAAAATTCTAGTGCATTAACATACGATAGTGATACAACTGGTCGCCATCATAGAAAGAGAGATACATAATGGGTATTCAAGTTCGTTTTTTATACCTTCGCGGTGTGCATTCATCTAGAAACAGTTTTGTCTTCAATAGTGTTTTTGTCAGCCACCTGCTTTTCTTCGTTCGTATTCGTTGCTCGTCCTCTCGCCGTAAGTTGTATAATACTGTCGCATGAGCTTTGATGGTCAGGATGCGGCTCCTAGAAGAAGAAGAAGAAGCTCTTGACCCATGCGAACCGAAATACAGGGCGGCTTCTCGGTTACTCATCAGGTATGTTCATCCTATTAATTCTATAACGAAAAATCTTCAACTCAGAGGCCAGTTTGATTTGTGCATTTAGACAACGTATTCTTTGCGTTTGTTTTTGTACTTCGCATTGGTTGTAACGAACTACGATGAGAAATAAAACCAAAGCGCAGAAATAAAGTTGTGAGTACGCGATCGGTGTCAGCAGCGTTTTTTTCCTCTCCTGAGCATCTGTCGCTTCCCCACACTCCTTGATACCAAGACCGTGACTGAAAAGCGCTTGCTGTAGTTGTACAGGTTAGTAACTTATGAGAGCGCGCGAGGTCGTCATCGGTACAAGAACCAAGTTTGTTCCTGCACGATTCTACTACACCTTCAAGCCACGACCCGCCTTCCAACGCTGCCTCATCCAACTACATACGTGAAGATCGTCATCCTTTTACGGATGCACCCGCACGTTTTGGCCGGGCGCAATTTGTTCGTAGAGGAAAACGTAGGCCGACTCGGAGATCTTCGGCGACTTCAGTTCTTGGTCGATGTTCGGCACGCGCGTGACACTCAAGTCGTCGTATCGCCACCAGTCGTGGTTGTAACGCGCAAAGGCGATGTAATGCCCGCTATCCGAATGCTCCCCGTGATGGCATAAGAAACTGGACAGCGCGTAGCTCGTCGAGTTGTTTATTTGAGACGGTGTAGAAGTTGTCGTCGTTGCCCCTGGGAATAATGGTGTCGTCTGAGCAGGTTTCTGCGAGCTGTAGTTTTTGCCGGTAGAAGTCGCACTTGTTGTACCTGGATGCTGCATGTGGCTCAACATTTTCGGTGGCGTTTGTTGCGAGATGTTGTTGGCAGCCACTTCGACCGAGCTATCTTGCTGTTGGTTGATGTTCAGTTGGCAACCGAAGTGGATTTTGTGGCTCAGCTTCTGCGTTTTGTTGCTGAATTCGCAATAGCGGTGGCGCTTCAGGTTCACCACCAGGTAAGGAGGGAGGTTCTGCACTTTCGCCGTTTTTCTAATTTTGCTGTCGTTGCTCGTGACAATCTCCTCCGTGGAGTCGATTTGGGAATTTATCTGTTGTTGTTGTGTTTTCGTGAACTTGTGGCACTTACCAATTATACTACCGTCGTGTAGAAGATTACTCACGACGGAAATGGTTTAGCATAGTTTTTTAGCTGACTCACCCCGTCAGCAACACCATCGTGCAAAACTTTACTCACGGTGCTGCTCTGCGTGTACGAAAAGAACATTTATCATACCATCGGGAGTTACGTTATGCACGATGCAAAAACGACTAAAAACACCACAAATGCCTACAGGAAAGTCAAATGCTTTCAAGAACTCAGTACCAGCTCCTGCAATCTGGCTCCCTGAGCCGCTTTTGGTGTCGCGCTTGTCGTTGAGAAATTACTTCCGGCCACGTCGGGCAAAAAGAGATCCATGATCAGGAAAGGCTCTTCCGTGATCAGTGTCGGTGTTCGGGTTTGCACGGTGTGCGAAAAGAGTCGGTAAATCACACTGTCCTCAAGCATCGCCTGGGCCCTCTTTTCCACTTTTCGCCCGGCCTTGCCCATCTCGTTCCATTCAGACGGGGAGTTATCTGCTTGCTCGCGGTCGATGGAGAACTGTTGCTGGTCTCCTTTTGCAGATGAGGACATGAAGCCGCCTTTTCCACCACTTGCTCCCTTGTCCATGTGATGTTGCTCTCCGGATGAAGATATTGATGCTGCTTGACTACTATCGTTATTCGCCTTGTCTTTTCCTGCTGCTCCCAGAAGCCCCTTCACCGGCTTCATTTTGGTCACAACCGCGGGTGCCTCCTTGCAGAATTGCCTTCGTTTTTTCATGTCCGCGTCGACCGTCGTCCATTTGCTTTCCTCGTGCATGTTCTGCAGAAGATACAACAGAAATTCGCAACAGTCTTGCTGCGCGTCCACGCCGGTCTGCTGTTGCTCCTTGAACTTCAAAAGAATATCCCGCATCAGCGGCGTACTGCGTACCAAGTGGGGCTGCCCAATCTGGAACCGGCGCTCTTGCGCCGTACTGGAGAGTTGCTCGGGGCAGGCGAGCGTGTAGGTGGTGTTACTTGAGGAGGTCGCGCTGTTGCCCTGCGGGTGGTGATAAACTGTGGAACTGGACGACGAGCCAGTAGTAGTTGACGTCGCAGCTCCTGCGGCCCCGTTCGCTGATGTTGAAGATGATGAGGATCCTGTTGGAGCGTAGTTACTAGCTCCGTTCAGAAAAGACGAAGATCCACCTGTGGTCGTGCTTGTTCCTATTTGCTGACTTTGCATACTATTGTTGGGCATAAAAGAAGATGTAGCAGGTGTTTTCCCACCAGTGGAGGATGAGGAGGAGGTCGAGGACGCCGGCTCCGTGCTAAAATTCGCCGGGTTTGTCAGGTTCACTGTTGTACTAGTAGTACCACCTCCTGCTCCCGCTCCGGTGAACAAGTTCGCCGGTGTAGTGCCGCCTGCAGCACTGTACTGTGCAGAAGATGTTGAAGATGCGCCGGGTTTGTTCATTGGCGTATTGATCAGTTGTTTGCCGCTGTGCTGTGCGGGATCCGCGATATTCATTTTATTATTGCTGTGTGGAGCACCTCCACCGATTTGCGGAAATTTGGGGACGAAGTTAGCGTGCTGGTGTTGTACTAGTCCACTCCCTGGACTGGCGGATGGGGTCATGTTCGGAGATCTTCTGATCATCATATTTCCTCCCGCAACGGCTCCGTTCGCGGGCGTCGGTGTCCCCACCGCCGCTGCAAATGTGGTCGCTGGGTTAATGCCAGAAGAGGCTCCTGTTGTGGTACCAGCTCCACCGCCTCCTGTTGTGCCGTTCATCGGCGTCGTGTTCATCAACAACACATTTGCAGCGTTATTGTTGTTCGGTGTCGCCAACCCGGCAATGATGCTGCTTGCGTTGGAGTGTGGCGTTGCGGCCGTCGTGTTGTTGTCAGCCGCGTTGTTGTAGTGGGAGCCGACAGAGGTCGTTTGTGGCTTGTGGAACTCTTTAAAAACTTCGCGCAGGGCTTGGAAATAGGGTCTTTGGGCGTCGCCTTCTCCGCAAGAGATCAGGATGCGCGCCAGGGGTTTGCAGGTCAGCAGCATCTGGAAGACGCAATTAACATAGCACTGATTCGTACCGCGAACGTTTTCCAGCCCGCGCTTGAAAAACTCGTGACACGCACCGTTCAGGGGAATTCCGTGCTGGCAGAGGCCGTGGAACCTGTTGTGGTTTACGTTTATTTTTGCATCATGAGGGGACAAGTATTCAAGGTTTAGGGTTTTGTCGATGATGCGAATTTTTATCTGCGTGCTGTAGTTGTTGTCCCGAGTGATTTTGAAGATATCACTTTTGAGCACCCAGAGCAGGTACAGTGTGCCGCTGAACATTCGTCGCATACAGTAACTACTTAATATGTACGGACACAACAAGGAAAACAAATTTACTTTGCCCATCCCGCGGGGTTGTCGTCCAGATGCTGCTTCATCGGGTGACTCTCGGGTAGCAACTTGTCCGCCTCGCAGGCCAGACAGTCCAACAACGACACGTTCTGGGTCGGCACGGCTATGCCGCCGGGCAGCTTGCTGTTCAATTTTCGGGGGTCAATGTTCCTCTTCGTCAAATCGGCCCAAGACTTCGGTGGCGGTAGCGGCTCGGGCTTCTTCTCCTCTTCTTCGTTTTCCTTGGACTCCTGTGCTTCCTGGGGCTGTTTTGAGGTTTCGCTCGTGGGAGTTGTTGGTGTTTCTGGCAATGCAGGGGCGCTGGTCGACGTGCCGTTGGGAGCAGTGGAAGGAACCCCGTTGGGGTCTTGGTTGTCAACTACCGGGATGGGGATCTGTTTTTGTTATGTTATTATTTGCATTTGACGCAAATACTTATACTAGGGAGGCTAGTATCCCCAGATGATCATTATTTTGAGCTTGCCGAAAATAAGAGGTGATTCACCAAAACAAGGGCGAGCACCAGAAAAAAAAAAACATGTATATATAAATACGCCGCCTAAAAATGATATAAGAGAGTACCTCTGCCTTTTGCTCCGCAATCGGCAGCACTGTTGCAGGTTCCTCAGGAGCTACACCGGATGCGAAAGTCGCAGCAGATTTACCCTGTGACAACTGTTCTTTCTGAAGAAAAGCTTCTCTACTGTTCTCCTCCGTTCGATGTCTCATCACGTTCTGCCTCGTCTGCTGGTCGTCCTCTTGCTCCCCCATCTTCACGAACGGCTTCCCGTCTGCCGGCTGTAATATCGCAACCGCATCCGCAACGTTCGTCTGCATTGCTGGTACGGTAATTTTTGTCGGGGCAGCACCAGGTGCCACTGTGGCAGGTGCGACCTTCGCGTCATTTCGGAACTGCGGTTGAGTGTTATGTGATGTTGTGGAAGCCGCACCTACTACTCCGCCTGCGTTGTACAAGTCAGTAGTTTGATGGCCTGTCAGCGTTGCAGAGGTCGTGATGGAGGAAGCTGCACTGCTGGGAATCTGTATATCGGTCGCACTCCGTGGCGTCTCGGTTCGGGAATGCAAAAGTTCCTGGTGATTTTCTACTACTGCATTTGTAGGCAAGGCGGGTGAAGTAGATGTGGAAGGTCCCGGCACCGCACCTGTAATTATAAGGAAACAACAATGACATCAAGTGCAGGTGGTCTATCTCTGTCGAAAAGCTTCACAAGGATGGATCTTTATACTACTCTCAGAAAACTTCAACATGCAGGCAAAAAGTGTAACTGTTTCTGTTTGCAGTAACAAGTACGTACCCTTCGCATTCGCCAACGGCCCTCCAGAGGGCGGCGCAGCTGATGCCTTGTGCAGCTGACCCCCGCCCTTTTTGCCACCTTTGATGTTCTCGCTGCCGACCTTAGCCTGATGACTTACCGCGGTACTTGGACTGGTCTTCATTTCGGAAGTTGCAGCCTTAAACAACTTGGAAACGCCTCCGCTGGCCCAAGCACTACCGGGAGTGGCTGCATAGTTGTAGGTGTTCGGTGATTGAATTTTGAAAATTATCAAATCGACCATCATTTCAATATCACCTCATTTCAATGAAAAGCTATAGCTAGCACAAACCGAGTACTATCTGCTCAGAGCATTGTGCTGATGTGGCGACGTCGTCCGTGGCTACACTCAAAAAGAAAGCCAAAGCTGCAGTAGCAGGCTGTTGAAAGAGAAACTGAAGCTTCTAGTTCTAAGCAACAAAGAAACAACTATAAACAAGCTATTCTATCTTCAATCATACCTAGAATCTTCGGCTCCACCTTTTCTACTTCTCCGCCGTGTTTCCTCTTTCCACTGCCCTTGGAAGAAGATTTACTCCTTTTCCCTTCGCCATGTTCCTTCGCGGAAAGTTCCTCTGGTACAACTCGAGAACCATTCTCTATAGGAGCTGTGCCTGCCACCGACTTGTTCTCATCCCCCTGAGCTGGAGCACGTTCTTGCGTCCCTTCTCCACCTTCCTCTTTCATTTCAACCACCACCTGGTCTACCGCTGTCGCCGAAAACGTGGAAACACGTGGTCCGGAACCTGCTCCGCTAGGGTGGACCGACTTGAAGCCCTGGGCTTTCGCTTCGCCCAAAGTGGGGAGATCCCCGAAGTCAATGTTCGGTGCGCTTTTCCACTCGTCCTTCTTGTTTCTGTTGTTTCTTCCAGTATTTGAATTTGACGTTCCGCCACGATTTGCGCTGTTTCCATTCCCTGCAGTTGCTCCGGAAAAAGATTCTGGATCTTTGCCACTTGCACTTCCCATGTTATTACCATTGCCGCCCTCCTGTTCCTTTTTCTTGCGCAGCCTCCGCTCCTTTTCCTTTTCGCGGTCTCGATTCCTCTTTTTCTTTGCAGAGGTGGTAGTGCCGTCCTTGCTTTCGGGATATATTGTGCTGTCGAGCTGCTGTGATTCCGATTCGTTGTTGTAGCCGTTATTTGTTCCTGTGTGAACAACAACAAACGTCGATCCGTCTTTGTTTGCAATAGTACCGGAGGAGTTTGTGCGAGAATTCTTCCTGATGTCGCCGTTTGCAGCAGCTGTAACCGAAGTCGCACCGCCGGAGGAAGCGGGTGACGTTTGCGTTACGTGGTCTCCCGCGTTGCTAGTAGAGGTAGCGGAGCTTGGGATGAAAGTGGAAGTGGCACTGGTAATTTCAATCGCAGCCGCTGTTGAGCTGCCATAATTCATCGCGGCGGCGGTGGTGGTATTGCTTTTCATCGTGATAACATCTTCCCCATCAGTAGGATAGTTTGGATTTGATGGCGCTCCTTTCGTGGAAGTGCCTCCATTACTACCTGATTTTGGCGTAGTTCGGTTCTTGTGTTTTCCGTTCCCTTTCCTCTCCTTTCGCGTTGCTGTCGCTCCCTCGTTGTTCTGCTGGGGTCCACCGGCGGGTGCCGCTTCTCCTGGTCTTGTGGAGGACTCTTTAGTGGTGCTATTATCTCTTTTGCCCATCATTTCAACATCCCGCGGCGGGCCCTCTTTTTTCCCATTGCCTTTTGAAGTCCCGTCACGATTTCTGTCCCTCCTTCCTCCACCTTTACTACTAGTGGCTCCGCCTTCCTTCTTGCTGCCGGTGGTGCTGTCTCTTGTTGCACTGTTAATATCGCCCTGGCCGCCCTTCTTGCCTGCTCCGCCATTCGGGCCGCGATGTTGATCTCTGGCGGCAGCACCGGGATATTCTTGCTTCTTACCTTGGCCGGTAGTTGCTGCTACAACGCCGGCTCCACTGTTATATGCTCCCGCGGTACTTCCGCTTGCGGTGGAAGGGCTTGAAGCGCCCGGCTTCTGGCCTTTTTGATCGCCTTCTCCCATTTTTAAATGATCTGGTGCAACAGCAAATTAATAGGAGATATACAGTGCGGCGGACAACACAGAGTAGTTGCAGTGGCGCTTAGTCAAGTAAATAGGGTCCTCGTGCAGTATACAATAAGTTTTTCATATGTCGTCGATCATAAAAATACTTCTTCAGAGGTTGTACAGCGTGGAAAAATGCGTAAGAAACATGATATAGCTTCGTCTCTTAAAATATGTCGTAAAAAACTGTACTGATAAAAGAGTTCTTCCTACGATAATGCATTAAACTTCGACAGAATGCGTGGTGGGTCCAGTAATTCAAATGCGTGCTGGAGGGTGAGACACAGAACCTGGATCTCTGCCCATCTAATTATATTTCCAGCGGCCTCTAGAAGGGCCAGTCATTCTTGTGACTTCTATTGCCGTCGCGCCGTAACTACAAATAACGCCTACGACCTAACTCGATTTCTCGACATGATGCATACTTCTTTCATCGGCGGCGATTCCGATTGCTCAGGCTTATACATAGACTCTACTTTTTCAGCGGTTTTTTTTTCCTGTCTACCTACAAGGCATAAGTCTAGAAAAAATGAGGGATAACGATAATGATAATCTTCTAATGGCTATAGCAAATTGAACAAACTGAGAACTAGCATTGTATTCAGGGTAATGCGAGAGGCGCCACAAAATTTTCCTGTAGAGAAAAATTGACCGGGAACAAAAAAAAATTCACAATACTGCGAAAAAAGATTTTGCACTTGAAACAAACCAAAACAAGCAGAAGCTGTCGTGGGTTCCGGGTGTGCACAGATGCATCAGATTCTCGCTATTTCAAATATTTTTCTACACTGAAAATACCTGCTTCAAGGCATGCACATATGCGTCTGCGTGGATCTTGTTCCGGAAAAATGATCTTTCAACAACTTTTTTTGTTCGTATGCATGGCGATACTCACACTCAATTCATGATCGCTTCTATCCTTGCGATTCACTTCTGCTCGCAGGTATTCATTAAAAACGGACTGCAGTCCATAATTTCCATTTGATACATTAACATTGTTCTCTAACAATAAAAAGAGCGTGATCTCGTTCTGGTGCGTCTTTTTGACTATGCAGATGCTTAGATTACGACTTACCGCTAGATATTGCTGTGGTCGTCGAAGGGTCTACAACATCGCTGTAGGTGTTTGTGATTTCTTTCTTTCTTGAAGTGCAGCGAAATGATTTAGAGCTTGTTCCCAATACGGAAAATTTTCCTATCTTTCGCTTTACATGACTTAGACTTTTGGCGCAGTCGCTGCTTAGCTTACTGGCGGCACGACGGGCCACAGACGACGCCCTGAGAACCCACGAAGATCCTGAAAAGATCACCCCCGACACCCCAGGGGGAGGGGTCGGAAAGATTCGGAGCGTCCGCCCCTCTGTAGCTTCCAGGGACAACCTGCCGACGAAAGGGAAGCGTAGACCGCTCATGTAACGCGCGTTACACGAAGGTATGGTAGATGTGAGAAAGGGCCAGACGCCCCGCGGGCGTTGCCACAGGCGCTAGCTTGCTGGGAGTGACGAATAACCACGCCCAACAAAGGCGAGCGAGTGGTCGCGCGGTTGTAAAAGCCCTGGCGCGGCGCGGAACAATCTGGGGCCCAGCAATGGACGGAATTGCCCCCGTCCGCAGGGTCCATCTCGCTTCCATGGGCCAGATATACCCGAGCCCGAGGACAAGGCCAGGTCGGAAATGGTCCAGCAAAAGACGGCGCACTAGCCCCAAAGCGAGTTTTTTTTTTGATTCAAAAACGAAGCCGCTGAATTTGTTGAATCAAAGAAACAGCCCGTGTTTCAAGGGTAGAAAGGCCACTTCTTGAACCCCGAACAAAGGATCCGACCAATGTTCAAACAATGTTCAAAGTCGCCAATCACGGCGGTATGGCGAAAGCTTCAGGGGCCAAAAAAAAGTTCCTAAAAAGTTCCGTTCAAGATCCGATAAAGTTCCGATCAAGATCCTGTCCAGAGGACACTTTTTTGGCCACTTTTTTGCGCCGCCAAATCCATAGATTCCAGGCGGGGGAGGGGCCAGGAAAAGCGGCGAAAAAAGTGTCCTCTGGACAGGATCTTGATCGGAACTTTTGAAAATGGAGATGGCGGCCATGAACTCTGGAAAGTGACCCCGTGCCTGGCCGAATTCCACTGGAGAATGCTCCTGAGCACAAAAATTGTGCCGCGGGGAGAAAACTCCCACCCTTGTTTGACATGCTTTCTGCAGGACTGGCCTGCCGATCCCCGCGACCCCAAGAAGCAAAACACTTGGCACCGCATCGCGCCAAAGGCCATCGCCTCTCTGCGGGCTCCCGGATGCTGGGCAGGTAGAATGCCTGCGGTCGAAACACCTCCGCGCCACCCCCTTTCCAATGTCCAAGACTACCGCTAAAAAACTACAGAAGCACACCAGAAGGGGGGGCAAAAGGACACGCTGGCCGCGGCGGGCGGCGCGTTCCCTGGCGGCTGGCCCGCGCCAAGTTTTGCGTGGCCGTAAAATACCGACATACCCCCGCATCTGGAAAATAAATCGCGCTTCCCAAACAGGGCGGCCCTCGGGATAGGCTCGGCAGCTATGCGACACGCCCAGAAAAGGCCGCGCAAATTTGCTATACAAAGGAGGCAAAGCGAAGGCCAAAACATTGGGCCTGATTCGTAATTTCGGGGCGCCGAAGTAGCCCAGCGGCCAGGATCTTGATAGGATCTTTTTGGGATCTCAGACGAGCTGAAGTGGCCCGGCGTTCCGTGAGTAATTAGCATGTCAAAGCTGTCTTTGACGCCACGCATCAAGAAGATTGAGATTCTTCGTTCAGCCAAGCAGATCTTGATCTTCGTCTACTTCGTCCACGATCAACATCAAATTCAAAACCCTAAGCACAAGTATGCGGGGGTCAAAAATAGTACACACGATGGAGCTTTTTTAATGTGGATACGAACACGGCAACCTGCAGTCGGCATCGATTGTGCTGGTCTTACGTTAACATATCACGAGGACAACTGCGTAATATCAGGCAAGCCACCACTTCTATCGATTCCTTTTTTCTTCCATTTAGTTTTAGCAGCAAAAATCACGAATGATTTGTTTGGTAAGAAAAGCCAATGCTTTTCCGTCAAAGCGTGATTTACATCCATTCAAAAAATTACCTAGAAACACAAAAAAAAGAAAGAAACGGGAGCAAGAAATTTCGACTCGTTGGCCATTTTCCTATTCACTTATTGAAAAAATTGAATGAAATTCTCGAGAAGATAAGATCTGCAGCTTTGATGTCGGATCTCATCCGCTGCGCAGATCGCTCTGCGCTCGCATGGAGCAGCAGAAACGTGGCTCCTAGCGGAAGCGGGCTCGTGGACGATCAACAAGGGGTGGTTGAGTGCCGGATCTTCGACGCCGAGTATCTTCTATCCATAGAAATAAACAATACGAAGTCGCTCCCGGGACGGTGGAGTAAGTACAAGTAGCTCTTGGCACCACGACGCATACCTGTACTTTTTTCATCGTTTGGGGGTGGGGAGAGACGAACAGCCAAAGGATGTGACGCATATCTTATCTTGATGTCATCAGTCGCGAGGTGACTGAGATGCAGACTTTTACCAATACCAATTTCTCTTTTCGTCTCGGGAAAGAGCTACTAGCAGTAGGAGTAGCTAATAAAGTCAATAGCAATACAACGGTGGTGTCGAGCTGCCTGCAAAAACCTCGGATCGATCCGCCTCTTCTTTCGTGCGACGCATCAGATAGGGGTAGGAGGACGAACATGAGAAAAAAAATCATGAACGCGGCTGCCGAATCCGAAGGGAGGAGGTCATTTGGCGGTCATATCAAGTCTTTGTGGCATGGGCGATAGAATCCGTTCTAGAGGTCTCGTCGGATCTTGGTCTTGGTCGTAGTGGAGCACGTCCCATCTCACGCTCCCCCACGATGTATGATGGTCCGGTAGATACCCGAAGGCCAAACTCTATACCTAGATTTGATTTTCTTTTTCACGAAAACGATGAAACACCGAAAATAAGAAGCCGTCCACTCCTCGAAGGACTTACGCATATAATTTTTCCTCTAAAAAAGTATCTATCTAAAAGCTTTATTCCTCGAGAGTATCTATACAATTTTCGTCGCGTTGATTCCGTCCGCTTAGGAGGTGAAGTTCCTCGCGACCGTTCGTCTGTTGCTTGAGTCCGGCTGCAGACACGGTAACTTTGTTTCAGATGAACACGAAGGGTCCTCGTGGGAGATCCAGCACTGGATGGCGATGATTACCAAAAACTACCTTGAGAAGTACAATCTTCGTCAGCAACACAACGACAACACTGTGCTTGTCGAGAAAAGCATTCGAGGATATCGATATGCGGCAAGAGGATTTCAAATTTATATGCACATCCACTTTTTTATTGTGATTGTGTATAGGTATAGCTCGATTGTGAAGAAAAAGAACGTACTCTATGTCCATGATCCATCGGCGCTCCTTTTCTCGGGTATGTATGCCGTATCATTATAAGTCTTCGTCCATTACGGCTGCACTTGTTTCCGAGACAAGACGAGGTGACTTCACCCAAGGTGGTACAACTCGTCCTCTTTACTTTTACCTGATTTGGAATTCCTGAAACCAAACTTATCAATCTATACACACATCAAGAGCTATAAATATGTCGCCAACATCATCTTTCTGTTTCTCCTTCTACAACTTCTCCGGATCTGCATCATCAGACTCATCTCATCATTCCCTTTACGAGCATCATTGCACTTTTTGGTAAGCGAAGCTATACTATTGGTCATTTCAAGCGTTTCCATTTCGGACAGATCATATTCCAGCGGCCGGGTTCACTTCTTTCATCTCGATGAATCAGTTGAGTTCCGGCGAAGAAGATGATGAAGATGATGCTGAGTAAGTCTTAGCATGCATACCTGTGATTTTATCTTTATCATTTGGGGGAGGTGGGGGGAAACAAACAATCAAAGAACGTGATGCATGTCTTGATGTCATCAATCGCGAGGTGACTCAGATGAAGACTTTTACCAATACCAATTTTTCTTTTCGTCTCGGGAAAGAGCTACTAGCAAACAAAGGCAGTTGTAGTGATACGCTGTCTTTGTTCCGCTTTTGGTCTTGGTTCTGGTGGAGCACGTCCCATCTCGCGCTCCCCCGCGATAATCATCCGGTAGATACCCGAAGGCCAAATTCTATAGGACCTAGATTTTATTTTCACGAAAACGATGAACATGAAACACCTACTCCTCGAAGGACTTACGCATATAATTATCTACCTAAAAGCTTTATTCCTCGAGAGTATCTAAATCTATACAATTTTCGTCGCGTCGATTCCGTCCGCTTGTCCTAGGAGGTGAAGTCCTCGCGACCGCTCGTCTGTTGCTTGAGTTCGGCTGCAGACACGGTAATTTCTTTTTAGATGAACACGAAGGGTCCTCGTGGGAGATCCAACACTGGATGGCGATGTGATTACCAAAGACTACCTTGAGAAATTCAAGTTCCGTCAGCAACACAACGACAACACTGTGCATTTCGAGAAAAGCACTCGATATCGATATGCGGCAACAGGATTTCAAATTTATATGCACATTCACTTTTTTTATTGTGGTTATGTATAGCTCGAGCTCCATTGTGAAGAAAAAGAACGTACTCTATGATCCATCGGCGCTCCTTTTCTCGGGTATGTATGCCGTATCATTAAAGTCTTCGTCGATTACGGCTGCACTTGTTTCCGAGACAAGACGGGGTGACTTCGCCAAAGGTGGTTGTGCAACTCGTACTTTTTACTTTTACCTGATTTGGGATTCCTGAAGCTGCCAAACTTATCAATCTATCACACAAGAGCTAAAAAAATGTCGTCACCATCATCTTTCTACAACTTCTGCGAATCTACTGCATTATCAGACTCATCTCAGCATATCCTTCACAAGCATAATTCTTCCGCAAATATGCACTTTTTGTAAGTAGTTAAGCGAAGCAATACTATTGTCCATTTCATCAAGCGTTTCCATTTCGCATCATATTGCAGCCGCGGCCGGGCTCACTTCTTTCATCTCGAAGAACCAGTTGAGAAGTCCCGGTGAAGATGAGGAAGAAGATGATGATATGTGATTACAAGCGAGCTATTCTGCGAGAGGAACAAGTTGGAGACGTGGTAAGATTTTCGTTGTCGAATTTTTAACACTTATACGTTTGGATTTGCGACAAATGAAACTGCAAGCGTCGCATCTGCAGCTGCGCGACGGCTGTAGTAGGTCTGAGATCCTCATCCTGACGAACAAATGTTGAGTACTTACTATACTTCAAGTTCTTTTTACTTTTTTTTATTTTTTGATTAAAGCTGGTTTTCCACTTCGCTAGACCCGATCCGGCCCGGGTGGCGGCGACATTTCCACTCCCGTACCCGTCCCCGTCGCGGACATAGACATGACGGTTTTACTATTTTTGTTGTTCTTCTTTTTCTTCTTGTTTTTCTTCGAGATCTTTTCGGACATGGAAGGAGACGCTTTATTGTTTTCCGATCCGGAGGAGCTTGCGGTGGGGTCGGAAATGTTAGTATTTGTGGAAAGAACGGCAGCGGAGGTGTCGACGACGAGTCGTTCCAGCGATTCTGGATCGTACTTCCTGCCACGGTGGACTTCCACCACAGGTGAAAACCTACTGTCCTCCGACGCGGACTCGGAAGCGCTTGGTGTGGGCGGCGCCAGTGGAGGAACCGTGTTAGTACTGTTCCCAGAGGACGACATTTTGATCCCAGACGGAGCTCCTGCAGCTGCAGACTTATGTAGTTGCGCTATTCCACGCCCACCTTGGTCGTGTTGTTTACTCGTGGGCGCGGAATTCAGTTGTTTCTTCCTCGAGCAGTCCGGCGAAGACAGCTGTGGCGTGTTATCTTCGCCTGTATCCACGGTTGTAAATTTCCCGCGCATCACATAAAAATTAGTGTTTCTGCATGACAAGACTTGCCTTAGATCTATCTTAGCCAGCATGACAAGTTTGACACTTCTCCAGGTTAGCGAAATTTGTCACGCATTTTGTAAATATACGGGAAATTTGTATTGCATAGCCTGCGAGGACCTGGCGCAACGTCCCATACTGCGAAGCGGTTTGCTGGTTCTTCTGCCCTTGCTTGTTCTTCCCTTTTTTCGTGCGGGTCGTCCGGGTGAGCGAGGGAGTTGCTTCATCTTTATTGCCTTCACACAGCGGCGGCCCACGACCTGGGACATCCTTTGCTCGTTCGTTAAGCAACTTGTTCATGTGACGACGTGGGGACGATGGTTCTTCATCCGCCTGTCTTCCTGGTCCGCGTGGCCAGATGAGCGCGAAATGGAGGAACCGACGGTCGACACAGCGGCACACGACAAAGACCAACAAAAGGAACACCACAGCGAGGCCACCAGTCGCGAAACCTGGATGCTCGTGCCAGGCCGCAAGGAGCAGTCCTGTGTCGGGGTACTGAATGCAGAGCTGGGCTGTGGGGGGGGGGGGACTTCCAACAGCTCCAGGTGAAGACGCCCCAGACACGGAAGGGAAGGCTGCAACATTTTCTCCTGCGGGTTGATGCAATTTCTGGACCACGCCTGATGGCGAATGTGCTCGCGCTGCCGACCCAGCCGCGAGAGATGCAGTTGTTGTCCCGGTTCCGTCAATGTTAATACTGGAGATTTGCTCGGTGCGGCTGTTGTATGGCGATGTCATATCATCTACCCGTGCAACAATATCACGCGATGCCGCGGTGACCCTCGGCCTGGAAGACGCAGGATCGAGATCGAGTAAACTGCTAGGAGTAGCCTGTCTTGCGTCAAGAGATAGTGCAGAAGAGACAGGTGTCGGTTCTACTTGTGACTCCTCTTCTATCACGATTTTGCTTTTTCCGAGGCGGCCATTCGACTGATCTTCTGACAGTTGAAGCATTGATAGCTTTTTTGATAATGGATGGCCGAGCTCCTTAAATTTGTTAAAGACGACGTCGCGCAGCAGACGGATATTCTGTTCGAGGTGTGCGGTGTGCCACTCGAGCAATGTGGTTTTTGTGTCCACGTACACAGCCAGCTGGTCTGATGGTAGATAGTTGCTGTCAACCTTGGCGGTGATCGTGTCGAGCGTTGGCCATGCTACGGGGCGTTCTGTATTTCGGTCCAGAGATGATAGTTGGAAAACTTCCTTGAGCAGCTCTTCTTTAAATGGAGTGTTCGCTATGAAACCAAGGGGCTGTTGAGCTGTAGGTGGTAACGACTCGATGGGTGGGTTTTCGAGCTCGGCATGTGTTGTACGAAGTTTGGGGTTCCAAACCGATGCACCGACTTCTCTTTGAAATTCTTGATCGAATTCTTCAAGCCGCTGTGACAATTTGGCGCAGTACGAATCAAGCAAGGCCTGTCGAGCATCTCGAACGAGAAAAAGTTCTCCTGCATCTGCTTTCACACCCGTATCTCCTGCTGCGGTGGCTGTTTCCGGTTCGTGAAAATGTTATGGAAGTAGTACTGCAAACATGCCCGTGGGTGCCGGAATAAAGCGCACGGGCCGACACCAATGCTTCTGCTGTTCGTCAGCTCCTGCTTTTCTATCATACTAGAAGCGCTCGCTTGCCCCTAGGCGTCGCGCGGCTAGAAATGAAGGTCCCGTCGGTCCGTCTGGAGAGGAGGGGGCGATATTCATATTGGTCAATAGCCAAGATAGAGCGTGCGAACCACCACGGCAGCCAGCGCGAACGCTACCGCGCATCCCATGGCCCACTAGCTGGCTGGGGGATGGGGGCGCGGCCCTCGCTGTTGCACTTTTGGGCCAGGGCTGCGGCCCAACCATCCGTCGGCCGCGCCCTCAGTCATCCTCTGCCGACGAGGCCCAGGGCGGCCAAAACGCCGCCGCTTTCAGAACCAATGCCACCCCGTGCCGGCATTTTCAGAACCAATAGATTCCGCGACCGCCCCCCACCGTGCATGACTTTAGTGCCGCTCTGGGGTCGGGCAGGCCGCCAAAGGCTGTCTAGCGAACTAGCAGAGGTCGCGAGCATTCCAGGATTTCTGGCAACACCTGTGGGCCACCCAGGTCGGGCGCTTCTAATCGGAGTGAATCGGGCGAACGGTCGCACTTTTACCCTTTAGAGACGCCGGAAGCTGTACGGGGCGGACGCGCCTCCGCAGAACTAAGAAGCTTTTTTTTTGGTTCAGTCTGGGGTGGTCGTGGGTTCTGTTCGTGTAAATAAACTCAAAGAAACGCCGCCCCTGGGTGGCCATTTCTCGTCGGGCCTGGCATTTTACACAAAAAGCGTACTTGTTGGAATGAAGCCCTCGGGCCGCTTGGCCCGTCTCGACCTGTATTCGGAATCTTTATTTTTTTTCTTCGGATCCCAGTCGGCCGAAGGAAGCAGTCGAGGGGTGGCAAAACATCGCCGCTCAAACGCGCCATGCCATCGAGAAGTTTATTGGTGTTTTTCTTTTTGCTTTTCGGGCGGAGCCGAAAAATAAATACTTTTTCTTCATCCCGTCCCCCTTCCCCAGATAGCACTACAATTCAAATTTTCCTTGTTTATTTTGTCTTCATGTAAAGAAAACGCCAACTCCTTCTTTTTCGCGATCGGCTTTCTGGCAGCTGGCAACCTGCATTAGACATGTCCGTGAATAATTTTGCGAACGATTGCACTCCCTCGCCAAATTACTCGCATATGGCAGCGGCGATGCGGCCTTCGCGTCGCTTGCGACCGATGGCCACGCATCTCGCGAAACACGCTTTGCGCGCGGGCTTGCGAGCGCTTTGGCCACCACATTTTGCAGGTAGCGCGACCATACAAATGCCATCGAAGGCGACGGGAAGAACTACGCACAGCCAGAGCGTCCAGAACAGCAGCTTCAGCTTTAATACTTATTTCATCCTTCTCCTTGAGAGGCGTCCTTACTTAGTCATTACAGAAAGCGACCACTCCAGCTTCCCACCGTGTCGTTGCATAGTCCTCACCTTGACACTAAAGCAGTTGTTATTTGCATACGTGTTTGGCGATCGCAAAATTCTTGAAAGCGCGAAGAAAGGCAAATCTTGCGTAGGCGGAGTGCGCCAGCTCGTAGAATGGATTGAACTTTTGAGCATGTACGAACGAGTCCGGGTCTTTGTTCGCAGCTGTAACATGAGCATGGGGGCGCTTTTTCGTCTCCACCGTGTTGAGATTATCGAAGAATGGGCGTAGTACATCACCATATTTATCCCCGACCGCAACAAGACCATCTGCACCTAGTCCCGATGGTGACCCGGGGATCTGTGCACCAAAGATTCGATAGAGAACGTTCCTGCTCAGCTTCAGAAACTGGTCTACCCAGGCTTCGTCGGACATCCCCATTTTGCAGGTTGGCTGTCGCTGTGCGTGAGGCGAGAGCCAATGTTATGTCGTGGCTGTGGTCGCCGTTTTCCGCAAAAGCAACAAAACAGACAAACAGAAAGAAAGAAAACAGAAAGAAGTAGTCACTTATAGTTGACGAAAACGCGACTGCGAGACAGCGTGGCCTCGAAATCTTCCTGCTGTTTGCGCACACAGTGGTGGTTGTGGTTCCCGCTCATCCTTGTTGTAATCTGGGGAAGAACTTTTAGCCACTGTGCTTATGTATTATCACGGGACGTGGGAACCACGTGACGTCCTCACCGTCTGCGCGGACTGACAAAACACACGAACTCGGAGAGAAAAAAGACATGCGCGGTATGTAGTGACAAGATCAATATACTTACATATTGACCGCTAGTGTCTCCGCGCTACCAACAAATACAAAACAAGGAGGCCATGCCCATCTGAGCGAACAAATGGAGTTCTCTTGCATGGTGTTCGCATCCAACATTTTCGAGCGGCAGGTTGTAGAATGGCAATAGGATGACCTTTGACGGCACTTCGGCCCGACTCAGCAATGCTTCAGAGTCAACAACTGTATACCGATCATGTCGATTGTTCGGTAAGGACAAGGAGGTATGTCTTCAGTTCTCGTTCTCGATCGGCACTTAAGCTCTGACTCTTCGTCATCGTGAAGATAGAGAAGTCAATATACTTGTTGCTCAACTGCTTTGTTGGTAATTATAATGCGTAGTATTTTTGGTTGCGAAAAAAAAGAAAAAATCAATATGAAGTAGCCTCCTCGCCAAGGAGGAGGTGCGTTGGCTTCATTTCAGTCGAACAGCAGCTTCCTGCCTGCTGCAATGTTAGTTCCAGCAGCAGGAGGGTCAGCCGTCCCACCACCAATTCCCTTATTCAGCTGCACGCCAAACGACCCCCCGCCGAAACTTCTCATTGCCCCCGCTGGTGGCTTCGCCTGTTTGCTCGCCAAAGCCATCCGGAACGCCCGCGTGGAAAGTGTGCCGCTTTGCTCCTTATGACAATGCATAACTCCACCACCCACTCCCACTCATTTGTCTGGCATGAGCAGCAATACACGAGCACAGACATGTGCAGACTGGTGTGCATTACAAATGTAGTGCGGTCAGGGCTTCCGAAATTTGTCATGCAAGCAGTGCCGCACTGCAGCAACTGGATATCGGATTTTGCATGACAAATGAGGGCGAAGCGGAGTGGTGCGCTCTCATACTCCTTCACCTGGTCCTTGAACACCCCGAAGAGCCCGTCGGACTGGCAGAACAGCTCGTCTTTGTATCCTGTGCAAAAGTATCGCACTGCTATTGCAATCATGCATTACAAGTCTTTTTCTTGAGGTAGATCAGCGTTACAAATTTTATTTCTCAACATGCAGAGGAAATTTGTAATGCATTGATACGAGTACGATACTTTGTAGTGCATACTTTGAGCGAAATCACGATGGACTGAAACTTCGCCCGCGACAGGTATCTTCTCACCGACCGCACGTTGTAGCTGTCGAGGGGGGCATCAACCTCGTCCAGGATGATAAACGGGGGCTTCTGGTAGTAGTGCACGGCGAAGCAGAGGGCGAGGGCGGCGAGGGTCTTCTCGCCACCAGAAAGCAGGTGCATGTCGCGAAACCGCTTGGCCGGTGGCATGGTGGTGTACCTGCAGAAGCGTTTTTTGTGAGAAGAGGTTGCGTGCTGGTCTTGGCTCTTTAATACTCCTAAGTGGAGCAACTCCAGACCATGTTGAACAAGAGCAGCCTTATTTAATGAACCAAAAATAAAATGCTCTCGTCCATATAAACATTACTTGATCCCCCCTTCGAAGGGTGCGTCCGGGCACTCGATGTCTAAATAAGCCGCGCCGCCTTCCAGGTCGTCCGTACTGGTGAGCTCCTTGTAGATATCAACTGCAAAAATGTCTGGGTCTGGAAGAGTGCCAGACTTGTCGTGCAGGTTTTTCGTGACCCGTGAGGTCTGGTATGAAGGACATAGCATGACAGATTCTGTGAGAGTTCTATCATGCCTATCCTGCATGAGAAAATGCCTCTCGATTAGGACAAATCTGGACAACTTTTGGTGGTCATGCAACACAGATTTTTACATGGTTCACATTTAGCATGACAAGTTGTTTTGTTCCAGACCCAGACATTTTTACATTTGATAGTAGATCATGTCCAGTTTGTCCTTCACGACGTCGAAGCAGGCCATGAATTTCTTTTTCCGCATCTCTTTCACCTCGTTGTATTTGATCTCGAAGCCGTTGGTCTCCTTCCGGGCCAGGGCCGCGTCCTCCGCCTTGGTCTCCACATCGGCCTTGGCCTGGTGCTTCTTTTCCAGCGCGCGGAGCAGCCTCTTTGGGTTGTCGAACTCCTCCAAGTCCTTTTTCAGTCCCTGAATTTCTTGCATGTTCTGCTGGAAAATGGTACCCACTTCGACGTAGTCCACTTCTCCCACCTCGGCCGCGGAGGGCCGGTGCTGTGGGGGAAGGCGGTCGAAATCGAAGTTGAAAAGTTGCTCGATCTTTTCGAAGGTCAACGCCTCCGCGACGTCCCCAGTCTCCTGCTCATCCAGAAACCTCGTGTAGATAGCGCTGAAGGAATTCGGGTCTGCGGGCTCCTTGTTCTCAAGTTCGCTGGACTCGGACTTTCTTTTCTCGTTGTTTTCCTCTGCGTTTTCGTTTTCGCCCGCATCCTCGGCCTGTTGCTCGTCGTCCTCATCCTCTTCGTCCTCGTCGTCTTCCTCTTCTGCTGGAAGTAGCGTTTCCTTCTTCTTCATTTTCATTTTCATCTTCTTATCGTTGTCACCCCCTGCTCCTCCCGCCGCTTTTTTCATAGCAGTTTTGGGCTTCGCCGCGGCGGCTTTTGACTTCGGAGCCGCAGCCTTTGTCCCCGCGGCCTTCGATTTCGCTTTGGCTGCAGCTTTTTTCTTTGCCGCAGCTTTCTTGTTGTTCGTCGTGCTGCCTTCCTCCCCGCCCGCGTCTTCCTCCAGCTCCTCCTTTACCCGCACTTCGCCGTCCTGCGTCTTGTCGCCCGCATTCTCTACCTCGCCACCATCTTCCACCTCGGCTTGATCGTCGCTGGAAAGCACTATATCCAATGCAAAAGCATCGTACTCGTACGAATCGCAGGCATGCATGACAGATCTATGGCTTATGGGAAAACAACACTACAAATCGCATTTTTTCTCTTGGCAATATTTGTATTGCGACTTATACTAGTACAATGGTTTTGCAATGCATACACTACTGGCGGGAACGGTTTTACTGGAACCTCGATCCCATCTTTAATGAACTCGCCGACCATGTCAAGCGCCTTCTTCTCGTATCGTATTGAAAAACGTCCCCACCCCATAGCTGTAATGCAAATCTGCATGCTGAGAATGTTTCTCATGCGGAGCCCTGAGAGAAGCGCCTTCTAGTAGTGTTTTGGAATTTGTCATGCTCCAATCAGCATGATGGACCAAATCTGAGACGCTGCTGGAGTACCTGCAACTACACTAGCTACACTACGAGTCCAAATTTGTCCTGCAAAACAGCCAAAGTTTGTGGATTTGTCTAGCCGATTTTCCATCTTGACTATGGGGCGCTGGGGACGTTTTTCCATAGGATATCTCGGTTTTTTTCTTCTCGTTGGCGGCTCTGTTATATTAGATCATGCCGCGAGGGCTTTTCTTTTTCTTGATATCATATGTAATTTGAGATTATTAGGAGTCTGAGTACACTCAAACGAAGGAAAGATCTAGTTTGCACTTTGACTTTTTTCAACAATCAACGGGATGAACATAAACAGCAACAAGAGCATCATTCCTCGTCTGTTGACTAGTAGTACGTCGATGATATAATTGACTGAGGAAATTGAGTAGCAGGATGCCAAGACGAGATTTTTTAATACGTCCAGGTACCGTACTAATGCGAGGAGATCCAGAAAAATCAACCGAAGATCATCGTGAGGAAATGACAAGGAAGAGAAGTACTTGCCAGCAGCCTCTCGAATCTTGTCCTTCAACGTCGTTGCTTCTTTCGTTTCCTTTTATGTTTTGCAAAAGTATCGCACTCGTACTTACTAATTGCAAGCAATCATGCACTACAAATCTGCTTCCTGAGGTAAATCTGCATTAGAAATTCCATTTGTCATGCTACGCAAATTTGTCATGCGATTTCTACTAGTACGATACTTTTGCACAGGATACCTTTTTCATTGCCTCTTTTTCCTCGTAGGCCACGTTTTTCTTTTCCTCGATGTCCTGCTTTTCTGTCAGCTGGTCGGTTTCTTTCTGCTTATGCTATGCAAATATGTCTGGGTCTGGAAACTTGTGATGCAAGAAAGAGGATAGTGAGCGCACTGTACTTAGTGATAGTGCGCTGCTCGGAATGACAAGTTTCTCCTCGGTTTTGAGTTACGTACTCCGCATGAGAAACTGCGTTTTTGCATGACAGACAAGAGGAGCTCTTCTTGACGGCCACGCAATACAGATTTCAGAGTCATGCCGGACTAGCATGACAAATCTCGCAATCTCCCAGACCCAGACATATTTGCAGTTGATACTGCTTCAGAACGAGCAACTCCTTCTCCCTTTCTGTGTACTTGGTTTATCCTGTGCATAAGCATCGTACTTGTAGTAATCCTAATCGCAGGAGTCATGCATCACAAATCTCTTGTCTTTCCTAAAGCAAACCTGCATTACATATAACAGGCTCAGATGTCTAATTCAACGAATTTCAAAAAAAATTGTTTAGGTCACGGAAACATCGGACTGAGCCAGTTGGCCCCTCGCAAGGCCCGGCTTTGCACTAGTTTGCGCACAGCCTGGAAGCCGCCTAATGGATCTGTGCAATTGCCCCACAATTTCCCGGCAGCCTCGTCCTTTTGGATTCTCGACGTTTGTTTGTCCTGCAGATTTCTTAAGAACTGCACGACAAAAAAAGGCAACGAACCGGACAAAGGAGCAAAAGCGTGCGGCAAGTTGCTGCCCCTGTTCCAAAGCTGCCACTGGAGTCTCGAGGCCCAAGAGGTGCCCTCTGGAGCAAGGGCCGCTGCTTTCCGTGCGCTTTCCGGTGTTCTTTTTGTCGTGCTTGGCCGCGATTCAGCGCATTAGCCACGCACTTCGCCTGCGCTGCCAGCACTCGGCTCAGGCATGTTCGTATTGCAAAATCGGGCGAAAACTTGCCCAGAGATCGCGTCTCCGCAAGCGTCCGGGCACTGGCCTGAGTCCCTGGCCGAAATGGCGTCACATTTCTGAAACTTTCCTCGATGCTATGCTGTTCAAAAATTGGTCTAGGTTTGCGAAAATCACAGCTCATCCACCAAGCGGCGGCATTTTGGTGACCTCTTTATGAGGCTAACCACGGCGGCACGCTTCCAATTTTCCGGGCTAGCTTTGCGAAAATCATGGGTAGAGGAGGGGGTTGCCGAAAATGGAACAAAGCGAAGCCATTTCGTGCTCAAAACGGGTGGCCCCTTTATGAGCCTAATCAGAACGGCACGGAGCCACTTTTCCGGTCTAGCTTTGCGAAAATCATGGGGGTCACAAAAGGGGTGGGGAAAAGCAGACCCATAAGTCGGGCCGTTCGGCAGTGGTGCCTTTTGGTACATTTCGAGCCAGCGCCCAACGTCCTGTCTACCTAGAAAGGCAGCCATCTGACTGGCCCCGCCGGCCATTTCTTCTGGAGAAGGGTCTTTGCAGTCTCAGAGGCCCCGAAGATCCCTTTGGAGCGGAATCAGTCGCCCGTGGTGAGCTTTCGCTTTCTTATGGTGTAGATCGAAGCTCCTTACGTTGTGCAATTTTCACGAAAGCTGCACGAGATGAAGAAAACAATCTCCAACAAAAGCGCGGCAACCTTACAATGAGGGACGACATTTCCTCCGCAGGGGGTGCAGAAGTCGCAGAGGCGCCGAAGACCATTGCAGAAACGAAGTAGATGGCTGTCGTGCGCGCTTCGCCCCTTGGCGTAGTTGGCGCCCCTGCTCATCGAGCAGCTTCCTCCAAAGCAGTACGACAAAAAAGAAAGCAGAAGCCAAAAAAAAGACAAAGACCGCGACAGCAGGCACTATGTCAACTCCAAAGGGATGCTTGGAACCATTCCAGCTGTGGTGTCAGCTAGATCGCAGGGAGGTGGTTGCCTTGCGGCTGGCAAGACAGTTATCCAGCTATGAGGTAGCCAGTTTGTATCAGCTTACTGGGGGAATCAGCATTGAAAACGCAACGCGTTTCCACGACCTAAATGTTTTTTTTTGGAATTCGCTGAATTAGACATCTGAGCCTGTTATATTACAAATTTCATTTCTAATGCTGAGGAAATTTGTCCTGCGATTTATACTAGTACGACGCTTTTGCATTTCATATGGTTGCCGCCTGATCGAATTTCTGCTGCGCGGACTCCATCTGCAGCTATCCAAGGAAAAAAACACGTGTTGGTGCTAGTTTTTTTTCATGAAGTAGAGGACAGCACCATGACGAAAAAAATTGCTCTGCATGAACGAGAAAGCCGAAGCCTGTCATGCGCAGTTAGTACGAAAAACAAAAAACACATTTATGAAAACTACAAGGCACTGTGCCTGTGATAAATAGGTAGCACGACAAGTGTAGCTCTGTTGAATATGAATGCCTTGCATTGCAGACTTACACCTACATAGGTGTTTATTTTTTCTTCCGTAGCTGCTTCAGTTTGTCGACGTTCAGTGTCATCAGCTTCTGGTCCTGTTTATCGAAATGAGAAATGCCCCCGCCCCAGAATAAAGTTAAAGGCCAAGTGTCTGCATTACAAAGGCCCCCAACGAAAAAATTCGCGGCCTTGCATGTAGCAGAATTACGAACGCGCAAGCCAGAGTAGCGCGAATCTGTGTTGCGAAAGGCGATCTCAGGACAAGGGAGGCGCGCCACGTAGGAGCTTGTTCGCGCAGTTAGAATGAATCTGATGAAGTAGAAATAAACGTTTTCATCGCCGAAACCTGGATGCGCAACAACAAAAAATTGTTTGCTGCAAGAACGCAAACAGAAACATATTTGAATGAAAGCTTTGGGGTAGGGATGGGGGTACTTCTCACTTTTCATACAGTTGCTGCTTCTCATTGGAGAAGTCCTTCTGCCCATCTTCTAGTTTCGCCAGGTCCTGCTTCCACTTCCCAATTTGGTCGTCCTTTTCACGTTTATATTGCACCACGTCGACGACGCCCGCTGCCGTTTTCTTTCCCAACTGCTTAGAGCATTCCTCCCACAGCTTTTTGTTACTGTTCTTCTGCTGATCCTCGAGATTTTTGCGCGCGGTGTTCTTGTCTGCAATTGTGTTTTTCAAATTGTCCACTTCCGTCTGGGCGCTGTTCAAGCCTAGCAGCGCGGGCTGGTGTTGCTTCTGCATTTCTTCCAGCGCACGGAGATTGGTGTTGTGTCGCGCGTCCACCTCCTGAATCATGGCCTCCGCCTTGTCCCTGACCTCTCGCGCGTGTCGCTCCTTGTCGCGCATCTCGCGGATCTGCTCCTGCAGGGCTAGTTGAGCCTTCCTCAACGCGGCGCGCTCGTCCGCCTTGTGCTTCAGCTCCATTTCGTTGTAGACCACGCGCTTACTTGCTTGCGTGGCCCGATATCCAATGCAAAAGCATCGTACTAGTATAAACTGCATTACAAATTGGCTTAGCATTCCAAATTAATAAATTTGTGATGCGGATTTGCCTTAACAGAAAGATTTGTAAATGCATAAATGCAATTAGTACGATTACGATACTTTTTATCCACAGTAAATTTCCCGTACAGGTACAAATGCAGTCTCTGCATGACAAAACTTGCCTTCAATCCTACTCCAGCATGACAAGTTGGACTCTGCAAGGTAGCGAAATTTGTCATGCATTTTGTACATGTTTGTACAGGAAATTTACATTGCATACTTTTGCAATGCATATCCGAATGTCTATGACGACATTTCCGCGTTTATCCTGAGTAAAAACGTACCCACACCAGAGTTGTAATGCAGATTTGCAAAGACAGGAAGACTTGTAATGCGCATCCCCATGAGAGCCATTTCCAATCGTGTTTTGGAATTTGTCATGCTGTGAACAGGATGAGCAGAGGGATTTGTAATGCGACTTCCCTTGCTAAACTGCACTACAATACAGCCTGCAATTTGTCATGCGTGACTCACAAAACTCCTAGGTTTGTGTTGCTAAATCCTCATCCTGACTCTGGTGTGGGTACGTTTTTACTCAGGATAGCGTTGGTTAATCTGCGTGCCATTCAGGCAGGTGATGTTAATGCTTCCCTTCAGCCCCGCCTTCTTGAGGTTCTCGAACGCCACCCGCCGCGCCAGGTCCAAGGTGTCACAGATGACCGCATTGTGGAGCAGATAACGAAATACTGGTTCGAACTTCTTGTCATTCAGGACCACACAATATTCAGTGCAAACATGTTTCCTGGGTATTTCCTTTTCATGCTAAGCTGTGAACTACAATAAACTGCAATGCTATGAACCCAGCACAGGAGCCAAGCATGAGAAGTTGTTCACGACAAAAGAAAGAGCCTTTATTTCGTAGACATGCATCACTATCTCTGTGTACCTCTACAGTCTTCCTGTCAGACCAGTGTGATAAATTTCAGACCCAGACACATTCGCAAAAATGCATACGCAGTCCAGTGTGGGCTTGCAGTCCTTCACCCGCTTGACCTTGTCCACGGGAATCAGTGTTTCGAGGTTCATTCCCTCAACATATCCTGGGTAAAAACGTACCCACACCAGAGTCAGGATGGGGATTTTGCAACACAAACCTAGGAGTTTTGTGAGTCACGCATGACAAGTTGAGCTCTGCAGTGTAGTGCAGGTTAGCAAGTGCAGCCGCATCACAGATTCATCGGCTCATCCTGTTCACAGCATCCCAAATTCCAAAACAGGATTGGAAATGGCTCTCAAGGTGATGCGCATTACAAGTCTCTCTGTCTTTGCAAATCTGCATTACAACTATGGTGTGGGGACGTTTTTACAAATGATACAACAGGCAAAAACGTCATCGGACTAAGACCCTGCTGGCGCACAAATTCTATGAAAGCCTCAGAATGGAAATCCTCAAAGTGGAAATAATCTGTGATGCATGAAATGCAAGGCAAAAAAGACTGTATTGCAGAGGACACAATGGAGGCCGACTATTGTCCTGCTAGGGGTGAAGAATTGGGCTGCGGATTGGCACGACAGAAGGGCACCCCTTTGCCTAACTAGCATGACAGACACGTTTTGAGTGCCCGGGAAATTTGTCATGCGCCGACTAGAAATGGCGCTTCGCCTGGAGTCGTTTTTTTGCATTACAAATTATTTCCACTTTGAGGATTTCCAACCTGAGGCTTTCATAAATTCCATGCACTTCCTCCCGGTGGTTTTGTCCTGCACCACAACCGCCTGGCATCTCTTGGGCCCAATTGACATGGTAACGGCGGTTTTGAACTGATGCATCGTCGGTTTACACAGGTCTGACACACGACCGAAAACCTTCCCGGGGAAGCGGTATCCTGAGTAAAAACGTACCCACCCCATAGTTGTGTATGCAAATCTGCATGCTGAAAATGTTTCTCATGCGGAGCCCCATGAGAAGCATTTTCCAATCGTGTTTTGCAATTTGTCATGCTCCAATCAGCACGGTATGCTAGATCTGTGATGCTGCTGAGCTAGCTCAAACAGCACTACACTACGAATCCAAATTTGTCATGCAAAACAGCCAAAACTTGTGGATTTGTCTAGCCGATTCCCCATCTTGACTATGGTGTGGGTACGTTTTTACTCAGGATAAGCGGGTTATCATGTTCTTGACGCACTTGAGCTGCACGTCTTCGTCCCGCTCGTCGCGGCGCACTTCCATGTCTTCTATCCACCTGAGTAAAAACATCCCGACCCAGAGTTGCCATGCGTATTTGAATGCTGTTGCCGAGGGCATCACCTCGTCAATGCAATCTCTCACGCTGCTCTACATAACAGGCGGTTTCTCATCGTGGTTGGGATTTCGATTCTTTCGTGCGCTAAGTGACTCCGTTCATCACGACGCCGTATCTGGACCACTAGCTAGGCTAGTAGTACACTGTATAACCTAGAAGCTTTTCATGCGTGAATCCTATATAAAAAAAAGATGTCTTGCAGAACTGCAAAAATCTACTTGACCCTCGGGTCCGTTGTGGAAGGTTTTTACTGAGGGTATCCGCTTGCTCGTTCTCATCCATTTTGTCCAGTTCGACTTGCTTTTCTTTTAAAGTGGCGGACAGGGCCTCCAGGCCCGGCTGGAGGTTCTCCAGGTCGTCCTGTAATTCTTTTTTCTTTATACCTCGAGTTGTTTCATGAAGTTTTGAAGCAGACAAACTAACTTGAGAAGTAGGGCTCCAAACAATAGAGTCGGCTTGTCGAGGACTACGAAGGAATTCATCTTCATCACCTCTTGAATCTACATCTACATCTACTTCCGTCTACAACATTTATAAATACCGTGCACTTGTCTCTTTGTGCCATCGCTTCGTCCAGGTGATAGCGGCTTGTTTTCAGCTCCGTGTCTACTTGCTTAATCTTGGTGTCAATCCGCGTCGAAGCCTCCTTTTTGTCGACCACTTCCGCCCGCTTATTCGCGAGCTTTTTCTCCAAAGCGTCTACCTCTTCGAAAGCGGCTTTGATTTTCGTGGTCAGTCCCTTGGTGTTCGCGGCCGCCTGTTCAAACGTCTGGTCGTACGCCCTCCTTTCCTCGGCGGTAAACATCGTTTCCTTGAGTATCCAGGAAAAAACACCCATCGCCATCCATTATTTTTTGCATAACAAAGAAACATTGGATTTGATGCATGATTTTCATGACATCAAATTGGATGGTGCGGATGGGTGTTTATTCCTAGTGATATCCATGTTTTTCATCGCGTTTAAGACCACTTGCTTCTGCCCCTTATCAAATGGAGGAGTGTCTGGGTCTGGAAGAATGCAACTTGTCATGCTAAATCTGAAGCATACAACAATCTGTGTTCTTGCGTGATTACCAAAAGTCGTCCAGTTTTGACCAAGTCGGGAGGGGGTTTCTCATGCAGGATAGGCATGAGAGAGATCGCACAGAATCTGTCATGCTAGGTCCTGCATTCCAAGCCTCCTTCGTGGGTCATGGAAAAGCTGCATGACAAATCGCGCATTCTTCCAGACCCAGACATTTTTACATTTGACACCCCTCCATCATTTGCAACCCTTCCTGGATGGAGGCGATATGGTGCTCCGTTTGCCGTCTTATCCTGTGCAAAAGTATCGCACTCGACAAAATGCAAGTCTTGCATTACAAATATTTTTCTTAACAGCATTGCAAATTTTATTTATCATGCAAAAATTTGTAATGCATTTATACGAATGCGATACTTTTGCAATTCATACGTCTGATTTCCGTGCAGTTTTCCAGCTCCCGCTCCCTTTCCTGCGCTTCTTTTGCGTGGTTGCTTTTGTCGGTGGCCAGCCGCCCGAGCGCCTTCTCACACTTCTCGACATTATGTTTCGCCGTGTCGTAGTCGATTTGCTTCGCGCCCAGTGCAACCACCAGTTTGCCATGCTCCTCATTCTTCGCTTGCAGTTTCGCAAACTGGTCTTGGTACTTGGCCCGCAATTCTTCGAACTTAGCTTCCTCCACCTTCAACTCCTATCCGAGGCAAAAACGTCCTCCCCACCCCAGAATTGTAGTGTAGCCTTGCAAGAAGAAGTACCGAAGCAGTTGAAACGCGCATGATCCCCATGTTCTTCAGAGGCAACGTTTCCAGCTGTGTTTTGGAACTTGTAATGCTGTAAACACGATAAAAGGTGGAATTATTATTCGGCTTCCCTTTCCAATCCATACTACAACTGCAGGCACTACATTACAGCCTGCACCTTGTCATGTGTACATCAAACTCCCCAAATTTGTGTTGCAAAGTCTCGTCCATCTTAAGAACCATCTATGGGGTCGACGTGGGGACCATGTTTTTAATCAGGATAAATCCTTGTCATGCTTCAACCGCATCTGGTACAACACGGAAAGCTGGAAAAGCGCGTTGTCCTTCTCCACCTCGTCCTTGCGACGCTTCAGGGTCAGGTATTGCTCCGCCTTTTGTATGTGAATGTGTCGTGACTTTGTGTTCATCTTCATGAAGATCTTTTTCGGGAAATGCATTCAAATGTATGTCGTTGTTAACAAGAATTTCTCAACAATGGTTCTTGTGGTATGTCAAGAAAAGATCAAGGAGGTGAAACTCCTCACTGACTCTGAGGGAGTTATTGAGAGGATTGAAATAACTACAGCTTTCTAGTACACACTGATCTTCTACCTGGTCGTGCTGCTGGTCGTGTGCGACAAATAACGCCGGCAGCACTCACGTTCGGAAGTAGAAAGTAAGTGTAAGAAGAAGAGCTGCAACTTTTATACCTGCCCAGCCTTTTTGACGACGTCTTTCTGGGTTTCCAAGGCTTCTCGCTTCTCGGTGTTTTTCAGCCGCAATCTTTCCTCGGCCTCTTGGTGTTTTTTCAGCAGGTTGTCGCACTCCTCGCGGTAGTATGCATTGCAAAAGTATCGTACTAGTATACATTGCATCAGAAATTTTGGCAAGAAGAAAAGTGGAATTTGTAATGCTGTTTTACCTTAGGAAGGAGATTTGTCATGCATATTTGCAATTAGTACGACTACGATACTTTTGCACAGGATAGGTAGTAGTCGCTCCCCGAGATAGTTTCGAAAAACTTCGTGAGCTCCTGCCCCTGCTTTCGCGTGAGCCCGTCGATGTCCCCCTGGAAAACGAGAAAGTTCCGGGCCTTGGACAAAATGTTCACTTTATAACAGTGCACAACTCGCCCTCCCCCTCATTTTTGTCATGCAAAACCTCCAATATAGTTGCTGCCTTGTGGCACTATTTGCATGACAAGTTCTGGTGGCAGCCCAAATAGCACTACACTCCAGCGGGAACCTGTCATGCAAAACCGGCATTCTGGCTGATGCTTGTATTGCCGTTCATGCTATACAAATGAGGGGGAGGGAGAGTTGTGCACTTTTATAGACTTTCGTCAGCGCGGCGAGGTACTCCACCGCCGTTTTGTCCTCGTCGTTCAGATAGTAGGAAGAAACCCCCTGCTTCGAGATGCACCGGCAGAAGACGGACCGCAGCCCGTTGTCGTGCTTGAACACCATGGAAACCTCGGAGGCGCGGAGCGCTGGCTTATGGATGTGTCAGAAGTGAAATCGACAAAGTTGAAACAATTTGTCATGTATAAAATGCAAGGCATGAAGTGCCTGTCTTGCCGGGAGGGTAAGTGAGGCAGATTGTGAGCCTATTTAGGGTTTGGGATAGAGCTGCTAAAGGAGCATGACAAAAGCAGTCTTCTGTGCCCAAACAGCATGACAAATCGGATTCAAGTGCTCCGAAAATTTGTCATGCGCCGCTTAGAAATTGGGCTTCCAAATGATATCGATTTTATGCATTACAAGTTATTTCAACTTTGTCGATTTCAATCCTGACACTCCCATATGGCTTGGTCGGATCGTACCCCTCGTCCCCCTGCTTGCGGTGGATCAACTCCTTCAAATTGTTGGACCGCAGAACCTAGGAGTGCAGTAGCCAGAGCCAGTAGGTCTTTGCCATATTAACTTCAGGATCAATACGAACTACTACTACATCAACTTGCACGATAACGAGAACTTGCAGGAGAACGAGAACTTGCAGGAGAACGTAAAGGAGAGAGTACAATCGAGGCAGATATCGCTTTGACTAGCACCATCAGGAAACCCTTGAATTTATAATGTCATCTTGAACTACTTAATCGGGTATTACCTTTGTACTAACGCCCAGCACAAACGACAACGCGTCCATGACGTTGGACTTCCCGCTCCCATATGAACTGCAAAAGTATCGCACTCGTATAAATGCATTACAAATTTTCTCAGCATGAGAAATAAAATTTGTAATGCGGATTTACCTTAGCAAAAGGATTTGTAATGCATGATTGCAATATGACGAGTACGATACTTTTGCACAGGATATCCCGTTGGGCCCGATCACGCAGGTGAACCGCTGGAACGGTCCCACAGTGACCCGGTCGCCGTAGGACTTGAAGTTTTCGATTCGCAGTATGCAACACAAATTTATATACACATCACGTACAACGACAAACTGTAATTGCATGACTGATCATTTTCGCCACACTAGTAGAGAAGGAAACTTGTGATGCTAGAACATGTAGTTCAGCAAAAGGTTAATTGATGTCGCAATAAATAAAGGTTCGTCATTATTTCTTTGTACGTGTACTGATGTCACGACGAAACGAACAAGCTCAATTACTGTGGATACTGAGGTACTCGATCCCGTGCGGGGGAAGGATGTTATCAGCATCCCTGTCGACCGCCCTCCAATCGTACCAAAGCTCGCGCTCGTCGTTCAGCGATTCGATTTGCTGTCTTGTCAGCTTGTGCACGTCTTTTAGGTCCACGGAGTTAGATGTCGTGGCTTTTCCTTCTTTATTGTTCTCCTTTTTTGAAAAGAGTCCTGCTTTGGTAAAAGCTGGCGCAGCCTTGTTGTTATCAGTAGCCGGAGGTGCGACGGAAGTCGAGCGGAGTTTATTTTGCTTCGCTGTCGACGATGCGGAGGACTGCGGTTGCTGTGGGTCGTCGTGATCTCGTCCTGGGGTACTTCTACCGACAGCCGGAAGCTCCTGATGGACATTCTCATCGTCTTGCGCGTCCTCTGCAAGTTTTCGTCTTTTTCCGGGCGGTAATACAGAACCGCTACCAGACGGCTCCCGCTCGTGATTATTTGGAGGTATAATGAAAGCGTCGTCGTCGTCACCCTCATTCTCCTCGGCCTCTTCCTTTATTGCGGCCGGCGGTTGTTCCTCTCCTTCTGCTTCTGCATCAAAGTCGTCATCTACACCAGCTTCTCCATCGTTCTCCAACCCGCCGCCGAGAAGGTCTTCTTCATTCTCGTCCAGCAACCCCCCACCGAGAACCTCGTCGTCATCCAGAAAGTCGTCCTCTTCGTCGTTGCCTCCAGGAGCGGAAACCTCCTCCTTAACCCGGACGGACGAGGACTTTGGCGAGCCCGAACGACTCATTTTGGGTTTTTCGGTGCTAGCTTGATGCTTTCATGCTTTTGCTTGGTGGTCTACTTGTGCTTTAGCTCCCATCTTCATAGCTGCGGCTGCCATAGGTCACGAAGTTAGTTTGCTGCTCTTCTTGACGCCCAGTTGTTGTGTACTCACTCTATTTTTTCCCAGTACAACTATGTTTTTGTCATGGTGGCGCAACCACGTCGTAAGATTAAGAAGTAGAGCCACGCAGCAAGATAGTTCTCAATAGTTGTTTCCTCTCAACAACAACCCTGCAGCACGAAAAGTTCAAGAAACAAATTGGCGCTGCGCAGGCGGCACTGGTTCTTGGTTGTATTTCGCTTATCTATAATCTCATTGTAAAAATTTCTCAGCTCCTTGTCTGCTTTGTAGTAGCTCTAGAAGATGCTCTCAAGACACTGTGCGTCCTCCTTTCATCGCTACCACACTCAATTAGGGGTACCGCATGTTGTAGTCGCAGTTAATACTCCCTGTTGGTTCGCGTCTAAAAATGGATCTTTTGTCGAATGATGATCGGTGGCACGCTGGGTAAGGAGATCGACAAAATGTTCTTCACGTTGGCGGGCTCCTTGTTAGCTTGCTACTTTATAAGCGCCTTGCATGAAGGAAAAGCGTAAAAGTATACGTACTTCATGTGTGTCTCTACATAGCTCCGCTGCGTCTGAGAAAATCACTGACGTCTTCAGCCCACCCTTTGTCCATAGTTGAGAGCCAGAGCAAGCTCGCGCACTTCCAACCAGCATAAGCGATAAAAGTCCAGCGTCGACGAAGTGCCAGCGCACCCGCACGGGTCCGCAAGAGAACACGACTTGACCGCTAGTTTTGATGACGCATGTTGATCACGCACTTGGGATGGGATGTCCACTGCTATGTTAATGTTTGTAGTACCTCTGTCGTGCTGGTACTATGCACGTTTTGCCTTTTGTTCTATCGCTTCAACAGGGAAAGCGAAGATTAGATCGCCAACACCGAGCAGCTGCTCGCATGAAAAGCAAAGCTTGATGTCTTCACCACCACCATCCTGTCGTGTCCATACCCGGGTGCCATCTAACACGCAGCTCGTCCATCGTATTGGAAGTGTTTATCGCAGATGAAAATGATAGAAAATATTAGAACAATCCTCCAAATTATGGCCTTCGAAGTTTATCTATATGAAATCAAGAGGATCACCGACGACCTCACCATCAACACTCATTTGAGCTGTGCCAACCCAGCATGGTAGGGCCGGACAGCTAACGAGCACTGACACGGTGCGATAATCAGATGGAATCATTTTTACGACGTGCAAAATATTTAAACAGTTTCTATGTTTATTGTTATTCTCGTAAACAAGGATACAGCTATCAAACACAGAGAGTCAACTACATCGCTTTTGCTTCTTACTTTTTCTATGTTCTCGAAAGTCTTCAAAGTCTACGTGTATTATATTTTCAGAAAAGTATTGTTATTGACATGATCAGGTGCTGCCTAAAAGTTGATGATGCCGACGCGCAGCGACAAGGTACACGCGTGGCGTTCTACTGCATCCTAAAAAGTGCTTGTTGTAGTAGATACTTGGTATTTGGTAAACACATCTATCGAAAGCGAAATCATGTGGCAGGAACTCGAAAGAGCTACGCCTGATCATGTCGGGTAGTTTTAGTTTAGTATCAAAAAATGAAAGTGCATAATTGTGAAAATGTTTCGATTTGAAAAAATAGTAATATGCCTCAGCAATGATAATGAACTGGCATCCCTACGGTCACGATCGGACCATGGGGGTGCCATAGAGTAAAATAAATATTTAGAAAAACAGGTACATAGTAGTGTCCTATATTCTCACGTAATTTTGAGACACAAGAAGCAAAAACTTAAACTAGCAAACGAAGTAAAACGTCAATATGAACTTACTATCGAACGTCGACGTGTCAGGCATTAAATACGTTTGTCAGCTTATTTTGCAGAGAGGCACGCAAAGAAAGCGATCTCCATCGCGGAGGCAAGGACGGAAGGACTCACTTCGCTGACGCAAAATTTGTGCTGCCAAACAGGTATAATTCCAAACAAAATACAACTGGCAAGCTTGCCCTATGGAATCGAAAAATATCTAAAAGCATGTGACAGCTCGGGAAATTCTTGAAATAGAAATTGTGGCCTGGTTGCTGCGCCATAACGCTGCGTGTTGTCCAGCCCCGGCCATGCTCAACATGCTTCAGAAAAAACGAAAATAGCGTCGTGCCAGAGCCAGCGTGTGACGTACTACATAACCTCTGTGACAACTCCGACTAGTCTGTTGTCTCCTTTGCATCACGGTCCTCATCCCTTCATCTGATTACTCGCCGTTGGCCAAGCACAGGAACCGCCCACAAAGTTGCCCTTCATGCCCATCAGCGGCGTTGCGCCGCTTTTGCAGCTCATGGTATTTTTCCCCGCGGCCGGTGGCATGTTCATGTTGATAAAGTTGAAGCCTCCTACTCCAGCACTGCAACCTGGCTTATTTCCCCCCTTGTGCTGCACCATCGGCGGGTACTGATGTACCATCATCGCCCCCACCGGCGCTGCTCCGGGTGGAAAATATTGAGGCACTGGTTGCGCAACTCCGCCGGGGCCGGGCGTGATGTTGCACGAGGTTGTAGTAGGGCTGGACAATGTGCAAGAAAACGTGCTAGACAAAGGACCATCTCCTCCTGCACCTCCGCTCGCCCACATGTTCATCTGTGGTGTGGTTCCGGGTGAAGAAGTTGTGGGAGGTTTGTTGGCATTGCAATTCCACATCACTGCAAGCACGTCGGCCATGGTATCCTGGTCGGCGAGTTGGTTCAGTTTCTCAACCTCTCTGTCCTGCTGATCCACCGGATGCTGTCCAGTAGTTGCGGTACTACTACCACCTGCACCTACACAACTTCCGGGCAAAGCTGCTGGCTGGTACAAGTGATGTTGAGGCTGACCAAGATGTTGGGCGGGGGCCGACGTGTTGGACTGATCGTGTTGTTGTGCCACGACGACGCCTGAGGCACGACCGGTCGTGGAAGAAGAACTTCTTTCAAGAATGTTGGGGTCCTCGTCGATGATGTTGCCATCAGCTGCTGCTGCCCGGCACGAGGTGGTCATTCGCTGGACATTTACTCCTGCGTCGTTCTTGTCCGAGGAAAACTTCGCAGGAAAGTCGTCGTTCTTTTTATTTCTGTTGGTATTTTCATTTGTAGTCCCGGTCGTGGAGTCATTCAGTAGAGACTCTGGATTGCTAATGCTCGCTGGGCTGGGACTCATAGAGCTCAGCATGGCACTGGTATTCAGCAAATCCTCAGTCGGCGGTGAAAGAGAATTTTTATCTTCAGACGGGTCTTCTACTTTTGCTGTTGCGTTGTAGTTCTGATCGGCAACGATGTTCCTTGTCCTCTCGCCGGTCTGGTCCTGTGGGCTCAACAGGTGCCGGGTACAACTAGGATCTTGTCCTTGATGGTTTTCCCGTGACACTGCCGCTTGCAACAAATTTCCGATGGTTGTATCGTTGCCTGCTGCTCCTGGCGTCGCTATCACGTCTTCAAACAGCCACTTTTCGAAGTCGTCGGCTTGTTTTTCAATCATGCTGCTTGTAGATGCTCCTTCTACAACTGCGGTAGATGACGGGCCGCCCATAATTTCTTGGATCATGTGCTCCTGTTCAGCTCCAGCATTGGACGTGGTTCCAGCACCACAGCCCGGGATCTGGTTAACCAATGCCTCCAACCATTGTGCCTGTGACGGCGCAGCCTCATCTTCCCGTGCTCCTGCTCCGTTGGCTGCATTCATCTGTGCCGCGTGTTCTTGGGGATTTCCCTTTGGAAACTGCTGGCTCGGCTCCGGTTGCCAAGCCCGGCCGTGGTTCGCGCTGGGCACGACCTGTGTGCATAGTCGCAAATTTGTTGTTCAGTATTTAGATCACCTGCAGCACGTGTGGTCTAAACGGTTTAGTTTCTTTTACTAAATCAAAAAGCTGCTACAATCATCATTTTCAAATTTGTGTACCCCGCTGGAGTTATAATTGCCTCCGATGTAGCTGTTCCACTGCTGCGCGGCCGCACCAGCAAAAGCACCCGGCGCCGCCGTTGCAGAAGCCACGGCTTGAAATGTTGAACCCTTAGCTGCGCCCTTAGTTGCGCCGCCAGTAGCAGGGTTGTAGGTGTTGAAAGCAGCGCTGTGGTGGTCATAGGGCCCGGATCTGTAGCTGGAAAGTACACCACCTGGTCCCATTGCAGGACCACAACTTCCTTTGACATGGAGGACGCCAGAGGCTGCAGTACTACCGTCAGTCGACGAGGACGGGCTAAGCTTCACAGTCGGCACACTGTTCCCGTGCTCGTAGGAACTTCCCGCGACGGGCATGTAGGGCGACTCCCTCCGGTTAGTCTGCGGGACAATATTCGGCGAAGAGGAGCTGCTTTTCGTTGATGACTTCGAACTGTGGTTGTAGTTTTTGCCACTGCTAGTACTACTTGATGTCGCTTTATTACAATTGTTCTTAGTAGAGTCTGAAGATGAACAAGTGTGGTCGTGCGAAGTAGTACTTCTAGCAGATGACATGCTGTGGTGCGATTGGTGCGAGTTTTCCACCCTGTAGTCCTTGTTGTATGATGAATAGCTGCCCTTGTTTCCGAGCGCATGACTCTTGTCGTTCCCCTTTCCGTTCGGGCCCAAGCTGTTGCCCTGCATGTGCTTCCCGAAAGATCCCTTGCTTTGCTGATTCATCCTGTTATTGTAAAAATTGTTGTAAGATGTTGAACCAGTTGTAACGCAGGAGCCACCAGCTTTAGACGCAAAGCCAGAGCCTTTGCAAGTAGAAGAAGAGGACGATGATGATAATGTTATGGATCCGGATCCTTTTCCATGATACGACGAGGAACTCGAAGAAGATGAACTTGCAGACGCTGAACCTTTAAAAGACGAAAAATTGTTGTGGTGGTTGTGGTTTGGATAGGATGTTGCGGATGCTGATGAAGATGTTACGTAGTTGTTGTAATTGTTACTGCTCAACAAGCTGCCATGTTGTGGCGCATGTACTAAAAGACCCTGTTGCGACAGCTTCACGCTCGCAATAGTGTTAAACAAGCTCTTTGTCATTTTGCTCCGCAGTTCTATCATGCATGGCGGATGTTGTGCCTTTTGTTGGACCACATTACGACCTGTCTTGGTGGTACTAGAATTTGACAATTTGTTGGTCGACTGTTGATCTTGATGGTCTTGACTAGACATATTAGTTTTCATATTACCGATGGTAGAAGAAGTTTTGATTTCGTCTTCCTGTTTAGTCTCTGTTGGAAAAATCGCTTTACCGCTCTCGGTTGAGGAGGGAGAAGAGAGCGGCGGGGAGGTACCGGAGGAAGCGGAGAGGGCGGAGCAGGCCGCATTAGAAGATGATGTTGACCCAACACACGACGAAGACCCATCTTTCATCTCTACAACAAGATCCAAGTCAGCAAGGCCGCAGAGCGGATCGATTTCAACATCAGTTTTTTCTTGATCATCGTTGCTAGAAGAGCCAAGTTGTGCAGCCCGCAGCTGCTGTTCTTTCTCCTTCTGTTTCTGGGCGATGGCTAGTACCTCCTGCAAGGCCACCCCCGACGCCGCCCGAATTTTCACGACACCGTTCGCCTCCGGGTCCGCACCCGGGCTCGTAGCCTGCTCTACCACGATTTCGATGCCCAAGTGCGAAGCCTCTTCGCGCCAACGCCGAATGCTATCACCCTTTTTACCGATCAGCAACCCAAGATATCTGTTTTTGGTCGTGTAGTGGGGGAGGTCATGGAGCGAAGATGATCTTCGTCGAGCTACTAGCAGCACTAGTAAGTACTGAGGAGCTGTCGGCGGGACGACGACGTGTGAAGCAGGCTACGTTCTTCCTTCTTGGAATAAAAGCCTAGACGTTCATGCAAAGCGCCAGTGCACTAGCTGAAGGGCGCAGCACCCCAGTGCACGGGTCCTTCTTGTGCACACAGTATCTATGTGTTTCTTACCTGCTCCGCAAGTAGATGCCAGTCGAAAAACTGGCTATAATTCGTCCCATGAAGAATTACAGTTACGCAAAGCGGATACCGCAGGTCTGAAGCGTCACAAACGCTGCCGCAACATGAACATACGCAACTAAGAACCACAGCGAAGAAAAGATAGAAGGTGAAAAAAGGGCAATGAAAATGAAGTAAAGTCTAAATTAGTCAAAGAACGAACAACAGCAACAAGGTGGAAAAACGAAACTCCGCCACAGCACTTACCGCTTGGGCACTTCGAAGGAGATGGTGTCATTCAGGCTGTCACCGGAGTGGGCTCGTGTTGAAGTCGAAGTGCGGCTCTGGTGTCCAAGATCGCTGGTTGTATTTTTATTCGCCAACAACATCGTCGTAGTTTTAATATTCGACGGCGCACCAACTTTGACATCGCCTTCGCTTCCACTACTTGTACTATCAGTCCCACCTGCTCCAGGTGTGGCCGTTTTGGATATACTAGCGTTGTTAATATTCGCTTCTTCTTCAAGATGTCCGCCGCCAATGGTCCTCTCTGCTGAGGTCGTCGTCGTGGTTCCTGTGCTGCTGGGCCCTCCGCCCGCGACGGCCAGGACGGGCGAGCCGGAAGAAGAATTTGTATAAGACGATGCTGCTGCATGTTGATTTGTTCCTACTCGTGTACCGGCTTGCTGAATAAAGGAAGCTCCTGTACCTGAACCTAGTACACTAGCGTTGTTGTAGTAGTGGTTGTGTTGATGATGTTGATACTGGTTCGCTCCTCTGGCGCCCGGGCGCGGACCCCCTGCAGCTCCGCCAACATTGATATTTACTTGCAAGGAAGTTGACGTGCCGGGGGCGCCTCTCTTGTTCCACCAAGAAGTATTGGATGGTCCGGCAGAGCAAGTGGGCATTTGCGAAAAATCATACACCATTTCTTGCTGGTGGTAGAGGTCCAACAACCGGTCGTCATCCAGAAACTCCAGCCCCGGGAGCTTTTCCGCCCGGGGTTCGTGTCGAATACTGTCCGGGTGCGCAATATGCAATACAAATTTCCCGTACATGTACCAAATGCATGGCAAATTTCGCTAACTTTGAGTGTCAAACTTGTCATGCTGATTAAGATTGAAGGTCAATTTTGTCATGCAGAGACAGCATTGTACTACGTGTACGGGAAATTTACTGTGGATACGCAAGGCCCTGGCTTACCAGCTTCTGTTGCTGCTCCCGCCGCCTCGCATTCCGGTCGGCCGAGTCAATCATCAATTTCAGCACTTTCTTAGTCGTGGAGATCTGGTGTGAAGAAGATGTTGGCCGAGGTTTTTTTGCATTTATTCAGCAGCAGTGACTTGCTCTGCGGAAGAGAACAAGTTATGCCGAGTCAGAAATCATAAGAAGGAATCAAGTGTAAATTAGCATGAAAGGAGGCTCCCGAGCCACTTTTCGTTTTCGGGCACCATCAACGCAGGTTGCTTGTCTTGTCTCTTCGTTTCCTGCGATTACAATGTCGTATAAAACAACTGTACTCAGCACATTCACTTTCTTTTTTGCATATTGCCGTAAAGAAGTGAATACCTGTTTCTGCGTTCCCATCATTTGCGCGACCGCGAACAATTTCGTGTTAAGCTTTCCGCCGTTCGTTTGGTCGGCGAAACACTCCGTAAAGGTCGGCATGTGCTTCGCAAAATCGAAATTTGTCAATTGGTGCTCCTGCAGAATGGTCAACTGTGCGAGTTCGCAGTGCACCTTGATTTTTCGGATGGAATTCCCCTCCTTCCCAATGATCAGCCCCACGTAGCGCATGGAAAACGGGAAGTGGTCGGTCAATAGTGGCTCTTTCAACGCAGGAATCGTCGGCGGGGGCGGTCGGGAGGGATTTTTTTGGTTGGTGTTGGAATTGGTGCTGTTTTCGTTTGTATACGTGATGCTGGCCACCATCTCTTTCATCAGAGCCCGGTCCTCGTCATCGTCGTCAGGAACAGTGACTACACTTTGTTCATGAGAAATCGATTTTGCATGTTCATCTTGATCTCGGCACAAGTTCATCTTCTTGGTGGATTTTGTATGTTCTTCATCTTGATCTCTATGACGGCAGCAACGTACCCAACGCCCAAGTTACCCATGGGGGATCAAAAAAAAAATTTCGGTCGGTCTTATACATACAATATAGATATTTATGTAAGATAGGTGGTTGAACTAGTTATATGATTTAAGTAGCTAGAAAAGGTGTTTTTTAAGGCTTGCAGGATGCTACTCCGCCGATATCCAGCTCCACGGAATCGCCTCGGTTGTCTCCACGCAGGAGCGCCGGGATACTGCACGCGAAGGCGTGGCGCAGATAGGGCACGAAGCTTCGCAGGGGGCAGAGGATCGGTGGCCAGCTTCCTGTGGCGAGGCAGCAGGACGGCGTAGCTGCGACGACCGTGTCGCAGCTTGCCGCCCTTTTCTGTGTTTGGTTTGTGCCCTGCTGCCACTTTCCGCCGAGCTTGCGAGCCATCTTGTGAGGCTATCCAAAGTGCCCCGGCTTCATTGTGTTCCTACCTGGACAGATTGACCTCACACAGGACAACACGAGAGTCCGGGATCCCCGTCCGCGATGCCCCTCCGAGATGCTCCCTTTTTGGCAACGGACAAAACGACCACAGCGTCGGGGCTAGGGGTAAAAGTATGCCCTTCTGGAGGCCCTGCGTGGACCCCCTCCCGCGGACCCTCCTCGCGCCCCAGCCTCTCGCCTGCGGCTTTGCAGGCCGCGGCCTGCGGAGCATGTTTCCCTTGGCTTGCGGGTGCTTTTTGGCGAAGCCCCCCGTGGCAGCCGATGGCACGCTGCTCAGCCTTTTCTCATAAGCACGGCGCGCGGCTTTGCGTTTCGACCGTGCCGTCTTGTCGGAAGTCATCCCCTGGATGCGGCTAGCTGCGCCAAACCTCCCGCAGGCCATGCACAATGGAAAGCCTGGGCAGTAGACAGACGCCACGCCATGGGGCACTTCCTCGGTTTTTTGCTAGGGTTCCGCGGCGGATCCGTGGAGGTGGATATCGGCGATGTAGCGTCCTGGAAGCCTTGAGAAACGGCTTATATAGATAAGCCATTAACCTAACTAAAAGCAAACCACTTTTACTAGCTAGTTAATATATAACTAGCTTATTTACACCGAAAAAAAAAAACCGTAACCCTTTGGGTAACTTGCCTGTTGGGCACGTTACTGCCGTCATAATCTCGGCACAAGTTCATCTTCTTGGTGGATCGTTGCTCCTGAGTCAAATTTGCAAGTACAACCGCCGTTGCAGCATCCACCTCCTCGCTGTCAGCTCCGTTTGAAGCAGGTCCGGCTGTTGTTGTACCCGGCCGTGAAAATGTTGATGAACAAGGCTCATCCAGCACATCGGGCAGCGCCAGGCCTTGTTCTTTCTGCAACGTCGCCACAGATGAAATTTTCTGGTCAGAAGTAGGTTCTTTCCGTTGAACTACCATAGTCACCGCGCGACCGGTGTTGCTTTTGGCACGCTTGGACGCTGGGGACCTCGGCGAGGAGCCGTCAACAGCTTCATCTGACACAGAATGATCTTCACATGGTGAAGATTGAATATTGCAACTACCCGTGCGGCTACTGTCCGGGATGCACTGCTGCTGCGCCACGCCAGCGTTGGTGCCGGCAAACCGGTCGATCTCGTCCACCTCTACCGGAGCGGTATTTGCATTCTTTTTCTCGTCAGGATCGCGATCGCCTTCACCAGATGTATTCCGCTTGTCGAAAAAAGCAGTCCTCTGGCTCGATGTCCGCTTCATTCTATTTCCCTGCACCTGCCGCAAGCGAGATGCCGGAGTCAAGTTGTCGTTAGCCGTCAAAAGGTGGTTGCTTTTCCTGTGATGTATTTCATCTTCGAGGATCAAGCACATCGCTATTATTACGCATAAGTGGTACGCGCAGGCGAGATGAAATGCAGCTTACTTTGAGAAAATAATGCACAATAATCCTCTTCCAGGACCGTGCAATCGCAGAAAGACACCAGAGGTTGTACTCTATTCAAGTGATGCAGTACCAGCGCTAAATACAGTAAGTGAAGGCTCTTTAGTACATTTCTATCGCTCGGTCCACCATTTGGTGAATGTCTTCTTCCACGGCGTAGATAATTTCCGCGTCGAACCCAACAATCTCCACAATGCCATACGCCTTTCCGCACAGGCTCTCGTGCCGAACGCCAATGTAGCACCCAGACTTCTCCTCGTAACAGTTCACCGTGCGACCTGGATTGACGAAAAATTGATGAAATCGTCCACTGTGCATGTCGTGGTGGTGGTGCCGAAGAACGACAAACATTCTAAAAAAATGTAAATTCTACTATTCGACCTCCGCAGACATAACGCTTTTACCTTCATTCCCAATGATCATTGCTATGGCAACCTGCGGGATGGGAAAGCAGGTGTGCTTCAGCCGAATTATTTCCTTCGTTCTTTCCCGCCCATCAGCACTACCGCTTTGGTCGTGTTCATGTTCTTCATCCCCTTTGTTCAACACAGCATCAACGCCCTTTCTTTTCGCATGCTCCGCCGCAAACCAGGTGTCCAGATCTTTCTGCACATGTTGCAACTTCTTCTCATTCTCCTGTCTCAACGCCACGGGCGTGTATGCATCGCAAAAGTATCGCACTCGTATAAATGCATTTCCTCAGCGTGAGAGATAAAATTTGTAATGCTGATTTACCTTTTAGCGAAAGACTTGTGATGCATGATTGCAATACGAGTGCGATACTTTTGCACTGCATAGCGTGTTTCCCCCGACGATGTGCTTTTCCTGCTCCCGCACGAACAGCAGTTTGTTTTCCACCACCGCGTCCGCCTTTACTTGGCACGCGTTTCGCACTATGTACTCGTCCAGCCAGCCGTCTAGTAGATCCCGAATAAACTCTTCCCAGCTCAGTCGGAAAAACCGTGGCGGAAGGGAATCAAAACGGGTATAATTCAAATTCTTCTTGGATGAGGATGGGAATGCTGGGATATTAAAACTAGTATTTTGTTGGTTCCCGTTTTTCTGGTCTGTCTGCGAATCTCGAAGATTATGTTCGGGAGGATCGATGATCTTCGGAGTCGAGGTGCTGGACCCCTTGACGTTAACAAACGCTCCCACCTCACCTGTAATCTCTTCTGGATGCAGTGAAGAGACACCCCTGTTGCTGGATGCGATGATCGGGGCTGGAGTGATATCAACCGCTGGCAGTTCTTCCTCCTGCTTGTCGATTATGGAACAACAAGTTGCTTTCACCTCGTCCCCTGCGGCCAACGGCTGTAACGGTCCCCGCCCGTCGAGAGGACCTCGAGTACTAACATCAACAGCCACTGGTTTCAGCACAGGAGATTTCAGTTGGGTGATAATTTCTCCCCCGCGAATGTACTTAGGTGCCCGGAACCAGGCTTGATTCCCGTTCTTGAACGTGACCCACACGTAGTCGCCACGACGCGACGTTGCGCCGTTCTTGTTTCCATCGGGGGCCCCGTGGTCGAGGACGATCGTGTCTTTAATTTCGTCGTGATGAAGGAGTTTTTTATTTTCATCTTCACCAGGAGAAAGTAGATTTAGATTATTGTCCTGGCAGGAACTACTACTCAACAAATCTTCACTACTGTCCTTGTCACACAAACCCCGTCCTCCCGCGCTGCTGTCAATGTATTCAACCTTCGCTACCGCTACGTGATCCCTTTCTGCGCCGAAAAAATACCCACCTCTGCGCTGTGGTCGAGGCAGGAGATTGGCTGGACGAGCAGCAGTCTGGCCATTTGCAGCAGTTTTCAGAAGCATTTGTTCCTCAGGCACCATGTTCTCATTCTCACCAGATGAGGCGCCTGCAGAAGATTTATCGTTCTTGATACAGCAACCGGATGATGGCGCTAGTACTTGTTGTGACGTGCTCCTACCAACTTCGTGCTGGATCTTCATCTCCGGGATGATTTTTGCATGCCGATGGTCTTCCTGCTCCTGCTGTTGTTGATCCTGGGCGAGGCGGGTCTCCTGCTGTCCTTGCATCACGACAGTGGTCGTACAAGAGGACGCGGCCAAAAGCGCACGATCTGGTACTTCGGCTTCGTCTTTATTCGCGGCGTCAAGCACCACGGGAGAACTAGAAGTGCTGTTCGTCTCACTACAATTGGTGGTTTTAGTGCATGTGAGGTCGACCACTTCTAATCGCGTCATTTTGGTAGAACAGAGCTGATTTGTAGTCGGCTCTTTAGTGGAAGCAAGGTGGCTGCGTTCCTCCTCAGGTGCAGCCAGCAGTGCTTCCGGATCCTCAACACCGAGGTGGACCTTCGTGTTAAGTTTGGAAATGTTCGCCGTCGTCGTGTTGATCTCCTGCGCTCCGCTGGACTTTCCCTTCTCGTCGTTTTCCCCTTGTTCATTCAGCGGCTCTACTTGGGCGCCCGTAGTAGGACTACCATGAAGATCCAACTTCACTTTCTTGGCCGTCGTCGATCTCTCTTGCAGCCTTTCGCTTTTGTCCCCCTGTGGAACTTCCGCGACAGTAACTGCGAGGGCAGCTCCTACATCGTGGTCTTCATCACGATCAGCCTCGCGCTTTTTCACATTGGAAAAGTTCATCTTAGCCGCGGCCGTCTCCTCCAACGACTTCGTCGTGGCACTTTCTTCATTCTTATTTTCTGTCACAGCTGCGGCTGCCGGCGCAGAATCTTCCTTGATTTCGGGTGTGGAGAGAATTGATTGCGTTTGATGTTGCCCCCCGATGTTGTTGACGTTGGTCGTGCCGGTACTAGTATCATTCTGGTGTTGTTCTTGCACAACTGCCGCCGGTATCACATTTTTAAATGCTGCATCTACCGGCCGCACGGCGGCGGAATTCGGTCCCTGAGAGGACGGCTCTGTGTCCGCGAGACTCATTTCGATGTCGTCTTTAGTGTAGGTGGCGGTCTCTCGTCCTGGCAGCAGCTCCGGCGATTTTTGCTCGTCGGCAGCATCTCGTGTTTCTGGTCTGTTCGCAACACTTCCACCGGAGTCCAAGGTCAGAGCCGGCATCTCGTGATCCACCTCGGAAGTTGTAGTCGTTCTTGTAGTTGAAGTTGTAGCACCAGATGTAGTGCCTCCGGTAACACCTCCTCCCGCCGCTGACAGATGCTGTTCAGGTCCGGGTCCCCCCGCGACTCCATGATTGATGTTGTTCGCAAGAGGAGCCCCGCCACCACCACCCCCAGCAATAGCTTGCTGTGGAAAGAGCGTGTCCGCGCAAAAGACTTTTTCCATCGGCGGAATGGGTGCTAAATTCACCGTGCCGCCGTGAACGAGATCCCGCTCCCGGCGCGTGCCGTCCTCCTGAATGATGACACGACTGCTGGGGCTGCCCTTCGGACTGGGCGCCGGCTTGCTGGTCGTTCGTTGCATGAAAAAACGGTCCTTCACATACTGACTCGTCGAAGTTGTTGTTGTGACCACGGAAGATGATTCAGCTGGTGCACCAGCGCCGGTGGCACCACCTTCCCCCTCGTCCAGTTGACCAGCAGCTTTATTTGTACTACAACTGCTCAACAGGAAAGAGCCGCTCTTCCCCGGGCTGCCCTGAGGCGCATAGTGGGGACTCATCTTGCTCCCCTTTATACTGGTACCAACAGCTGGACCTGCTCCTGCTGTAGCGCCTCCTTGTTGAACACCAGTGTAGTAGGCCGCTGTGCAAGAAGTAGAATCTCCCGCAGTAGTGGTGCCTTGTTGAGATGAATTGGCAACTCCGTGTGGTCCAGCACCATTCTCCGGTTGACCTCCGTTCGCGCCGTTGTAAAACGAGTTACTATAATTTTTGCCTCCATTCATCACCCCGGCTGCCTTGTTTCCACCAGGAGCTCCTGCACCTCCGCCACTGGCAAGGAGATTAGTACTCGGCCCGTTTGTGTACCGAACCTCCATGGTTGGCGTCGCGCCTCGCCGGACCATATGAACTGCAAAAGTATCGTATTCGTATAAATGCATTACAAATTCCCTCAGCATGAGAAATAAAATTTGTCATGCGGATTTGCCTCAAGAAAGAGATTTGTAATGCAAGACTTGCATTTGTACGAGTACGATACTTTTGCACAGGATAGACCACGGGGTGAAGATTTATTTGCTGGTCGTTGTACTTATTGCGTTGGTATCCACTGCAAATATGTCTGGGTGTGGAACAAGAATGCAAGTCTGTCATGCTTGGTTGACAAGACAGAAAAGTCTGTCATGCTTGGCGCGCTACAGTGCCACTTGTTTGTCATGCAAACAGGCCATTTGTCATGCGGCTCACGCTGGACATAGCCGCTCAGAAACTTGTGATGCGCGGTCCCCTAATACAGGTTGCGTATCATTCGGACACTAGCATCACAACTTTCCAGACCCAGACATTTTTGCATTTGATAGGTGGTTCTGTTGGTCGTGAAAGTTGTTTTTACTGTTCTTGTATCCTGTGCAAAAGTATCGTACTCGTATTGCAATCATGCAATACAAATCTTTTTCTTAAGGTCAACCCGCATTACAAATTTGATTTCTCATGCTGAGGAAATTTGTAATGCATTTATACGAGTACGATACTTTTGCAGTTCATATCTTGTGGTACTGATCGTAGTAATTACCACCTCCACCACCTCCGCGCGAGGACCCACCTCTGCTCCCATGATAATGAAAGCTGTTGTTATTCATTTTGCTTTTGCCACGGGACGGGCCCGCGCCGGCCCTATAAAAATTGTTGTTGTGAAGATCATTGTAACAAGTCCTCGCCGCATGATCTCTTCTACAACTTACGGAACCCCCTCCTCCTCCGTCGTTCAAAGGAGTTGGGTCGTCAAACTTCCACTGCCCCACCGCTTCGTCAATCGCTGCCTCCAGCGCGTCGCCACTGAATTGCAAGAATGGGTTACTCTGGTCGCCGCTCATGCAGCTCTGCTCGCCGTTATTTTTGTTCATCGGGGACGGGTCTACCACATTGAAAATCTGATTCGCACCGGTCGAGCTCACGCCGGCTGCGTTGGCCGCCGCAACATGGGTAGTACCAGTGGAGGAGCCGTTTGTTGACGGCAAAGCTGTCATGATACATAAATCTAAATTTTACGAGGAGCAAATCAGAATTCGAGACTGCTAGCTCAAGATAGAAGTCAATGCGAAATTCCAAGCAAAAGAATCATCAGTTTATATTAAACATATACGCAATGTTGGTTCTCCATTTTGCGCCTGCTGCGCCCCCGTTATGTTCATCGCGTTGCTGGTAAAACCCCGCGGCGTTTTAGTCGTTTCTCCGGCGCCGAACGGTGTCGCTCCTGAAATGGCGAGCGGCGTCGAGACATCCTTTACCACAAGCTCGTCGAGTTGCTTCTTGTTTTCTTTGTTTTTCCCCCCGGAAGTAGTAGTTGTGCCAGAGTTGTCTACAGCCGACGTTTTGTCACCTCCGGAAGATGAAGAATCAGCAGCGGCAGCGCCGTCTTTATTTTCGCTCTGATCTTCCGGCTTCAGCTGCTTCTCCTCTTCTAAAAGCGTGCCCACGAGCCAACTCGGCGCGAACGGATCCACCAAAGGGGAGCAGGCTCCTATGGATGTGTCAGGATCGAAATCGACAAAATCGAAAAATTTGTGATGCGTAAAATGTAGGGCACTGAAGGCCTGTATTGGGGAGCAGGCAAATGAGGCCGATTGCAAGCCTGTTTAGGGGTATGCAATGTGCTGCCAGAGTGGCACTGCAGGAGGAGTCTTCTTTGTCCAAACAGCATCACAGACTGGATTTGGGTACTCCCGAAATTTGTCATGCGCCATTTGGAAACTGAGTCTCCAACTGACATCGATTTTGTGCATCACAAATTTTTCGATTTTGCCAATTTCGATTCTGACGCTTCCATAGCTCCGCCGTTCAGCTGCGCAGCGGTCGGCGTCGGAGCTATCAAATGTAAAAATGTCTGGGTCTGGAAGATTCATGCTGTTTTTGCATGACACAGAAGGTCTGGCATGGAAGCTCTAGCATCACAGGTTTCGAGAAGCCTCCGCAATGCCGAACCCGCATGAGAAACCCCCCACTTTGGTGACAGAATTGAGCACCTTTTGCTACCTATGCATGAGAGATTTTTCTGTGTTCGAAAATGCGCATCACAAGTTCGGATCCTTCCAGACCCAGACATTTTTACATTTGATAGGAGCACCGGCGCAACCAATGCCGCCTCTGGGAGTGTTAGCGGTTCTTGCTGTGGTCGGGTTGATGTTCATGTTAACAGCATTATCACAAGGAAAAGTGTTAACGGTAACGGTTTTCACAAATTGCAGTCATGCATCACAAATGTAGCCCAATATGCGTGCTATGCATTACAAATTTTGGCATGTTTTGTGATGCATTGCTGCATCACAAATTCCGTTAACGTTAACACTTTTTGCTGTGATAAGCATTGTGGTTAAACAAAGAACCGCCCCCGTTGTTCATCAACATCTGAGGCGTAGTATCCTGTGCAAAAGTATCGCACTCGTATAAATTGCATTCATGCATGACAAATCTCTTTCTAAACCTGAAACAGCATTACAAATTTCACTTCTGTTCTTGCTGGAATTTTTTGTGATGCAATTTATACTAGCACGAACGATCCTTTTGCAATGCATACGTAGTGGTGCCGCCCCCGAAGAAGCCCCCGTCGAGAACAGGCGTTCCCCCTCCACTCCCTGCGACAGTCGCGTCGAAAGGTAATCGATAGTTGTTCATCATGATGTGCGGGTTGTTGTGCTGCCCATGTAGTTGTGGTCCTGCCCCGGCGCCTCTAGATGTCGTAGTACTACACGGGGCACTACTATTAGTAGTTGCGACGTGTAGATATTGTTGGTTTTGGTGTTGACCCATCTGGTGCATCAGCAGCTGCGGGGGCCCTTGGTTGTTGATGTGGTTGTTCCAGTGGATATTAGTAGCAACAAATGGCTGCTGATGTCGATTATCCACCTCCGGAACATTTTGCTGCAGGGCCCAAGTGACCAGTTCCATGTCACCAGCATTCATGGAATTATTATCTACTGCGGCCCCGCTGTTCGACGAAACGGGATTATTAAAAGGAGCGAAAGAGCCTGAAGAACCTTGTCCGGAAGCAGTCTGACCCCCAAGAAGAGGGTCGTCGCTTTGCACGTTCATCAATTCTTCAAAGGTCACCGGAGTACGGTCACCTCGCGAAGTCGCAGTCGCATTGTGATTTTGTGTTGAGCATTGTAGTTCCTGATCACCTGTAATAGTGGTTGCGACCCCTCCTACTCCACTGGGCACGACGGCGGCCAGCGCGGGAGCAGGTGGACCAGCACCAGGGGGCGCCGTTGTAGTCATCACCATCTGGCCGGTGGCATGATTGAAGGTTAGCTCTGGACTACCATGAGGTGCTGGGTCGTGTTGATTTATAATTTCATCGCCGGTCGTTGTGCCTAGCATCAGGTCCATGATCGCGCTGGTAGAATTATCTTCGCTCGTCCCGCCCATCATCGTACTGCTCGACTGCACGGCGGGCGCGTGTACTTATGGTCCGATCGGTCAAGAGAAATGGAATTGTAGTTCTGCTTGGGATAAGTCGCTTTCTTTTTCTTTCTTGTCGTAGAAGAAGTTCTCGCTTGGGATGCCTATGCCAAACCTGTCGTGATTATGATGGACGTGATCTTATTTCTCAACCACGAGTAATAGGCATCCACCAGATCGATGCGGTGGCAACTGAAATCATGCCGCGCGACGATCCTGGAGCTGAAGGCATTCACATTCGGAATAGCTTTCCACAAACCGAAACCAACGAATCCAGAAAACGATAGTGTCGACATCAAACATCAAGTGAAAGTATCAAACAACACCTACCTGAGAACGTCTGCTGTCTCGTTGTGTCTTTATTCTCGGTGTTCGAAAGTAGATGTAGATATCTTTATCTTTTTCTTTATTCTTTGAAAAAATAACTTTCCAGTCGCGCTTTCCTTTATTCTCTGAAGCGGATGGAGATTCAGATTTTGTCGGCTACTTCGTCGGTATATTACACGTGTTGATCTCCGTAGTATACTTCTTCCGGTCGTTTATTGTTCCGCTAAAAGCTGACGTCAAAGTGCAGCCCGCCTAGGCGCCACGATTGCCACCGCAGATGTTATTCTAACCCTCACGAGGACCCGCCCAGTCTGCACATCAAGCACAGTGGATGTTGGAGTAGCTGCTAGACCTTCATCAAGCAGGTGGTCACGTACACGTTCGGGCCTCGCTGTTGAAAAAACAAATTGCTGAGCGTTTTGGACAAAGAGAATCAGTGATCCTCCGTTGTGTGAAAGCAAAGGACCGGTCGCTGCTGGATGTACCTTGCGTGCTGAAGACGCGGACAAGCCTGGAGGCAAGAGAAAAAAATCCACAAGGACGCTTTTTTGTATTCTATACTTTAACTTTTACAATTAATTTGACTCTACTGAACTTTTCACTTTCGTCTTGAGCTACAAACTCATACTAAGTTGTCTTTACTTGTTCTGTAGTGAGAATCGACGTTTACCAAGCTGCCATGCGCCCATGCACGGGCGGGTCCATGCGTTCATGAACGACAGCTGATCGAAACGTCTAGTAACAACGAAAAAAAAAACAGTGCCGCTCTCGGCGTTTTGGAGGACGATATAAATGTGGAGGACTAGTACTAGTAGTGTTGTGAAGAAAAAGAAATCAGGATCAGGATCTTCCGTTCTTCTTGTTCTTTCTTGTCGCGTTTGAAAATTGAAAAAGCTTCACGATCACGAATGGAAAATCTACACTACTTCGACATTCTGTTGTACGTCACAACGCGATCGACTTTTACGTATCGTGAAGCTCCGACGAGATAAGATACTACTGCGTTCTTGGGATAGAATAGTGTTCAAAAAGTACAAAAAATCAACCACACTGCAATATTACGTCAGCATTGGTTTCATTTGTCAATTCCGATACGAATCAGAACATCAATCTGACAAATGGAAGGACAGGAAAAATACGGACTTCAATAGGTCAAATTGTCCACCAAATCGAAGTCCTCGAGTACATTGCTATCGAAAAAAAGTATGTTTGTTGTGTATGTCTGCTATAGCGAAAAGACGATGTATAAACAACTACCTGACTAAAGACCAGCCGTGACAGCACAGCTTGCTAGCACAGAACAAATGATTGTCAGTGTACAAGGGAAAATAAACAGAAGGTCGCGAATGAACGCCGTTTAAGCCTGCTGGCGCTCGATATGTAACAAGTAGGGCGGGATAGAACTATGTATGGAATTCTAGTGAAGATCGTATCCGAAAAACTACTGAACAGGTCGAATCACCTCCCAAAAAAAAAAAGATTTGTTTCGGGGTCAATACTCATGTTGGAGATTGGAATTTTACACTTCACAAAGTTACTCACACTCACTACAGAAATTCCACAAAAAAAAATTGGCTTTGTTGCTCACCGCATTTATTTTTGTAGAGACGAGTCTTTGTCTTGTTACTTACAACTACAACAGTTTTGATTGGAACAGACTATCTAAGACTGTACTTACTAGAAAAACTTTCTCTCAGTAGCGTATCCCCGTAGCTTTTACGCTACGAAAAAACCTAAGTCTTGAGCTGAGCGTTCTGAAAACATTTTACACGTGTCGAAAACATTTTATACTTCTTTTGCTAAACATTGGTCTGGGGGGGGACTTTCTGAACGTTGTATATGAAGTGGGTAGCTTAACGCTGTGGATGGTTCATTTTCCATGAGTCTTTGGTGCTCGTGCCGAGGAGCGAGACTTTGAAAATTAAAAGAGGTATTTTTACAATTCCGTCTTTTATTCTCCAAAGTGGCTCGTGACGTGTGTTTACCTGTAGTTTTGGGCTACAGTGTATCTTGTATTCCATCTATAGGCGATGTAAGGAATCGTCTGGGGAAAACGTATTACTTAAATCGAATGTGTCACCTTCGGGGGGATATTAAATGGCATCGAGTACTACTGGTGCGAGCACATCTAATCCGCGGAACTACTTTCGCTGAGACAGAAAAGCTCGATGTTGCCGAGTTGAGGTTATGTTGCATCCGCAGCAGTTTATTCAATATGAATATCAATATCTATGCTTTTTCATCAGCATATCTATGGTTGTGCGCCCTACTAAAAACGACCATGCAGCACTACAAGAACCACTTGCACATATAGGGCCGCTTCGTGGCTACCACACCGAAGCTGGAGGTGATCGATGTCCACCCCCCGCAGCCTCAACATACTATTAAATCCAAAGTCACCGAAAATTAATTCTTTTTCAAATCGAATTCAAACCAAATTCAAAATTTCAATGTTTCAGACTTTCATGGTGCCATTGGACACCTGTGGCGAGGGTCATTTTGCAAAAAAAGTCAGCAGTTGCCATGCCCGCCCCACCACAGAACCTGGCCCAGGTTTGGTCGTCATCCCACACAATGAACGCTTTGGGGACAATAGTCGCAAGCAGACTCCCATCACTCACCGCCCGCTCGTGGTGTTGTACCGCTCTCACACTCACACCATCCTCGGCGAGCATCTATCATTCAACGATCCCACCGAGCGCCCTCCGCCGGTTTGTGGAAGGAAAACGCCCGACAAAGCCGAGCTTACCGGGCACCCCTCCCGCCGGCCGCAGGCAGCACGGGGCCGGGCGGTGGAAGACACCACAACCAAAGGCCACAATACACGAGGAGGCTACGCTATGCTACTCGCCCGGATGAGTATGAAAAATAAGCGCCCAACCTTCAGGAGGGCGGATTGCTTTTTTTGCAAGGCGGGACAAGAGAGGCCTGGCCCTTCGGTTACCACCGTCGCGGCCCGCGTCGAACTCCCGAGGCCACCATGTGGGGAGCAGCAACTACCGCAGAGACAACGAATCTACCTGAAGCAAGGCAATTAGCCGCGCAGCCACAGCATTGGGCGTGGACGACCACACAAGCGCAGTGGCCCCAGGTTGTCCGGCTTCCAGCCATCCACTCCAAGCGATGCCACAGGCCTTCGCGCTTCGATGCGCTTTGCCAAAACACGAAGAAGGACACAGGGCGCGCGGCATTTATTGCTGGCCCTAGCTGGCGAATGAAAGATGAATAATACGCGCGCGCGCAGCGCGCGCGCCTCCAGAATACCTTTGCCGCTGCTGCTGTGGGGGCTACCTGGCGGCAATTTTCAGGCATGCTGGCGGTCGAGTGGCCCCGGCCCTAGGCTCGGAGCGTGGCTTCGCCCCCGGTTGACATTTCGAAGCGTCATTTATGGGGGAGGCCAATTTCAAAACGAAATTCATCCCACAGGCCAATTTCAAAACGTGATTCAAATTTCCCGCCAATTTCAAAACGTATTTCAAATTCCCCGCCAATTTCAAAACGAAATTCAAATCTCCGTTCAATTTCCGTTCAAAATCCGTTCAAAGCCCCTTCCCCATATTAGAAATTTGGTTTTGAACGGAATTTGAACGGATTTTGAACTTGATTTTGAAATGAGCCCCGGAAACAGAAAATCGGAGTTCGAATTTCTGTTCTCCGAGAAATACGGAAAAATACAAAAACCGTCTACGAGTGCGGTAACTGGGGAAGCCAATACGCAACCCCCCCTCTTGGCAAGAGAAAAGCACACCAGTCGCCCGGCCCCGGGACTGCTCCGTCCGGAATGCCCTTCCGGCGCCCGGGCTGCCGGAATAAGCGAAACCGCAGGCAGGCAGCTCTGTGGAGGTAGGCGCACTGCGCGAGGAGAAGGGGCCGGCCCACACTTGAGCAGGCAATCCCGCGCCCAGAACGGGACTGGGCCTGCCGAGAGTGCTAATCGTCCATCGCAGGGTCCCGGCCTGGAGACGCCGCCAATGTTGGAGCCACTCCACCGGACGTTGTCGTGTGGTCAGCACACAGTTCCAAGAAGCAAGACCTGGGTCAACCAGAGGAGAGGAAAACACCGCCCCGACGCTGCCAAGTCAGACGCGCTGGCGCTACGTTCTACCCCTGAAGCGCACCAAACACGGCCCGGCTATTCCTATTGCGCTCTGCCCTGCGTCGTCTTTACTTGTTTTAGGGCTCTGCTCGTGCTAGAAACATTGGCTCAACTACCAAAATAGGGGCACGACTCAGCGCAGCAGATGCGCTCGCTTTAACCCCCGTGCTACTGTGCGCCAGCCAGCCAAGCTGGAGCGCTAGGCACTCCTGAGCAGCCCCTTCGTTTTTTTGCGCGAAGGCTGCCGCGCGTCCTCCTCGTCTGATAGAAGATAAACCAGCGCCAGGCGGCGGCCTCAGAGAGACGACGGCGCCTGGTTCAGACGAGATGATTAGGCCATCGCCACAAACAGAAACCATGCGCCGGAAGGGCTCACTGTCCCAAGCCATGGCATGGGACCTGCGCAATAGCAGATACATTCTGAAGCATAGACGCTGGCGCCACTTTCAAGACAACGCCAACGGGTGCGACGGGCGCTTCGCCTTTCGCTCAACATTAGCCGATTTGAGGAAACGAAGGAAACGACTTTCAGGCCACTCTGACGTTTCCGAAACGCCGAAAGTGCTACATTTTGAAATCGGTTTGAATTCGTTTTGAATTAATTTTGGTGTCGTGCGCTTTAGAGTTAACATACTAAAAGACGTGAAACAATATGAAGATCTTTTTCTCGTCCTTTCCGCAAAATCTCAATCAGCCTCGTTGTATCTGGCACAGTAAAAAGATCGCAAGGTGGCCCTCTGCAGACGCACACGCGTTCAGAAGAATGGTGGATCGTTTGATCGTCTTCAGCGGCTTGAGTGACTAGCTACTTCCGTAGTTTGCAACAGCAAGCATGAAGAGAGCATGGAACAAGTTGGAGCAATATACTCCTCGCAGTCGAGAAACTTGGCTTTCGTGTCCTTTGTAGAGTCGTCGTGGCAGTGTAGCCCATTTCTACTTCCTTGATTTCCTTTTCAAGTAAACCTGTGGAAATGGATCAGTCACGGTAGTACACCGGGTGGGTTCGTTTCTTTGAAATAAACAGCAAGAGTTGCTCTAGTAGTATCAGAGCCTGCAGGGTCCAGTTTTCGTTCTTCTACTTTAAGTTTTAAGTGGCGTTGTAATACGCCTGTAAAATTTCCACGAGGCTCGGTCGCGCAGATGTTACGGCACTGCCGCTGGTTCGCCGCGTGGAAGTCCCACAGTGATTTAGAAGTTTTCCTCCGTTTATTGTTCCACCGCCACCTGCTGCACGCTTGATGACTGCCAACGGTTCGTCAAAGAAGAAAACGCCACATCTCTCCGGGTTCGCTTCGACCAGAATTTTCCTCGCACGGGAGCTATCCCGAAATAAAGCCCCATAGGAGGTAAGAACTCTTGCAGACTTATTTTCCGCAAGAGATGAAACCACGTCGGACGCGAGAAGAGACGTCGTCGAAGAGGTGGATGTAGTTCCCGATAATTGATGGTCTACGAATAATTCCGCGCACGAGTTATAATTTGTCGACTTCGCAAACTCCCGCACGTAGGAAGCGAAGTCCTCGTAGTCGTCAAAAGTGCCCTTCACCGACTGCAGGGCTTTATTGTAGATCCAGTTTTTCGGCAGGGACAAGTGAAAGTACAAACTGCTCACCAACGATTTCAGTGCGCGATCCAGCAACCGCCGGTAGCCAGGTAGGCCCGGGTGCTCCATGCATTGCTAAAGTATCTTCGCACTTGTATAAAGGCATTACAAATTTCCTCAGCATGCAAAATAAAATTTGTAATACGGATATACCTTAAGAAACGAATTTGTAAGGCATGACTGCAATACGAGTGCGATAGATACTTTTCCACAGGATATGCTCTTTTTGTAGTAGGTGTTCGAAAAAATCGTCGGTGTGGGGGCAACATGTAGAAGTATTGCAGTGAAAAGTGCCCCCCACCCCTGAAATTGCAAAAATTTGTGATGCTAAGTTTCCAAATGAAAACTTTTTGTCATGCGTGAAAGGAGTGCGAATCTTTCTGATGCAGAGTCTAGGCGTGTATCGCATCGCTTGCATGACAAGCGCCGCTCTTGCTGGGGTCTTTTGCAATACAAATTTCTGCTATTCACGATTGGAAACCTGTAATGCTGATACATGCAAGAGGGCGAATGTTTCATTTGGAAAGGTTTGCAATACAAATGCTTTCAAGTTCGGGGGTGGGGGCATTTTTCATTCTGATAAGAAGAACAAGTTCTTCTTGCTGCATTACTAGAAGTACAAGAGCCGGTAGTTGTTTTTACATCCATCGTCTTCATCTGCCGACCTCCTTCATCTTGCGTCGAAAAATTTCCCCCGATGACCCGAAACAGCCGCTCGGTCACCGCTTGATCGCGGAAAAGAGTTGCGAGGGGTGTTCGCCTATGGATTGCGAAAATGCCTGGGCCTGGAAGAATGGAAGGTCTGTCATGCTCTGCTAGCATGACCCCAAAGTCTGTCATGCTCGTTACCCAAAAGCCCCGCTTTTCTGTCATGTCGAGACGCGGTTTGTCATGCAGAGTACGTGTACGCAACACCAACACCTAGCAAGTCAGAAACTTGCCATGCTGAGCCGTCACTTGAGGCGTCCTCAGTCTCAGAATTCGCCAACCAGCATCACAAGTTTTCAGACCCAGACGTTTTTGCATTTGATATCGCCTCCGGATGCTGGCGAACTTCGTCAAGAGTTGGTCATTTGCGGAGCTTGATCCATCACAACCAGAAGCAGCTGTACAACTACTTCTGCTCCGCCACACACTGAGCGAGAACACCAGACTCTTCGTGTTTTGCAGCCGCTTCTGTGAAACGCTCGTATCGACAAAAAACTGGAGGAAGTGATTCTCAAGCTGTGCCCGCGATGCAGCTTCTTGCTGTTTTTGTCCACCGAGTGGTCTGTTTGGATGAACAAGCGGCGCTTGTTCATCCAAACAGACCACTCGCGGCGCACGGTTCGGGTCGTAAAAGACCACGTCTACTGCTTCCAGATCTACTCCTGGACCACTTGCCGAGGTGGACGCTTTTCTACCTCTTGTTGCCAACGACAAACACATTTGATGCGCGCCGATCATGTCCCCCTTCTGGCTGTAGCGGTAGAAGCTGACACGGGCGAACCAAAAAAGACCACTCGTAGTACTCGCTGTGGAAGGTGATGTTTTGCGGAGGTGGTCGTCGTCGGAGCTCGTCTTTGCAAGACCACGATCTCTGTGTAGTGGTAGTTTTAACTGTCCCGTAAAAACGTCCAGCACTGCCCGAAAACAAGCAGCAAGCTCAGCTCGTTCCTCCTCGCGTCCAACGGAATAAAACTGCTCGCCAACTACACGGGAGTTTAAGTTGTTCTTGCCGGTCGTCGTAGAACTCGCGTTCGAGGTCCTCACCGTGTGCAAGCGCACAACGTGTCCCGCGGTGCTTGCGTCGACGGAGAAACTTCTTGTTTTCGCCGTTTGTTCTTCGTGGGCCGCCGCGTGTTTCTCGTCATTCCTAAAAAGGTCGACCCACAGAGCATCGAAGCCGCAATCCAGTGCTTCAAACGCACACATAGCGCGTTTGTTTGTCGTTTGGCCGCTTGCGTCGTCCGGTTGTTCCTTTTTTCTGTCGTGGTGCAGCGACGCAGCTCTAGACGTGGACGACAGAATCATGTTCCTTGTTTTCATCGGCGACATGGAACTGCAGTGGCGGGACTGGGACTTATTACTCCCGGCAGAGACCACGGTCGGAGCTCCCATATGATCGGAAAAGGAACGACTCCGACTTGTAGGTCCTACCGATGAACGGCCCGCCAGGTTGTGCTGCCTGGCAGCCGTATTGCCTTGCAGCTTCACGGCTTGTGTCGTCGAACTCGCATAGGCATGAGCGGCGCGACAGCCCAGCAAGGTCGCTGTGTTTTGACTTTCGTCGTCGTCCCCAGAGGTGGAAGATCCTGGCGACGTCATCTCCAACTCCTCCTGCAGACGCTCCGCCAGGCTGCGCCGCCGGTTTTTGGGTTCAACATCTTTGCGACGGTGGTTCTTTTCTGATACGAAGCCATCGTCGCCTACTCCCTTTATCGCAGCAGAAAGACTAGCAGCCGCGCCTGGTCCTCGCCCCAGCGTGGCGTCGATAAACAGCTTTCTTCCGGGCGGGCTTGCAATGGCGAAGAACTTCCGCACACCCAGGTGAAAAAACTGCAGCCGCTGCAGGACCAGAACGACGTCGACACTTGATTGCTCGCTGACAGTCAGGTTGTGGTAGGGATTTTTTATTCCGTTCTTCTTGTGCGATTTGTTATTGTTCTCGAGGACATCTTCAAATTGAGGCAGTCGTGAAGGGCTTGCCTGTGCCGAACAACGACCTTGCTTGAAGTTCCCGGCGTGGCCCGAGGACAACTTAATTCTTGACGAAGCAGATGTAGTTGCTCCACCAGCTGCAGCTGCCTGTGAAGAAGAAGCACACACCTTTATTTGCTTCTGTAGTCTCGTCTTGCTGTTGCTCTTCAAAGGCAAGAACCACGGGACGTCATCGTCGTCTTCGGGCGTGCAGCTGGGCGTAATGCCCCGCCCACAATGCTGCGTCACCCGCCGAGTTGTAGCACCCCCCGCAGACGATGAAGAAGCACTGTTTCCCACACCGACAGATGGCGTAGGGGCGCTCTCGCTTTCGCTTTCGTCCTCTTCACGACCCTCACTCTGCTCGTCAACATCAGAGTAGTTCCTGTCTTCTTCAGCGGACTTTTCGTTCTCATCTTGAAGATGATCTCCCGTCAGCTTTTCCGCAATTCGTGCAAGCTGTTCAAAGTGCCGCTCCACCGCTTGAAGACCAACCCCACAGCCTTGAAAAAATTGCACGCAATACAGGCCGCAAAGCCCCACGCAACACTGGCCGCGGAGGCCCAGCGCTCGGCTGATTTTCTCGTTGTGACGGTGCAGAAGCGATTCAAGGGACGGCTGTTGCTGTTGCGCCGGCGGTCCCGCTCCTGTACAACGCAGGTTTACGCAGGCCCCTGGAAGCTGTAGAGGACGCATTTCAAAAGGAGCAGCGTCGTTGCCAGGACGAGCCTTCCCTTTCGTGTTTTTACTACTTCTTGATCCTTGTCTATTCTCTGGTGCGACCAGACCAGCCATGTTCCTGCACGACAAACGACCTCGCTCTTCACAGCGAGCTAGTAGCTACAACTGGGATCGTCCGCGCAGATGATCGATCGAGTAGCTACAACTGGGGTCGTCCTCCGCGCAGATCGATCCACGATCGGATCCCGCCAGCCACGGTCGTCCACGGTTGCCGTCCTCGCGGCAAGAGTTCAAGAACTTTACTATCGCTCCAGCGCCACAGTTCTGGGGGGATGGATAACGAAAAAGTCCCGGAAGTTGTCGGCGTCGTTCACCTTGCGCACCTGGTTAGTGAGCGAATCCACGGGGCCGGAGGCAATGTCTTCCTTCTTCGGGTCGAGTAACCCTTCGAACCGCCTCCGCCTGGCCTCCCCGACGGTCATCTGGTTGTCTTCCGAGACAATCGCAGTGCGTTTCACCTTGTGCGTCTTCTGAAAATGTTCGGGGCTGGCGACCGCACCGGCAGGCAGGGATTTCGCCGAAAATTGGTCAAAGGGCCACGCGGCAGACTTGATGGCCGGAGCAGCTTGTTCTGCCGCGAAAGAGGTTTTGACGAATGGTGGCTTGTTCGCGCTGCGGTTGTGATGGAGTGGAGGTCCTTCTTGGGGTGGCTCGTGCAAAAAATCAGGTAAGGCGGCCGGGCTTGTGAACTCGTTGGTGTGCTGGTCAAAATCAGCAGTGCTGGGCGGAGATAGTGGTAGTGCGGGATGAAACAACGCTCTTGCTAGCATGTCGAATTCACGCGGTTGCAGAATTGTGCTTGCAACAGGTTGTACACATAGTTTTAAGGCCTCCACTGACTTGTTCAAGAAACAAGGTCCGTCTAGTAGTTTGCAAAAAAACGTTGAAAGTAGAAACTTCGCCACAATGTCAACAAGAAAGACAACAAACAGACTTGTTAGCTATTTCACACTCAAACACGGGGCTGGAAACGAGAAACTGAATGCCTTCTTTCTACCGTACTTAGACAAAAAATAGTCCTTGCGTCTCCTCTCGTCGTCGCACATCAATGATACCAAGCAGAAGCACGATTTGTGTTTCCATCGAGGACTCTCGCACGCTCAAAGTAAAACTACCTTATCGTCAACACGAAGCAATGTCATGATTCATCTTGCGGAACAAAATAAAACATCGCAGGACATAGAAAAATGGCAGAAATGCACACAGTGCCATGCGGCGTCGCAGTAGTCTCTGGTTCTGCTCCTCGTAGCTCCGTCGACTTCTCATGCCTCTTTTTTTAAATAAACCAAAACGAGAAAATAAATGTAGTGCTTTCATTGATTCACAACTAAGCGGGTGTTGTAATTCGCAAAACTGCTTGCATTCTTCTACAAATCATCATACAGGTGTTGTTTCGACAAATTGGTGTGCTGCAGTAGACGCAGATGTAGAACTTGAACTCTGTTGTGTTGCAAATCGTCGTTTATAGCGGTGCGCCGTCGCACTTAACACAATGATTCAACCATACTATGGCACAAAATCATGCAAGTGGAATTTTACAAGCAAAAGTAAATAACTTCTAAATGCGCCTAATTTATACCCGCAATCTTCGCAGAGTCATGATAGCAATGGTCGCGAATTAATCATCTCGAGTGCCGGTTTGTCAATAGGGGGGTCCAGAAAAGTTCCAGCGTGCTGGTACCAACATCAATCAAGCTCTAGTACTGTTCGTTGCAATACATCCGCGCAATATTGCTCCTAGAGCTCCTACTCCCACATCAATGCTGCAAAAAAAATTCTCATATAATGCATAGGATTAGGAACTACTACATCGCGAAGGAGAGTAAGAGTATAACTCCTCGCTCCTCAGGATATCAGTACATAATCCTCTGCATTATTGTTCAAAAAATCTTCAATGAGAGTGATGTACTAGAGTGAGGTCTTCATCTTGTGGTCTTTGTGTGGCACAAAAGCCCCCACCAGCGATTTACGGAAGGTGGCGGTATCACGTTTTGACATTTTTGGAATCACGTTTACTCATGGAATCACGTTAACGGAATCACGTTTGCGGCGGAATCGCGTTTGTCGAATCGAATTGAGTGAAACAACTTAGACACCGAAATGCCCACAACGTACTTAAACGAACGCCGGGCGGGCCCAGCGGTCCGCCGGGATCAATGACGCACCCCGCCGGCCAAGGGGCTGGCCAGCGGGAGCCAGGAGAACCCCAGGGAAGCGACAGAACAACCACGAAGGCGGGCAGGGTGCGTGGCCGCCACCTTCCACGAACGAGAAGAGAGAGTCGTCGGCCAGGGCAGCCGCCGCCGGCCGGCCGGCCGGCGGCGGCTGCCCTGGCCGACGACCAGAAACCCCAAACCCTAGACCCTAGACCCAAACCCTAAACGTGATTCCGCTCTAAACGTGATTCCACAAACGTGATTCCAACTTGAAAACGTGATTCCGCTTCCAACCTTTACTATGCATTCCTCCGAATAGAACAAGTCGAAATTAAAAACAGCTGCAACAGCTCTGTTCAATTTCAGGTCATGTTTCATCGACAATGCGCATCGAAGAGACATCCAGTCGAGGACTACAGTTGTAAGTACTTACTACGTCATCTTACCGCTTCTGTGGTCCTCACGCTCCTTATCGAAAGGAAAAATCCCCCCTCCCCATATCAAAACGGAAATCTGTGATGCAGATTTGTGGTCACAAATCAGCTTTGTGATGCTAGAAGGCAAAAGATGCGGACTGTAGTGCTGCCTAGCGTGGGAAAGGCTTGCAGCTCCAACATGACAGGAGGCAACTGGAAGTGGGAAACAGCATGACAGATTGCCTGCAATTCAGGCCGCAGCTGCGTCTCTTGGCCTTCTAGCAATACAAGTCGATTTGTGTACTCAAATACAGCATCACAAATTTCGTGTCCGATATGGGGTGGGGGCTTTTTTCACTTTGATACTCCTCCTGGGATCATTCCACTCGAAATCGGCGACATCGCCCGCACGGGTTATCAACTACAAAAATGTCTGGGTCTGGAAGAATGCAGGTTTGTCATGCTTGTCTGGCATGACTCGAGAATCTGTGTTGCGTAGGCAGGAAAAAGCCTTCTTCCCTGTCATTCAGAAACGCAGTTTGCCATGCGGAATACGTAAGACATGGCAGCCAAAAAATTTGTCATGCGTAGTTGCGTATTGCAGTGCGTCTTTCATTCACTTTGAGCATTACAAGTTTCCAGACCCAGACATTTTTGCATTTGATACGGGTTGCCCCAACACGACGGACCTGCCAGAATGCTCGGACAAAGATCGCCGCTTTCGCGGCGCGGAGCCAGCGACGGTACGAGAAGAGGATCCGGGCGCCGGCAACATAATCGCTGCTCCACCTGCTGCATGATCTGCGCCACCGTCTCCGTTCATGGGCGCGACCGTTTCCGAACCTCTTTGGGAAGTGGAGGTCAACATGCTGTTTCTCTGCTCGTTGATCTCTCTAGTCTCCTCCTCGTCCTCCTCTTCCCCCGACTGCGGCAGTGGTTTGTACGTGTAAAAACCCCCCATTCCGGACGGCAACGAGAGCAGTTCCGTTCCCCGCGGGCCCTTGTTGTTTTCGCGTCGATGCGTGAACACTTTCCCGCCGTTCGCAAAAACGTCGTCCACCGGCCCGTTGTATCAACTGTAAAAATGTCTGGGTCTGGAAGAATCCAACTTGTCATGCTGATTTTGGATTCTAAAAAAATCTGTATTGCATGAGCAGCAAAGAGATTCCAAGTTTTGCTACACGGAAAGAGCATCTGTCATGCGGTATCGGCATCAGGAAGCCCTCACAAAATCTGTGACGCTAGGGCATGCATCACAGACATCAGGAGTCATGCAAAATGTGCATGACAAACCTGGCAATCTTCCAGACCCAGACATTTGTACATTTGCTACGTTGCAGCGGCAGCAGTACCCCCCGCAGCAGCACATGCAGAGCACCGCGCAAAAGGTGGCCAGCATCATGGTGAACCAGAGCACGAGGAAGACCACCACCCAGATTCCGATCAACGTTACGCGGTCCAGCACGTCCTTGTAGTTCCCGACGTACCGCTCGATGAGGGGTTCCCAGTTACCCGCGCCTAGGAATTCCGACAAGTCCGAGGGGATCAGGGAATCGATGTTGGACGTGAGTTTATCCGAAATGGTCACCTCCTATGACAGTGCGCAACTCCCCCTCCGCCTCATTTGTATAGCATGAACGGCAATACAAGCATCAGCAAGAATGCCGGTTTCGCATGACAAATGTACTACACTGGACGAGTGTAGTGCTATTTGGGCTCCTTCCCGAATTTGTCATGCAAGCAGTGCCACAAGGCAGCGACTGGATTTGGGATTTATTTGCATGACAAATGAGGGGAGGGGGAGTTGTTGTGCGCTGTCATACCTCGATGTCCGAAATTTTGTCGTCTAAGACTTCTGCCAGCTTCTTCTCGATTTGTGCCGTGGATTTGTCACTCGATTCCGAAATCTTCGTCTCCAGTTTCTGCAACCCCTTCTCGATGCTTTCAAAGCCGGCGGACAGTTCCAGCTGCAAATCGTTCAGTTTGTCGTCCAACACCTGCAGCTTCGCGTCGATCGAGGACGTCGGTCGAGCCGCGGCGGAACCGGGCACGGCGAGGAGAACCGGCGAGAAGGAGAACAAAAGGACGCTCAGGCCGCGCATGGCGAGGGACGAGGGGGTGGTGGAGCGTATGGATGTGTCAGAGTTGAAATCGACAAAGTTGAAATGATTTGCCATGCTAAACCGACCGAAACCACTACACAACCTGTAAGGGCACCTCACCGCAGATGGTTCGGCCACCAGGTCGTGGAGTCAGGCGGACCGAAGCCATCACCATCATCCTCGGGAAATGATTTGCCATGCATAAAATGGATGCCAGTTGGAACCCAGTTGCCAAGCGGCGCATGACAAATTTTGGTGGTGCCTAAATCCAGTTTGTAATGCTGTTTGGGTAAGCAGGACGCCTTTTGTCATGCTGCTTTAGCAGTTCTATTTCTACTCCTCACCAGGCTTACAATCTGCCTCCGTTGCCTACTCTGCAAGACAGGCACTTTGTGGGTTGCATTTTATGCATCACAAACTTTTTCAACTTTGACGATTTCAATCCTGACGCTTCCATAGAGCGAATCAGTCTCGTAGTACTTCTCGAACAAGATGATCCTCTTGCACTGGTGGAGCAGGGCGATACTGAAGAGCCGGAAGAGGAATGAAGTTGTGCTGGTGTCATTTTGGTGATGATATAGAGGCTGGTCGTTCTCTTCTTCAGACAGGAGCTGCGAAAGTTCTTCTTGGCGTTGTGTAGTTGTCCTCGTCGCACCACTGCTGTCTTTCAAAACTTGCAATTGGTTTCTTAGTTATTGTCCAAGACTTAATTTTTTTTTTTCGAGTTCGTGTTCGAACGCGCACCCTTTAAAAAGTAGTGCTGGTACAATAAAGCACGACAGAGCTTGGAGAAGGTAAAACTAGGGTAAAACTAAAAGTAAAATCGTACACGTCCAGATAAATAAATCGAAACAAATAATCTCAAATGAAGATGATGATTGTCGACTTTGTAGTCCAGAAGTCTTCAAATAGCCCAACAATACAACACGCTTCCAAATGAGGTTCTTTGTTTGCTACAACCGCTGTTGTAATTTTTTCTCGGTGTCAGGACATTGAAAGAAATGATGTTAACCACACAGGCATGCATCAAGAAGTCGTTTTCATTTTATTTCAACGGCGGGATCCTCGTCCTCCATACAACGAGCAGGAAATGGTTGCCCAACCTCCCAAGGGGTTACTTGGGTTTAACTTTTGCCGTGGATCTTTTTGTGGTCACAAAATCATCATGATCACGTTCAATATCCACTAAGATCACAAACATATTCTTGGGATCTCGAATTTATTACTATTTCCGATCAACAACAACATTGCCTCGCCGTCGCCGCGAGCGTCACACTAGGATCACGATCATTTTGATTTTTGTTTCATTTTTTCGGGAACTTCTTTATCCTTTGTCGTTTAGAAAGCGTTGCGATCATCAAGACGTCGTTTGTGTGAACATACACATACTAACAGCCCTATTGTGGATAAGGCGAGTGCAAGGTCCCTTTACACAACGTTTCTGTGATGATGAACACCAGAGACAATGACAAACCATGTGGATGTGCACCTGCGTCACATAGGTCGTGTGTTGCATATCCAACAGCAACCTGTCACCTTTCATCTTCTTCATGTTTCACCGAGAAGGACATGTAGCCTCCCCTGGTGACCCAGCAACAGCAGAAGCTGCGTCCGATTAGGAACAATTGGTCCTCGTCCGTGGGGACGATCCTTTGCTTGTCTGTGATCTGCTCAAATACTTAAAAGGAGCTGAACAAGAACAAATAAATACTAAAATGACGCTAGAATGGAGCAGTTAGAGCAGTTGGCCGAACATGTACTAGATAAAGCTTTTTGTGCTTTAGCTCTTATGAAGTTTCTATTTCGACAGTCGGTCTCCCCGTGAAAGGAACAAGAAGCCCTTCGCTGATCACTCGAAAAAACTTATCTTCTGGGCGAAATGAAGGTTTCTGAAATGGCGTCCCGCGACGATGATCGTTGTGCCCGCTTCTTTATCAAATGCAAAAATGTCTGGGACTGGGTCTGGAAACTTGTGATGCTGGGTGGCGTCTCATGATGAGGCCACAAATGCTGGCTCAGCATGACACGTTTCTGAGCTTCTAGGTGTTGCCTATTCTGCATGATAAACTGCGTTCTTGCATCACAGAAAAATGGAGCTCTTGTATGGAGTCCCATTCTATGAAACCGAAACCTCGTGCATAGCTCCCAAAAGCTCGAGCTGGAGCTTTCAAAGGTGGGGGTCGCTTTTTTCAAAGGTGGGGTCCGCCGAAAATGAATTTTTTTTTTTGCAAAAAATAACTGAAAACTCGGCGACAGCGCCTGGCTTCGTGCGGCGTTATTTTTGGTAGAAAATCAGCAAAATCGCGCCAAAAAGATGCTGCACGAAGCCAGATTCTTTCGCCAAATTTTCAGGGTTTTTTTCAAAGTTCAAGGATTCTTTTCGGCCCGACCTTTGATGGTCATGCCTGAGCCTGGGCGCCTGGGGACTTGAAAAAAAAGGGCTTCCGCGAGATATATCGTGAGAACGCGGCCGCAAAGTCTTACGCGCCTCGTCGGGCGCGAGCCCGCGGGGGGCATGCTTCCTGCGGCAGCGAAACTGCAGCGCGGGCCATTGTAACGCTGGGGGGCGCAAGTGCTTCACTCCCCAGACGGCAACTTCGCGAGCGCTGCAGCGCACAGACTGCAAGAAGATCGCCGCCCGCCGGTAATTTCTCCCAGCCCCGTGCCGCCCCGGCGCCTGGCGCTTTCCACTTTTGGCGCGGGGCTCCTACCGGGCTGGCAGGTTTTTTTGGTGCGTATCAAGTGGAACGAATTGCGCAGATTCCGTTGCGCACAATACAAAAAAAGAGTGGCAGCCCCGCAGCCATCGCGCCGCAGGTTCGTCGCGATGTCCTTTCACTTTCTCGAAAAGACATCGAGAAGCGCCAGACAGTGGCGTAATAATTCCTAGGCTCGGTTGAGATAAATCGCCCAACGGTTGGAACTTCCGTCACCCAAACCTCCAAAATTCCGTCACCCAAACCTCCTAGGCTGCGGAATCATTCCACAGGATATAGGTTCTCAGCCTATAGCTATAGGCTGAGAACCTATAAAGTGCGATGCTTTTTTGCTCCGGATGCTGTGCCGTTTTTCGGAATGATTCCGTCAGATGAAGGTTGGATACCTCCAAATGGAGGTTGGATACCTTCTGGAGAAGGTTGAAACCTTCTCCAGAAGGTATCCAACCTCCATTTGGAGGTATCCAACCTTCATCTGACGGAATCATTCCGAAAAACGGAATTCTCGGATATGTGATTTTTGGCCATATAGGTTCTCAACCTATAACTATAGGCTGAGAACCTATGTCCTGTGGAATGATTCCGAAGTTGGAGATTTTGGACGCCGGCTTTTTCGACGTTTTTTCTCGTTTCTGTTGAAATGCCGAGAAGATGTCTGCTGAAGTGCCGGCTTTGGATGCGGAAAAGTGCCGCCGTTTTTTGTCATTAACTTTGCGCGCAGCGTTGCGCGGCACCGACGTCGCGCATTTTGTTGGCCGGCCCGGCGGACGCCAAATGTTGGCGAGGGAGAGTAAGCGGCCCCCCGCTTGGGAAAAAAAACAACCGGGGGGAACGCTGCCGGGCCCGGCTTCACTCGCGCCAAGAAGCGCGGGCGCGCCCTCGCTCCGCCTCTCGCCCGTTTCCGGCTGGGCTCGCGCTTTGGGAGTCGGGACCGCCGGCGAAATAGCTCGCCGACCCGCTATTTTGCCTGCCTTGCCAGCCCCTGCATTGCCTCCGGCATTGCTTTGGGGCGCTTCTGTGTCTTCCGCTTTTCCTTGTCCGCCTAGCCTTGGCCGTTTCTCGCCCTTGCTGGCGGCAGTTGCACCACCCGAAACCGGGGGGCTACGTGCGACACCTCGCTTACTTACCTGCAAGGCAGAACGCGGCGCACTGCGGCCCCGCAGCAGTTGCCGTGAGCCAAAGTCTCCGCGTCGGTGGCAGCGATCTCGGTCCTCTGGTGTTGTAATCGGTCAAGAAGTTGAGTCGCTTGGGTTGCTTTTCATATTCTGAAAAGGTCGGTTTTGAAATTTTCAGTTGTGAAATTTGTTTAACAAATTCCACAACTGAAAATTTGAAAACCGACCTTTGAAAATTTCGACCCCCACCTTTGAAAATATCAGCTCCACCTTTTGATAGCTATACACGAGGTTTCGGTTTCGATTGAATGGGACCCCTTAAGCTCTTGGGTAACGTGCATGACAGATTCAAGAGTCATGCCAGACAAGCATGACAAACATGCACTCTTCCAGACCCAGACATTTTTACATTTGATATTCTTCGAGGTCGGCGGCGCCGTTGTGACATCGTCGACATAGTGGTACTATCCTGCGCAAAAGTATCGTACTCGTAGTAATTGCAGTTATGCATTACAAATCTCTTTCTTAAGGCAAATCCGCATTACAAATTTAATTTGTAATGCTGACCCAATTTGTATTGCAATTTATACTACTACGATACTTTTGCACAGCATAGGTACTCTTCCACTACAGTTTGGACTTGTGGCACAACCGGCCCCGGTATGACAGTGCACAACTCCCTCTCGTTCTCACTTCTCATGCAAAGTACCAAATCCACGCAGCTTTCCCTCCTGTCACTATTATGCATGACAAGTTCTGGTAGCCTAAATGACACTATAATCCAGTGCAAATTTGTGATGCAAAACCGGCACTCTTTCTGATGCTTGTACTATTGCTGTTCATGCTATACTTATGAGAAGGAGGGGGAGTTGTGCACTGTCATACCCGGTCCTCGCGCCGCGTTGGCCGCGGCGGTGCGCGACAGATTGGCCACCTGGCAACAGGTGAGGCAGACACCGAGGATCAAAAGTATGGCATTCTCAACGGTTACATTCTCAACTGTTACACGGATTTGTCATGCAAAGTTGCCATCAGCCTCCACTTGATCAAGGTGCTTAGCATGACAAATTTTCGAATGGCTAAGCAGCATGATAATCTGTGGCAAATCTGTGATGCGAAAGCTGCAATATTGCCACTTTTACTATTGCTGTTCTTGCATCACAAATCCATGTAACAGTTGAGAATGTAACGTTTGAGAACGCCATAAAAAACACGGTGCTGACGACCCAGAACACCCCCAGGCAGACCACTCCGGAGACAACCTTTTTTTTTATACAGTGCAAGGATCATGTCTGGGTCTGGACGAATGCAAGTTTGTCATGCTTGTAGTCTCACGTGCGCATGATCATGCGCATGCCGTTGTCGCTTAAATCTGTAATGCAGGAGCAGGAAAAACAAAAAAGTCGATTGCCTGTCACGCAACAATGCACCTTTCCATGCAGAAAGCGAATCACGTATGAGCTTAAAAAACTTGTCATGCATAGCTGCGTATTGCAATGAATGTAGTGGCCACCTCCATTCACAAACTAGCATCACAAGTTTCCAGACCCAGTAGACATATTGGCATTTGATATCTTTGATGGAAATCGCATCCGCTTCAAGCTGGTCCCAATTATCCTGTGCAAAAGTATCGCACGCGTATTGCAATCATGCATTTTTTTTCTCAAGGTAGATCCGCATTACAAATTTTATTTCTCATGCTGAGGGAATTTGTCATGCATTTATACGAGTACGATACTTTTGCAGTTCATACCAATCCATCGCCTCCAACAGTTCGACAACCTTTATCCCGAGTAAGAATGTCTCCACCCGAGAGCTCTTGTCATGCAGATTTGCAATCACAGAAACTACACTTGTAAAAATGCGCAGTCCCATGAGAGGCATTGTCAGTCGTGCTTTGGCAACATTTGTAATGCTGTAAACAGGATGAGGACGAGACGAATTTTTGATGCTGCTGTCCCTGGTAAGTAGGAGTAGCCTGCATAATATACAATACGGAGAAAAACTTGTCATGCGTGCTGACGCCCAAAAACTCTGGATTTACTGTGTTGCTCAGTTCCCAAGAACTTGACTATGGGGTCCAGGTCCTCGTGGGGATGATGAAGATGTTCTTACTCAGGATAACTTTGGGCGGCAAGAAATCCTTCGCGGCGGCTTCAATCATATATGAAAGCCTCAGAATGGAAATTCTCAAAGTGGAAATAATTTGTGACGCATGAAATGCGACACCAAAAAGACTGTATTGCAGAGCAGGACGCAATGGCGGCCGACTATTGATATTGTGCTTCTACGGGTTCAGAACTGTGCTGCTGATCAGCACGAGAGAAGGGCACCCCTTTGCCCTAGCTAGCATGACAGACATGCTTTGAGTGCCCGGTAAATTTGTCATGCGCCGACTAGAAATGGCGCTTCGACTGGAGTCGTTTTTTTGCATTACAAATTATTTCCACTTTGAGGATTTGCATTCTGAGGCTTTCATATCATTTCCTTCAGCCGGGCCTCGTTCGTGATGCTACCCTGCATATCCCGTGTAAAAACGTCCCCAGGCCCAGAGTTGTCATGCAATTCTGCATGCCAAAAAAGTTTCATCTCATGCGGAGCCCTATGAGAAGCATTTTCTAATCGTGTCTTGAGATTTGTAATGCTAATGGTAGGACCACCAGCATGCTATGATACATCTGTGACGCTGCTGACCTACCTGAAACAGGGCTACACTACGAGGACAGACTTGTCATGCCAAACAACCAAAGCGGGTTGATTTGTCTAGGAGATTTCCCATCTTGACTCTGGTGTGGGGACGTTTTTAATCAGGATACTGCACCGCTGTCACCTCCGCCATCACTTGGCTGCGCATGCTCTCCACTTGCGCCTTCACATCCGCATTCATGGTTTCGACCTGGAGGATATCACAAGCAAAAGCGTTATACGTGAGCGGTTTATTTCGTTTTCACAGATTGCAGCAGTATTAATGCATCACAAGTCTAGCCTAGTACATGCACCATGCTATGCATGACGAATTTTGGTATTGGCTGCGCTGCTGCATCACAAATTCCGTACTACTTGTTCTTAACGTCAAACAACACTTTTTCCTGTGATAGAGAAGAATGCTGTCGGATTTCGCCGTCAAATCCGCTGAAACCTGATCCATTTTCGCATCCAGCGCGTCCTGCTTCTCGTTCAGAGATTCCAGAGAGGCGGACGAGGCAGCTGTGCTTTGTCCGTTTGCACTCGGGGCGCCGAGCATCGGCGCGGGCCCGCCGCGCGAGATGGTGGCAGAATTGTGTTTTGTCATTGTCTCCGGCGATAAAGAAGAAGGCAACATTACCGCAGCTGCGATTTTATCGGTTACAACTTGGCCAGTTGGAAGTTTCTGGCTATTGGTTTCTCCACTAGTTGTGCTGGTGTCGGCGTTTGCTCGATTGAGTTGTTCCTCCTCTTCGAGCAAGGAAGCCGAAACGGAAGCGGATGCGGAGCCGGAGGCACTACTTCCTCGTCCTAGACTTGTTGATTCGCCAAGAGCATGTTGCTTCATCTCCTCCTGCCACCTGGAGGTAATATCACCAGCAATTTCAGGGCTCTTCTGCTGCTCATTGTTGGAGATCCGGCTACGTGTTGTTGAGGACGAAAGCGTACTAAGTTTCGCATTACCGCCGCCCCCCGTCGATGTAGATTTCTCGGCGCTCCTGTTCTTGCTCCCGAAGTGTAGCTGCGCCTTGTTTGGCTGCGCTTCTCGCGACGTGTGAACGGCAGTGGGCTTCAGGGTGTAGCAAAACACTACTTGGTGAAGAACTTGAAAGTGGGCCAAAAACAAAACTGCCGCCGCCAAGACCGGGATGAAGCGTTTTCGTTGCTGCATCATTCTACCAGCCGTTTATTTCAGGATGATGTGGGGGCGTGAAGATCGGATAAGTGATGAAAAGTTATTTCTGAACAGGTGGGATCATAGTAATTATAAAAGAAGTGTGAGGGTCAGGGTTCTGTCGCTGTGGTCGGGCTTAAAATTACAATGAATTGTACGAGGATCATGCAGATGACCGTTTTTGTTTTAGAACTGAGTGGGTCAATATAATAATATCCTGCGTGTGGAGGAGGTGCGAAGCTGTTGTGTAGAAAAAATAGCAGAGTACACTGATTCTCATTTTTTTGCACGAAACAACTGGTGAGGCACAGACGACCGTCGGTTCACGTACTACTGCTTTCGACCAATGGGTAGTGTACAAAAGGACGAAGGACACGCGCACGCGACGAAAGTACGTTCAGACAAATGGCGATGCTAGACCGAATATATGAAACCAAGCTGCACGAATGCGGGGTTTTGTTTTCCAGTCACAAGAGTGAGGACCGATTTTCGCTTGAACGAGAAGCGAATAATTCTAGGCCTCAGCGCGTACCGTTCTGAATAAATAATATCCGTATCCGATTCTCTTGCACGTAGGTTTGCTCTTGAAAAAAGAACGACAATGAAACCGAAGCTCGTTACGAACGAGAACGACCTTGGCGACCGATTTTTTGCAGTACGCAAAGCCGACAGCCATCATTATGGGAGTGTCAGGATCGAAATCGTCAAAGTTGAAATAATCTGTAATGCAAAAAAGCGATACCAGCTGGAGCCCAGTCTACAAGTGGCGCATGACAAATTTTGGCAGCATGGAAATCCAATTTGTCATGCTGTTTGAGCAGAGAAGACTGCTTTTGTCATGCTATTTTAGCAGCTCTATCTCACACCCCAAACAGGCTTATAATCGGCCTCAGTTGCCTGCTCTGCAAGACAGGCACTTTGCGTCTAGCATTTTATGCATCACAAACCATTTCAGCTTTGACGATTTCAATCCTGACGCTTCCATATGAAACCGAAGCTCGTTACGAACGAGAACGACATTGGCGATCGATTTTTTGCACGCAAAGCCGGAAGCCGTCATCAAAGAGGCATTGCAATTTACAAACCGAATCTGGTCCAAACGCCCAGCAGATGACAGCATTCGTGTTAGACGACAACCACGACCGATTTACAAGCTAAAGCCCGAGTCATCTGCAGAGGACCACGGCCAAACCAAGATGCTCAAGCTCTGCAGATGCAATGCAACTGGTGGTAGTACAAAAACACAACAACGAAGGACCACTTCATTTTCATCCTTGACGAACGTCTGCCCCTCTAGTGGGCCTCAAGGCCACCGCGGCTTTTGGTGGGTGTTGTCAAACTTAGGTAAGGCCGTCATTCTCTCCACCAGAGTCTTTTTCATTCGAAGACACAAGCACGTACGGCACTATTTTATAATGAACAGCCCTAATTTTAGCAGTCGCATAGTAAATAATTGCATACCATACATGAGTAAGATGAATAAAAAACGAAAATTATACAGAGACTGAACGCAATAGGGCCAGGGGCTTTGCCCGATGTGCTCACTTTATCTTTTGAACGGAGGCCATTCAAAAAAAGCACAATCGCCATCTTCAATGTGCTCCGTCCTTACTATACTTCTTGTGCGTGTTTTGAATTATTTTATCATAGCAAAAGGGCAGCGCCGTGCCTAATTGAAGTAACGTCATGCGTGTCTGCCTTCAATCGTGGCATTGCCTGGCTATTCGAGAAAGAAAAAAGAAGAGCGAAAAATTCCCGGACAAGAAAAAAATCGTTTGGAATTTAATGAGTTTGTTTAACGCGAGGAAAAATAATATGATCCCCAAGCCTGCGCGAGCGCGGGACGAGCTCAATTGCCTTCGCAATCACAAAAAGACAAGGGAAACATCTTCACACTGAAACGGAAAATACGAAAAATCTGACGGCGCTAGAATATGAATAACAATAAAGATTGAGTTGTTGTAGAAAATAGCCTTAGAACAAAAACGAATCCTCACCGACAACGGGGCTGCAAGTGCTATTGAGCTTCTCGAGTGGGCCCTTTGAAAAAGAAGCGAAAAGCGCGGCACGCAAGCACCGCGCACCTGCAGAGGCATTGCGGGGATGCCCTATGTGCTGTTCTACCTGCAAAGCGGCGCAGGTACAGCCATGAAAACCCTGATGAAAGAAAGTGCCAGTGCGCCATAGCGCCAACGCCAAAAAACAAAATTAATACACAATAAGAAAAAATATTTTATGCTTTTCAGGCTTTTCACCGGAATATCAAGATCAAGTTGGTCACTACAACATTTCGCAAATCCATTTGGACGAGTCGCTCAATGAGTTGTTTTCTCGACTACGGCGCGCGAAAACCACGAAGAGCGTTACGCACGAAGCGTGACATGAGAGTGCGACCGTGCGCTGCCCAGCCTCCGGCCTGCTCGACAGAGTTGAGCTCGGCCACTCGGGCCGCCTCGGCCCTGGTCGTTTCGTCCGTGCTGCACCCGTCGCTCGCATCCCGCAGCTTGTAGTTCATGAGCTTGGTGCAGGCCTGGTTGTACTCCTCTTCAAGCACACGCAGTGCCTGGCCCGCGTTGGCGAAGACACTGCTCCCCGAGCCCGTCCCGCGGCTTTTGTTGTAAATCACCATCAACCGAAGTAGCGCGTGCACTTTATCATTCAGGTCGTCCTTCAAGGTCTTCAACAATTGACCTTCGTGTTTATCTTTGTGGTCCGACGCGCTGCGTTTTGAATTTGGCGAATTCCCAGAAATGAAATTCCGGCCAGATTCAAGAGAATGAGAATTGACGTCAGACTCCATTAAAAAAGGGCGCAGGAGCAGTTTTGCAAAATGCTGGCTATTATTCCGGTGCGCGCCGAATTTCGGGTCCATTGTGACTGCCTTTGACTTTGGTCCATTTTGACCTGCCGCAACTTCCTCTGCTGGGGTGAAGAGCCACTCCCTGTCGACGGCCACGACCGTTGGGACCTCCGAGCCCTCCAAACTCTTCACGAGAGATGTCAGCTTTGCCGGCGGGGGCGGCGCCTTGTTCGCTAAAACTTCCACCACCTCCCTGACCCTGACCTGGGCACCAGGTGTGGCGAGCAAGCCTCTCGCGGACCTAAATCCTGTGCCAGGTCGAGGCTCTACAAGATTTTCTTCGGCAAGACTGAGGTCTCGAGGAAAGTGTCGATACGCTACTTGGATTATATTATCCCGCCGCTCTTTCAAGTCTCGCTCCCTTTGCAGTGATGAAGGCATCAACACAGGCATCAACACTCTCTCTGTGGGACTGAGAGGCAGGAGGTTTATCGTGTTGGGATCCGCCTCAAGTTTCCGGTGAAACTCCAGGTCTCTCTTGTATTCGTCGATCATGATGATCAGGTCCTCATCCTCTTTTTCTGACCGCATCACGAACCACGCGTAGAAACAAATTGACCCGTAGCCCCTACTACAGCCAGTAACTCTTATGAGATTGATAAAGTATTCACTTCAAACATATTCATAGTGCAAAAAAAAACATTTTTCACCGAAAGTTGCGCCATAGGAGGCGAGGCGTCTTCTGCATGAACAAGTTGGCGCATTGTTGTTAGAAACCTAGACGCACGACAAACCTACAGACGTAAACACGATGGAAAACAGTACTAGCAGCACTAAGTGACTACGTGTCACTATAGGTTTGCGTTCTGATATCGACGCACTAGTAGGGGCACTAGCCGCACCCTGTCAGGGGTGATTTGAGACACAAGATGAAGGCGAGGATGGACAACATGCGTGACAGATGGCATGGCTACGGCTAAGGAGGTGGATCGGTTGGCATTCAGATCAAGAGCCTAACAAGCTCGAGGGATTTGACATCAGGCCTGATTTGCGTCCTGATTTGCGTCGTGTTTGCAATGCTGGCCGTCACTAGGTCACTTGGATTTACGATCTGGCCAGCAGTTGTATCCATGTAATTCAAACTAGATAGCCAGGAACGTACTTAGATTACGCGACTTAAGAGCTATGCTATAGCATTGGGCTTTGATATCTTCTTCCAGCTAGCTACTTAAGAAATACTAAAGAAGTACATGGCAAAAAGATCATCGGCTGAGTGAGTGAGCCAAGACGCTCGAGGATCCTCCTGTAATTAGTAATTAGCTGCAGCAGCTGCTGCTGCTCTCCTGCCGATCTACGCAAACGACCGTCGGGCCTGGAGAGCTCCTACTCCGTCGCGATGTAGGCGTGCGGATTCGGGCGAATCCACGCAGCTACATCGCGACGGAGTAGCAGCTCTCCAGGCCCGGCGGTCGTTTCCGGAAGGGCGGCTACCGGAGGACAGCAGCTGCTGCAGCTGCTACTATATCTAAAGGATCTTCGCTAGTTCTTCGATCTCTCCCACAATCGATGATCTTTTTTGGAGGTTCTTTGATAGTATTTCTTAACTAACTAGCTGGAAGAAGATACGAAAGCCCAATACTTTAGCATAGCGATAAAGTAGCTTAATCTCAGTACGTTCCTGGCTATTCTATTTGAAATACATAGACAAAATGCAGCAAATTGATCACGCAAAAGGTGCATCAACTAACGCAGTGCAATTTTCGGTGAAAAAAATTTTTTTTTTGCACTATGAATATTTTTGAAATGAGTACTCTATCAATCTCATAACTCTGATGACCCACTTCGGCCAGACCACTACAATGACGAACGATCTCCCTGCGCATACGGTATTGGGTATGATACCCAATGAGCCCAAAGCCAAACATAAAAACTTTTCGCACAAAAATAAAGTAGATGACCAGGAGCACCACAGAAGTAAGGGACTATTAGTATGCTAGAGCGCGATCGCCCTTACCACACGCTTTTGCGAGACCTTTGCAGCCTGAGGGGCCTCGCCCTCGGCCTCCAAGTACTATAAGTACTTTCGAAACGCACACCAGCGGGATATGGCCGCTGCTAGAGGCAAGGTGCGTGTCCCATCGCTGGCTCGGGTCGCCAAAATGACCCGAAGCGCAGAAACGCATCCGCTCGCCGAAAAATGGCGGCACACGCAGCTGCAAAACGAACTGGAGATGCAAACGCACGCGCTTTACCTCCTCGGAAGCAACTAACTGCAAGAATGACTGGCCACGAATAGATACCGAAGTAAAAGGGGTCTTTCGCAGGGAGAGTTTGATCGTTTTGGGGCGCGGGGCGTTCCATAGGTACTTCTCCAGCGTGTCTTTGTAAAAATCTCTGCACTTTTCCGACATAAACCCGTGCTCGTGCTTGTCTCGGACGCTTAGCAGCGTTTTTTCAAATTCCTCGTCTTCCTTCGGTGGGATCGGGTCTCCTCCCTTCGCTCGATTTTTGGTTTGGGAAGTTGGCTCGACGGGCGGCAGATCGCGGAGCTTGTCGCGAATCGTTTCAAGCGCCTTAAGGATGCCTTGACCATCAAACCCAAACTTCTGCTGGGAAACAACCCACCCACTTCTTATACAAAGGAAACCATCGCGGCTCTGCTATTGGAAGAGAGCTCGACGTCGGGGGGAGAACGCATTTTATCCCTCTTCTGGCTCAGGAAAATGTATCCAGAAGTCGCTGCAAAGAGATTTTTCACTTAGACTGCAAGCATGTCACTCTTTATCGTCTACTGGGACAACAAACGCGTGCTCGAGAGCTGTTGTCACAAGCGACCTCGTGTCGCTATCGCTGTGTCCCTGGTTGCGCCTGCGCCGTACGCTTATCTAAATTCTGTGGGAATTTCTACAAATACTATAGTCGAGCTGCAGGGAAAATACATGGAGAAACCGACGCCGACCAGTATAGCAGAAAGAAGATTCCTGTCATAGGTTTGCTGTATTCAGCAACGACTCTTGTTGTCTTCTGAGGGGGTGGAGTGCGGCCACCTTCAACTTCAAGTAGAGGCTCGAAAACGACGAAATCATGCTCCTCAGTTTTTTTGGCTTTGTGCGGGTGCGCTAGTGAGCGATAGTATTTGAGTTTGCAGTTCCCCTTGCGAATTCGTGCGTCACCTGGCGCGGCCTCGCCTTGGACTGGTGGGTATCTTCCTGCCACCTCAATGACATCCTCCTGCTGCTGAATTTTGTGCGTGAGTTTATCAACATCACGCACATGCAGAAATTTTTCGCTTTTCAGCGAAACGGAATTAGCAGCGTCTGTGGCAAACTGCCACGCGCCCATAGCACCTTTCCCCACAAGAGACCAGGGCAGTCCCGGCTCTTCTGTATTTGTTCGGAGGAGAGCAGAGTCGCTCATCGTGCGTTGGAGAGGACCCGCGGCTGCGACCGGCGCGTCGCCCCTGTCTGTCGACGGCAGGGGTGTGCTCAAAGCCCTTCCCAACATTGGACGAGGACCAGAAGCCGTCTCGACGAAGCTTTGTTCCTGGGGCTGAAGCTGCGACTTCTCAGCCGACGTAGTTGTCCCAGAAAGCTTGTCCTCCACTCCATCGTCTTCGTCGGGCACCAGCTTCAGCGTGGAGTTGCTCAACATCAGCGCCGCGTCGTCCACTAATTTTCCGGAAACGGTTTCGGCAAAAGTGGAAGTAGAGGATGACGGCCCGCCGGCGCTGGTTCCTTGCAGCTCCTCCGACACTTCTTGCTCGGCCGCATCCGCCGGTGCCCCACGACCCAGATCATGACTTGGCGAAGAGGCTGCAGACGTTGAGCCTCCTTGGTGGTCGTCACTGCTGGCAAAGAGATGATCGGATCCGTGGTTGGTGTGGGCGGCATCTTCAAAAATCGGAGCAGCACCTTCTTGCTCCAACATCCCGGCCAGATTTTCAGCGGCTCCTCCCTCGGTAGTTTCTTCGACTTGATGCACTTGTTTCGCAGCCAAGGCGGTGTGGTCGGCGGAAGATTTTTGTACGAGCTCTCGACCAACATCGCGCTGCAGAAAAGCCGCCGCAGCCGACGGGACTTCTGGTTCTGGCCCCGGTCCGGAGACGAGAGCGTCCGGGCTTTTCTGCTTGGTCCCATCAGCCGACAGCCGAGCGTTGTTGTGGTCGGAAGCAGACGGTGGAGACGACGTGGCACTTTCGGAAGATCCCTCGTCGCTCCCGTCACTCTCGTACATTTCGTGTCGCGGGGCCAGAAACTTCTTTGACCCTCGCAACCGCCGGGGCGGCGCACTTGGTCCCGCCGGAGTGGTCTGCTGAGCGCCATGATCAGCACTGTCGCTGGACAACGAAGTCGAAGACCAAACCTGGCTGAAATCCCGATCCCAGGCCCCGGAACCGAACAAACGATCCCAAAGGGCGATCGCGCGCAGTGGCCCCTCCACCGCCAGGAGACGTAACAGCATCCGCGTCACGACCGCTCGGGGCGCGTGGCTCCGTTGGGTGGAAAAGGCCACGTCTCGGTGGCCGCCCCCCCGCCGCATGGAGGTTGTCGACGCGGACGTCGCACCGCCGGTGATCATGATGGTCCCTGGCCCTCCGGCGCTAGGAGAAGTAGTTGTAGATGTAGTGCTCATTGTTCCCACGACTGTGTTGCAGCCACGCTGAACCTGTGAAGAAGAAAAAACAGTCTGTGCGAAAAATGTTTGTTCGAATTGATATAACGAGAAAAAGCAAGCGAAACTCTCGAACGAAAGAATCTAAACACTGTCTGAACTTGCCGACAGGCTTTTGAGAAAACATCAGCGTGAATCTTGTCGCCTAACGCTAACCTCTGAGTAGGTTCTGGATGTTCCAAAGATCCAACAACGACCTAAAGAACCTGATCGGCTGGCGACGCTCCTCAGTTTTCTCGTCTTCGTGCTGTCGTGAATCGTGATACTCGAAATGTTGTTTCCTCCTCGTTCATTCCTCTCGGTTGCAAAATGTTCTTGCGGCTCTCCCCTTTGCCTCAGTCGCAAGCAAACTACGTCCCTGCTTGCGGCTCTTCTCTTGCTCTGTCGGCTTGATGCCGCGTACTTGAGTCCGGGTCGATAATATGTTGTATTTTTATAGAAATGATTGCGAGTTTAGGGTCGATAAATTTAAACGTCGAGGACAGAGACAATTTATCCGTCATCAATGACAATTTACAAACCGACTCCGGTTCAAACGCGAAACAGATGATATTTGTTTTGAACGAGCTCAAGCCAACGCACAACCGATTTAATACAAGCTCAAGCCATAGCCGATGCAGTAGAAGCTCTCTTTTTATCTAATGCCACACGCACACGAGGTACAAGCTCTTCGATGCTTTTGTTTGTTACACTTACAGGTACAAAAGCAATAACGACGATAGAAAACTTTTCTTATTTTTGCATTTCCAACGAGAACGAGCATGTGTGCCTGTGGTCGGGCGGGGCCTCAAGACCACCACGACGACTCACCTTTCGGCATTGCCCAAGCAAATCGCTTTCATCATGAAAATTCGGCTGAAATTTCGCTGGTAGTTATGTTGATCAGGATCACACGTCGTCGCAACTCTGACATTATTTTTAAGAAGGTGCGACGTCATGATCTATGTATCTGCTCTTCCTGTCGCTGCAATGTTGTCGATTTCAGAATCCGACGTAAGACCATCACTTTCTCGTCCGCCAGCAGAGTTGTCTTTCTCATCAGAGTTGTTATCCTCTTCCGACGAGGAGTCTGTGTCGCCGCTTAGCAGAAGCCGATCGATATCATCCTCGTCTTCCGAATGATTACCAGGTGCATCAGCAGGTTTCTTTTGCCCACGAGAACTGCTCTTGGCTTGATTTATTCCCGACGAGGAGCGTTCTTGTTCTGTCTTCTTGCTTTTGGATACTGTGGCTGCTGCTGGGGCTCGCGGTGCACCGCTACTACTCGACGAGGCTGCGCGAGCGCCTGCGCCAGTTGCAGCTTCACGTGCAGCTGCTGCCGTCGCTTTCAACATACTGGCTGGCGGAGCTGATGAGGATGAAGAAGATGCAGTGGTCAAAGGCACAACTGCAGGGCGGGCTTTTTCCTTACTGACACTCCGGGTTATTTTCGCCTTGCTTTTCGATTTCGTCTCATGCACCACGCCAGCAACGTCATCCACAACGAAAACCATGTCCGAGCTACTAGCACCGGTTCTATTTGTCGTAGCAGTGCGTGGTCTTTTTGTTCCGTTGTTCTCAACAACTTCGACGCTGGGTGATTTCTTTACCATGTCAGCAGGAGCAGCTTCATCACCGGCGGCCGTACTACTGGTATTCATTTTCATCTTCGGCCCTGCTTCGCCGCTCTTATCATTTGTCGTTCCCGACTTGTTCCCTATCCCTTGTTCATCCCCTCCCGCAGGCCTCTTCGACGAGGAGGACTTTACCACCGCAAGCCCGCGGCCACCGCTCTTCTCGTGGAAATAATTCAGCAGATCCCGTTCCTCAGCCCGGAGCAACTTTGCGTCGCGGTTTCTGGTGCCGAGTGATTGCAATTCCTCCGTCAAGTCGTAGCCCTGCTTGTATTTCACATCAGTTTCCAGAAGGTTCTTGTGCTTTTCACTTTGGAAAAATGTATCCCCTATTTTCCGACTGTCGGCCTCCAACTTCCCGATCTTTTTCTCGTTTTCCCGCTTCACCGCAGCCTCGGCCTGGAACGCGCGCCGCATGTCTTCCTCGATGCCGCGCCGCCGCTTGGCAGCGTCATCGACATCTTCGGAGCCATGGGTTCTTTGGTCGTCGTGATGTACTCGTGTGGAGGAGGTAGTTCTTGGGTCCGCTGCTGCGGTAGTCAGGAGGTGCTGGTCCACAGCACCCGCAGGACGCTTGTTACTTCTGTAGTTTGAAGATATAGAAGATGAGCCCTTATGCTTATTTATTGCACTTCGCTCGTTGAGTTCTTCTTTTGACGCGGACCGTGGCGCACTTGCTGCTCCTGCTGATGCTGAAGACGCAGCGGGCATAGGTGGGCCGGCTCGGTAGTTTTCTTCGCTGCTTTTCTTGCCGGTTTTTCCCTGTCCCTTATACCCATTTATGGAGCTGCTGGACGAACTACCACTGCTTGAAGACGAGGATTTAATATTTTCGGCCTTTCCAACGAGCAGGCTTCCAGTGGCATGAGTACTATCACCTCCTACTGGTTTGTTCAAAATCGGACTTCCACTCGTCCCACCGCCCTTTGCTCCCCCTTGCTGCGTATGCATTGCAAAAGTATCGCACTACTATAAATTGCATCACAAACTTTGGCAAGAAGAAAGCTGGAATTTGTAGTGCTGTTTTGCCTTAGGAAGGAGATTTGTCATGCATATTTGCAATGAGTACGAGTACGATACTTTTGCACAGGATACTGCCCCTTGATGTCCTTCCCCTTGATCGGGTACAGTTGGGGAGGTGGCTTTCTTCTCACTGGTGTCCCTGTATTCCCCCGGAGCGGCCCAAGGGAAGATGAAGATCTTGGTGATGATGAACTGGCGACGCTGTTGCCTTTACCCTCGATCATGTCGTTCTTGTGCTGTTGCTCCTGATGCGGAGGTGCTTGCCCTGATACAACTCGACCTTGTGGTTTTATTGTCGACGTCCCGGCGGCGCCAAGCAGGTCCTCTTTGTTCCCTTCGACGAGGCGTCGTTTGGTCAAATTAGTCAACGCCTTGGCTGCGCGGCGCGCCTGCAACACTTCGCTGTCGGAGGTGTCGGGTTCAGAGGAGGAAGAAGTTTCGGCCGATAAACTGAGGAGGTCCTCGTCATAAAAACCCGCGTCGTTCTGCTTCTGCGACTGCGGCCGCGCTTTGTCAAGAACATTGACTTTGTGATTGTGTTGCCCAGCAATACTTTCAGATGGAACAGAGCCACTTCTTTTTCGATCCTGGTCAACATTATTTTCACTCAATTTCACGCTGTCTGCCTCCGAGTCACTGCTGCTACTGCTGCTTTCGTCGTTTCCACTGAAAATGTCCAGCGCACTTCGCGCCTTTTCCAAGTACTCCTTTCCGACACTGCTTAGCTGGTGGCCATCCGGCTTGTTGTTGTTTTCGGTTCCCTTTATTAAGGTTGCACCTGCAGGACCAAACCGCGGCTCCGGCTGCGCCTTCGCGGGCGTGAGCCTGGGCTTCTTCAGAAAGGAAGAAGCAGAAGAAGAATTCCCTTGCTGATGACCCGATGGAATTGTCGACGACTTTGCTGCAGCTCCAGGAGGTGGTGTCCACCCGGGGGGGTGTATTCGCGTCGAGAGGGAGCGCGAGGGGACCTTGGCAGGGGGGTGTTGATCACCTTCGCTAGATTTCGGAGAAGATTTGTCCCGGTTTATTTTTTCTGGGTTATCGTACGCATTCACGGCGTGCGGTTTTTTTTTGTGGAATTGCGTCATGTCGATCTTCTCATCAACATCTTCTTGTTCGTAGTTGTCTTCACCACTTTTATTTGACGTCGGAGACCGAGACACATCCTCAACAACAGCAGCAGCAGCAGCTTCGCCCCTTTTTATCTTCTTTTTACTGCTGCTCATCTTCTTGTCGTCACCGTGCTCCTCTGCGTCGCTGGAAGAAGAAGATTCAGCATCTCCATCAGAGGAGGAAGATGTACTGAAACCATCGCTGTCGTCTGATTTCATTTCCACATCGCTCGACAACCGGCGCCTCCGTTCTTGTCCTTCCTTACTTTTACGCTTTCGTTTTTTATTTTTGTGGCTCTTGATCTTCTTTTCCTTGCTGTTCTTTCCACCTGTACTACTTCCTCCTGGGAAAACCAAGTCCTCGCTGTCATCGTGGTCCCCATGAACATTTTCTCCAGAATTAGTACCAGCTTTCTGGTGCTGTGCCATCTTGTCGTTCGGAAACGCCGCCTCGTCGCCACTCGTCGGCGAGGCGGGGCTCAAGTCGTGGTAAAAAGCGGGGTCCAACATGTATTCCGGCAGGTAGCCCGGATTTTTCTCAATGATCCCCGCGAACAGTTGCTTCTCCTCCTCAAAAAAAGCGTTGCAGGCGTGCCGATTCGGGTTGTGCGGGTTGATTTTCTCGACTCGCGCCGAGTCCGCAGCCAGTTCGTTGAACTTGTCCGCGCGGTCGGAGTAGAACTTTGCCACCTATCAAGTGCAAAAGTGTCTGGGTCTGGAAGAATGCGCGACTTGTCACGCAGCTTTTCCATGACCCATGAGGCTTGGAATGCAGGACCTAGCATGACAGATTCTGTGCGATCTCTCTCATGCCTATCCTGCATGAGAAACTCCCTTCGGACTTGGTCAAAACTGGACGACTTTTGGTAATCATGCAACACAGATTTTTGCATGCTGCAGATTTAGCATGACAAGTTGCAGCATTCTTCCAGACCCAGACATTTTTACATTTGATACCACCTTGGCCACCACAAATTGCAAGTAGTCCAGGGCTTCCTTCTCGGTTGCTAGCTCCTCTTGCTGCTCCAACAGGTGTTCCTTTAACCGTTTTAAATGGCGGACCTTGTTCTTCGAAGATGTTGACATTGCTAGCGTGCTTACTACATCATTTTTCATCTCCCGGTTGTCCAGTTTTTTGTCTACTTCTTCCAGCAAAATCTCGCACCGCCGCAGCTCTTGCCCCACTACCAGAAGTTCGCGCTGCTCGATAATCTCTAACAACTTCTCCGACTTCTCTTTCGGCGCCGCGGTTTCGATGAACATCTGATCCCGCCAAAGCACCCCCCGGTTCTCGATGCCCAGCTGGATGTCCCAGTCGATTTGTTGCAGCACTTCGTTCGGAAACGTGTTCACCTTTTTGCGCAGCATGGAGGGGTTGTGCCAGGTCAGAAACAGTTCTCGCATGAACTGCGTGATCCGGTCCTTCGTGGGGATCTCCGGCGCTGTTAAATATTTCCCGTCATTGAAGTCCCGGTTTTCGTCCGCGATTTCGGATTTTCGCTGTTCCGATCGGAGCCAATCCTCCTCGTTCGGTCGGCGGGAGTGGTGGTGGAAAGAAGAGGAAGCAGACGCACCAGCTCCTGCACTTCCAGAAGTGTGGTTGTAATTAAAATTATAGTCTCCGCTTCCGTCCCTCTTCGCCGATCGCCATTTGTCGTCCTCGCGGCGCTCGAGCTCCTCGTCGTCGGTGGGCTCCCCCGGGTCTACATCTTCGTCGGAAGGGTAGTCACCGCGACTGGACGAGGTACTCCCTCCGGGACTCCCACTACCGGCAAAGTTCTGGAAGAAGTCCGGATTGATGCCCGAAAACATGTTCTTAATGTCCTCCTCCATGTTTTTGTTCGTTGCATTTTGTTGGCCCGCGGCCCCGGCGCCGCGCCGACTACTGCCATTGGGGTTGGTGAAAAACCCCGCAGTGCTGCCCGGCGTCGCGTTCCCTCGAAACATCGGCCCGCGGTTACGGGAGGGAGGGCCAGCGGCGCGACTGCTGCTGGAAGCGGCGCCTGTGGTGGTTTTAATCATTGTTAATTCTTCATATTCAACTCGTTTAGAATATACGAGACGAATAGTAGAAAGGATTAGGTGGTCATGCTTTTCTGTTTCGTCATTCTGTACAACCACCTAACAAGTACTAACCGCGTCGCACAAATGCAACCCGGCTTCTGCAAAGCACAAAAGCTACGAAGGAAGCAGCTGCCAAACTGATTCTGCTCCAATATTACACGACCACGGCGACATGATAGATTGCGTTTCCTTGTTATCGAGGCCAAAACTTGTGTGTCAGATGATTGGCAACAAAAGCATTAAGATGAGCAAGAAGTCTTTGATGGCGCCAACGCCAAGTGCAAGTGCTATCTATAATCACACAGTAAGTAAAAATCTTCTAGTGTAGTACCACCACCCGCTGCCCCCGGCTGTTTGTTCCAGACATTTTCCTGGAGGAAATTCCAGGCCTCGTTAATCTTGACGAACTCCTCTTTGTTCCCTGAGGGCTTGTCCGGGTGCTTTTGCAGGCACAATTTGCGGTACTTGCGCTTGGCATCCTCATAGCTCACGCCGCTTTGCAGTCCCAGCACCCGGTAAGAGGCATACATTATGTTGATCCACCGCCGACAGCAGAAAAATTATACGTAGCGATGAAACTATGGGAGTGCTGGGGTAGGTCGCCGCCGCCGGAGGAATGGGCACGAGGGAGATAAGGCAGCAAACAAAAGAAAGCGCTTCTAGCGGAGGTGCTGCACATTAGTACCGTATTCGAAGAAGCGCCGCCGTTCTGAGTGGTATTCGTATTGTAGAGGTGGGAGGTCGTATCATTTTTACTGAGGGAAGCGGCATCAACCTGTCAAACGTCGTCGAGAAAGAAATGCGTGCGGGCTTAAGGACTGAAGCGCGGGAAGGTCTCATCGAGATGGAGGCGTGCGGGGACGTCATTATGGTGTTTGAAAAAAATGAATTTCCAGAAAAATTATCACAATTAGTTGCAAGAAGAATTATAGCGCATAAACATACAACGTATGTTGCAATGGAGACGAATCGGAATATGACTGAGAACTAACTTCTAGAATAAACTCGTATTGTTGGCGCGCTCGTGCAATTTTCTAACACTTTGAAAATGTACCACAACTCAAGACACGAAGACTAACTCTAGCACTATGAAATGTTGAAAAATAGAGAGCGCCATGACACTTACTCACGCATATCAATAACGTCCATGTAAGTAAGTACTTGGTTGTTTATACTAACGAATTATACTCTGATCACAATACAGCTCACGTCGGCGGGGCACATCAACAAATACTTCGGTCGCTGTCGCTTCCCTGTGTCGTCGGTAAGATGAAGTGCATCCATCGATCATGTGATTCTCACTCAAGAACTGAAAGGATAAAAAACGCAGGAACATGATTTTGTCTCCAACTCCATGATGGCACTGCATCTCGTTCGTTGCACACCACGGGGCCGATATTCATTGTCCCTGACTGGTGCAATGGCAACGGGTCGGTCATGCTTAAAGTTAAAAACTCATGCTTTTTTTACGTGTAATATTTTGATGTGATGTATGAGCATGATCAGGTACAAATTTTTCAAATCTTTCTTGAAGCCAAATATGTCGATTTTGGATAGAACTCGGATCGTATACTTCATCTTCTCGATGGTTTTCTCGGAGAGCTTCTCTGTAGTGATCATATTTGCAGCTGGCGATCCGTAGTATCAAACAAGCGAAGGCCAAAGCGTAATAAAATATGAAGCAGGTATGTTGATTTATCTTGTTGCTGCAATACAACTGCTTTCGTTCGTCCTAGCCGCGATCGTCCATCCTGAAGATGGTCTAGATCTTCACGATGATCTTGATTGCTGACACACAAAAAAAAAACGAAAAACAAATGCTGCTTGTCTGCAGTCGTGAAAAACGTTGCCTTGTCATTGATCGTGAAAGGCAAGTGCTGCCTTGTCAACATTATTTCACGTGCAAAGCGCTGCTAAGAACGACACACGTACGTGACCCGGATGAAACGCAATTGTTTCTCAATCTCATCCTCATCGAGCCTGGCTAGTATCGTTTGCACGTGGCCCCCCCACCGGAGCTGCAGAAGTTTCAGTCATTACTTGTCCCACCTACCGCTTCAACAGAACGGGCATGCGGAGTTCCGTTTGCAGATCAATGTCGCGTTCCGGATCATTCAGAAAGCTCCCGTCCAGTGCATAGTCCGAGACAAAGACACGTCTGTGGCTCTTGTCGACTTCAATCCTTTCTATCAGGTCGATGATAGAGGCTGTCTTCATCTCCTGCGATTCTGGTTCATGATCTCGTGGTCCATGCAAAGGACAAGAACTCGTCGCAGAATCATGATCTTTACTTGCACGAGGACCCGCCCCACCGGAGAAATTACTGCGACCCGCGGAATGATCTGTACTACATTCACCTAGCGATTCTTGTAGCGCAAGCATATCGGCCAGACACAGGGATTCGAAAACTTTCGGAAAAGGGCAAACTGTGAACTTCTGTGGGTGATTTAATACTGTTGTTGCTACTTCATCTTGTGCAAGGGGCTGCTCTTCATGCCGCCCCTCTTCCTTCTCCTCTTCGGTAGTTGTAGCTGTGGTGCAGCAGAGAAACTCGATGCACGCCTCCAGCGGCTCGAAAAAGGTCGGGTCTGCCTCGTGTGTGATCAAGCCAGTCTTGCGGTGCCTGAACTTTCGAATCTTCGTACTCGCTGGGTGGAGCAAAACAGGTGGCAGAGAATGTTGATCGCCGCGCGGGCTTTTGATGTTGTTTGAGAATGTAGCTTCAGCAACTCCGCTCGCAGTTGTCGTTGTCCTGTCCTCTTGCTCCATTGCATGGTCCTGTAACACTTCCCGCACAGCATAGCCCGATTTCTTTATCACCTGATAGTTGTAGTTGCCGAACCAAAAGCAAACCTCCTCCAGAAACTGCCATCGCTTCACATGGTCCCCCCCTAAATCCTCGGCCAGTCGCCAGGCGGAGGCGGGTCTATGGAACTGATGCGACGAACGGGGCCGCGAGGACGCGTTTAGAACAATTTCGCCCTCAACTACAACACTCTCGCGGGATGATGATGAGGAAAACGAAAAGCGTTCCCGGATAGCTGCGAGTTTAGCATTCGCAACAACGTACTCCTGAAGTAACCGGTCGGGGGGGTCAAATGAGGCCGCCGCAGGACGAGTTTTTGTTCCGGATCCGGCGGAAGAACTACTTTCAGGCGGTTTTGAAGCAATGTCAGGGTTCGGTTTCTGCTTTTTACCGGCAAGAATTTCTGCACTTATTCCATTTTTCTTCCCATCTTCAACGTGGCCGAATAACCCATTTTTGGCACGATCATTCTGTTCTTCACCCGCCCCTGCTGCAGGAATCATAGCTGCAGTTGTGTGCGTATAGAACCTTCTTCCGAAGGTGTCTCGCTCTCCGGTGGAAAACAAGGTACGTAGCGGGTAAAACTCGTGCTCGTGCTCGATCAACTGTTCACTGGCGTCTGTGGTCATGTTGACAACCTGTTGGTTCCCACACTTGTCCTCCTGCTTCGGGCGAAAAGCGTCTGGATTCCTTTGCGAACTAAGTTCTGGGGCGATAAAGGTTCTGCCTCTTTGCAAAAGCTTCGTCTCGAGGTCGAAGGCGGTTTGAAGATAATTCTGATAGCGCGGCGAAGTACTTCGAGAGGTCCCATTGTCTTTGTCATCAACATCACTATTCATCTGCTGAACAAAGCGCAGCCAGAGCAAGACTGCCAAACATCTGGCCAAGCAGGTGCCGTCCCGCTGGCTCTGCAGTGTGGGTTGCGCGATCATCTTGCGGTGCGGTAATCCGCGGTGCCGGTCGTAGTAGAGTTTTTTGAATGATGAACTTGTTCCGCTGCTAGTACTGCTGGTCGACGTCGTGCCAGACACCGCACCTTGACAGCTACTCCTTATCTGACGATAATCGCAGATCGGCCCGAGCAGGAAAAGATCGTAGCATGCATTCTTCTTGCTTTGCCATGTAGTTCCACCTCCTCGACCTCGTTCGGGCGATGATAGCAGCTGGGAGATCCACAGGCTCTCGATGTCCAATTCTAGTGTGTCAAAGAGTAAGACTTGCAAGCGTGGTTGCTGACTCGACGACGCTCGTCCACCCGTGGATGACGATGATGATGTTGAATCAACTGCAGGAGTCGCAACATTTGCAGTCGTAAAAATATCAGCAGTGCTGGTCCTCCTGTTCTTCTCGCCGGCAGCAAGATTGTTTCTGTAGAATAAATGCGCCCCTAGCCAATGCTTTCCCTCGTCAAGACACACGACGATGCTCCTGTTGAATAAAGCTGGTTGTCGTTCTTGTAGAAGTGCTTTAGCTTCATCATCGGGGGTTGATCCACCGTATCCAAGAAAAAAAATGTGTTAGTGTAAGTCTTTTGGGAAAACAGCATCACAAGTTTGTCTGCAATGACAGGGAAAACTTGTTATGCGCAGATAGGAAGGGAAAACACATAGGAAACGAGCCGATCATGCATGTCGAGCATGACAAGTGTAACTGTTTTGCATTTTCCGCATCACAGATTTACACTTACACAGTTTTTTTCTTGCATACACCGTTCGACGTAGTTTCTGCGATGATTTGGTCGAGTTTCGATTTCAACCCGTCGTAGCCATGTACGACATCGAACATTTTCGTGTCCGCTGTATGAAACAGGACAACTTCAACTTGTTTTCAGGCTCGTAAGTACTTCAAAACGAAAAGGACCACCTTCAAGAGCGGTGATATAAATCTGCTCGACTCTTGATCTTGTTCTAAGCCTTAGACTGTCCTCCTCGTCCTCGTCCTTTGTCGATCGCTAATCTGGCTTCCTCGAATAGATAATTTTACTTATGTCTTTAATTATTTAAGAAAAAAAAAATATTCGTCCAGCACTGCTTCTGATCTATTTAGATGAAAAAAGAATGAATTCTGCATGCTGCACCTACAGTGAGATAAAAGTATATTTATAATGGTGCGTAGCGCATTGGGCATAGTACAGGTGTTCATGCACTTTCTTCTTGCGCTTTTGTTCAAACCAACCTTATTTCGTGCAGCTTCTTTCTTATCCCTATGTCATTTCGGCGCAGGAAACTCGACCTGTGGATCGAACAACCACGAGGAGTCAGGCTCTCTGATCAAGAAAAAATCCGAGCATACTGATCAAGAATTTCGATGGACCTCTTTCTTCGTACACGCAAAAATCAAGCAACAGCAAGTGCAAGATGCTCTATCACGACCACAACGGCATCAACACAACTTGAAACTTTTGGAGATCCATGAATGATCGCTCAGAACAAGTATGCAGTGTCGTGGATCGTGTAGCAAAAGTGTTGATCTTCGTTCTTCTTTCTCCGAAAATAAAAAAACAGGCATGGCGTCAGAACACTGCCCAACAAGACACAGACTGCTAGGCTACATGGTTTATCACGAACTGCTCGTGAAGGTTTGACTTCGGCTGGGCGGTTGTTCTTCGTATCTATGCATCAGGCTTAGTAGTTCCAGAATTTGTTGCAGAGTTTCTGATGTAGTTGAAGCAATACAACGGCATTTAGATTATACAAACCACGACTCATTGTGCATGTGCTTGTGGATGTGCAATAACAAAATACTACATCCAGGAGGGACGAGAAATGTTCGAAAATCATTCATGATTGTATGGCACAAGCACTGCCTTTCGTTCTAATAATTTTGGCATTAGATACTAGGCAGCTACGAAAAATCATACAGTCTCTCTGATAGATCTTCATGTAACCTCGCCGTATAGAAGCGCGGAAAAATTGTATAGCGAAATCATAAATTAGTATGTGACGAAGAACGCATCGCCTCACGCCGAAAATAATTATCTTTATCGTACAATGGAAAAAATAGAAAGCTACGACTGTCGCTTTTTTGGAGCTTCGCTGGTGGAAGAGCGAAAGAACCGCCATCGAAAATGAACTACAAGGATGTCTAGCAGCGGTTTTGGTTCGTTTCACTTTCAGCTGAGGATGACTATACGTGCGGGCAGCTCCAGGACCATCGTCCAGAGACTCTGCATCAAGAATGAATGGCTCATGTCGCCGTCCGAAAGAAAACGCGTTCAAACAACGAGCAGCACTGATGATGTACTATTTTTGTTATACTTACACAAGATGAGGATTCCTCAATAAAAAACCTACTCATCTTGGTACACCATCAAGATGCTCATGCTTTTTTTCAAGCAGTTACAACTCCGGCTGGGATAAAAAATTTTATTTTTTCTTCTTCTTTGTCTTTACTGGTCGCGTTTTTTTCAACTGCTGGAGAAACGGCACGCCTGGCACCCCCCGTGGCCTTGTTGGTCTTGCTTGCGGGGACCAGATCGCGGCATCCTGCGAGGACGAAGAGGAAGCTGAATTGCTGGAAGCCTCTCCGCCTGGAGATGCCCCCGCGGCGAGGTTCTGTCGCCGCAACGCCTTGTCCAAGGGGTTAGGCCGCCGCGGCGAAGGGGGTTTTTTGTGGTCACCCTGCTTTGTTTTTTCTTCTTCAGAAGACGGAGACGGCGTCGGAGAGGACGGCGGGGTCGTGATGATCCCCGGCTGTAGTTCTCCTACAGGCCTTGCGACGTCATCAACCGCAACCGGTGTACTAGCGGCACCGCGCGCGGCGGCAGGCAGTGGTGTCGCGCCAGAAGAGGAAGATGCGGCTGCAGGTCGTACGGTTGCATCATCATGCCCGCTTCCCGCACTGCCGTCCGCACCTGGACTATCCGGTTCCTTGGGCAGGCTGGCTAGCTGCCTCGCAAGTTCCGCGTCAATGGCAAGACTTTCTGCCTGTTGTTGGGCTTCCCATCTGGCCAGTTTCTCTGCAAGTTCCGCCGCAATATCATCATCTTCACCCTGCTCTCGTTGTGCGGCCGCCTGCCCCGGCGGGGATGCTGATGACAAAGACCCATTTGCAGTATTGTCTACCTGTGGCTCCTCTTCATCAACAATAGAAGCTTCCTCATCGTGATCCTCCGGTCCACCCCAAAAATCAGTCCAGTCATGATTTCCTGTCGATTCAACCGCCGCCGGTTCCTGTACTGGCGCTGTCATGCCGCGTCGTACCGGCGCACCACCTTCCTCGTCTTCATCGCCAATTCGATGATCAGTAGCGGTGCTAGATTTTAATAAACCTCCAGCATCCTCGCCTGCTCCTGATGCTCCTCCTTCGAGGCGCGTAGCATCTTCCGACGAATCGCGAGTCGCTTCTTCTTGCGCTGCACTTGCTATTGCGTCGGACGACCCGCTCGCAGAACTTGACGAAGCCCCCGGTGTCTCCTCGGCCGGTTGTTGTGGCGGCGCGCCACTCGAACTAGTGTTATCATGGCCGTCAACGTCATCATCTCCTTCTCCGGCAGCTGCAAGGGGCAAGAGGTTTATTTTACGGACGATTCTACCGGGGCGTCTGGCCCAGGACGCCCATTGCAGCGTCTGAAGCTCGCCTTCGGTCAGGCCCCTGTAGGAAAAGTCTCTCAGCACAGTATGGATCTGCTCGAGCAGGCGGTCTTCAAGCGATACGCCCTCCCATCCTTTGTTACGTCCGTTCAGGTGTGGTGCGTCATACCAGTCGACGTCCACCTCCTGCTCCGGGTTCTCGTCCGGCTTCAACATTAACGCTTTCTTGAGCAACCGCGTTATTTCTTGACTCCCACGTAGTTGTGCCTCCCCGACCCCGAAGGTTTTGAAATACATGTCCCCCAAGACACCGAGTTCGTCATTGTGTTCCGATATGCTCACTGTTTGCCACCCAAACGCCCTCCACGCGAACTGCTGCGCGTTGACCAGGCGTTTCTTGGTTATCACGACCTTCAGTGCAGGGTAACGGCCAACTACCACACGGCTGAATATTTTCGGCTGCTTTACTCCGGTCTCTCCTTCCGGTTGGTTTTCGATCGCCTGCGGGCCTGCACCTTGTCGACGTATTTTATTCATTGCTGCACCAAGGAAACCTATCTTGGCTGCCGCCCCCCGGATCCACCCAGCGGAGACTTGTTCTGACAAGCCAGCAGCAGTCGTGCCTGTAGTTCGAGTTTGTTGTTCCGGTCCCACGCTTGTTCCACCAGCAGCAGCAGTAACTGGAGGCTCTTGCTGTTGCTGCTCCACCTCACCGCTGTCCGATGGTCGTACAGCCTGCTTTCCAGTTGTCTGTTCGACCTGCCGATGTTCTTCCATCAGCATAAAATTCTCGAGTAGATCCGCAACCAATACTATCCGAGTGCACAACGCGTCCCCCTCCCGATCTCCTGGCGTCATGGAAAAACGCACTTGCAGCTACGTGCTTGTAGACGCTGAGCTGCTAGTTCTAGTGACTTCAATTCCTAATTGCGAGAAGCTACAACTACTACATTCTTCAAGTGGTTGTACTACTAGTAAACAGCGCAGTAGGTACAACTACTACAACTGTCCAAATAGGTGTAGTACCAAGTCCAAGATTTCTTGTTTATTAAATGCAAATCACCATGGTGGTCAACATGATCTCTTGTTGTTGTTTAATTATGGAAAAATCACTACAGCCCTCGTCTTCTCTGTTGCTGTCCGTGTTTTATTTCACACGAGGAGGAGGAGGTGGAGGACGAGTTGTGGCCTATCATAATTACCGCCCTGACTTGTCTTACGGCCGTACCTCGGGAGAACGCGCACCTCACGGTCGCAGGTCCTGATACTCCTGTATCCGTCTGACTATCATCTGGAACAGGAGCCGCTGGTCCTCGTGAAGCTGCACGAGCAAAAATCTCTGATTCCGCTTGCGCGTCTGCTGTGGCAAAATCGCTGCGAAGAACGTTTTCGAAGATTTCGATCAGGTCTGTCTCCTGTTGCATTCTAGATTTCTCGTCGTCCAAGCTCCAGTATTCCGGCAGCAACTGTATCTTCTCGGGCTCTTTCTGACTTGCACCAGCAGCGGCGCCTTCAGTAGAGCTCGTAGCAGTAGTACTCGAGGCTGTCGCTGACGTCGACGTCACCAGCATCTTTTTATGCAGTTCGCGCACTATGCGGTACTCGAGCAGCCCACGCATATCGGCCTCCTCCTGAGTCATTTGGCTGACGTCCTCATCTTTTGCCTGTTCCTCCGTCAGAAACGCGGTCTTTCGTGCCATCCACCAGTCCGGGCGAAGAAATTTGGCCAGAGCCCGCACTGCGCTTGTGGCCACAACCGAACGGTGGCGACTCGATTCAGAGGACGTGGACGGCACACCTCCAGGGGGAGCACCGTCGCTGTTATTTTTCATCCGCTGGTGTCCTCGTGTGTTGTCGGGGGATAATACAGACAGGCGGTCCAAGAGGGATGAAGCAGCAGACTTCGGCTTCGCCGCGACACAGCGGGCGAACCACTCCGTTGCGAGCCTGAGAGTGGCGAATTCTCTTACGAGTGCGTCTTGATGCTGCCGCAAAGTATTGGGATCCTGTCGGAAGACGTCCTTGCTGGAAAGAAGATTGTAAAGAATGTTGTCATCAAATTCACCATTTGAGTTCATAGCGCCGTGGTCTCTAATTCCGCTGTGCAACCATTCCTCAAACGCAGCAAGGGCTCCATAAGGCGATTTTTGACAAAAAGGATCGCGATTCGGCTCTCTGTTCACGGCCTTCTGGCCTCCAAAAGGATTATTTATATTTTGGGCGATGTTGCTGAGAGCCGCGCCTACACCTGCCGCAGGTTTTGGAGGAGAAACTGCAGGAATTGCCAGCGCAGCACTGTCTTCCGCTTCTTTTTCCTTGGCTCGCTCCAGTGCAGCGGCTGCCATCTCCTCCCACCGGTTCTGAATCTCAGTGGTCCTCGCAATCTGTTCCCGTTCTTTATCAAGTGCGCTTTTCCCTGCGGCAACTAATTGCGCCTCAGTCAGAGTCGCCCAGCGGTTTTGATTCCTCGCGGCGAGACGTGCCTTCTCCCGCTGCTCCTTCCTCTCCCGCCAGCGTTGCTGAAGCTTGTTCGCGACTTTGGCCTTTGCAGCAGCTTCTCGTTGTTGCTTTTCTTCTTGTTCGAGCAAACGACGCTCCGCTTCCTTCCGTCGTGCTTGCTCCTCCGCCAGTGCGGCGCGTTCTCGTTGTTGCTTTTCTTCGTCTTCGAGCGCACGACGCTCCGCTTCCTCCCGTGCTTGCTCCTCCGCCAGTGCGGCGCGTTCTCGTTGTTGCTTTTCTTCGTCTTCGAGCGCACGACGCTCCGCTTCCTCCCGTGCTTGCTCCTCCGCCAGTGCGGCGCGTTCTCGTTGTTGCTTTTCTTCGTCTTCGAGCGCACGACGCTCCGCTTCCTCCCGTGCTTGCTGTTGCTCCTGCTCCGCCAGTACCCTTAACTTCTCGCGTGCATCGTGTCCCCGCAAGGCTGCCTGAATTGTGGCCTTTGCAGCAGACCGCTCTCGCTCTTGCCTTTCCTCGTCTTCGAGAGCGAGGGCCACTTGGCGTGCTCTTATCAACTGCAAATATGTCTGGTTCTTTGTCTGGACGAATTTCAGTGTGCAAACTTGTGATGCTAAAACAACCGCGCCGACATTGCCATTGTCGATTATCGCTGGGGATGCGCATTTTGGATCAGCCTCAGCCAAAAATTTTTGATGCATGCGCGGCGTGAAGGTGTGATGATGATCCTAGGGTGTTGTAATTGCACTAGCCCATTTCTTGCTTATCAAAATCAGAGATACATGGCAAATGACATCCGCTAGAACCAGGCATATACATCATCTTTGCCATGCGTAGCCGTCTCTGCTGCACGACGTTCCTGTGCTTCTTGCGCAGCCCTTGACTCTAACTCCCCGCGTGTCTTATATCCGCGCCAAGCCGACTGAATCCTCGTGGCCTCTAAATCTTGCATGAGTCTGAGTCCGACTGCCTCGCGTCTGACCGTCTCGGTTGGTGGTGGCGGTTTTGCAGGAGGTCCCCCGAAGACCAAGCGACGTACCATGTTTCGCACCGCTTCCTCGCGTCCCTTCTTCCGCCGCCAAGCACCCTGAATCTTCTTTGCTGACAGGTCTCTCTTTGCTATTGCAGCCAACAATGCGTTCAGATAGCCTCTCGCAGCAGGACGCGCTGACGCTTTTGCCGGTGGCGCGGACGGTGGACCTGTGTAAGGTGGTCAGAGTTGTTCAACAAGATTATTGTTTACAGGTACACGTACAATCTGCATGATGTATAAAGATCTAGTTCTCCGATATGAAATTTTCAAAGGCAGCTGCACGGCAACCGACGAAGGAACTCAAACAGATGGAAGGTGGCTATGTACAACGAACCAACGTACATATAAAGCCTTCTATGCAGGCGAGCCACACAATTCCAAGAAATTTGTCTATCTTCACTTCTATCACATTATCTTAGTAAGTACCTGTTCGCGGCTCTAATGCGGGGTTACTATTGCCCCCAACATTCGGTCGCGCGCCACCACCTCCTCCTCCACCACCACCACTACTACCACCACCACCACCTCCTCCTCCACCTCCCCCTGCAGGTGTAATAGGCGGGGGAACTGGAGGAAGACCCGGCGGTGTGGTAGGGGTTGGACCAGGAGGAGCAGTGGGCAGCGGCGGAGGAGGACTTGGAGTTGGATTGCCGCCCGCCGGAACTGCGGCCGGCGCAGGTGGAGCAGGCGGAGTTGCACCAGTACTCCCCGGACCGGCCGGAGCGCGGCGTACTCGGGCGCCACGCCACACCCGTTGGAGGCGTAGCGCGGCGTTTGCGTTTCGTTGATGCTGCAGTCCTCTCAGTCTGGCGACCCTCCGCCGCGCAAGTCCCCCGCGAACCCCGGCCTGTAGCCTCGTGGCCGCTACCGCCTGGTTCTGCTGGGGTGGCGGTGGCGGGGGAGGAGGCGGAGGAGGCCCCCCTCCGCCGTTGTTTCCGCCCGCGTTTCCGTTATTGTTCCCACCGTTGTTTCCACTACCACCATTGCCACCACCGCCGTTGTTGCCCCCGTTTCCGTTATTGTTCCCACTGTTGTTTCCAGTGCCACCATTGCCACCACCGCCGTTGTTTCCACTGCCACCAAGAACCGTAGTACAGCACGCCGACGCGATCGTGCCTGCCTGGATGGCATTTCCAGGGTTCACGGGACGGTTTGCCTCGGGCTTGAACCACGAGACCAACGTGGTCGAAGGGTGGGTAACGGGGCTCAGCGAATGAAGACCAGAGGTGGGATCTGTCTGCGCTCTGCAGAACTCACTCAGGGATCTTCCGTCGGAGAACGACACGTCAGTACACGGGATCGGGGACCGGACGGGGGTGGGGGGTCGTTGGAGCTGCTGATGTTGCGGTGAATTTAGATTTACTCCGCTGTTGTTTGCTCCATTGTTATTCGCTCCATTATTGTTCGTGCTCCCGCCGCCCGCGGCACCGCCGCCGGGGAAGAGCGTGGTTCCACCCCCAGGGTGGCCCCCGTGCAAATTATCCCCGAAAGCGCCGTCCGCGGCCGGAATGAAGCAACAGGCGCCAGCCAGGTCTTGGGCCACTTGGTTCTGTTGCTCAGCCGTTCGCTGTTGCTGTTGTTGGAGATCAGCGGCTCTGCCTTGTTTCCAGATTTTTGTGTTTGTAGTACCATTACCAGCCGCTCCTCTCTGTCCTGCTTTATCCGTCGCCCCGATTTCCTCAACCTTCTCCACGATCCAGGAGGGCACGCGTTCCCAGGGGGCGTCTGTGGCTTTCGAGTCCCCGAGCTTGGCCTTGCACAAGTCCTTCATTGAGTGGAATTTCAGCACAGGCCCGAATTTTTCTCCGACCAGTTGCTGGAGCCTGACATCACCGCAGGTCTGCTCTGCCGGGGCAGACACCGCCTGGGCCTGCGATCCGTACACGACCGCGACAGCGGCAACCGTGCCTACAACGGCTACGACTCCCGAGATCGCTCCGACCAAAAGCCAGGGTATCGTGGTCGCGGCGGCTGTGGCGGCCGCCCCACCGGTGGCTGCCGCTGCGGTCGTGGCTGTAGTACTGGCTGCTGCTGCTCCTGCTGCTGTTCCAGTGACTGCGGCTGCGGCATCCCCTCCTGCTGCTGCGCCGCCCGCCCCTGCGGCACATGCGGCTGGTGAACACCCGTTGGATGGCGTGTTTGCGACGGAGGTTGTGCTTTCATCGTGAGCAAATGCACCATCGTGAAACTCTTGTTCGTCCGGCAACATTTTGTATATTAGTAAGTTTTTTTTTTTCTGATGTTTTTACACCTGTTCGTCTGTGGTTTTATGTCCACAATTTCTTCTAGCGGTTCAGGTCGCAGGTCTAGTTTGTTATCTACTTGCTCCAATTTTTATTTTCTGTTCTGATAGTTGTACTGCAAGGACGAGGAGCTACAGCTAGACTTGTTCCCGTGGCGAATCGTAAATCGTATAGTAGTACAGGTCTTAGTTCCTAACTGGACGAGGAGCAATCATATACGTAAAAAATTTATTCTTATATTGTATAAGGCAGGGACAGACTGTCTGAGTTCCTAGTTTCGCGGTCTACCTTCAGATAGAAAGAAAAATTATTCAATTGTACAGTGATAGTGATACAAAGTTGATGTGTTTGAGCATGCTACAAATAAATAATCTTACATAATAATCTTGTTCGTTGTCAACACTTCAATCAAAAGGCAAAAACGGATCAACTTTGACAGTTAAAAATGCGGTTGTGGAGAGTTTGTTTCACGATTTTACAGTAAGTTGCTTGTTGATTTTACAGTATGATTGAAGAGTACGGCTAATAAAATTATAGCAGCACTAGAGGCGGTTTGCTGGGGTTAAAGATCTAAGTCTAAAAATCCATCGATAGGATGAAAGGAAACAATCCAGCGACTACAAAGTGGCCTCAACGACGGAAAAATTCTTTTATCAAAAACCTTCTGAAGCCGAACTAGTACTTCGCAGATATCCAAATCACCAAAAGAAAATCACAGGTATAGGTTGATCATAAGACTCCTCAGCCTAATTTGAATCACAAGGCTGCTCAACATACATGGGGGCTCAACCTGAAGACGTACATTAGGAAAGGAGGTCGACGTTCGAAAGCTATCAATACGGAAATCGTCGAGGAGAAATTGGCGTGGACGATCTCGCGGATCTTGAGCGGGATACCATGCACTAGCACTGCATGGAGGTGTCGCAAACATCCAAACCATTTTGACTCCGCTTTTGCTTGAGGCAGCTTTGTACAACTGTTCTAAAAATCGATCTCATTGAGTCGAAGAACCAAAACAGTCTTCTGCTTGTTGTTGAACGTTGTTCAGAACTCCGTCTTTTTCGATTTGTAGTACCACTTAGAAGATGATCTCGAAAAGCTCCTTCTTAGGCCAAAAACCAAAGAAAATAAGAAGATCTACTCAACATGATCGGGGAGGAGGTAGCTATGCCGCTGCAGCCTGAAGTAGACCTAGATGCAATTGCAAATAAGTGATTGAATCGCGGAACGTGTTATTCATATTACGTCGTCACTGAGTAACATGCGGTCGTGGAGGACTCCACCACATTCATTGTTCATGATCAAGGTCTTCCAAAAAGTTTTAGTTGAGCGGTTCTTCGCATGTTGGCAACTTCATCCTGCGTATTTCCATACCAAAATTCGATTTCTTCTGATGTCGCAGCAGAGGACCGCAACTAGATCATGTACAAGAAGAACATTTTACTTATCTATATCATGCAGGATGGGATGGATGCTGCGCCGCACAGAGTAACTATTGCACTTTCTCGTAGATTTTCATTTTGTTGACTACACGCACAATTCTGGCTTAATTTCAAGTAGGTGTGTTCGAAATCTATGATGTTTGACTTTGATGTGAACCAAATGCAAATTGTACAGGGCTACTTCGAAACATGAAAATCAAAATGTAAGTTTTCATAGAACCACCAGCTCCATTGTACAGGCGTCCGGGTGAGCGGAACATCAACCCTAAGACAGGTCGATCGTAGTTTTAGAAGACGGTAGTTGAACGGGTGGATGTGCTCGACAAGAACTAGGAATAATGGTGCTACTAGGAGAAGTTTGAGTTTCTCAACAATGATTATTCAAGGGGAGGCTTCACGACCTTCGGTTTATTGTTTTCATTTCTCGCAACAGAAACTTGAATTCCATTTCGTCAAATGCTTGAACGAACTGCGAAAAGGCAAAGGTCGCGTTTTTTCCCACCTTTAGGCGCAACCGGTCAGCACTTGCGGAGAATTCTTTCTTTATGCTGGTCTGATGAAACATTGCGGACTGCTCTTGTTCCGCCGTACTCCACCTATCGCGCGGCCCCGTCTGCGCCGCTTTGGTATTTATTCCCGTACTGCTTGCGGTGCTGGTGTTCGCATTATGAGTAGCTGACGAAGAACTTCCTGTAGAAGTAGTGGTCCCCACACTGACCAGGTACGCCTGCACATGCGGTTATCCAGAGGAAAAAAATCCTGTACACGCACAAATGGAAATGTTGCTGTTGCTTCATGTTTTCTATAACCTCATTCAGCATGACAAGTTCAATGCTTCACTCAAGATGGAACAATAAATTTGTCAGTACGCGTGGGCATTTTGTACGTGTGCAAGAACTACGGGAAACGAAAATGTTTTGTATTGCGTAGCAGACGAGCTCCAAAAAGGTATTTGCCGCGGGCGAGTCGATGGAAGGAGCACAACGGTGGGGCGTGCTGACAATGCTGGAAGAGCAGGAGGTCAGTTGGGTCGTTTGGGACAACCACAGGAGCTGCTGGCCCAGCAAAGAAGCCCGGCGACCCGGACTTCTTACTGACATAGTTTCCGTTTCCCGGACTTGTGAATGAACTTCCTGCTTCTCCGTTGCTGGTACAAGAACTCAGAAGGTTTAATTTCCTGATTCTTTCGCGGAAGTGCCAGATCGCAACGTCGGACTGCAGTACCTGCTCCCGCAGCCCGGCGAAAATTTCTTCTTCCTTTCTTAAAACTGCGGCGTGGTACTTCCCGGAGTACTTCTGGAGCTCCTGCAGGTTGTGACTCGCCTGGTACGCAAACGCGTGCGCCTCTTTTCGTAGGGCGTTGCGGCTTGCGACGCTTGCTGGAAGATGACCTACTTGGGCAGAAGAAGTACCTCTAGCAGCCGTAGTTGCTTGATTTGCATCTTCTTCTTCATGCAAGAAGTTGTCCTCCAGCAACGTCGTCGGTATTTCAGTTACATCTTCATCGAGTTTCGCTTGCAAATCCTGGGATTTCTCCAGGAGGAGAGACTGTTTCAGTTCCAACTGCCGGACCTGCTTTTCGGTGGTTTGCTGGCGATTTTTGATCTGACTTGGTTGTTCCGTTTGTGTTGTGTGACTCTTCGTGAGAGCTCCTGCTGTTCCCGTGGCTGCAACATCTTCGTGTTCGACGTCCCACTGAAGATGATCCGAGTCATCTCTTTGCATGTTTTCGAATGCCTGCCCAAATGCGCGGACCTGATTTTTGGTTTAGTGATTTTTCGTATCATCTAGTTCTGCTCTCATGGCCATGCTACTTCTACAGTACTAACACATGAAGTTGAAAATTGATCGGCCGACCTGTACTCTACTCGCTGCCTCTTGTTCAGCAAGGAAGAGGAACCACTACCAAAATACAAGTGCGACTTCTTGTTGCATTACCTTTTCCCCAACGACTTCACTAAGCCGTGCGTTTTCCGCTTCCAACGTTGCAGCTAGACCTTTTAATCTCTCCATCCGCTCCACCGAGCGACGCGCACCTTCTGCACGTTTTTCACCGTCTAGGCTATTTCTTTTCACCCTTGCAAGCTCCGTCCGCAGAGATGTTTCAGCGTCTTCAATCTTAGCCAGAATTCCGTCTTGCTGCTTTCGTTCTTCCTGCAGATGCTTGGTGTGTTCTTTCAGGTTCTTGCAGAGTTGGACAGAGATTGGCGGGAGGTTGATATGAGGTTGAGGTGTAGTCCCTGTCGTGTCAAGCAGAGTTGTACCAACTACACCATCTCGTTGATTTTTACCATCAGTAGCCCCAACATGCATCAGTGCCTCCCATTCCTCCTCCTTCGACTTCCGCAACTTCTGTGCTTCTTGCATATCGAGTGTAAAAGTGTCTTGGTCTGGAAGAATGCGCGATTTGTCATGCAGCTTTCCCATGACCAATGAAGCCTGGAATGTAGGACCTAACATGACAGATTCTGTGCGATCTCTCTCATGCCTATCCTACATGACAAACTCCCTCCCGACTTGGTCAAAACTGGACGACTTTTGGTAATCATGCAACACAGATTTTTGCATGCTTCAGATCTAGCATGACAAGTTGCATTCTTCCAGACCCAGACATTTTTACATTTAATATTGCAATTGTGTTTTCCATTTTTCCTCCTCCGAACAGAGTCCTTGATTCTCCACCATGCCGAGCTCCAACCGCTTCTCGTTTTTCGTGAATTCTTCATTTAACCGCTGCAAGACAGCCTCCAAAGTCGACACATTGTCAACAAATTCATTGCTTATGCTTTCCTCCTTGTTGCCCGCAATAAACACGTCGTCGTGCTGGGTCGTTGTACTACTAGTACCCTCCGCGGCAGCTCCCGCAGCTTCGGCCTCGCTGATTCGCCTGGACAACACCCTGATCTGCTCCTCGTTCTCCACCAGCCGCGCTTTGTGCCGCGCGAGCAGTCGCTGGCGCTCCGTGGCAATTCGGGAGCGCATCCACGCAGCATGGCGGGCGGTGAAATCGGCCTGATAGAAATTAAAAGTCGATGGGATAATTTTTCCAGGTGCGGTAATGGTCACCACTGCTACTTACAACAGGTAAGTACCCCGCCATGGAGACGAGATGAACAAGCATAGCAAGCAAGAAGATCATTCACAGGTGCCGGATCTGGTGCAGGTGCAGCACCAATTTTGCATTTCAGCAAAGAACTTTATTACGTTTACGGAAACAAATCTATATCTAAATCTATACGTCCTCCAGCGCAACCCTTTTCCCTTGCAAAGCCGCGGTAAGAAACAGCTGGTTCCAAGCGATTTTCCAATCTGTGTCCGACACTTGCCGCTGCCGGATCTTGCTATCGGTATCGCTTGTCAACAGATTCTGGCTCTTCTTGACGGCTTGCACAGCACAGCTGTCAACACCAGCAGTTCGATGCTCTTGACCGTCGCCGTTTAGTGTCGAGTCTGTTCTAGTACTACTTTGTTGCAGGGCGTCTTTGGCAAGAATATCCAGTATCTGTTGTTGTTCCACGGGAGACCCATTGGCACTGCCACTGGGCGTGCCGAAGGAGTGGTTTCGCAGCAGATCCGAAAACCTTTTCAGCAATGCCTCCATCTTCTTTTCCTGGCCCGCCGCCCGCATGGCCAGCTCCAGCTCCGATTCTTTGAGTTTCGTGAAGAGAAGTTGTTCTTTCTGTTTCAGCAACGCAATGATGCGCTCGAAGGGTTCTTTTTGCACGAGGAAGAAATTTCTCATCGAGGGTGGCGTGGTCGACGTTGACCACAAGGCGGAGTCGTGATGGTGTGAAGAAGCTGCTCCGTGGTCTAGTGATGCTCCGCCTCCTGCTTCACAGAGCTGTAAACTGTTCGCAACGTACTGTTGGTAAGCTTCGAAGCGAAGCAGCGCCTCAGCATCCACCAAGCTGTCATGCTCGGGAGCCGGAGCTGCACGTGGATCTAGTGAAGTTGTCTTCGGAGATGCTTTGTTCACCGAAATCAGCATTTCGACCTCAAGGTCTCTGTCGTGAAAAACGTTGCGCAATTCAGGAGGAAGAAAAGCTGCAAAAGAAGAGGACGACTCCTCGGTGGATGATGTCGTGGGGAGATGACCTCCTCGCGGGTCATCGAAGAGCTCCACTCCGCTTCTCAGTTTCAGCAAGTGAAACGCATGGTCGCTCGCGCGATCCAGTCGAACCTCCAAGGAGCCGAAGGGGGTCGCAATTGCTGGGCGCGTCGGAGTAAAACTGAAACTGGAACCTTTCTGCGCCGACCCTGAAAAATGACTACCGTTTGATGCCTCCTGGTCGTGTGCCGCCGCGATGAAGTCGCAGCCTTCAGGAGGAGTGAGAATCCCGATTTCAAAGTAAAACGAAACCTCCGAATTGTCGAAGGTCAACTCGGCCTGCTCCGTACTGCAAAAACTTGACGTTCCATCGTGGAGGTCGGAGGGTGGGGCTTCGTTATTTTTGCCCCAATTCACAACTTCCTCGTTCTCGATGACCTCCAAAATTTGGGCCCATTTACTTCGAAAACCGCCTTTGACGGCGGAAGTAGACGTCGACGTACCGGGTCGTGACTTGTTTGTAAAAGCTGCCCTGTCGCTCGACGCAGCACGAAAACCGATCCGGGACAAATCTCGCACCGGCGTGCCGTCAACGAATATGCCTGTAACGATCGCACTGCAGGACGACAGCTGCGAGGCCGCCGGGCTGCCTGAGCCTGGCTGATCGTCGTGCTCGAATTGTTTTTGTTGCTCTTTTTTCATCGTGTTGTCCTCGTGTTGACCCAGATGCTCTCTACTTCCCCGGGTATTAACTACTGTGGTGTGGCGTCCGACCGTAGTTCGCTTCCGTGGTCCTATAGTAGCGTGCTGCGCAACCATTTTCTTTACCGTCATGATTTTAGCGAATTCTTGCTCACCGTCTTTCTAACCCGAACCGCATATTTCACTGTTCTACTTCCCGTTCTGGGCTCGTTTTTAAGGGAAGAAATTCAAAAGCGCCACACGACGAACACGATTCCTTCGCGTTGGTCCTCGCGAGGTCATTTGCCTTCTCTCCTTTGCAAAAAAAACAACCACGATCCATCTTGCCCTGCGTGAAACAGACAGCGACACAAAATCAAAAAACGCGGGCTCATCAAAAATTCCAAGATGGGACAATGACAGGCATGATCATGAAGATGCTGGAACGATATAATTTTCTGAGGAGACGAACCAATAACATCGTCGCGCTTGTATCATATCTAGCGCACGCACCAATAAACTGCTGATGTGAAATAGCAAAGCACCATCACAAGAAAATCCATAATACTGTACTCATCTTGATCATCTACAACTTTCTTTACGAAGAAGTATGTTACACGCATACAGAGGTTGGTTGGGATCCAAATCATCTTCAGGGTTTTTATCACACACCTATACGTCGTGAAGATGTTCGGCAAGGATAACCGCGCTTGCGCTATTCGCGTGGTGGTCCTTTATTCTCATGTGTTTATTTGTACGTGAAACAAAAGTTTAGAAGCAAAAGTTATAGGAGATTTTTGGTGTCGCATTGCTATCCACCGCGGAGTATGTGGGGGGGAGCGGACGTCGTCGTCGAACCAATGTAGTATAAGGATAAGATAAACTAAGCGTCAATCTCAACATCCATGATGAAGTCAACTACCGCACTTCGTTCTTTTCAGGTGGCGCCACCTCCACCAGCACCAGAACTGTCATTTTCTTCAGCACTGTCAGCGCCAGGAGCTTTATCTACCCCCAAGGACAATAGCGGATCTTCGTCGACGAAGAGTCCCATGGGGCCGGAGGTGTAGCCGAGAAGACTCAGAATCATGACGTATTGCGCTACGCCCATGCTGCTGCGGAAACTGGTTTGGTCGCTGAACAGGAAATATCCTGTGCAAGAGTATCGTACTAGTATAAATCGCAATACAAAGTAGCTCAGCATATACAAATTTGAATTTGTAATGCTGATTTACGTTAACAACTAGATTTGTAATGCGTATACTGCAATTAGTACGAGTACGATACTTTTGCAATGCATAGGAAACCCGTGAAGGAGACCGCGATGGTTATGCTCGACCACATGTGCATTGCAAATATGTCTGGGTCTGCAAGACAGTAACTTGTGATGCTACCTCTGAATCATTCTAAAGTCTGTATTGCATGAATGCCAAAAGCTGTCCACTTTTGACCAAGTTGGGAGGCGATTTCTCAGGCAGGATAGGCATGACAGAAACCTGGCAGAGTTTGTCATGCTAGGTCCCGCATTCCAGACCATATGGGTCATGGAAAATCTGCATGACAAGTTGCATTCTTCCAGACCCAGACATATTTGCATTTGATACCATACGGCGCAGGCACCAAAGCCCATCAGGATCAGCCACAACCGTCGCTGTGCAGCATGCGCATTGCCCCGCGAGATGGCAGGGAGGGCGAGTAGTTCTGGTTGTGTACTAGCGGATGTGGAGTTCGGAAATTCTGCCTCGTTTACGTTCTTGCTGCCCTTGCTCATTAGAGCAACATCCCCCCTGGTGGAGTCACGCAAAAGCTCGAAATGCAGGCGATTTCCTTCGGGAGAATCAACATCCAGTGCCACATCGTGCAAGCCGCGCTGCGACGTCGGCGACATTGTTCTATCGTCTGGCGAAACGTTGACGCGATTTTTTCCCGTATAATTTTCATCCGTTGCAAACAGGTTTGTCGCGGTCAATTTTGAAGTAGAGTCGACGAAGTCGAAGCCATCATTATTTTCTTCACCCTGGTTCAAAATCTTCCCCGGTCGTAGGTGCTGGTCCAGCGGCGTTGCTGCCGAGGCGGGCGTTCGTGGCAGGCTCTGCTTGCTGTCTGCGATGTTGTGGCCACCGTCATGTCCACGTAGACCTGTTCCGCCGTGGCCGCGCGAGGAAGGGCTGGGCTCCCAGAATTCTTTGTTCTGATCACCCGGGAGCAGCGAGGGAGCGGTGTTGGTTCTTGGTTTTTGGGCCGCATCTCCTCCTAGAGACGACCTGTTCGTCGCATCTGCGTTGAGGATGGATGATCCTTCCGTACTATTCCCGCCGCGTCCTGTTGGCGTAGTGTCTAGAATCAAATCCATCGGGTTCTGCAGTCTACGCGCGGCCTCTGCGGGGGCTACGGATTCCTGTGTAAGAGCACCGTCAAGAAGAACATGTAGTTGTCCACCCCGTTGTCCATCGTCTATTGCTGTTTTCATGTCCTCCTCCTTGGATCCGGAGTTCGGCGAAACCGCATGATCTTCCCACACTTCAACCACGGCGGGTGGTCGCGACTCGACATCTTCCCCACCAGCGCTACTAGTTGGTCCCGCGAGAGTACTCGAATGTTCCTTGAGAGGCTGGAGGTTATTTCCTGGACTTGAAACCTTCTCGCTATAATGATTCTGGTCGTCGTCGTCGTGAAGCCCGACTGCATAGACGTTCTTGCTGGTACTAGTTCCACTATAATTTCCACCCGGCTCCATGACCGCTTCACCGCTCGTGCTGAACGATGACGAAAATGACGTCGCACCTCGTCCTCCTGCAGTTGTAGTAGTCCTCGTCGTCCTTTCAAACTGAAAGAAGAGCCCTCGCATCAGCCACCACACGCCAAACACGTGCACGGATGCCGCGAAGAAAAAGGTCTGCGCGGCTACAGCGTGCACGATGAGCTGGAAGCTGTTCTCTTATCCTGTGCAAAACTATCGCACTCGTAGTCATCGCAGTTATGCACTACAAATCTAGTTGGTTAGGTAAATCCGCATTACAAATTTGATTTGTAAGGCCAAGCCAATTTGTATTGCGATTCATACTAGTACGATACTTTTGCGGTCCATATCTCTTGCGTGTGCACGAAGTTCCCCTCTGCGTCCTCCATCGCCTTCTCCGGCCAGGGAAAAAACGCGAGCAGAAACAACCCGGTAGCGGAAATCAGTAGCGCTTTGTGGTTTCGCTGGATCGCCAGCTCCGCTTCGGGCCGCGTGAAGAGAAACTGACTCTGGTGTTGCGTCGGAGCAGGTTGTTCATGGGTTGTACAACTTTCAGCCGCGCGCGCTGTTTCTTCCTGTGGCTTGCTGAGCCCAACGCAAACCCAAGTCTGATTATTTTCGTCTGGCAGGTCCTCCTCTTGATCTTCGTGATCTTGCTTTTCTCTGCCACTATCGACTGCACCACCAGCTCGTGCCTCCTGCGGCCTCCGCGGAATGGAACAACAGCAAGGTTGGGCTTGCACCGAAGATGTTGAGCGGTTTTTTTCACTTTTCATCTGCCCTGCTGCTTCCCGCGTTTTCCGGTACGGAATGTCGTCAACAGTCGTCGACGCCTGGCTTACCGTTCCGGGCGAGAACGGGGTGATGCTGGGCTGCGAGTTGTTGATGTTGGCAAGTGAGATGACAACCTCTCCCCCACGAGGATCCCCGGGTGCATCTTCGTCACGGCCAGCATCAGGTGGTGGGCTATTCCTCCGTCTCTGCTGCAGCTGCTGGGCCCGGGTTGAAAGACCACCGACAGCGCTTCGACTCGTGCTCGACGACGACGGCCCACGGGGTGCATGAAGATGCTGACCTTGTCGTACTGCGACCAAGCAATTTCTTCGGGGGCTCGCGGTGGCAATTATTGCTTGAACTCGGGGCTGTAGCGAGCGCCGCCGCGAAGAGCAGGAGGATGAACAGCTATTTTTTCTCTTCAAACCCACGACCCGTTGCAGCTTCAGATTGATCACAGGATCGTCGTCGTAATTACCCTTATCATCCTGTGCAAACGTATCGTACTCGTAGTATTTGCGGTCACGCATATACAAATCTTTTTGTTATGGTAAATCCGCAATACACATTTTATTTCTCATGCTGAGAAAATAATTTGTCATGCATTTATACGAGTACGATACTTTTGCAGTTCATACTTATCAATTTGTGCTGACGCGGCAGCTGTTCCATACTTATCACCTTTGTTCTTCTTCGTCGTCGTCCCAACGGTCGCATCTTCGTCCGGAGGCGCTATCGTTGAAAAGGAGACTCCTGCAGTCGTCTCGTCATCAATAACACGACCTTGGTCAGCGGGGGCTGAAGCTGAACCTGCTGCAAAAAATCTTCCAAAAAGCACTTTCTCGTCCACATCTTCCAGCAGCGCCACGGCCTTCAAGTGGCGCGCTCGGATAAAGAAGCTCTGCAGCACGATGCCGAGACTGATGCAGGAGAAGCAGATCAGCGTCCAGTAGCGCAGAAACACCGTTTTGGTAAACAACAAACTTATCGGCGGTGTGCCGACCCCGGGGGTTTCGGGAAACACCGCCTCGGACCGGTTTTCGCGGTCGCTGTTTTCGATGCGCGCGATGACCTGGATCACGGTCAAACACGGGAAGGCGATCAGGGCGACCGCGAGGCTGGTCAGCTTGATGTTGCTGTTGGAAAGTGGTTGTGCAGTGGTCGAAGTACTAGGTGCAGTAAAACCACGCGGCTCCGATACTTGTTCCTTCATCTTGGATGTAATATTGTTCTCACTTTCATCTACATGATCACATGCAGTGGTTGTAGGAGGACTCTCTAGTACTGTCTCTTCTGGTGAGGTAGCATTCTCAGACGAGCTTAGCATTTTTTTTGGTGACGCAATGGGATGATTTGCGTTCGCCATTCGTGGGAAAAAGTAAAAGAAAAAGAAAACACGAATGGTAGATGTGCTGCTCTCATCATCCAGATAAAATCTGCCCCGTCGCGACCACGCAGAGTACGTGCTCAGAGTCAGACGTAGGAGATTCTTGTTCTGGCTTAGGTTTTACAAGATAAATTTCCACAAACCGGAGCGGAAGTAGACATCAGAAAACAAAATTTGCTTATATGCTTTGCGACATCACAATGATAATGGTCATCCTCTACAGAAGACGCGCAGTTCCGATAGATCCTATACGGACGACGGACTTTATCTTTAGTTACACTCAGTTTCTGTTTTTTTTTTTTGCTCCGTCGTGTCTAGTATGCTTATGCACCTAAAGTTGTAAACTTCGCGCTCAACCTCCATCATACTCCTAATAGGATTGGACCTGGCTGGGCGCATGGTGGCTCAGCTTTTGTTCATAAAAAATGCTGCAAGAAAGCCAAGATATTGGAATGCCCTCTTTTCGCTCAGCATGTTGTAGTAGTACGACATACTATCGTCCGATATCCCTCTCTGTTTTTGTGTGCGCTTATGCTCCTTACCCTTAGCCTTGTTTGCTGCAATTTCTGATCCTTGCATCTCCCTAAGTACTCTCATATATGATGTATCAGTACTATTACCCAACCGCAACCGCACGGTTTGGGTGAGTGACCACGCTGCCCTGCTCTTGAGGCAGAGAGTGGCGAACACGAGGATGTGCAAAAAGCATATGTGACACATGTCCAGGCCGTGTGTCCAGGCCGTGAGGCACATACTCCTCCAAACGTCTTTACCACTCAGGTGCGTGCAAACTATCTTCTAGGCAGCCGTAGTTCATCGTACCTTCGCTATGCTGTATTCTCAAGAGTAAAAGCAAAACTATACGGGAAGCTCCTGCTTCGTCGTGCCCCCGTGCGACGACCGAGTCGCACGAAGTTGTTGCAAATAAAAACAAGTTTTACTGTGTCCTTTCCTTATTGTCTATATTGAAATTCGAAGTGGCTCTGCTTGCTCGGCCGCGCTACTTATTTGAAGTTGTCCTACCTAAAATCATAAAGTCGGATCATAGTAGAAGTCCACGTAAGACCCTGACTCTCTCTCTAGATGTGATGCGCATATCATCCCGCGAGGTCGAGGACGGCGTCCATCGTTAATATTTTCGCTAAGTGTGCAACTTGCTATATTCATACTCATACTCGTGGTGTTCCGCATCATTGCGCGGGCGTAGCACAACTTCAACTTTCTCTGTGTGAGGTTCATTTTCCACCCGCACGACCCTTCAAAGTTGATGTACAAATTTGATGTTCATCGGGACATCAATACCCCAAAAACATCACCATCTGTGAACTTCTCCGCAAAAAAACCTTTATTTCTTCTCTGATTTTGTTCATCAATAATCTTTTTATTCCGGTGCAACTACTCCCCCGAACTTGCTCATCACTTTTTCGGGGTAATCTTCATCATTTTTCCCTCGGCTAAAAACTTCTTGAGTGTCGCGGGTTTGTGCTGCCCCGAGCGGGCAGTAACTTCCGGCGTGTCGCCGCCACCCACATTCCAAAGAATTTCCAGCTTGTCCGTCTTGGACATGCCTTCCGGGACGAATTCGTACCTGTGAGGATGAGGAGCAAGTAAATTTCAGTGGAGAAGGGGTCGTAATGGATGTAAAACTAAAAGTACGTCTCAACATGTCCGTGTGCATAACTACGTGCTGAAAGATCACCAGCCATCAATAGTTAGCACAACAGGAAGAAAGTTGTACATAGAACGAAACAAGAAGTTTGTTCCTATACATTCCCGCCCCATTCGGTTTGATTGGCCCGGTTGGAGTCTTCACCACCTTTCCAAAGCTTCCCTCGTGGAAAATCAAGTCCTCGCTCGCGAAGAACTTTTGCCAAAAGCTCAGGGTGTTTCCCTCCCTGTTCACGTAGATGTAGTCGTTTTCCTTTAGCGCAACCAGGTCGCTGCGAACGTTGGCGAATTCCGTAGCCAACTTCTTCATTTCTTTCTCGTCAAACTTGATGGCGTCCTTCAAGTCGCCTTCGGGGGAGAGGTAATTCATGAGCTTTCCCAGTACGTCATACTGGATGAATCCCGCACCGGCAACCATGAAAAGAGCACCATGTCTGCAGAGTTATTTATTTTCTCATGATAGATGTTGAGAGAGAGAGAGAGAGAGAATTAATACGAGTAGCTCTGGTCCTCGTGCAGCTCCTCTTGCACTCTTTCATTCATCTTCTTGAAGAAGATATCAAAACGAAAACTCTACGGTCATTCTTCGCGCCCTTATTTATCGGTATTCTTTTTCCATTTCCGGCATGCCAAAATCCAGAACTTAAAAACACAAAGCAAGCAAAATAAACAATCATTGAAATAAAAAATACTCCTGCATTTTTCGCTTCAGGTAGGCAGCCGCGTTTTTTTCCCAAAACGTTGAGGGGATGTAGTTGGCTAGCAGCTGCGCCGGTCCCTTCACCGGTATCCACAAAAAAACAACCATCACCACCCAATTTGTCATGCAAAACATGTATGATATCCTGTGTTTGTCATGCATAAAATGGATGGGGCTGGTTGTTTTCTCCTGGATAACCGGAATGGTGATTCTGTTCGAAATCGAAGGAATCCATTGCGCCATATACTGAACACTTACTTGCTATGGAAGCGTCAGGTTTGAAATCGACAAAGTTGAAATGATTTGTCATGCAAAAAATGGATGCCAGTTGGAGCCCAGTTTCCAAGCGGAGCATGACAAATTTTGGCGCTCCCTAAATCCAGTTTGTCATGCTGTTTAGGCAAAGAAGACCGATTTTCTCATGCTGCTTTAGCTGCTCGAGCTCTAGCCCCAAACAGGCTTACAATCGGCCTCACTTGCCTGCTCTGCAACGCACGTACCTCGGGTCATGCATTTTATGCATCACAAACAATTTCAACTCTGACGATTTCAATCCTGACGCTTCCATACTTGCTCCGGCGCCGCCTGCGCCGCGAAATTAGCGGCTGCAGGCCCAACAACTTTTCCTGCTGCATTCGCCACCACATTGGACAACAGATAGCTGGCAGCGACGACCCCGATGTAGCTGACCCACTGCAGGCTCCGGCGCGTCTTGTAATTCTTCAGCGCCCCAAAGCTGGACTTCAGCGCTGTGTCGAACCGCCCGCGCTTTAGCTCGCACTTCAGCTTCTGGAACGCACTGCCGTCGCCGCTGTGCACTTTCCGGGCGAGCTCCGTGGTTTTTCGAACAAAGTCCGCGCGCTTGGCGGCCAACCTGATGTTGGGCGTGTTTCAACTACATCCGACGATGAAGATTGTGAGTGCTGTCATCTTGTTTGAGTAATAAGCACCGCTACAACAGGATGAAGCAAGAGAAGTAGAAAATTGCGACTTATCCTTGCGCTGCGACTTATCCAGCAGCCAGTCGGTGGTGCTGATCGTATTTTGACTCAAGCTTCCACTTCCTCGAATTTATTTTTACATGCTACTTACTCTGGTCGTACCAGTTCCTTTCCTCAAGCGCAACTCCATCGGCCAGCTCGACGCGGTCTAATTTCTATCATATGTAAAAACGTCCCCGCCCCATAGTCAAGTTGGGAACTGAGCAACGCAAATCCAAAAACTTTGGGAGCCACGCATGACAAGTTGCAGTCCGTAGTGTAGTGCATGTTAGCAAGGACAACCGCGGATCACAAATCCATCTGCTCATCCTGTTTATAGCATTACAAATTGCAGAACGCGTTTGGAAATTATGCCTCTCATCATGGAGATACGCATTACAAGTCTTCCTGTAATCGCAAATCTGCATGCCAACTATGGGGGGTGGGGATGCTTTTCCTCACAATAATTTCCCGTCCATCACTACCGTCTCGGCGCGGGCGTTCCTGGCGATTATCCTGTGTAAAAACGTCCCCGCCCCATAGTCAAGTTGGGAAATCTGCAACACAAATCGGTAAGCTTTGGCTGCTGCGCATGACAAGTTTGGCCTCGTAGTGTAATCCTGTTTATCTTCTAGTTTGCCAGCATCACAGATCCAGCTTCTCATGCTGATTGGAGCATGACAAATGCCAAAACAAGACTGGAAATTGTTTCTCATGGCGCTCCGCATGAGAGACATTTTCACCATGCAAATTTGCATGACAACTATGCTGGGGTGGGGACGATTTTACAAATGATAGCGATGCCATTGTCTTCCTTGCGGTACAGCCAATCCGTCAAGGGCATGAACTCAGTCGTACCTGGTGCAGTGGTCTATGATCTTTGCCCCCAAATAAATAGGTGCTGAAGATCGATGAGCTACATCATGCTACGTACACTGTTGACCACCTGGTTCATCACAGCTGGATTCATCACGTTCTTCACGACAGTCTCGTGATCGGTTTCGTTGTACAAAATCAGATCAACTGCAACTCAAAGATCTTCATACACCGTTTCTGTCTAAGTCCTGCACAGGAACGACGTTGTTGTTCTTCCATATCCAGATGCACGAAATTATGAACCCCGGACAAAGTACCTCCAATAATCTATAGATACAACGACAACCTAGAAACAAATCCAAATACCATCCCGATCCGCGCGCGCATACACCCGGGAAGATTGGTACTTTCGGTAAGTAGCAGTGACGTCCAACAAAATTCTTGCGTGCAAAGCAGCCTGTTCGAAACAGAACTCGAGAATTTTCTGTCCGTCTTCCTTGTCCGCCAGAAGAAAAACGTTCTTGACCGCGCCGCGTTCCTGCACCCCCTTGACCGTGAACGCGGAAAACGCCGTTTTTTGCGGCCGTGGGACGTGCTTCCCGAGGAGGTAGCGTTTCGGGTTGAAAATGGAACGCGTTTGCTGTTCGCCGTTGCTTAAAGATCCTCGGGCGCGCTTTGCCGCCGGGGAAAGCAGCAGGGGGTCGTTCGGGTTAATCATGTTGCTGGAGAAGTGGTCCGCGCTACGCTTGGCGGAGGTCCGCGGCCTACATCCTGCGATCGGGCTGCTGATGGGAGAAGCCAACTGAGCATATGCATTGCAAAAGTATCATACTCGTATAAATGCATTACAAATTTACTCAGCACGAGAAATAAAATTTGTAATGAGGATCTGCCTCAAGACAAAGATTTGCAATGCATGAATGCAATTACTACGAGTACGATACTTTTGCAGTTCATAGAGCAACGCCAGCAGCCATGTCGGCCGGGGGACTCGCGGGCGCGGGGCCGGTGAGCTGTTATATGTTCTATGTGGATTGAGTTTTTAACGTAAAAGAATTATAAGAACTGAATTTCAGCTGCCCTGCGAAAAGATCTGGTGACTTTCGAAGTAGTAGAAGGCGTAGGGAAAGGATTCCAAAATGGGTTGGTAGCCTGCATGGGAGATGACGTCGTGTCCAGACAGATTGATACAGAAAGGAATGAAAATACTGTATTGTCGTCCAGGAGGGAAATTTCCTGCGTCTGCTCGTCTGCTTGCTCACTTGCAGGGCACGTCTCCGAACCTACGTCCAATTTTACCGGCACCATCAAAATGCGCTGGGATCGCTTCGCGGAAATTGGTTTCCCCGTTAGCGCCTCCTCGACCGTTTGCAGCTGCGCGAGCTCGCAGTGAACGGTCACGTTTTGCGTGCCGGTTGGAGTAGCAAGCCGAGATACCTGGGGCGATGAGGATTGATGTGCTGGTCAACACGTAGATTTTTCCTGTAAAAGTGGTGACAGAGTCCTGTCAATGACACTCACACTTCCTGCAAAATGGTGGTCAGCCAAGTCACGCTTGTAATTCTGTAAGTCTCCACCTGACCGAGTGCTAGATAAAACCGAGCGCTAGTCAGGTAAAACGAGCATCTGTTTTTTCGTCATCTTCACCGCTTTGCAGGACGTCGAGTACGGCACAATATATGGATTTCTTCATACTCTTCATCAGAAAAACTATGAACTTCCGGCAGTAAAGAAAGCAGACACACTAATCTCTTCTCCCTAACCAATATTACCCGTGTCTTCCACGCATTGAAAGCTTGTTTGCAGTCTGCGTCGGTGATGTAGAAGGTGGTTTTCTTTTTATCAAATGACTGCTTCAGCACCTCCTTCGTGTTTCGGCATTTGTGGCCGGACGGAAGTGAGTTCAGAAACTTTTTCTCGTACTCGGATTTCGTGACGTAAAGAAAGGTCGCTGGTTTCGCGGGATAGTCGACTTTCAAGGCAGTTGGAGACACGGGACCAGCTGCATTATCCTTGCTTCCAGAAGAGGAGGCCGCTGCAGCTGCCGCGTTTACAAGCTGTAAAGAACCTTGCGACGCAGCTGCCGCAAGGAAAAGCCTTGTCGTTGCTCCAAGCATTCCTTCTACTTGCGCAACTCGTTCTGGGTCACGAAGTTGCTTCGTTAAGTGTCAGATGCAAACAAAAAAAGAACGAGCTATGTCTTGAGCCCCAGATCCAGAAGTACAACTTCTATAGGGCGGACTCAAGGACGCCGGATGGCAAACAGAGGCAATACTGGTAAGTAGGCACCACTAAATCACCTAAGTAGATTGATAAATTGCAAAAGAGCCGGCTCAGCGAGGTTGATCCTCAAAAAGAGAAGATCCTTGTTGTGCCAACAAATCACTGAACCTGATGAAAAATTCCTGGAAATAAACTAGTGCAGAAACAGACAGGACAGAATGCAAATGCGCGGACTCATCAAGACACAAAAACGTCTGTCGCAGGAAAAGTGACATACTAAAGCGGATCAAGATCAACTACGCCCCCGTATGATCACCATATTACTCCATTCCGGAATATCAAATTAGACGCACGCAGAATGTGGGAAGTGACAAGGTCCAATCAAAAAGTTCGCTTTCCAGGGACGACTTCCTTGATGTTGTAGCAGATTTTATGCCAAATGATAGACGCAGATCGTCGCTCGCAGCAAGAGCTATGTCCAAGAGATCTTTTCTGATATACTTCGTTGGGCTTTACTAGGCGCGGCTGCAGTTTTCTTCTGGCGTACTACTTTCCGACTCAAGATCTACTTGGTCCTCCACCATGAAACAGGACTGCTCGATGTTGGCTGGTAGCAAATCATGATCTTCGGTGGTGGAATATTAAACAGCTTCACCATCTTCATGTCCATGGTGCATATCTGCTCGTCAGACGTCGTGGAAAGGGAAACCTGGAGGTCCTCTCCGATTACATTGTAGTTCAACCGCTCGAGAAAATTGATATTTTTGAAGTAGCTGTCCTTGTCAGTCTCCAGCCGAAGTAGAGCAGACATCCGTCATGCTGAATAAACATTCATTGGTCGTGCAATTCCTTGTTCATTCCGGCGGTGCGCATGGCAAAAGCGTATCAATGCTGTCACTAGTATCAAGAAACAAACTCCTCTTGATCTTCTTGCAGCAGGTATCAAAGTAAAAAATCTGTATTCTCAAACTCAGCTTTGGTGCGGCGAAAGATAGATGTCAATATCCGTTCTGACAGTTGTGCAGATGTTGTGTCCTCTTCGTAGCATCATCGACATGTAGTTCAGCTACCCATCAGCTGTCATGCTTCTACCCCGTAGCACCTACCCTCCTGCGCCTGAGCATTCTGATCTTTATTTGTGTTGAAATTGTTGAGATGTCTAAGTGTAAGTATTTGGAAAGCAGCGTCCTGGCACATAGCATAATATCGAAGAGCAACACGGATATGCACCAATGCATCCAGCATCATCCACATATACATAAGTCGCAGCGGCTTTTATCGTTCGGCTTTGGGTGCGTTGACCTTGGCGGCAATGCATTTTTGATGTTCCACGACGGGAATTCTATAACACCTGCATGTGCATCGAAAAAACAAAAACATAAAGTAAAACTATTTCTTCACTGCATATTAGAACAACTTCATTAGTAGATCTAGTTCTTCATTAGCATAAGTTACTAAGTCTGCGTTCTGGCGTAATATTCTATTCGTATTCACGTCTTTAGGTGTATTTTGTATCGTCAAAAAAAAAGGTGTATGGCTGTGGATGTTGTATTTCTAGCGCAGCAAGTGCTTCTCGCGTTCCAGGGATGATGAAAATTCCCTGCTTTGTCCATCATGATGTTTTTCTTAATATCCATCAACGCCAATCAACTCGGTCATACTTGACTCGGGAACTTCTACGCTGTCCCGTGCAAGCGCTGCAATCCGTGTCCTGCTATGAGCGCTTCCAAATCCGCTTTCGCAACGGAAACGGCGACCGGCTCAACGTCTTTTTTTCCTTTGACCGCGGGCGTGGTGACGAGGAGCGTGTATGCCTCGCGCCGCAGCCCCTGGCTGTTCGTCAGCGTGTCACCCACCTTGTTCTCGGCCGGCATTCCAACCACGGTGGCGACATTGCCCGCGTTCTGTTGGATGCGTTTTAGATTTTTGGATGAACAGGACGTCGTTTTTGGATGAAAACCTCAACCGCTGACAAGAATACGAAGAAGATGCACGGAATAAAGAGCACCACGCTAAAATAAGTAAGTACCAACTGCACGGCTTTCCTGGAGGAACCAATGAAGCTGCTGCTCCTGCTTCCGCTAGCGGCCGGCTGCAAAATTTTCAGCCCCCTCATGACGAGCAGCTTCTCTCCCTCCTTCAGACCGGCGGTGCGCATACCAGTTACGGTTTTGATCGCGTCCTGCATGGCCTTGTCGAATTCCTCCTTCTTCTCCTTTTTCTCCTGCACGACCTTGTTTCCAAACTTGATTTTCTCCAGCAATTTGTCCCTGCCGTCCTTCTATCAAGTGCAAGAGTGTCTGGGTCTGGAAGTCATGCTTGTCTGGCATGACTCTTAAGTCTGTCATCGTCATGCACGTTACCCAGGAGCTCCATATTTCTGTTATGTAGTAGTAGTAGTAGTAGTAGTAACCATTTAACTCCTGGCGGGTTGGCGTTAGAACAGATTTAGCCTCTGCCAATGCCTGGGCGTTGGGACAGATTTAGCCTCTGCCAATACCCCTAGGTGGATACCCGATCCACTTCCTAACTACCACCCGGCCGCAGCCGCAGAACCGTTATCGATTGCTTACGCGTAACTACAACCAGTGGGCCCTACTTGTGGCAGAACCCCCTTACCATCCAAGCCCGCGAGCAAGGTGGAAATTCGGTGTGGCCTTGACGGGTTAGTCTTACAAACTTGTTGATCACAAACTTACTTTTGTGGCCGGCTTATGTAGAAACGCAGTTTGTCATGCAGAATAGGCAACACCTAGAAGCTCAGAAAGAGAAACGCGTCATGCGGAGCCAGCACTTGTGACCTCATCATGATACGCCACCCAGCATCACAAGTTTCCAGACTCAGACATATTTGCAACGCATACCTTCTTGCTGCGCAGTTGCATGATCCACTGGACACCGATGTACTTGGTGATCACCAAAGCTAGGTAGGTGTACGAGCCCCACAGAATCGCTTTGAAAGGCACTTGGTCCTGGATGTAGTTCAGCGCGTCTTGCTCCAAACCCAGCATGAAAGAGTCGTGTGTCCCCGTGATATGACAGTGCACAACTCCCCCTCCCCCTCATTTGTCATGCTAAACCCCAAATCCAAGTGCTTCCCTGTGGCACTGTTTGCATGACGGATTCCGGAACAAGCCCAAACAGTACTACACAAGAAGGCGCATGAATTTGTCATGCACAGGCTCCAGGTGTGGCGTTATTTGCGTTGCTGTTCATGCAATACAAATGGGGGGGAGGGGGAGTAGTTGTGCACTCCCTTACGTGATCACGCCGTTGTACACTGCGCTCGCCGCATCGCCGGGAAGCGACAGAACTTGGTCCACCAACAGCCGGGCAGACATTGGGCCCCCGCTCACAGCACTCGCAATAGCGGCAGCGCTGTCCGTGTCGTAACCCTGAGTCGACGAGGTCATAGACGGAACATCCCCTTCGGTAGGGGGCATCAGGAATTGAAGCGTCGCGAAACCCTGGAGACTCTGCAGAACGGGCGCCGAGTAGTTGGCAAGGCTGCTTCCTGTGGACGCTAGGTAGGCCTTCGGATCCTCCGTGAATGCGTAACAATGGTTTGTGGCCAACTCTTGCATCTGATTCATGTAGTGCCCGGCGCGCTCTCTCACATACGGGATATCGATACTGGAAGGAAGGTGATCCACCAGAACGCGGTTCGCCCCACCGTCCGCAATCTCACTCGGCCCAGCGGCGGCGGGTTCTTGACCTGTGGTGCGAGGATGGGGCGACAGGACTTCTACTGTTGATGTCGTAAAAGTAATACAGTGGCTGCGGTGCTCCTGATAGATGAGCTCATACTAATTTATGCATACTTCATCTTCAACGAAAAAAACGTACTATACCAGTGAGGAACGCCGCTCCATGCTTCACAACCGGGCGAACCACCTTGCCCAATCCGTTATGAAAGTGCACAACCTCCGCATCTCGTCCCCGTCTTTTCTTTTTACTCAGTCCCACTACATCTCAATTCTGCACAAGCAAGTCCAAATATTGCACCAGCTGCGCAGCTCCACCTACGTTTCATGATTATAAAGTGCGAGGACAGAGATCGGCTAGTACAACAGCTCGAAGTTCATACAGCTGATGCTAACGCGATGATAATTATAGTACACCCGTTGCTGCACTTGCTTCATTTCATTTACCTTCGAATTCTAAAAAGAGGGACGACGAGCAGAGGAGAGGCCGCTGTGCTGCGCTTGGATAGGAGTAGGGTGCGACGTTGAAGGGAATGGCGTCGACGAGGCGCTGCGCTGCCGGGCTGATCGCTTTGTCCATGATTTCTCGGAAGCTCATGGCCGCCATGGGCGGGGCCATGATCGCGCAGAGTGTCATGGCGTACATGAGAACCAAGTTCGCCGCCACGAGCACCGGCGGCAGGGTCATCGCGCCCGCGGTCAGGATGGTCGCGCGCTTCAGTATTTGCAGCGGCTGGATTTCCTTCGCGATGGTGCGGTACTTTTGCACCAGGCCACCAGGTCGGTGCTTCAGGTTCAACTTCACGCCCACGGGGATGTCGTGCACGGTCTGGATGGTTTTGTACAGGTCCTTATCCACAGAAAAAAACCTATCCACATCCGATTTGTCATGCAAAACACGCATCAAATCAAGTGCTTGTCATGCAAAAAATGGATGTGGATGGTTTTTTTCCTGTGGATAGTCCTTGTCGAAGTCTTTGAGGACTTTGCCCACCTTTTCCTTTGCAAAATTGCCGTACAGCTCTGCCTCTTTCAACTGGGCGTTCTTCACAACCGGGTTGTCTTCCGCAACTTCATCTTCACCTGGATTTACCGTGGCGGTGCCGGTCTTCGCCGGGCAGTAGGCGTTCTGCATCAGAGGCGTGAACCTATGTTGGATATTATTGTTATCAGTGTGCTGTCGCCGGAATACAACATCAGCATTGCTCTAATTCATACCGTAACCGTTTCCAATAATCATACCGTAATTTTTTAAGGCTCATAGGGTAGATGTTGACACCAGAAATTTGAATTTGTAGTACTCGTCCATCATGTTCTTTGCGTGTTTCCCGCCGTCTTGGAGCACGATGTCGTACAGTTTCTTCCCAGTCCGGTATATCTTCTCGTCTCCGAGAGCGTATACAATGCAAAAGTCTATCGTATGCTTGTACTAGTAGTTATTGTGAACAACCTCCACCACACAACATTTACATTTCGTCAGCAGGAAAAAAATGATTCGTGTACTTATCATGCAAGTGATCGCGACGAATTAGTACCAGTACGAGTACGCTACTTTTGCACACTAGGATCATAACACGTCGGCGACGAAGAGGTCGGACGTGAGGCCTTTTTTCCCAAACCTCTTCACGCCCGAGGCCTTGCCCTCGATCTTAGTCAGCCAGATCTGGTTTTGGAAGGCCCAAATGCTGCACAAACGAATCACGTTCACGGCGTCCGCCGGGGAGAGCAGCTGCAGCTTCGCCTTCTCCGTGTCGAATCCGGTTTTGTCGAAGACCACTAGAGCGGGAAAAGTCTTGTCCAGGGTCGCGGTCGCGGTGGGGGAGCTTGTATGCATTGCAGAAGTATCTTTGTATTCATCATCATACAAATTTCTATTTCAGTAATGGGGCATCACAATTTTGCTATTGCTATTGATATGCTCTGCTTCCGGATCCTGAGCTGCATGAGGACAAATACCACTTTATTGTTATTCAGCTTTCCTTGAAGCTTGTTGTGGGAAACGAACTTTGTAATGCCGTGTCAACAACTACTAGTGCGATACTTTTGCAGGGCATAAGTTGCTTCCGGCTTCAACTTCATGGCCTGCTCGATGGATTTTGGATCGAAACCCGCACAGACCGGCCGAGCCTGGAGAGGAGATGCATGAAAAGCTTCAGAGAGCTTGCTAGTGAATGACCAAGGTGGAGGATTAATGCAGAAACTTGCTCATGATAGTAGTTGTACGCTGCAAACTACATACAGAAAACTTAACTTGTTGTAAAAAAAATAAAGAAATTTCAATTTTTCAAACTCTTGAATACTGAATTCTATACCATAACAACATGAGTGTTCCGTGCGCCCCCATTGCTCTGGAAGGCGAAAAACAAATCCGCTATGGGGCTATCTTCAGCGAGCTCGAATGCGAAAGTTACCTGAAAAAATTGCTTTTGATGTTCTTGCCTTCGCATTACCCATGTCCAGAAGTAAATATCAGTCATCACGACGCTTCAGCAACAGGCTCGACATACAAATTAATACATTAAAGTCAAAATAGTGTCCTCGAATTGATTCTTAAAATCAGTACCATAGCTTTCAGCAGTATGTCAGGCAGGCTCGCTTTTTTCAGCGGAGCGCTCACTACCTCACTGAGAAACTTTGCAGCCTGACCGTCGGGTACGTGCTCCTTCGCATTCCTGAGAATCCTGTCCACTTCGGTTAGCTCTAGTACCGCGTCACCAGATATGGAACTACGACAAGCAAAAAGAAGAAGTACTGAGGAATGAGAATCAATAAATCGCTCTTAAGATCATGAGAGATAAGTAAGAGAGCGGGAAGCAGCGAAGCTGCGAGCTACATGACATAAACGCATAACGAATCGCGTATCATTTATTCGAATTGCACAAAGAGTACGAAGCCAAAAAATCCAAAGGCGATCATTTGAAAATATTATCACAGGACCCCGTTCTTCTACTTCTTGCATCTCACTTTTGATAGCGAAAGTCCACTTTGCGTTGCTTCCAAACTCTTTTTCGCTCCAGTTGGCTGCTCCAGGGGTGCTATGGCGTTCTCAAATGTTACATTCTCAACTGTTACACGATTTGTCATGCAAAATTGCAATCAGAATCGACATGATCAAGCTGCTTCGCATGGCAAATTCCCGACGAGCCCAACAGGCTGAGAATCTTTGCCAAATCTGTCATGCAAGAAGCGCAAGATCCCCTATTTCACTGTTGCAGTTCTTGCATCACAAATCCGCGTAACAGTTGAGGATGTAACAGTTGAGAACGCCATAAGTGAGTTTGCGAAATTGTGGCTTGATTTGTTCGCGCGCCCGCAGTATGGATTGCAAAAGTGCCTGGGTCTGGAAGATTGCCAGATTTGTCATGCTAGTCTGGCATGACTCTGAACTCTGTATTGCGTGCCCGCGAAAAGGGTTCGCTATCTGTCATGCAAAAACGCAGTCTCTCATGCGGATTACGCAACTCTGAACCACGGAAAAACTTGTCATGCTGGACTATGGCGTTCTCAAATGTGACATTCTCAACTGTTACATGATTTGTCATGCAAAACGAGCATCAACGTCCACAAAATGAAGCTACTTCGCATGACAAATTTTGGAAGGGCTAAACAGGATCAGAATCTGTGCCGAATTTGTATTGCAAGAGGTTCAAAATCTGGCCTTTCCCTGTTGCCATTCTTGCATCACAAATTCATGTAACAGTTGAGAATGTAACAATTGAGAATCCCATATGGACAGCGCATTACATACAGTGAGCTTACTCTTCCCTTTCGTGCATCACAAGTTTCCAGACCCAGACATTTTTGCATTTGATACGCAGGTGGAGCTGCGAGTCGAGCGTTGTCCCGAACGCGTTCGTAAGGTAGTTGTATACCCCGGGCCCGGACCACTGGCTGGGATTGAGTTCCTTTTCCAGAAACTGCTGGAACCCGTACACTTGTTGCCAATGCAACAGGGTGGTCTGCTTCTTCTTGTTGACTGGAGGAGCTCCTGCCGGTGGAGCCTCGTCCTCTTGGGCGTTCCTGTTCAGAATAGTATTGAAAAATGATTTTTGGCAACTGCAAGCGGTGCTTTTTTAAGCGGTGCCGAAGCAAACACACGCAGCGACTTCCGCAATAAAATCTTCGGAGAGTTCTTGAAAGTTTTTATTCCTGTACGAAGCAAATCCGGAGGTACCACATTTTTGATCTCATGTAGATGTAGGTTATTCATGGTCTGGTTTAATAACGCGACGAACAAAGAACATTCATACCCACAAAATGAACTATGGAGAAACAGCTACTTAAATAATCTCGCGCACCAGCTGAAGCGAAAAACAAAAAATGCTCTGAACAAGGAATCAATCTATACGCTGGCCCACCCCTGGCTCCACTCGACGCACTAGAGGAAGCATTCACCGCACCAACGGTGCAGCCGGCAGCGGCTGCAACGCGCAAGAGAAGCCTCATTGTTGTATCTTGAGGAAGAGATGAAAAATAAAAATGACAATGAAGACACGAAGATACGGTCGTCAAAAAATGTTAGAGATAGTATGTGTCGTCCTTCTAAGTGGCTCTTCCGCCACTGATTGGACTTCTAAGTGGCACACCTCCGCGAACCAAACCAAGAACTGTAACTGTTGATCAGGAAGATAGATCAGCCGGGTTGTTTGAAACTCAAAATCAATATGCGCCAAATCACATCATAGACGGTCACGGTCACACCAACAACAAACAGACTTCGGATAGTCTATAATTCTTGTGGACGTGTTGCTAGCTTGCAGCCCCCCGGTGGACGTACAAGTAGTATGTTGGAAAAATACGTATGTTGACCAAGTCTATCGCTTATCAACGAGAGAAGTCTATTCCAAAAGAACGCCGCATCTTCTGCGAAGTCACAGACAAGCAGAAACAGATCCTTTATCAAGTCGAAGCCGACTTCTGTTTCGCCGCAAAAAAGGATCCTTTTCGTACGCACGCACAATTATGATAAAATGGAAATCTTCTGTAAGTCTTACAGTAGAATTGGTCTTGACGGTGCTGCTCCTAAATCTGAAATGTTGTTTCGGAGAGGATCATACAAGAAGGGTGAAAGTAGATCAGTGTGTTGCGCTCGATGGGGACAAAAAGTGTGATATTGTGCGTTCGGTCTTTCTTGGTTATTGAGTTGAACAAATTCAACTCCTATGTTGGAAAACAATTGTGCGGTTCACATCAATCGTTTGATGTAGCTATGTTCTTCGCAGGAGAAAATCGGCATTGGCAAGAACGGAAAACCGAAACAGATCATGCTTCACGGTACCTACAAGAAAAAGAGGATCTGGCGGATCCTCGCTTCAGCATACAACTACTGCACATTGAAATTGATACCCATCTGCACACGACCTTTGCTTTTGGAATCACGATCGCACGTTGATACTATGAAAATAAAGATCTGTGGTCTTGCTCTTGGGCTCGGCATCGTCCTCATGGTGCTAGTGCTACTGTGAATCTGTCGAGAGTTTTCTTTTCCTTGCCACGGTACCGGGAGAAAACTGCATCTAGATCTCATCCACTTCAACGAGCAGAAGGAGAACGCAGCTTCCAGCTTGTATTACTACGTTCGTCCTTCCTGTTCCTGCTTACATTTGACCCGTTGCAGCTGCCCGTGCTCGCAGCGTTACAAGAACATCAAACCAAGCACCTTGCGGAACAACCTCCCCGCAAGTTGCAGCGCGATAGAACTAGAAACACATCCATCTCAGCCTCTATCGTTTTAACTTCGTTTTTCACATCCACCTGTTCAGAAAAGTCCCTGTCCCGGGCTCGCCACGTTTTCATGATCGCTTATTCGTGCAGCTTTTTTACCATGATGTGCAACAAACTTACACAATTCTACACATCGTTTTTTCTACGAGTCACTCCGCCAAAAAAAAAAAATGAGGAGCTTGGTTCTTGCAGCCCAGCTGCAGCTTCTAGTTCATCTTTAACTACTTTCATTTTTCTTACAATACCTCGTAAAACAAACCTTGCCCTTGGATTTAATCGCGAGGAGCAACATCAGAACCACAGCGCTTTTGGTCTTCTTTTCGTTGCCTGTACTAGAAGAATTGCTACTTACGCTCTTCTCGATCTCGCATCCATGTAGCTGAGGCCTGAAGACGAGGTGGATCACAGAAAGAAATTTTTTCTTGCTTATTTTCATATATAGTGTTTACCTTCCGGCGAATTGTTCATGTTTATCGATATCGTGTTGTATGCTGTAATTTGAAACACACGACAGGCGCGCTGTTGACCTGTAAATGCTTCAAAGATGTTGAAAACTTCTCATGCGACGTGGGAGACGTCTATCATGACCGTCACGACAAGGGAAAATAAATTTTCGCCTGCGCGAAAAATGCGAACCAAAAACAAAACATTAACATGGCACAACATTCGCTGCGCCGGTTGCGGCCTGTTCTTTCTATTGATATCGTCTCTACTCGTACACTTTCACGATTATGACTCTGGCACCATCATCCACCCAACTAAAAACACCCCCGCCATCGCCGACACCCCGCAGGACTGCACCTCCATATGCGTCCCAAAGCTTCCACCCTCGAACATAAACGTTGTGGGCGCTTGGACGAGGAAAAGCGAGAAGGTCATGATCGTTGTGTAGAGCACGGTCAAGCCGTAAAGATGGTCCTGGAGAAGTGGGTATCAAATGCAAATATGTCTGGGTCTTGAAGAATGCAGGAGTTTGTCATGCAGGTTTTTCATGACCCACGAGGTCTGTGATGCATGCCCTAGCTTTAGAGATTCTGCGAAGGCTTTCTGATGCTCATACAGTATGAGAAATGCCGTCTCCGCGTAGCACAAATTTCACCTCTTTTGCTGTTCATGCAATACAGATTTTATGTACGGTCCAAAGGTAGCATCACAAGTTGCATCCTTCCAGACCCAGACATATTTGCAATGCATAGTGGGATTTGCGGGAGCAGGTAGTCGCACACGAGGTTTCCGCAGATCAGCGTACTGCAACCGATGATTAGTAGGGTATCAAATGTAAAAATGTCTGGGTCTGGAAGAGTGCAACTTGTCATGCTAAATCTGCAGCATGCAAAAATCTGTGTTGCATGATTACCAAAAGTCGTCCAGTTTTGGCCAAGTCGGGAGGCAGTTTCTCATGCAGGATAGGCATGAGAAAGGTCGCGCAGAATCTGTCATGCTAGGTCCCGCATTCCAGACCTCATGGGTCATGGAAAAGCTGCATGACAAATCGCGCATTCTTCCAGACCCAGACATTTTTACATTTGATATAGGGTCGTAATCAACGACATGAGTCGGTCGGCCTTGTCGGCGAAGGCTGGCACTTTCGCAATCACGTCGACCCAGTGCTGGCGGTGGTTGATCTTGGTTTGCAGCTCCGCGAGAAAATGGCTCGCGAGGATGAGGCGGAGAAGGAAGGAAAAGACGAGATCTGTTTTTTATGGTGTTGCCGTACGTTTCTTTGTGCATGATTTACGAAATTTGTATAGTAATTCATTACATTGTTCTCTCAGATGCAAGAAAGCAGGCTACTTACTTTTCTCCACTTGATTGTAAGGTGGAGGAGGAGCCACAGAAGGAAGGCAAAGCTTGATGAAAACTGTCCTAAGATGAGGCAGTATATTTTTACCTTGACTCGGATTTTGCTTCACGCTGCACAAGGGGTCCACGTTTTGCTGAAGGATTTCCATGAGAAAACAGCGATCCGCGCAGCAGTAGCCATACAACAATATGCCGCCGAAGATTGACACCCAGTAAAACGTGACGTACGGACTGATCACCGCCATGGGGCCCAGTTTCACCGCGATCGTGGAGTCAACGTAGTGGAAAAACAGCTTGTAAAACGCGAACAGAAACCCGGAGAAAAAAACCAAACTGGGCGACTCCGCGAAGAGCAACAGCGACAAGCAGGTATAGATGAGGAAGAGCTGGAAGAAAATTTTCAGACTGGTCAACACTCCGTTGCCCGCCTCGGTGTTACTCAGTTGCATCGCGGTGGACTCGTTGATACTCCTATGCATTTTTGCAGAAGTATCGCACAAGTATAAATTGCATGACAAATTTGGGCAAGCAGGAAAGTGGAATTTGTAATGCTGTTTTTCCCTAGGAAAAATATTCGCCATGATGCATATTTGCAATTACTACGAGTGCGATACTTTTGCACAGGATAACTCCTTCCAGAGTACGATTTTGCGGAAGAAAGGTTGTACCAGGTCGGGAAAAATAAGATTCTGTCCTGAAAATCGTAGAAGGTGTGAAACGCGAGCACGAACCGCAAGAACGTCTCCGTGCCGTCTGAACTGCCTTGTTGCGCCGCTACCTGCTGCTCCGCCTGTTGATCGACAATCGCCGCGAGCGTTGGAGGTGTAGTCGGCGCGCTCGTGCTACCACCAAATCTCTGCTGCAGCGCTGCGTTCAATCCCGACCCGCCCAGCCAGGAACAGAAAAACAGAAGGCAGTAGAAGGCACCGTAGAGGAAAATCTTGCTGCCCGTTTCGAGGAAGGAACCTGTTCCGCCGGAAGCTGTACCATCCCCATCCTGCGCGGTTACGATACGAGCCTGGGGAAGTTGTTTGGAGGAGGTTGGGGCTTGTTTGCCGACGCCAAATTTAGGGAGGACGTAAAGTTCGATGACATCCTGGGGCCGCGAGCTCTCGATCAGAGACTTCGCCCGGGGGTCGTTGTCCGTGACCACGTCGCCGGAGGCGAGGATGCGAACCATTTTTTGATGTCGGTGTTGGCTCGATGGTTTCACAAATCTTCACTAGCACTAGTAGGTGGGGTAGGGAAACAATAGAATTGTGAATCGCACGAAGTAAAAAATGGTCGCCCAAAAGTGTCGCACGAGAGGGAGAACTTGTTCTGCATGTATCCTAGTGTGTGAGCCTTCTATTTCTAGGGTACTGGTAAACTACGTCCATGATTGGCAGTATGAAGGGAGCGTGCATCGACGTGGTGGTCTGTGTACGTCAATACAATGGATAGACAGAGTCGCAACGAGCAACGTAGAAGGGGACTAATATTGATATCTAAATCTATAGTAGGACTAGGGGAAAATATGGACCGGCCCTGGAGGTAGTTAAGAAAATGCTTACTCGGAAGAGGAAGACATCAGCACATGTTAGGAGCCACCACCTCAAAAAGAACTAGGCCGTTTCACAGTCGCTCCCTCTGCTCAAACTGACCCATTGCAAAGCTCGTCGCTCGACAGTTTGTCGTACTGGTTTTGTGCGTTTAAGTCTACTTCAAACTCATGGCAAATTCTCCCCTCTATCTTACTACGCCCCTCCTCAATAAAGTTTCAACCAGACGCTCGTCTCATCCTCATGCAGCATGGCGGGGATCAATAATAGTGACAGTGAGTCGTGAACAAAACCTCCCAATATTAAAGCTCGGAAAAGCTTTTGACTTGCTGCTGAACAAAGGAGCTGATGCCTCCTCCTATGCTGGCCCACCACGCTTCTCTCTCATCGACAAGCACAAGGCAACAGGGGCTAGCAGGAGCAAACTGAATCATACTGGCACGCCCAATAAGCAAATCGAACCGGAGCACCGCCTAGCCTATTCTTACTTCATCGAGCTGCCCGGCCCAGAACAGGGCTCGTTTCGCAATAAACCTAGTTACCAGCCGAAAGGGCGGCGCCCCGACCTGCACCTGCGCGGGCTGCCGGAGGAATAACACCCCGGCGCCCGCGCCCGGAAAAAGGCGACAAGAACAACGCCTGGGCGCGCGCCGGGCTGTCTCGGAGGCGCACTGCCCGCAGACCCATCGCTGTGCGGTTGGATGTCTACGGGCGCGCGGCGGGCCCGTCTCGATGCGCCACTGGAGCAAAGAGCGAAACCAGCGCCCCGGGCGATCGAAATACGAGAACAGGCGCCCTCTTCCCCGGCGGGCGCGGCCCCACCCGCCCTGCGTGCCGGCCCCGGCCCGCCCGCCCGAGGCGGCGGCGCTCTCCGACACAATCCACGCCCCTGCCCCCCCTAAAAAAAGCCTCGCGCCGCTTGGCTTCTTTTCGCCGAGCGCGCGGCATCATCATCGTCGCGCGCTCGTTTCTCCGTTGCTTAGCGTAGACAAGGGCCGCGGCCCCTTGGCCTTCCTACCGGGTTCGTAGCTGCGGCGGAGGTGGCACACGGGCACGAGTGAGAGCGCGGGCCCGGGGGCCCCGTTAGAGACCGTCCGGGGCGGGGCGGGGCGGCTGCGGCAGGCAGCAGGCGCAACCCGGGGCCCGCTCCGTGGTTGCTCATGCTCCAGCACGAGCTTCGCTTGCATGACCTCGCTGCCCACGCATTCTAGCAAAGAGAGCGGCCCGGCGGCGAGCTCTCGATCAGAGACTTCGCCCGGGGGTCGTTGTCCGTGACCACGTCGCCGGAGGCGAGGATGCGAACCATTTTTTGATGTCGGGGCTCCTGGGTCGATGGTTTATTTGTAAATCTTCACTGGGGGCGGTAGGGCAACAATAGAATTGAGAATCAGACGATGAAGAAAATGGTCGCCCGAAAGTGCCGCACGAAAACTTGTTCTGCATGTATGATAGTGTGTGAGCCTTCTACTTCTAGGCTACTGGTCAACGTCCATTGACAGCATGGAGGGAGCGCACATTGACGTGGTCCGTGTACGGGCACATACGGATAGACAGAGTGAGAGTCGCAACAAACAGAAAACTTAATGGGACTAAAACTAATATTGATATTGAAGTGTAAGGGGCGAATAGGGTTAGACCTGGAGGTTAATAACATGCGTATTTGAAAGGGGAAGACAACACAGGTGAGGAAACAGGACTTCAAAGCCAGGACCTTTTGCCTCCAGCTGAAAGTCGCTCCGTTCAAACTGACAAACTGCACACCTCGTGGTCGTTTAAGGATTTGTCTTTGTTCTACTGGTTTTGCGCGCTTACCATGTTACACTCGCGGCGACCTACCTCATCCCTTTCCATCGTAGTTCCTCTTCTTCAATGTTTTGACCAGACGCTCTCATGTGATGCCTACTTACTATGCTCCTCCACGCTCTCGGGCTCCTGACATCGAACAGCACATCGAAAGAATACTGGCACACCCAGAAAAAAAATCATAGACGAGGCCGGGAACCAATCTACATCCGGACTGGCTTCCTGCTCCGCAACCAATCTAGCGTACGAAAGCGGTGCCGAAGAATTTCGTCGCGCTGGCTCGCACCCGAAGGCCCCCGGGTCTGTATTCGAGCTCCCAGCCCCCGAGCAACGCTCATTTTTCAGTGAGCCTACGTACCAACCGCAAGGGCGGCGCCCCGACCTGCGCGGGGAAGAACACCCACGAACCCGCGCCCGAGAAGAACCGCCAAAAGAATGCCCGGGCCCGCGCCGGGCCTTCGCCACGGACGGCCTCCGGGCAGGCGGCCTCCCTGCTTCCTGACATCGGCGAGCCACGCAGGCCGGGGGGAGGCAGGGCGCCACTGCTGCGGCGAGATCTAGTATGCGGAAAAGAGAACATACAAAGAAAGGGCCCTGGAGCGGGCCCGCCTCACTTGCTGGCTGGCCGCCGTCCGGCATGCGGGCGCGCGCTGGCGGGCGGGCCTGCCGGCTGGCGGCCTGCAATGGCCGGCGGGCCCAAAACATGGGGGGCCTCATACATTCAAGCCGGCCGCGGCGGGCAAACCCGCCCGGGCGGCGGGGGGCGGGTTCTTTGGTTGGCTCGCTGGGAGCGCCGTAGGGCGGCGCGCTGCGTCCTTGCTGATGCGTTTGGATATGGCGCCCGCTGCCGCGCGCGGTCCATTTCAGCTGCTCAGCCGGTCGCCCTCATTTGGTGGGTTGCGCGCGACGTCTGGGCGCCGGCGCAGATTGCTTGCGAAGCGGTGGCCCCCGTATTTATACCGCGCGCGCGGCCGCGGCGCAGTGCCTGCCTCCTGCGTGCGCGAGCGCGCCCCCCCGCCAAGCCGCGTCCCGACTTCCCGCGCCCCAAACCACCGGCGCGCGGCCGGCCCGCCACCAAGGAAGGCCGGCGGGGGGCGGCGCAGAAGGCGCGCGCCACGCGGGGCGCGCGGGGGGCCTCTACGGCGCGACGGGCCTTTGCCGCCGCCAAACTGCTGTGGCCGCGTAGTTGCTGCAATGAGGGCAGATCATTCGGCGCGCCCTGTATTGCTGGAGCCCCTTCTGCGTGCAAGTCCGCCCGGTGGCGGGGCAGTCTCGCGCAGAGTCATGCTCCTCGCCGCGCCGAGGCCTACCGCCACACCCCCTACCCCCATGCGAAAGCACTGGGCCTCCCTCTTCTGCGCGGATTGGTCCCAACCCGCAAGCTCCAGCGATAGGCCCAACAAGCGCTCCTTGGGGTCACAGACCTCGCGCCAGGGCAGACCGTGGGTGTCGTCGATAAACAAAGACCGGAACTGCCGCCGCAAGGGGTAGGGTAGGAGGGCCCCCCACCGCAGCCAGGCCGGGAGATCCTGTGCTGCTGGCTACCCTACGCACCGCAAAGCGCGCGCAGAAAAAAATGGACAAGAAAGAGCGGACGGGCGTTTGAGTTTGATTTATGACTCGGAACACTGTTCAAGTGGGTAAAAGCATCTAACTAAGGCCTTCGCTTCGGGGCGTAAAGGTCCAACAGCAGCAAGTGCTACAAAAAATGCAAAATAAAAGCGCAGCCACGGCACAACTCAGGCACAAAGAGCAGCGTCGTACGTGTTATGTGTAGTGTCATATCTGACCGAGGTGCCTGGTTCGTGGCTGTGGCATGTCTGATGATAAAGCCTTCTTGACCGCATCATTGCATCTGTCATTCACACGGAAATTCCACCTCCAGGCCGCGTGCCACTTTTCGTCGAGCCCTGCTGTGCAGGAGGAGTACTCGCGGTACTAACCGCAGACGCTGCCCTCTCTCCCGAAGTAGTCCCCGCCTTCCCCGCCACTACCGGAGCCGTTCCCGGAACGAAATGTTGCGGGTCGACTTGCCGTATCATACCGTTGAAGAACCCGGCGCCCGCCAACGCACCCGCAATCGCGATGAAGGAGTCGTTGTACAACGTCAAGCTTGGGTCCAGCGTCCCCGCCGGGCACAACTCCAACAACCGCTGTATCGTGACCGTTTTCGCGCTCACGAGCGTGTCTAATTCGGTTACTGCCACGCCGAACCGCGACTCGAACTCCTCGCCCGGAATCATTTTCGCCAGGTCCGCACACGCCCGCCGGTAGCTCTGTTCCCGAAACCACGCCAGCCCCTGCGGACCCAGCACGCTGGCGGCGCTCCAGGCCGTGAGGATGCGCCCGTGGATCGCGCCGGCGTGCTTCTCGGAGAACAGGTCCGCGACGTAGCTCGGGAGCACCGAGAACTGCCCCCCGTAAAACGACATGAGCATGCAGGTGAAGCCGCAGTACGCCAGCAGCGGGCCCGATTCCGGGACTCCGAGCACCGCGTCACCGAGGGCGGAAAGAGCTCCAATCTTCCCCTCCACGGTCGCCCGGTTCAAATGCGGCAGCGCGAGCACACCGATAACGCCCGCTTGCGCAAAAATGTGGTATCTGAGAAGTGTCATGTGGGGGAGAATGCCAAAACAAATTCGCATATACTTCTCCTCCTGTGCTAGCGTCCATGTCAAAAAAAGCTTCCAGTTCCATGACGATATAGCATAAATCGTAAATTTCTATCAAAACCGCATCAAAATCCGCATCCTACGTTTTCCTCCTTCCCACATGATCACTGACGATGCTCCAGCCAAGTCGGCCCGCAGAGTTGGACAAACTCAAGGCCGAGACGTAGCTCGCCGCGAACCCGGCGGTCACCACTTGTGGCAGCACCGCGCCGAAGCTTTCCGTCATCACCGTGCTGGCGGTGCTCAACAGAGCCATCCCCCCGCACGCGTTCCCGCAGATGGTCAGCCAGAGGTAGGCGAATTGCGGTGTGTTCAGCGCTTCTTGCGGGGTCACCACGCCCTGCGTGGACTGTTCCTGCAGCTGCAGGCGCTTCTTGCCGTCGGCCGCTTGCGCGTAACCGGACGTGCTCTTCTCATATTTCTGCAGCACGGTCTGACTCCAGTTGGCCGGCGGGGTGCGGAGGAGGGACGCGCCGGTCAGCATCAGGGTGCCGTACAGCCCGGCGAGGCACAGGAACGCGCCCGCCGCGCCCGTGTCGCCGGTGCCGACCAGGTAGTAGCCCTCGGTCAGCGGCGCGACGAGGAGGTCCGAGGCGGTGGAAGTGGTGCCAAACATGGCCTCCTCGAGTTGTGGAGACGTCTGGGCGAAAAAGGTCGTTGCGGAAGTAGATTCTTCTGGTAACATTGCACCACCAAGATTGTAATGCGCGGACACGTACTGTGCCATGTCGTGCTTCGTGGCGTACACGACCTCTTGACTCTCGCCAAAAAACTGTTTTCCCGTGACCGCGTCGGTGCGGATCGCGACGTTAGGCGGCACTTTTAATGGTGGCTGCGAAAAGTAGTCCAAGCCGCGGCGAATCAGGGGCGCGGCCATGGCGGCGCCGCCTCCGAAGGCGGAAAGAGCTAGGCCGCCCGCAAGGCCGCGGCGGTCCGGGAACCACCGAAGCAGCGTGCTCACCGGGGAAATGTAACCTAAGTGTAAGTTGTGGGGTTTTTGTCATATGTGAAATTTCATTCGGACGATTTGATGGTAATATCTCGCGAGAGACAGAGACATGAAGAATGTCCCTGCCGCATCAGCACTCGGGCTCGAGGCTCGTACTCAACAATGCAAGAGCAAGCAAAAACAAACACAGCTAAACATCACGATCACTTTTTTTTGTACCTAGTCCCCACCCTATCCCGCCCAAGACTCCTCCGCAATACAGCACCGGCAGGGAGTGCAAGTAGGCTGCCGCGCTGCACGTCAGCAAGGACGCCGTGTAGGCCAGTGCGGACACGGTGGCCGTATACCTCGGGCCCGCGCGCTCCGACCAGGGTCCGAGAAAGAAGGTGGTGACGCCGAGCGAGCACGCCATCGTGGTGAAGGTCATCACCGAGGACTGCAGGTCCCAATCCGAGGAGCAGCTGGCCACGACGCCCAGACTCCTGGTCAGCGGTTCGTTCCACAGGCTCCAGGCGTACACCGACCCGACCGAGCCCTGCACGAGAAAACTCGCGGGGACCACCAGCCACCGCTCTGCGATTTTCGCATCGGGGGCAGCCGTGGAGGCTTCCTTCGAGAGGAACCGGGGCCATGTGCCGTTGAAAATGCTGGCAGGTGGGGGTTTCGTGTCGTGGCGTGGCGACGTAGCAGGTGGAGTACTGTTGCTTGAAGAGGAGGAGGATGAGGAACTACTAGCGGTCGCCGCACGATGTTCTTCTTGCAATTTGTATTGTAGCCACGGTGCGTTTTGTAGCACAGCCGCGGCTGCATCTTGCACCGTCGTGGCCGTTCCGAATGCGCGGATGGGGACAGGGCGAGTCTTCTTGCGAGTTAAAACAAAGAACCTGCTCTCTTTCAAGGTGCAGAAACCCACGCCTCGCAGCCTGCGCTGATGCGCAACTGCACAGGAGGACTGACAAGATCTGTAAAAAACCATGCCACGACCAAAACCGACGTTTATGCCATATCCAGAAACTCAACGTGATGTTGATCCTTTGTAATTTAATTTTTCGGGGAACAAGGGCAGCGCACACACTCAGGGCACACACACGAGGACCTATTGCTTCTCGCGGCAACGAGCAGGAACTTCTACGAAGGATCATGATTATTGCAGCCCTCCGGACCGGAATGCGCTTAGATAGAACGGAGAACGACCTTCTTGCATCTTCGGGTATCTTATATTGTTTCGCGAAAGATCTTTGATTGGGCTTCACCAAAAAAAAACAGTGGGGATGACGATTCCTTTCGTGAGTGCGTTCCTCGCAGAGGCACCGAACAAACCGGGTCCAGACGCCCCCGGCGACGGACGTGATCGACTCGAGTGGCTTCCTCCAGCTTGTTCATCCCATCAACCTTTTTTGGTCGTTGGTTGCGAGGAATAGTTCCACTCCGCGACGACGGTAGTACCTGTTGTCCACTGACAGTGCGATCATCGTCATTCCGGTGCTACCAGCTCATCTATAGTGGACGGTGATTGAAGATAACGATAGTACCTCGTCCTCCACTTCCACTATACCTTCGGTTGATTACAATCATATTCTCTCTGTGTTTTACTTTCTATTGTTGAAGAAGCAATAAACTAGCAATATAAACTTACGGTTTTATTTCTTGTCATAATTTCGAATCTCAAGGTGTGAAGAAGTAAATCACTCTTCAAGCAATAACGCGTCCTGAGCAACAAGGCAGGAGCTGCAATTGGTCTAATTTCGAATCTCAAGGTATAGGTAATACATTTCGAAGTTCTTCATCATCTACAGGAAAAATAACTTCAAGGGATAAGGTTCTGCTATTCTCAGAAGAAGAGATCGTGGTTTTAATTTGCACAGTTACACTTACATTTACAAAGTGAAAGTTCTACCAGCCGAGAATGCAGTATGTTGGTGTAGAAGTGCCGTTCACATATCCTCTAGTGCACTCCTTCCTGCGCTCCTCACGCCGGCGGTGCCCCAGCGCCGCCGGTGACCACACGGATGACGTGCGTGGGCGGAATCTTATGGAAGTGTCAGGATTGAAATTGTCAAAGTTGTAATGCATAAAATCGATACTAGTTCGAAGCCCAATTTTCAAGCGGCGCACGACAAATTTTGGCACCGTCTAAATCCAATTTGTCATGCTGTTCAGGGACAGGGGGCCTCTTTTGTCATGCTAAGTACTTCAACAGCTCTATCGCAGACCCCAAACAGGCTGTCTGTCGGCCTCACTTGCCATCCTTGCAAGCGAGGCATTTCATGGCTTGCAATTTATGCATGAGAAATTAAATCAACTTTGTCGATTTCGATCCTGACACATCCATAAATCTGCAGCTCCTCGTTCACCTTGCTGCCCAGATACTGATCCAGCAGTTGCTTCAGCTCCTCGTTTATGCATTGCAAAAGGATCGCACTAAGTATGAAACGCATGACAAACTTTCTCACGACCAGAAATAATGCAATTTGTGATGCTAGAGCCAGTAGAAGCAAGTTAGATTTGTCATGCGTGACTGCCATTATTACGAGCACGATACTTTTGCAATTCATATCGTTCTGCTTTTGCAGGTCCACGGCGTCGTCGACTAGTTGTGACCGGAAGTGCAGTAACTTCAAATACCGGCCCATTTGCTTCTGCAACGCCTTCCACACCCGGACGGTGGTCTCGGGCAGGCACAGTGCTATGAACTGCAAAAGTATCGTACTAGTTGTAGTGATTGCAACACAAATTCGCTCAGCATGGCAAATGGAATTTGTCATGCTGATTTGCCTTGGGAACGAGATTTGTAATGCATGACTGCAATTGCTACGAGTACGATACTTGTTTTGCACAAGATAAGTGCCATCCGATCCCAAAACTTCTTCTCCTGCTTTCTCCTCAGGTTCTTCGACTCCTGGGCGTCCTCCCCCGCCTTTTTACTGGCGCCGCCGGACAGGTCGGCCATACGCAAATTCTCCTTCTCCGCGAGAAATTCCCGGAGGATACGAAGCACATCGTCCGCGTCGACATAGCTGTGTTTTATTGCTTGTACTGGGATGTTTTGCTAATCAATGTTTTGTGCAAGCGCAATTTCTGTAGTACTACCTGCAATTAAGTTACCAGGTGCAACAAGTTGCGCAACGATGACTACAGACCGCGAAGAGATGCTGTAGTAGTAAATGCTAACGCGGCAATACTTCCTCACCAGCGGCACACAAGAAGTTATTCAAAGCGAGGAGATGAAAAAATCGCAATACAGTGTCTCATCGTCGTCGTCCTGCCCCTGGTAAAACATGCTCGTCAATAAGTCCAAGTCCTCTTGTGACTCGACGCCGATGTATTTCAATATTGCGTTTACTTGAATCACATCTCGCTGGGCAGCATCGGGGGCGAGTGCCATCTCGTCTTTTATCTGATATTTTTTCACAAGAGTGAGATTGAGATAGAGTTGAAACATGCCAACATGTTGCGCAATCAACAGTTTCGGTTTCATACTTGCCGTGTGCAAGTCGCGACGTTGGTAGATTTTTTCGTTGGTGCATCAAATTATTGTTCAAAACCAACAAGAACGAATCATCAATGCAAGTAGTACCTTGACGTCCAGCAAGTAGCTGCACTCGTCTTTTATCAGGTCCAGCACTTTCTTTGTCCTCTTTGCGAAGAACTTATCCCCTGAAAATTGACCATCTCCATCCAATTTGTCATGCAAAACATACATAAAGTCCTCTGTTTGTCATGCAAAAAGTGGATGAGAATGGCAAATTTTCACGAGATAGAACTCGACGCCCTTCTTGCCCTCGCCACCGCCTCCGCCGCCCGCAGAGGACATGTTTTTGGACAGGGACTTATCCTGAGCAAAAACGTCACCACCCCAGCGCTGTCATGCAAATCCGCACGCCAAGAAAGTTTCTCATGCGGAGCCCCATGAGAAGCATTTTCAAGTCGTGTTTTTGGAATTTGTGGTGCTAGAATACGCATAGTATGCTAGATCTGTGATGCTGCTTAAATAGCAAAACAGGATTACACTACGACGGCAGTCTTGTCATGCGAAACAGCCGAAGCAGGTTGATTTGTCTAGCAGATTTCCCATCTTGACTCTGGTGTGGGGACGTTTTTACTCAGGATAGGACTTCGTGCCCGTCTGGGTCCCCGCCTCGGTGCTGGTGCCGGTCTCAAACTGCTCATTCAGGAGGTTCTCCTGGGGACTGCTCCAGGGTAAACTCAGCTGCTGCTCGTGGATCAGCTTGTCGCATTCGAGAATCTGTGTTAAACAGCGAATATAGAAAAACTTTGATATTTAGTTTCTACGGTGGAATGCACCAGCTGCATGTAGTTTCTCGTGCGTGGGAAGCCTAGTACCATGGGAGGGGAAGAACTTCCTCCACACGAAATTTTTAGAAATAAAATTGTAATTTATCTACTTCTATGTATAAGCCTGTCGTAATTATCAGCACGCATACGACCACGGCGACACAATCATTGTTCAATGAACAATACCTTTCCAATGACTTGCTTCGCCTCGCCTTCGTTCATGGCCCACACTTCTCTGATATCCTGTGCAAAAGTATCGCACTCATACTAATTGCAAATATGCATGACAAATCTTTTTTTCAGGGCAAATCCGCATTACAAATTAAATTTGTGGTGCTAACTCAATTTGTAATGCATTTATACGAGTACGATACTTTTGCATTGCATATCTGAACTTGATTTCGTCCGCCTTTTCGAAGTGTGCGTGCTTGTCCTGGAGGTCCTTGAACTGCTTCGTGAGTCGCTTATACTCCTCCGTCAGCTCCTGATTCTCCGTCTTGTACTTTGCGTCGAGCTTGTTATACCGGGTCAACAGCGTGTTCAGCGTTTCACGTAATCGGTTCAAGCGGTTTTTGTAGCTGCTCTGAATGGCGCTGTGCTCCTTGTTTCGCTCGATCAGCACTTGCAGATTGTAGTCGAGCTTCTCCTTGTTTAGCCTAGGAAGTGTAGTATTAGTGTATGGTTAAATTCATGAGTGTCATGTGATGTTGTGCTTGCGGAATGAAAAATCTTTTACTTTTTCTCCATGATCATCTGACTCATCTTTCATCTATTGAAACGCCAGCGCACAGCTTGTGGCATGAGCCCCCCTCATCCTACGCAGCTGCTTGCTATACGTGTGCATCTGCATGTTGACAAAGGCTAGTCAGCAAATCGAGAAGGCAATTATACTGGTAGGTCGCCATCATTTTTTCCAAATGGACCTCGAGCTCTTGGATGGATTTTTCCAACGCGATTCTGCTGTGGTTGTATTCGTCGTCGTTCTGTTCTCGCAGGTCGTCGATTTTCTTTTTGAACCTTTTTTCCCGGTCGACTCGCTGGTCCATGAACTCGGCTTCTTCCATCTGCCGCCGCTTTTCGAAGAGATTCTGTGATAAGTCGCGATGTAAAATGTTTCTCATGCAGACACAACTCGCATAAGCATGATAAGCATCAGAAACACGCAAGAGCGATATCATGATCAGAAGCGAAAAAAAAGCTCCTCTATCATCTATGTCCATTTTTCATGATATCTTCATGCAATTTCAAAAATGTATCAATACCTCGATGTCTTCTCGATTTCTCTTCATCAGGTCGGTTCTCTCCTGCGCAAATGCGTTTTCTATTTCCACCAGCTGCTCGTCGTATTTCTCTTGCAGGCCGACGTACTGGGCTCGCATCTTCTTAATCAACAGATTCACGTCGTGCGCCTGCCGCTTCAGCATCTTCTGGTACCTAGTGATAGATTTTTGGAATAAGGTAGAATTGTTCATTTCGTGTGCCACCGCCACGGCATTGCGAGGACCAAAATTTGTCTATATCTATGTATTTTTTCAGCAAGCAGCTGCATGTGCACCATTCGGAGGGGGTTCGTTTTTCTTGCTGTACGGAACATGATAAGGAAAAGAACATATTATACTCCTCGTCCTTATTTTTCAATTCGGTCAAGAACTCTCGTATTCTGCGGTCCTTCCCCTCGAGAATGTTGAGACAGGCTTCTTTCTGCAGCAGCAACTGGTCGTGGAGTTCCTGTGGTTTGTTCATGATCATGTAAAGACAATTGCCAGAAATTTCTGAAGTTGTCATGCAAGACCTGACATTAACTTCAACACTGGAGTCTGTCATGCTACGAAAAGAAGATGCGAAGCATACCACTATAATACCTGTGGTATGTCGATGTAAAGCAAGTCCGCCCATTTGAGCTCTACTGCGGCGTTTTTTCTGCCACTGGACACCGCCTCGATCTGCAGCGCTTCGTACCTGTCCAGCCGTGCGTTTTCCTCTATTATTAAATGCAAAAATGTCTGGGTCTGGAAACTTGTAATCTAATGCTAAGTTGTGAATATTAGTGAACTCTTTGTAATGCACAGCCAAGCATGACAAATATTTGCGCTGCTTAGTGTTGCGCTTTCCGCATGACAAACTGCGTTTAGCATGACAAGCCAAAGTGTCTCTTCTTGGACACGCATCACAAACTCTTCCGTCATGCCAGACAAGCATGACAAACCTTGCATTCATCCAGACCCAGACATTTTTGCAATCCATATCTATTATTCTCCTCTCATTTTCCTCGTTATCAAAGCGGACGCGGATGTCGGTTAAGTCGTTTGTTGTGTCGTACTGCAATCGCTCCAGAAACGCGGTGGCTTCTGATACCTGGTGTAGGGAATCATATCATGTGAGCCCGCAACAACAAGAAGACCAACATCATGGAATATGAATGCGCGGATGTAGTTGAGCAGGAACATGCTTGAGAGAGTTGTACGGAAGAACATGAACAAGAACTGAAACTACAATTTCAATTGCAGAACATTTTTTTAGCCAAACAGAGAAAAAAGCGCAGGATAAGTTGTACCATTTGTTTCCCCAGTCCCTGATCCTGTTCTTCGAGTAGGTCCGCCCCCGTATCATCCAGCTCCTCCTTCTCTCTTTTCAGTTTTGCTTCCGCTCGCCGTCTCCTCGCGGCTATTCGCTCTTCCCGGTCGGGAAGGTTGGCGATCTCCATCTTGAGGATGGTCTGTCTCTGTTGTAGTTAGAGGAACTTTTATTGTTATTCTCCTACTTCCCTGGATGGTACTACACCCGGCGTTGGGTGACTGCAACAGAGGATGCTTCTTGTCCGCTTCACAGAAGTAGATGCCTCTACTAGTCCGCTTGACAGGAGAAGCGCAGTCGTAGTTGGCGCTGCTTTTTTTCGTTGATTTTTTGTGGGTCTGAGGTGTGTCAGCTGCGGAGAAGTAGCTCGGAGTAGCTCTGCAGCTCCCTTTTCCTTTGTTTTCAAGTTCGAATTAAATTCGCACCACCAGCAGGGACCACAGGGAGAGGATGATGATGCACCACGAATGGAGCAGGACGCTGCTCTCACTTGTCTTGATTTCCTGACGCCGTGTTACCCGCAGCAACAACTTTTTGTTTTTTGCCGGGCCACGTCGAAAGTTGTCACGGATAAGCTGCGGCTTTTCGCCAAAGCTGTAGTTGTAGTTCTTGTCGTGCTGCTGCCTGGAGAACTACAAGTATGGTAAACAACTAGCCAGAACTTCCGTCGTTAGTTGAGGACGTCTGTCGGTGTAGCAGAGCTGCGGCTCCTTCGTTCTGCTAGTGAGTCGATGTCGGTCCGGATATTGGCGTGTGCGTATAACTCGCGGTACGACTGTTTGCTCCTCGAATAGAAGCAGTTCTTTGCAGCTTTGATGCTCACTGAAGTAGAATTGCCTCGTCGCAGGAGCGCGAAGAAAAATGTCCGGCCGCTGGAAAATTTAGTTGCACGTCGCCGTTTGTTCTCGTCGTGTCAAAAATCCGCCTCTGTCGTGCCGTGACGACAATAAGCAACTTCTTTTCCGCTACGGCGTGGAAGCTGCACGGGGCCCTGGAAATCCTCGGACTCACTCGCAGCGGGGCTAAGACCTCCTAGGAAGACCTGGGACTCGGTGACGGTGATGACTCGGTACTGTAATCGTATCAAACGACTTCGCGTGTTGGTAGTGGTCGTCAGTAGAATGACCGCGAAAGAGCCAATCGCGGTTGCGGCACGAAGACAACCCACCGGTGGACCGCACGGCCCAGGCCCTTGAACGAACAGACTTTCTGCCTGCACTGAGGTGCTCGTAGTTAGCAGCGAAGCGCGGTTGATGTATCACTTCCTCTAAGGACGACTTTAGATCTGTTTACTTAGTGCGCTTATTTCTCACCATTGCTAAAAAGTTTTCTCCTTCGAGTTCGAGGCTTATTGGGAACGAAATCCGAGAATGACAATGAAACTTTATGTCGCGAAAAAAACCATCCTAAGTTCTGACTCCGATGCGAAGTGCCGATATTAGAAGCTGCGACTCCTTCGAAAGATCAGGCTCGAAATCCGCTCAATTAAACGTCCATCTCGATTCACTCCTGTTCACGACTCAGGATCAAACGCTCGAGAACCTTTAATTGGAGACGAAATCTTCAAAACCCCAGACAACTAAATTGGAAAAAGGAACAACGAGCGAAATACAGACTGCACACGCGATTGGAGTTTCGTTTACTGTCAGACCGATACTGAATTCAGTGCAGCAAAAATGCCGCGGCGCTTTCGCTTCGTTCGTAACTGCCACGAGGTCAACGTCGTCCGTGAAACTTTTCTCACTTGAACTTGATCCATCAACTGTCATCGCAAACATACACGGTATCGCTTATGTAGTTCTTGTTTGGCCCGCGTATTCTGTACCGCAGTCGGAAGGACTTTATTGTCGGCTTCGGCAGTTCTTTATCAACACTACCCATAGTTCTTTATCAACCAAAAATGTGCTAACGTTAACGGTTTTGGGGCATTGCAGTCATGCATGACAAATTTTCGCTATCATCCATGCTATGCAATACAAATTTGGGCGTCTTTTCTCGTGCATTCCTGCATGCCAAATTCCGTTAACGTTAACACTTTTTGGTATGATATTCTTCTTGGCAGTCGGAGCCACGCTTCGTAACGATCCTTTCCGCACAGGAAACCCCCTGTAGTGTTCTGCACCGCTGATAGCCAGAGAGGTGATATCCTTGCATCTTCGTTTGGGTTCTTTACAGAACTTTGATTCATTTCATTTGGATTATCCTCACCACGTTGGACGTTTCTACTTCCACTTGATGAACCCGACTCGAACTGCGCTAGCGGCGTTTGGCGCAGCGTTTCGGCGACGCTCAACCCACCTCCGCTGCCCCCGTTCGCACTCTTGTTGTGCTCGTAAATGGAGGCAAAGTCTACAAGAGGAGCTTCGGCGGGTAGTTGATCATCCATTGCGTCAGGTTCGCCGGTCGGACTTCCGTCAATTGAGCTCGCGGCGCCTCCACCTGGAACAGAGCCAGTTTGACGACCTTGGCCTGTTGATGAAGACCGTCTTTTCCCTACATGCCACCTGTACGTCTGTTGGAACGGCAAAGATGACCTAGTTGTGCCCGTTGCATTAGTGGCACCACGCCCCACCTGGTGGAAGTGGTCCCCTTTGATATTCTCCTGCTTCTCACAATGGAAACTGCCTTCCTCTGTGTAATCAAGCCACACGGAAGATGATGAGGACGTGTCGGGTTGTGTTTGATCCGTCCTCTCGTCGCTTCGACTTACTCTTATGTGAGCAGAATCTTCTTCTACTTCATCTTCAGCCTCGTCAGTAGCTTTTCTCGTCCACCTCGCGGACCCATTGCATCGATATACCAGCCGACTTGTGGCTGCAAGTGCCTGCATGTCGTGTTCCCAGGCAGCGCGCAGGTCGTCGTCTGGTGACAGAGACAGATCCTCGTGGCTTTTTTCATTTTCATTCCTTTTGCCTGTTATTATTTGTTTCTCCATCTGCCTGGTACCGAGATTCTTGGTGTCATAGTCGTGAATCAGGTACCGCTCCAAACGCCAGCCACGATGGAGCTGTGCATTCCACAGTATGCTGTCGCACCAGGCTGCGAACAGGTGGAAAGATTCATCTGTAGTCCCTTCGCTGCTCGACGTCTTCGGGTCGTTTCGTATCCTCTGCTGGTCGACGTGCACTGTTGTATTGCCATTCCCACTGCTCGTCGCGGATGAACTTCTTGCCGTCATTTTGTTTCTCTTTTTCGAAATGTTGCTAGTGAGTGATCTATGTCCTCTGAGCTCGAGAAAATGAGGGTTGGAAAGAAATTGGTTTTTAGAATAAAGCGACGTTACCAAATACTTTTGCGAGGGCGACCTGACGCCGGGCACGACCTGACTTGGCAAAAGAGCCTCAAGCATATTTTGCCAACATTGAGTAAGTACTACCCTACTTCTCCTTGCTCTTCTGTTATTTGGCCGAGTCTGGTGGTTCAACTTCAACATGATCCTCTGACAATACTTTGGAAAGGTTGTAGCAGGCTCAGCAAGGAGAAGGAGAAGCACCGAGATGCCTAGTAGGTTTCAAGTTGTCCACGATTTGCGATGAGGCGATCTTGTCCGAAGACGCAGCTGTGCTGCAGCCTGTGCGTAGAAATACGACCTTGGCATAGATACAACATCATGTGTTCTTGAGGGGATAGTAGAAATTTCGTCATGATCATCTGCCACTCTGTGACGCACGAAACACGCCAGAAGAGGAACGAATAACTCGAAGAACAAGAAATCGAACAACCGCACAACTGCCTCCTCGTCTACCGGTAGAACTTTCGAAGGCCGAGAAATCACTCGCTCTCGTCCCCATTTTACGTACGGAAATCTTCTTCAAGTGCTCCCTTCTTCCAAATTTCTTTTTGCACCTACAGGAATACACTCTGGTATTGTTCAAAAGCTCCAATTTCGTACAAGTTACAATCATTCAATATCATACAAAAACATATGTAATTCACGCCTTTTCCAGGTGGTCATATCTTAGAGTTTATTGAGAGATCATGAATATATGAAAAAATCTAAACGATTGATAAATGAGATCATCATACAAAATCCGTACCCGCAGCACTACCTCCATTTCCAGTTACCATTTAAAGGAATCGGAACATCAATCCTTTAAACGGCGGATACACTTGGAAGAATAGGCGAAATCTCCTCCGCTTTCATTCCAGTCAGAAACCGGAAATATCCCAGAAATTTCTGAAACGTGGTTCCATCCACGATGTACTGGTCCAACGGCGCGATGGCCTCCCGGGAAAAGCCCGCGGAGAGAAAGCTGACTGCGTGGCCGGGACCGCTCAGCCATTCGCTGGGCCGCAAAACGCCTTTTGCCATCTGTAGCACCACCCGTTGCACGTTCTGGACGTCCGCGAGCCACATTTTGTACTGTTGTTCCGCCAACGCGGAGTGAAATTTGATGCTCTCGCAGCGCTGGTTAATCTCGTCGCGTTCAAACAGCGCATCCACCGCGACCGCCATGCGCAGCTGGCTCAGCCGCACCGCTTTCGCCATACCCTCGACCAGGCTCTGCAGGTCTTTCGCTTCGCCGGTACTGATCTCAAGGTTGCGCTCGAAGAGGGTCTCTACGAAAGCCTGCGGACGACCAGGGAGCAGGTGTTTTGGATCAGTGCTGGTGCTGTCGATCCGCACGTCTTGTGTCCTCGGGGCTTCCAAGATGCTCTCCATGCCCTGCAGCCGTCTTCTCTTTGCCGCGGACGTTTCGGAAAATATTGAAGCATGCCAGAACGAGGAGCTGCTACTTTTACTCCCCCCATCCGTGTACCTACAAAGCCGCTCGCGGCCGCGACCCACGTATTCTTGATTAGGTGCATGGAGCGTCGCACCTGAAAAAGATACTGCCGGCTCCTGGCCAAATTGCGGAGCTGGCCACGAGTTCAGATCATCCTGCAGAACAGCGCTCATCCCTCCCTTCTTCAACGGTTCAAGCAACGAATCTTTCACTCCCTCTGTGCTCCGGCCAATTTCCGCTTTTTGCTCGCGACTCACCAGATGCCGCAAGGTTTCGCCCCAAGAAGAAGAGGAGGAGGGTCCGCTTTGACGTCCTCCCGGATGAAGACCCTCTGCTTGAGCAGCGACACGACCTGTTTGCGTCAAACTCACCGCGGCCCCGCCCGCTGCCGCCAGTTGTGCGGCCGACGAAGCTGCTGACCCGGGTGCTGACGTGGCGCCACGGAGAAGTTGTAGTTGTCCACCTAAAGCCTGAGCTTGTGGTCCTTTTGCTTGTTGAGCTTGCTGCTGTAAACCTTCTTGGACCTCCCTGCACTTTTTTAGAAATTCGTTGGTTTGTCTCCGAAACGCCGAGGACCTCTGACAGAACCCCAATTCCCATTCTAACCGCTGTGCGGGGGTACTACCAAGCGTAATTTGCGCACCGTCGGCGCAAAACGACTGGTCCACGACGTGCGTCTGCGTTTTCGCGAAAGGCACGAGTCCCGCGTCGTAGTTCCAACTGCCTTCGCATTGCGCGGTCAGTGTGGAGCCGGTGTAGTACAGGGCTACCGCTGCGGCCGCCGCGGCGCTCACGACAACCAGGGTCCGAAATTGTTTCTGTTTGTCTGTCATCGATCCTTCTTTTTTTTCATCACCCTGCACGACCTTGTTGCTTCCCTTCTCCGCGGGAAGACGTCCTCCCGAAGAACCCGTAGTTTTGCCAGATACAAACGCCTGGTAAAGAACCGGCTTCAGCGCCGCCACCAGATTCGCTAAGCCGCTCTTGGCGGCGCTCGAAGTGAGGGCAAACAAAATCCCGGCGCGCAACAGGGTATTGTGAAACTCCGGGTCCTCGTGCAGAACTGCGAAAGACGATTCCCAACTGCCACTGTACCAGTGAAGGAACAGTTGCGCCAGCGGCATAATCGTCAGCGACGTGGAATACAAATCGAGAAATGCCTCCTTGGATTCCTGGACTTTTTGGAACGCGAAAAAGGCCCCGTCATCGTCGTCACCGCTCGCGGCCCTCGCAGCCAGCGCTCGAGCTCGTGTAGCTGTACTAGATCCTACTTGCCCGTCTTCCTGCGCCTCCCTTAGTTGCTGCCGCGCCTCTCGCTCCGTCATCCATTGGAGCAAGTTATCCAGCACTCGCCTTTGAAAGGGTTCCCGCGGAGCCACATCATTCAGCACCTTGTAAATCTGGGCAGCGTCTTCGTCGAGGGTCTGTGGATAATGCGATGAAGTGATAGTTGTATAACGCCAACCTACTTCTACGTAAAAATAAAAAAAAAATTTCCATTTGCATTCATGATGGGCACAATTATTATTTTGCGCTTCGTGTTAGCTTTTCATTTGACAGTCATTTTCATTTTCTGCGACAACTTATAGCCAATGTCTTTTCTCGGAAAACAACCTCCATGTGAAGAACTTCAGCAAGGTCAATACCTTTTTCAACGGCGCTGTGGCAGTGTAGCGCTGGAGAAGCGGTTTCATCGGCCGGGCCGCTGCGTTCCCAAAGCTCAACGCCGAAGCGGTCCAGCGCAACGCCGTGCCGGCCCCGGTCTGGCAGCCGGGGAACCACTGCCCAAGCGTGAAGTAAAAGGTCCACCGTGACACGGTCTCCATCAAACGGCCAGGCAGCCTCCACGAGTCGGCAAACGGTCGCCAGAACGCTTTGGTCGAGTAGGTGAGCGCCGCGACGATCGACAGGGACGCCTTGGCCCGCCGGGCCGTGGCGACTGCCGAGACGACGCCCGCAGCGGTGGCTCCTGCGGCACCCGGAGCCAGAATGTCCGCGCTGGTCATGCCGGGCCCGTACTGCACGACAATGTTGATCAGCCCAAAGGTGACGAATTCCCGGCAGACCCACCCCGCTAGGCTTTTCGCAACGTTGACGGCGTCGCGCCCCGCGTCGGCCCAAACAAAATTGTGAACGCGCTCCTGGAAAAAATCGTTGACCGCAAGCTGCAGGGCCTGCCGCAGCAACCGTTGCTTCTGCTCGAGTTCTGCCCTGTCGGAGGCACTCAGGTCCGCGGCGCCCGTTCCATCGGGAAAAGATGTGGATGTCCTCGTAACGGGGTATTCGGCTCCCGTGTACAAACCGTTCCCCTCCCATGAGACTACTAGCTCTTCATCCTGTCCCTCGTTAGTCACATAACGCAGTGGCCGCCCTGTTGTGCTGTACGGAAGATCATCAAGCACTTGCGCGTCGTGCATGCTTTGTCCCATTACCGGGCATTCCTTCAATCTCCTCAATTCCTCCTTTTCTCTGTGGACCTGCAGGTGCAGCTGCTCCAGATCGTCTGTGACCCATTCGCACAACGCCGTCGAGCTAACTACGCAGCCACCCGATCGGTCGGCTGCACTTCCAAGGAGTTTTAAAATCTCCCGGATTCGCTCGGCCTCGCGGGCTGGACGACCCGTCGCCACGCGTGACGTTGATGATGTTGCCGGGGACGCAGCAATTACATGTTGCCCCCGCCCGCTTTCAAGGTCTACAGCTTCTGGGGATGATGGACCTGCACCACCGCCTTGCTCCACTGATAGTTGCAGTTGTCGTTCTCCTCCTGGCAATACTTGATGCTGTTGTCCTGACGATGATGCTAATGATGATGATGATGATGATGATGATGATGAACCAGAGCTACTAGCACCACCGCTCGCCCCTTCCTCCTCCGTCGGCGAAATTGCCCCAAGCTCCTCGACCCTCTTCAAAAATCGGTGTAGCACCTCCACCACCAGCTCGTGCTGCACTTTTGGGTCCGCCACCCAGGAACCGGATTTTTTGGCTTTCCCAGTCGACACGGGGTCGTCGACTTTTAGAGCAGCAGGGTTGCTGTGCTGGACGTACTGAAATCCTAAGAGGTGGTGCCCCAGCTTCAGACACCCATTGTTGGAGTACCGTCCGGATTTTTTGCAGCTCAGTTCGAAGTTGTTCCAAAGAGACTCGAAGAAGTGCTTGACCACGTCCTTGTTGGCGAAGAGGCGGTCTCCATCCGGCTCGCTTTCAAAATCCTTTTTCAGAAGAAGGTCGGTTGTAGTGGCGACGGAAGCAGGATCCGCACTTGGGGCCAGCGCGCGCGGCGCACCACGCGGCACCGGTGGGTGCTTCGATGGCCTGGATGAATGTGCGGCGTAAAGCTGCCGACCAGCACCACGTCCGGAGCTGCCATATTGCTGGTCTAGCACCGAGAGATCCAACCCACCATGATCCTGCCTCGCACCGCCGCGGGAATTAGATCCGGGCGAAGCAAGAGAGGCGCGCGGCCGGTACAGGGGTGATGAGGTAGAGGAGGACGAAGACGCAGCAGCGCTCTCACCATTGCTCTCGTCAGCGGCCGCCACTCGCGAAGTCGAAGGCGGAGACCGCGATCGGTCTCTAGTAGCTCTGGTGCCTTCTTCCACCGGACGCTGGAGTTCAACGTCTTCAGGTTTGAATGCAGCTCTCCTGCGCCCCGAGGCTACTTCCGAAAAGCTTGCGATCAGCACGGTGGCAACAGTGGCCACCAATCGCCGCGACAGTGAGTTGTGCGCTCGTGCGCGATATTCCATCTGCGTCATTTTGTGTCGTTTTACTTCTGGAGTAGAATCGCAAGCAGTAGTAGGTGGCTTCGGTATTCCGTAATATTTGTTCAGCGTTGTTGATATTTTTGTGTGCGTTAACCGCGTTGACAGGGAAATTGCTGGTTTCTGACTCTGGCAATAGCGTCGAGTTATTTGTTTTGCATTGGAAAATCAAAATTGATGTTTTTGCAAAAAGTCGGTAGGCTGCTTCTCTTTTTTCTGCTATCGAACTAAATACGACAGGTCAGTCACAATAATTGTACATGTAGTCCATGCTTGTGTGTCAATCTTGATTTTGTGATATAGTTTTGGTGCTATAATCTTACAACAAAGTGAGAATAATTGCTTAAAATTTTACAACAAGTGAGAATTATGTTGAGATAATTGCTTAGATTTTACAACAGTGTAGTGAAATTCTTTATTTTCTTCCATAGCTATCAATTTTTCGCTATCAAAACGAACTTCTAAAAACTCTTCGAAGTTCGCGTCACAGCACCTTCTGGTGGGTGTAGATAATCCCCTAAATTTTATTCTTACAGGAAGAGTGGCCAGTGTTAGTGGCTGCTTCAATTGTCGTGGTCTAAGAGGAAATCTCTAAAAAGCACGGACAAGAATCCTCTTAATAAAGTGTGAGTTTTATTGCATCGGGTACTTTCTTAAACGAACTTCAAGACAGTTCGACACGACTGAATCTGAAAAATTTTGGATTAAACATAAGTGGTGAAAAAGGGGTCTTTGGTTACCAGATCAGGGCAAGATCTTACAGGTTCACGAACGCTTGCCGTGGTGCGTTAGCGTTGCCCTTCTTCTCTCCTTCGTGATGTTATTCTAAATCTGCATACCTGCATTATACGTAAGATTGAGATCTATCTTGGACTTGGTTGAGCATGTGCATGTCGCTTCTGCGCAGTCTTTGTAATTCCTGACCTTTCGCCGTTCAGGAGATCTCTACGATCAGCTCCAATGCTAGGCTACTGGATGTCCTTCGTGACAACAATCGAGCGAGGATCGCGTTCGAGATCGTGATGCAGAAGTTGTATTTGTATGGCTTTGGCATATTATCATCTATCACGACTGCAGATCAGGATCACCTTCACACACAAGCTGCAACAGTGCGGTTTTAGAAGTACTTCTTCCCACAACTGAGCGGGTCTGCTTCAGAACAAAAATATTTATGACGTCCAGCAAGCCAAGAGCAGCCTGTCTACTACATTCCCTCGTGGTGCTAAAAATTAATATTTTTTACCACATGACTTCAATTAATGATCACAATACATCAACAGTAGGACCAACATCATCAACATGATCCGGACGATCGTTTTTACAAAGCTGCAACGAAAATTCAACAGCGTCACTCTACGCCCTCAGCTATCGCTGGAGCATCGACCCGTAAAGGCTGTTCCCTGGTGCTGGACCTCCTTGCATCGCTCCTCCCTCTGGTGTACCTCCTGTTATCAGCGCACGATAGTCGGGCGGCTCGACGTCCAGAAAGCCCCGCATCTGTTCCTTCATACCTTCGACTGCAAGCTCTGCCTGCCGCACCGTACTGGCCATCGCGTGCAGGAAGCGCTCACTGCGCGAAGACACATTCCGGCTCTGCTCCTGCAGTTGCTTCAGCGTCAGCTTCGTTACGGCGTCCGGATCCATCTGTAGGGCCTCCTGGTACGCTTCCTCTGCGCGGGTGCGCATCGCGGTATTTCCCTTCAGGATCGACACGGCCTGGGAGGACGCGTCCTTCAACACGTTCAATGCCGACATGGTTTGCAGCAGTGCCGAGTTGGCGGCGAAGCCCCGTATGGTTCGCGTCGGGTACATGTTTGGAATGTCGAACCCCCCGGCCGCGCTCGGCCCACCGGGCGGCGGAAAACTTCCCGGGTGCTGGCTCGGGATCGCAAACTCGGGAATGGGGGGTAACCCCGCGTTGGCGGCGGGCGAATTCGCAACGGCTTTCGGGGGGAACCCTTCGGAAAGACTCTCGTTCGGCCAGTGCTTCTCCTTGGCCAGCTCCGCGAGTGCCTGCTCCGCGGCTGGAACGGCGGAGGAGGAGGAGGAGAGAAGACCCATGATTTGTTTTCCTTCTTGGTAGAAAAGGCAAGTGTCTTATTTCAACAAAAACGCAGGAACAAGATGGAGGACAGATCTGCACTTCGCTCACTACACTTACACAAACTCAACGATACATGAGACAAAGAACGCGTCATCAACTACACCGGCTTCAATATGTCATGGAGGGGAAGTCATGAGTGATCATGCTGAGGAAGTCATGAATGACTAGACGACGAGAAAAGCTTTGTCACTCAAACTTCGACTGCACTCATTAGGGATAGCGATAGGGTTAATAAAGAGAAACGGCCACCAAATTATACTTGACGAAGCCAGTGCAGACGAGTGCTCCACCTCCGCAGAGCAGGCGATGACGATCAGGAACTGTCACGACAAAATTGAATAAGTTCGGTTTTTCCGAACAAAATCGAACGTTCTTAGTCCTCCGAGAAAAAATCACGACTCGAATAGCCCGTCGAGTGCCACTAAACGATCACCGCACTTGCAGGTACTGATTTATTATTATTTTCGTCTCTGTCGTGTCGTCCATCGGACGCGTACATTGAGATTGATTCCTTTTGTCTTCGAAGTAAATGCGACTAGCAGACAGCCTGGGGGGCTCACGTTATGATTGTGCGCTGGAGGTCGATCTGATTTTGGAAAAGGAGCTATGCTACCTCTCATTTTTAAGCTGAATATTTATTCGTCCTGTTCTGCGTCTATCGAGGACAGACTCCTGAAATTGTGCATACGTCATCGAGGATGGGGATAAATGGGAATGGGGAAAAATGATCAAAAAAGGCAGTTTTGTGTTTGCTAAAACTGAAACCGAAAAAACGATCTTCAAGTTTTCGTTTGGCAGCGGCCGTGCACACGACGACGCTCCTCATTTTCTCGGACCGGTAGCAGGAGGAACCGAGGCTGCAGTAGCGCCGCCGCTGCTGCCGGCCGGAACGGCTAAAGACTTGCTGCCTCCAGCAGGACCACTAGTTCCGTCCAACCGCCCTAGAAACACGTTGTCGAGGATGATGTGGTAGCTGACCCAGGGGTGGGCCTTCATAAACAACTCCGTCCCGTCCTGTCCGGCGGCCTGCAGGACGGTGCCTTTCCCGCCGGGATGCTTGTTCATGTAGGCCGTGCAGTCGTACACGCAATTCCCCTATGCATTGCAAATATGTCTGGGTCTGGAAACTTGTGATGCAAGAAAGAGAATAGTGAACTCACAATGATGCGCTGCCAAGCATGACAAGTTTTTTTCATGGTTCTGAGTTGCGTATTCCGCATGACAAACTGCGTTTTTGCATAACAGGGAGGCGGAGCTCTTCGCGGCCATGCAACACAGAGTTATTTGGACTGGAATTCGCTCGATGAAATAACGCGTTTGGATTTTCGTGGATTTTTCGCGCGCGTAAATACGATGGCAGAGCGTGTGTCTGGGGCGAGCGTTTGGGCTCTGTGGGCCTTGCATGGCTTGCGCTATTTCTAGAATTGTTCGGCTTGGGGTGGCATTTAAAGACCCTCCCGATGGCAATCGCGCCGCTTCATGAAGGCCGAAGAGGGGCGCGAAGCGTTCGGGGGGCGTTTGGCCTGGTTATGGTGCGCAAACACTCGCCTCCTGCTTGGCCGGTCCCGATCGTTTCGGCGCGGCACCAAACTCGCCGGGGGCCCGAAGCAAACACGCGAGGGCGGCGCGGAAGCAATAGGCCCCGCTGTCCTCAGCTGCAAAGCTGCGGCCAACGGGAACGAAACCCAACCCACAAAGATCAAGGAACGCAACCTATTCCACGACGCGGCCCCGCCCGCGGCCCTGTGATGGCCGGCGGGCCTTTCAATACCTTGATGGGGGGTCGAGCACCTGTGGAGGGGCATTCAACTACCCCCCCCCCGACCCCACCCCTGTGCGGCTCCACCTGCACAGGGATTTCATGCGGATTTTCCAGGATTTTTCCGCAAATATTTGGATTTTGGGAAAAAATAAAAGGATGTTTTCTCTGACTCGACCATAGCACGCGGGAAAGAAGTTATCCTTTTATTTTTTGAGGCAGCCAAAAAAAATCCACGGAAATCCGGAAGGAGGAAGGGTGGTGGGTCAGCCCCCTCCGATCGTCTGCTCTTTTGAAAATCCACGGCGCCCGAAGATAGGGGGTCAACCATCGGGGCGCGCAACATAATGCTCTGCAAACAAGCCGGTGAGCTTGTCTCATCGGGGTCGTACGATCTTCAATCAGATAGAATAATAGTGGCAAGGATGACCTGCGCCTGTTCCGGGGCTTTTTCGTCGGTGGTTCGGGGCGCCGTGATAGGTCTTTGGCCATTTTTGTTGGTTACGACTTAACAAAGCGCACGCACACCCCAACCCGAATGAGGACGCCGGGGTTGGGGTAGCGGCTTAGAATTAAAGCTGCTGCGCGCGGCCTTGGCGCATTGTAGACTTCGGCTGAGCCCACTGCGCCTGAGCCTGATGCCCCGCAGGCCCCGGAGGTCGGGGCCCCAGTAGCGCAGGTTGTGTCGCTAGATCAGCTGCCACGCCTTTGCTACAGCTGCAGCAATACTACTCCCGGTGGGCAAGCGCCTCTAAAGCGCTCGGGGCTACATGTTGCTGCTCCTCTTTGTGCGACAAAAATCCAAAAAAATCCAAACGGAATCCTTCATCGATGAACTCTTATCCGAGAGTTTAGACTAGCATGACAAATCTCGCAATCTTCCAGACCCAGACATTTTTGCACTTGATATCCCCAGCACCATCCACAAATCCTTCCGCGTTTTGTGCTTTTCCACTTCGGCCATGCTGATTTTCACATTGGCATTTGCGTGTTTCTTGTGGTACACCGGCATGGGCAGCGGTTTCTTCTGCAGCGCCCGCAGCTTGTCCCGGGGGTCGGGTCGGGGTGGGGATTTCCCGTCGATGGTAACCAGGTCGTCCACATTGAATGCTTCGCCCTCGGGCTTCGGGAACCGGCTTTGCTGGGGAAATTTCTTGCCCGCTCCGGGTTTCCGCAGCTGCCTGGATCGATTCTGCGGCGGGAGATTGTCGGTGTCGCTCTCTGCTGGTGCTGTAGGAAACAAATTGGAGGCTGCAGTAGTGGCGGAAGTTGTTGTAGAGGAGCTGCTAACTACATCTTCCGGGTGTGCCAGCTGCCATTGCTGCAGCCTCTCCGCGTAGCCCGGGGACCACTTGTATTTACCGATCCGCGAAGTGAAGTTTTCCTCGTCCGTGGTGCTTTGTAAATCTTGGTCGCGATGAACAGCTTCAGAGGTCTTGGATGCTGTCAAATCTTCATGCGCCAGAAGACCTGCAACTTCTCGAGGGGAAAGTACACTCGCAGCTGCACCTCCGGAAGATGAGAAGGGTTTAGTAGGAAGCTGCACAGCCATTCCTGGAAGTGTGTTTTGACGGGCAGGCGGACCTAGTACACCGTGCGGGTCCACGGTTTTTCGTGCTTCGTCGATGGTATGATCTCGTGTATGTGTATCAAAATCGTTGAAAGAATCTGCGATCGCTGCGGTCGCCTGGTCCTCCTCCGCCAGGAGCGGCAATCTCGAACTCGATGGTACAACGAGGGGTTCGGAATTTTCATCTGCAGCTACTACTTGGCCACAGGAGCACACCGTTCCCGCGGCGTCACGAAGTCTGTCCAGTACCCAAGTCATGTTGCTGCCTCGGTTGGTGGTTAACCTTAACGGTGAATTACTAAGTACGGAAGAAGAAAATAGCTAGAACTTGTCAACGGCAGCGGCAGCGCGTTGCAACGCAATACAGATGTTCAAATGCTGAAATCGAAAATTTTGTACGGCTACGGGGTCGAAAATACGGCTACGGAGTCGAAAATTCTAAAATTTCAAATACACTTCTGCAGGGGTGGTGGAAGAACTTTAGTGGAGATTTAAAAGCTGTGGAAGTGGTTGGCTCGTCATCACGGGAAATTCATCAGCGTCATGCAACAACTTTCATGATCGACCAGGACGATCATTCGCAGAAAAACTTCCATATGCGACCGATTCGCCGTAGCATTTTCCAAAAAGACACGATTCCAACCGACATCTCCATCGCGAGTGTTGAAAAATTACGACGACCATCAACCGAGTGCATAGAAGGGAAAATCTCGAATGACCGAAGCGTAAAGTAAATTTATTTTCTCGATTGCTATATTGAAATGAAAAAGAACGACAACGACCGAGCTTCATCTGACACGAGTTTCAAGCTTTCTTCAATCAACCACGGGGTTTCGTCTAAATCGCAGTCGCTATTCTTGATTACTGACGATACAGTCACGTCGCCACGTCGTGGTCTGCAGATAGGTCCTGTACCGTGGTCTATGCTTGGCAGTGGGATGGTTAATTTTGTTTTTATTTATCGATTTCTTTTTGTGATTCGTGAAATCCCTCATCAAGTAGAGATTTTGATTTTTTGGAGGTTGGCGAGGGAGACGAGGGACGAGCTGATCTACGGCATACTGATTTTCTCATCGAAGCTTGGTAAAAAATCTGCTTGCGTCCCCAAAGAATCGACGTCATGAGTACGGACCTTCCCCAAAGCAGGAGACGAGCTCCTCGCGTCCGGTGCAGTATTTCCAATTTGTCGAAGAAGCTGCAAAATCTATGCGGTATGATACGACAACCTGGTTGATAAACCACTTCGACCAAGTTGTTTCTCATTGTCGTCCTGAGACTATCAGAAAAAGTAGAAAAAGTATCTATAAATCTAAATCAAGAAAAAAGTATAAAGATATAAACGACCCTGAAAATAATAAATGGGTGGCCCGCGTCCGCCACATCTTGCTTATTGGTACAATGCCAGAGCAAAAATATCTGAATAAAGTTGTCGCAGAAGTTGAAGTTCCAATACCAAATGACCTGTATAAAATCGCGCAGCCAATATAAGCTAAGTATGCTAAGAATAATTTCATCTAAACGCATCAAAACGAAGCGATGGTCCCTACCTCATTCCTTGGTCTTGCTTGAAAAACTGGTGAGCCCATGCCATCAAAACAATCAGTGCCATCGTAGTTCCTCAGAAAAAAGAGTCATCCGGCGGTGGTGGCGGCGGTGGTGGGGATGTCGAGAGACTGGAAAACACGTCCGACGCCGGTGGCGGCGGAATACTTTCATCGTCCGACAAAACCATTTCGTCAATCAAGTTTCCAATCCGCTCGTCCCGATTTTTTGAAATCATGCGAGTGTTGTAATTGCTGAAAGTACTTGCTCTAATATTCTGGTGCTGATTGTGAGCAGGAGCTTGTTGTGCCTGATGCTGGTGATGCACAAGGTGTGGAGCAGTCAGATTGCTGTTGGTCCGAAATAACTGTTGCGGCCCTCCACCTCCGTAATTGTTGTTGTTCGTGCTGTTACCTCCCATCGGGTTCACCCGATGATGAACTCCCGTCGCAGCCCCTGCACCCCCGTGGTGTAGTACTTTCGCAGGATTTTGGTTGTGCTGAACAGGAAGAACACCACCACCTCCGGGAGCGCCAACGTGATGATGCTGCCGATTCCGCATGCGGTGTTGCAGGTGCTGCTGGTGCTGCACAGCCGCCACCCTGCTCGTCCCTATGGTAGTTGGCGCTGTTTTGGTATTGGTGCTACAACTCGGCATCCATCCGGTTTTTCCCCCTGGAAACTGCTGGTGCTGGTGACTAACGCCAGCAGAACTAGCATGGTGACCTGCTCCATGAGCTCCTGCTGCTGCACCTCCAAAAGCAGAGCCCCCATTGCTGTTTTTTCCGTTGTTACTTGTTCCTGCCATATTGTTATTCCCAGCAAGCAGGCCGTTGTTCCCCTTCCCGTTGCTCATCAAATTATTACCTTTCCCGGCGACTCCAGAGCTGCTACTGCTGCTAGAACTAGATCTATTTCCGCAGCTGTTCATCCCTGCATTCATCGCGGCAGTGGAAGTGACACCTCGCCTGCTGCTGTTACAAGTGTTTGATATCCCGTTAGTGCTAGAAACCAAAACCGCACTGCTACTCGCCGCTGTGGGGGCTGTGGCCGATCTCAGATGGTGTTGTTGCGTCGCGACACATGTAGCTCTTGCTCCTGTTGATTCACGTGCTGGCAGTTGCTGATTATTAGGTTGCTCTACCACCTCGCGCTGTAGTTCCGCAGTAGAACTACTACTAGAAGTACTAGCGGCACAACTATTGACGTCAAGAAACAAATCCGCTAGCGAGATTTTATTCCGTCTCGCGGCCGTGGTGCTCGGGGGAAAGATTCCGTTTTTCTGGTCCAGGCTCGTTTTGTCAAAATCCTCCATCTCCACCATGTTCAAATCCAGAACCTTCTTCCGCTGCGCCTGCACCAATTTCTCCTCCTCTTTTGTGTCCCCAAACACAAACCCGCTGGTGGGGGCGTCCAACCCGAAGATTTCCCGCCCGCCAAAGATGTTGGTCATATCCACAGAAAAAAACCCATCCCCATGCATTTTTTGCATGACAAACGCAAGACTTGATACGTGTTTTGCATTGACAAATTGGATGTGGATGGGCATTTTTTTCCTGGATAGGTTAGGTACTCTTCATCCACGTTCGGCTGCTGTGTCGGAGCCGGTGGGGTCGCGGCCCCTCCTGCACTTGCAGGCTGATGCCCTTCTATCGCATTCGTTGTATTGAAGACCACCGACGTGCTGGCCACTTCCTCGTTGGACACCAAGTCCACCGTCAACATATCGACCTCCCCGGTCAGCTCGTTCGTGGTCGAGGCCGTCTTCCCGTGTTGCCGCGTCTTGCACGAAACGCTTTCGAAGGCCGTTGTGTTTATTTCCTCGTCGTAGTCGACGTCGTCTTGGAAATTATTGTTTATGTTTTCATCGTCGATCATATTCTCTTCGCCTGGGCCTGCTTCCAGAACAACATCAACCCCCTGCTCGCGGAAGCTGTTGAGTAGCTCGAGGTTCTTCCGTAACTGTTCTGGGTCCCACTGGTTCAACTGCTGGTACAGCGGGTGTTGTTCGTGTTGTTGTACTTCCGCAGTTTGATTTGTTTCTCCTCGTATTTCTGCTGCTACTTCAGGCCGCGCGTTTTTTTCCTCTCGCTGTTGCTGCTGCTTTTCCAGTTGCATTTCCTTTTCGTTTTCCACCACCGCCGGGGACCTCAAAAATTCTTTGTCCCGGGAAGAGGAAGACAACTCCTGTACTAAAGTAGAAGATGTGACTTTGATGTTGTTCTCTACTTGTTGTTCAACACACGAGGAACTACTAGTAGAAGTCCCGCCCATAACAGCACTACTACTGCTCGTGGTCTTCACTACCGCCTCCACCGCCACTTCGGTTGATGTTCCGCTTATCACAGGAACAAGTGTTAACGTTACACGGAATTTGTGATGCAGCAATGCATCACAACACGTGTCAGAATTTGTCATGCACAGCATGCGTATTGGGCTAAGTACATTTGTGATGCATGACTGCAATCTGTGATGAAAACCGGTAACGTACAACACTTTTTCCTGTGATACCGCTCCTGGCAGTAACATGAATCTGCGGGACGAGCTCGAGCGAAGAAGCGGCATTTGATGTTGTTGTTCCGTGGGCGGAGGACGTCAATGTCGCCAACAGAGAAGAATCAGAATGAGTTTTCATCTTTGCGGTGTGGTCCTTGGCTGCGCTTTCGTTCTCCATCACACAACTGCCTTTTGACACGGTCGCGGCGGTGGTCGGGCTGGTTTCGGGCAAGGACGAGCCTTATCGAATGCAAAAATGTCTGGGTCTGGAAGATTACCAGGCTTGTCATGCATATTTGGAATGACCCATGATGTCTGTAATGCATGCCCTAGCTTCACAGATTTTTGGAGGACTTTGTGATGCCTCTGCCGCATGAGAAATGCCCTCTCCGCGTAGCACAAAGAGGAGTCCTCTTGCTGGTCATGCAATACAAATTTTTTCAGAATCCAGAGACAGCATTTACAAGTTTAGAATCTTCCAGACCCAGACATTTTTGCAATGCATAAGCTTCCGCTTGGGGACGGCGAAGGCATAGGCAGTAGCTGCGTGGCCCTGGGAGAAGTAGCAGAAATGCTATTGTTAGAACCATCTGCGGCCCTGCAAACGGACAAAAGAGGGCTGGGTCGCGGAGGCGGGCTGCGCATCGGCCGGGGAGGTGGAGCAAGAGCAGGTTGATGCGGTGGGGTTGTAGAAGCACAGCTATGTGGCCGTTCGCTGTTATTGTTCATTTGGTCACGCTGGAAAATTGTGTTCGCTAGCACAGTAGAAGTAGCAGCTTCAGTAGAAGTAGCAGCTTCGTTTGTAGTCTTTGTGCTCACATCATCCAAGAGCGCATTCTTGGAGGAAGAGGAAGCCGCGCTAAGTAGCCCTCCACCTCGACGAGATAACGACGCACCGTCGCAGCTCGCGTTCGGTCCGGTCACTGTGTTCGTCGTCGTGCTACAGGTTGCCAAGTCCTCTGTTTGTGGCGCCATCGGTGGCGGTCGGGAGGGAGGGTTCTTTGCGAGTGGAGGAGGAGACGCTTCGACTTGACGCATCGGCTGCTCAGCAGGGTCTGCGACTTGAGGTGTTCTAACCGCGTTGTGTACAGAACCGTTATAACTGTTCCAGCACGTATTTATAGCGCTTTTCTTATTTTTGTCTCCGTTCGACGCGCTAGCTGTAGCTCCTCCTCCTTCCAAGGCGGCACTTATTAAAGTCGTCGACTTCGCACCCTTGTTGCTCTTCTTTGGTGTGGACTTGCTGTTCTTTTTTTTCTTCATCTCTTGCAACTGTAGGTGTTTCGGTATGAAAGCCTCAGAATGGAAATCCTCAAAGTGGGAATAATTTGTGATGCATGAAATGCAAGGCAAAAAAGACTGTATTGCGGAGGACACAATGGAGACCGACTATTGTCCTGCTAGGGGTGAAGAATTGGAGTGCTGCTTAGCACGAGAGAAGGGCACCCCTTTGCCTTAACCTGCATAACAGACATGCTTTAGGGGCCCAGGAAATTTGTCATGCGCCGACTACAAATGGCGCTTCAACTGGAGTCGTTTTTTTGCATTACAAATTATTTCCACTTTGAGGATTTCCAACCTGAGGCTGTCATATTCGGATCAACTGCTCGGTCCGTCTTTCTCTCCAGCACGACACACGAGAGAACATCGGGTTCTTTGCATGTAGCGTTCATTTCAATAGAAGTCGATGTTGCGTCGTCCCTCCTGCTGGTGTTTTCCAAAGCAGGCCCAGGGGGCTCTGGATGGACTGCGTCATTACAAGAAATTGCTCCACCGTTGTTCAATAGTGCGGCCACAGCTCCTGCATCAACTTCGTCCTCGCCGAGAACGGTATCCGTGGTGACCTCACGCTGTAATTTCATCGTGCTCGAGAAACCATCTTCGTCGCCCGAAGAAGAGGATAACGGCGCCTCCGTGGGAGCATTGCACCCAGGTGTTGTGTTCAGCAGCATCGACGTCGTGGACATCAAGCTGCCATTGCGACCGACAAGAACTGCCGTAGCGCCAGCAGGTGGTCGTGCAGATGAAGGCGAGACGGGGGCCTCGACGCCCAGAGGTCGTTTCTCTACTTTCTCGCTGCGCGGCTCCAAGTTTATTCCTTCCGGTCGCCCCGCAGCAGAAGATGTGTCGACGGCTCGGCCCGAAGTCGCATTCGTTTTCGACCTCTTGCTCGTGTAGTTCAATCCGTTGCCCTGCTGGTGGTCATCGCTTGTTCCTGGTACGCAGCTCGTACTTCTCTCCTGCTGCTCGTGGTCGTGTTTAATACTTTCGGGAGCAGCAATCTCATCGCGTTTCAGCAGCTGCAATGGTGTAGTAGTAGTGCTAGTAGGGCAGCCAGCGGCTTCGTTTTTACTGTCCTTCCCCCGTTTGTTCGCTTGAAGATTGTGTGAAGTAGAAGATGTTGATGAAAAGTTGTTGTCTAGCACATTCTCCAGATTTATATCGTCTACCGGGGACGAAGAGGCGGATGACGAAGCGTAGGTGGTTGTGTTAGAAGTGGACTTCGATTTGCTTTTAGCAGAGTTAGGTTTATCTTTGCCATTTGCCGTAGTTCCTGTTGGTACCGAAGTTGCGACGCTTCCAGCTCCACATTGCGCCCCCGGTTCCCCGCCTTTGCAGGTGACGTGCAACAGGTAGCGCTCCTCCTCGTGCTGTTGCGCCAATAACGCCGCCTTGCTTTGCTTCTTCTCCCGTGAAAGCTTCTCTGCATCCTTCTCCCGTTTTCTCTGCAGCAACGCGAACAAGTCTTTTGCCGGGCCGGAATCAAGTGGGTGATTATTTGAAGATGTTGCAGCTCCCGAAGTACTACTAGATGATGCGCCGTGGTCATTACTATTTCCACCGGTTGTAGTAGCTCCAGCTCCCCCTGCTATTGTGCTACTAAAATTCGCGGCCCCTGTAGCAGTTGGCTTCTCCTTGCTGTTGTTCTGTTTTTTCGCAAGCTTCTTCACCATGTTCGTGTGTTCCCGCTTCCTCGGTTGCTGCTTCGGCTGCACGACGGCCTTTGACGTAGTTGCTGTCGTTGGCTTGTTTGTAGAGGGGTTGGATGTCGTCGCGGAGGAGGAGGCCTGGATGGAAGTACTATTCGCTTGTTGATGATGCGGAGGATTTATTTTCGTCGTGTTGTCAATGTCATCTTGATGTTCCACGCGAACAGCTGCGTCATCTCCTGCGGCACTGTTCGTTGAAGCAGATACGTTGGCCGTTTTTCCATTTGTTGTACTTCCCTGCTGGCTGTCCTCGTTATGATCCTTTAGACAGCTGTTCTCGTCTGATTTGATACTATTTGGAGCAATTTCCGGCGCAACAGGAGCAGCTCCGCTTCTACAATTTGCAGATGATGGATCGGCAGGGGCGTGAAGCAGCGCACCCGAATCTCCCGGGGTGGTCAACGAAGAACCCACGGCGTTATTATTTTTTTCCACGCCAGACCCGTAGTTCTTTCCAGAGGATGGAGCAGCACCACCAGCACCGACAGAGACGCTTGCTAACTCGCTTTTCTCATCATTTTTCGACGCATGACCATGAGAGTCACCAAGACTGGGAGAAACAGGATGAGCTGCTCCTGTGTTTTCATCACGATAGTTGTGCGAGAGCTGATGTGCTACTGCCACCGGATCAGTTGCAGCGGTCTGCAGTATATCGGCTTGTTTAGAAGAGGTGTTTTTTCCATGATCCCCTTGCAGCATCAGAGCTTGGTTTTTAGTATCTTCAGCAACGTCAGTCGTAGTTGGTGCGCTGCTCCTACCCTCAACAACCGTGCCCGCCTCCTTCGACGGGATGATACAGCCGATCTGCTCGGCCTCCATTTGTAGTTCCGGTTCTTGTGGGTTAATGTTCTTCGGAAAATCTTTGATTCTGTCCACTACCAACGGCCTCGGTTTGTCCAGCAGACGGCGTTGTAGGAAAAGGAGCTTCTTCTTGAAGGAACGTGAGGATGAAGATGTGTTCTGCGGTAGACGTAATTTCGTTTCCTCATCTTTCCTGGAAAGAACCGAGCCTCCTCGTCCTCCTTGTTCTTCCGAGCTATTCCTTACTTTTTCAGTGTCCTTGCTTGCAAAATTTCGTATGTCCAGCTCGTCCCCGTGCAACATCTCGATTGCGGATCCAGAAGAAGAACTACAATTATCGAAATACAGCTCATGAATTTTTTCGTAACTTTCCGCCTTTCCCGACAGTTTTCCATCCAGTTGTTTTCCCCAATAATTTTCCTCCACCGGCGGATCGCCGAACAGTAGCTTCAATATTGTGTCGCTCAACACGGCTCGCCGAAACTCCAAGTCCGCATCAAACGCCCGGGTGGGGTGCGAGAAGATGCCAGGGACACTGGTGGAGCAAGAGCCTGGAGGAAGGGACAGCAAGCCAATGTCGAACGGGTATTCGGTGTACTCCAATAGCAGACTGGGCAGAATGACGTTCAGAAACTTGCAAACGGATTGGAAGTCCAGTGCGTTTTCATGTGAAGAAAGTTCTTGGCGATCATGATCTGCAACATTTCCTCGGGCAGCAGCAGCTCCTGCTCGCTTTAAGCTCGTTTTATGAAAACAAGAGCTGTTCACTACCGTAGCTCGCAACGTCAACCACTCGAGCGCGGAAATTGTCGTGTGCTGGTCCTCGGGGTCGTCAATAATGCTAGGCTCTGTCTTCCTCGTGAAGATCTTCGCTTTATTGCCTGCAGGAACTCTTCGGTAGTTGGGAAGTGAGAGGAAAGCGGTTGGTGGCTGGAGGGCAAAAGTCCTCGCACCAGAGGCATTCTTTTTCCTTCCATTCTGCGTCCTATCAAGGGCTGCAGCTCTGGACGCCGCCGTTATCTTTGTGGTCACGGTGCGATCTTCATTGGGCGGCTCGCCGTGTAGTTTCTTTCCGGCTGCTGCAGTAGTAGCAGGCGTAGTTTTATTTTCTACATCATCCATGAGCGAACTGGGACTGGCCGCTGCAAGCTCCGGCTTATTTCGGCACTTGTGAAATAGATCTTCGCGCTTCTTTTCAGAAAGGGAAACATCAGCGGCCGGGTCGTACGCTGCACTAGTTCCAGTGGCTTGCCTTACCGATTGAGCTACGGATACTACACGCCGTGCTGCTGCAGCTGTATCGTACTGGTGCAGTTTGATTCGGATCACCGGGTTGTGTTCCTTGCGCATCACGCTTTGCAAATTGCGTGTGATGATTTCTCCCCGAGTTGTTGATGCACTTATTTGTGGACAAGACCAGCTGCCGGCATGATCGCTGCCTGTGATCGTACTTTTTTCCTCTGTAGTATTCGTGACAAACCGTTTCCACCTTTCTTTGGACCGTTCGTAGAAATGAAAACGCAGCTTTTGTCTCACTGTGTTCGCCAGCAGATAGGCAAAACGTGGCGCGGGTTTAACATTTCTGGTGTCCTTGTTTTTCAACATTGGCGTCTCTTTCCGTTTTATTTTCAAGCTTCCGCCAGCTTTTGGAGAAGACGAGGACCCTGTTCTAGTTCTAGAACTTCTCTCTTGACCATGAGCACCAGCGCGCATAGTGTTAGTGTGTCGAGCTGGTTCATAAACTTCTTCTTCCGCCTCTTCTGTACGTGGAGGCAAAACTGCGGTTACCTGAACTGCTTGTCGTCCTCCCCGGTAGGTGTACAGGTGTCCCGAAAGGGCGCCCTCGCAAACAATGAAAGGAGTTGTATTACAACTAGCCGAGGGCGGATGTAGTTGTTCATGTTCTACTTGAGTAGAGTTAGTAGTTCCAGCTGGTGTAGTTGTCCCTTCTCCGTTCTTTCTAGGTGGAGGCTCTCGGGCCTCTGCTCGCGCAGATGTAGTTGAACCAGCGAAGAGTAGCTCATCGAAGGGACCACGACGGAGGTCCCCGACAGTGTCAAGAACATGGACCCGCGAAGAAGGAGGACGAGCACTGGTTTGTTTATCCCTGTTGTCCACCCGCCCGTCCGGCCTCATAATTTCAGCCTCCTCGATGGATTTGTTGCTTATTTGGTCACAGATTTGTAGCTGCGTTTTTCCATCGTCCGGCGCATCAGTTGTCCCCATGATCGCTTTCATCATTACAACATCTTGATCTACTTGCAGATCTTGTGCGGAAGATGTTGAAACAAGTGGCCTTGGAACTTCTTATTGAGAGGAAAAATCCCCCCTCCCCATATTGAAAACGCATTCGTCTGAAAATTTGTGATGCAGATTTGAGGTCACAAATCCTGTCTGTCTTGCAAGAAGGCAAAGCCAGATAGTCCGCCGCGTTATGCCGGCGGTTTGTGATGCTGTTGGGCTTACAGAGCCGACATCTGTCATGCTAGTCCCCTACGTCAAAACCCCTCGGCCCAGGCTTAGCATATGCCTGCAGTCCTCTCCAGCAAGACAGACTTGATTTGTGTACGCAAATCCAGCATCAGAAACTTCGTTTCGATATGGGGAGGGGGGATTTTTCCCTTTGATACTTCTCCGCCGTCAATCTCGACTTTCAACCAGGTAACCTCGTTATCCTGTGCAAAAGTATCGTACTCGTAGTAATCCTAATGCTAATCGCAATTATACATTACAAATCTGGTTCCCAAGGCAAATCAGCATGACAAATTTCATTTGTCATGCTGAGCGAATTTGTCTTGCAAGTACTACTAGTACGATACTTTTGCAGTGCATACTCGTACAGAAACTTTTGTCCGCGGTACAGAGCGGACATGCGCGCCGCGACTTCGCCGATGAAGAGGACCGAGGTATCCAAGAAAAAAACGTTGTTAGTGTAAATTAGTGATGCTCAACATGCAAGATGATTGCGTCTGTCATGCTTGGCATGCATCGCAGGGTCCATTAAAGGGAGTTTTCACGTACTATCTGCGCATGACAGGTTTTTGCTGTCATGCCAGACAAATTTGTAATGCTGTTCCTCCAAAAATGTTACACCTACAATGTTTTTTTCTTGGATACGAGGTTCCGGGTTTGTAGTACACGAAAACGTTCTTGTCCAAAGTTGCTGACATACGGCTGTTTATCTTTTTACCAAAAGCTCCTGCACCATGATCTCCATCGCTAGCTGTGGCTCCTATGTTATTTTTCTTCACTTTCGTACTGTACTTCCTCGCATCACAGGTCGTGAAAACGTGCCCCGAGACCAAGAATTCGTTGGCGTTCTTTCGCAGTAAGAATTTGTTTTGTGACGTCGTCGAGTCGGTTCTTGCTGTATTGGTCCTGGCACCATGATGGTCTTCGCCCGTGGAAGATGAATCACTCTCGGATGACGTTCTTGCAGTAGCTCTACCAGTAGTTCTACTACTGTCATCGACCGCTATCGGCAAAGCCTGCTCCACCGTCTCCTCTCCTCTGCCGAACAAATTCTCTGCCGCGCCGGAGGAGGTCGGGACCCAGCAGCTGTCACTGACGTCGAAAAGCTGCAGCGAGTTGAAAACCGAGAAGCCGTCGGTGCCCCCTAAAACCGCCATGAAGAGTTTTGAACGCTTTTGCCGTGCCTGGCTGTGTATGAAATGCAAAAGCATCGTACTACGTATAAATCACATGACAAATTTCCTCAGCAAGAGAAATAAAATTTGTCATGCGGGTTTAACTTGACGAGAAAAAAACTTGTATTGCATGAATGCGATTAGTACGAGTACGATACTTTTCCACAGGATACTGTGTAGTTTGTCGTTCTCCGCGACTTCCCACCAAGGGGAGACGTTATCCATGACAACAGGATTGCTGCTTTCGAGGTTGCTGTTGTTTTTCGAGTTGCTATTGCTTTGCCCATGCCGCTGAGGGTGATGTTCTACCTGGGTAGTTGTAGGGGCAGCTCCTGGTACTTGTGTTGGTTCTTCCTGCGTAGTTGTTGCACCTCTAGCTTGTGACGTTTGGTCAGAAGAGCTTGCTCCCACAGTACAACCATTATTCCGCAACAGCCTACTGTGCTCTTGCTGTCGCTCTCTCTCCAACAGGACTTCTTGCTGCAAAAATTCGGCGTTTTCCACTTCGAGCGGAAATACGCAATGCCCGTAGCGTGGGGGTATCGACAGTAACGTCTCCCGATCTTCGAAATCTGCATTGTCTAAATTCAAGTGCACTCCGCCATTCGGGAAAATCCGTTGAAACGTCACTTCGAGTATGATGCTGAACTTCTTCCCCCCCGGCGGTCGTCCGGTGTGCGTAGTGGTGCCCTTCGAGCTTTTTACCAGGTAACTGCCCGCCTTGCCGTGTTTCGCGGCCTCTTGCTGGTGGATCTCTATCGTGTCTAGATCGAGTTTGAAGAACTCTGCGAACTGCTTTTTTCGGGGCGGAAATATTGGGGCTGCATAACAAGAAGAAAGCTGCTCGTCACAATTATGTTCTATTTTTTGAGAAGCGGATGTTGAAAGCGAGCTCCTTCTTTGACGACGTCTCGCTGCTCTTTGATGTTCCCAAACAGAACAACAACGGAGGGTCGCACTACTAGTATTCGCAGAGCCTACTCCTGCCGCGGCGTCAGAATAGTAGTACCCGCCAAAAAACAATAACGCCGGCTCCTCGGTCCGCGTGTTTTTGAAGGGAAAGGCACTGTGCCCGATCAAATTGAAGCCGATGTACTTCTGTTTTGGGGGAACGACGTCGGGTTTCAAACTGTGGAAAAAAAGGTAGCCACCACCGAAAATGCAGAGGAGCTCTTTTTATGCATTGCACAAGCATCTTCGTACTAGTAGTGATCGCATCTTCACAAATTTATTGCGCAGCTTGAAGTATGGAGTTGTCTTCTCTTGTGCTCATAATTCACCTTAGCTTGTTTAGCATCAGCAGCCAGAAGATACTTATGTCTTGGATGACAACTGCAATTTGCACGACTAAGATACTTTTGCAATGCATACGTTTTTTCTTCCAAGGAAATTCATCGTGAAACTGTAGGGAGGAGCGGTGAAAGTGAAAGAAGCAGTTGTTCTTTTTGGGTCATCCTCTCGTCTGTGTGAATGATGTAGTTCGGCAGCTGTGTAGTCATGTTGCAGATCATGTAGACGGAATCCGTATGTCGCCAGCACTGTGGGATCGGTTTCGTCAGCATCAACATGATTCGCGTCTCTTTCTTTCTCTTTGTTGCCCGAATTGTTTTTCTTGCTCTGCTGTTCTCCTTTTGAGGTTGAATCTGATATGATTTTCCCGGATCCCGATCCATTTTTTCGGTGTTTGTCCTCCTGCTTTTTGCCTCTGCGGTATAACACCCCGGAGCTCCTGCTAGTGCAGCTCCCCTCTTTTTCGGGAAGACCTGACTTACATTCACCGTCCGCCACAGCTGCTGCCCCGGCAGCAGCAGCAGCAGATGACATTGACGAGCCGCGTGGCCTCCGGACAGTTCTGTACGCGTTTTTGTCAATGAGCCACTCGCGCAAGCGCACTTTCACCAGCACCTCGGTAGGATGAAACAGCGCTGTACTTCCGTTTGATGTAGTTTCAAACGAATCTACTTCGTGGCTTGCTTCCAACACATGCACTGTCCGCTTTTTTTCATCCACGAGAAGGCAGTGTGTGAAGGCGAATTCCGCCTGCGTCTGCGACGAGGAACTACTTCTAGCGCATGAGGTCGTTCTTGACTCAGCAGCTGCACAGTTCTTAATAGCGTCGTCCAGGGTGCCGGCTCTACTAGCGTGGTTGTGGTCCTCTACTTCCGTTGTTGGTGACGAATTTTTCGAGCTGCTAGACGAACAAGATGTACCAGACAAGTCCGGAGCAGTTTCTGTGTCCACCTCGACGGTAACTCCGGGGGTGTCGACGCACGAGCTTGAGTTACGCGTTGTCGCGTAGAAGTTTGAAGGCGGCTCTGTGTCTACCGTGCGGCCTTGTGCATTAAAAAATGCGTGCCCGCCGGGAACGCCATTGCGCTCTAGCTCTTGTTCGTTTTTGCCCTTATTCCTTTTACTATTCCGCCGAGAAGATGTTGATCCAGAGGATGCTTTTGAGCTGGAAGACGACCCGGAGCTGCTCGTACTGTTTTTCCTAGAGGACGAAGAACCTCCGCAAGGAGGAGCTCCTGAAGTAGAACTACACACGGAAAGAACGGAAGCTGTGGCGCCAAAACTCGAGGCGCCCGCAGCTGTTTTCAAAGTGAAAGAACGAGCCGTTGTGGAGCCCGTTTTTACAGTCTTCTCCCCCACAGAGGTGGACGAACAAGGAACATCATCTTGCAATGCGGCTACGGCAGGAAGTACAGCAGGGGGAGCAGCAGTAGAACTAGCGCCATGATCTTCTTCGCCGTCCTCACTCTGACGTCTCGCTGCCCGCATCGGAAATAAGTTCTTCAGCTGGTTTTGCAGCGAGATCAGTACCGCCTGCGGATTGTGCTTCTGCGAAGACGTAGTTCTTGTCATTATTGCTTCAGAAGTGCTAGTATGATCAGATTCAGTTTCATTAACAGCACCATCTTCAGGCGATTTATTTGCCGTGGTCGTTATTTTCGGAGTTGCTTTTGTTTTCAGAGAAGAAAACTCGCTGAAAGGGGCACCGGGTGGTCGTGTTGTTTCGACATCAACTATTGGAGAAGCCGTCGTGGTCGTATTGCTGCTCATCTCTGCTTCGTTTTTCAAGTCCAACAGAACCAAATCGAGCAAGGTGACCAACCCTGTCAAGGCTTCCGCGCGGCCCGCCGGTCCCAGGATTTCGAGGCGCTTGTCGATGTCTTCCAACACCACTTTCTGCAAAATCTTCGCCGCAAACTCTGCGGAGGTTCGCGACGTTGGCACGTCATACAGTTCCGCCCGGTACAAATCGTTCGCGGTCATGGA